ATCATCCGTGGAGAATAGGATCAATAGACTTCATTATCGGTGGATAATAGCCTCGGCCTGATTCCGTGATCTATAGCCTCCAGAATCGAAAGAAAATGGCATTTAGGATAAATCGCCCGAAATCTGTGATGGTAACGCTTTGGAATTTGCCAAAAATTGACACGGAATAAATTCGCCCAAATCGCTGCTTAATGAACTCAATCGTCGTTGGAGAATAGCCTTAGGGCGAATCCATGATCTGTAGCCTTCAATATTCAAAGAAAATGGACTTTCGTCGCCCAAGAAATTACGAAAATGCCATCCGAAAATAAATTGGCCGAAATCGATGCTTAACGGACTTATCATCCGTGGAGAATAGGATCAATAGACTTCATTATCCGTGGATAATAGCCTCGACCTGATTCTGTGATCTGTAGCCTCCAGAATCGAAAGAAAATGGCATTGTGGATAAATCTCACGAAATCTGTGATGGTACCCCTTTGGAATCTGCCAAAAATTGACCCGGAATAAATCTGCCCAAATCGGTGCTTAATCGACTCAATCATCGTTGGAGAATAGCCTCAGGCTGAATCCGTGATCTGTAGCCTTCAATATTCAAAGGAAATGGACTTTCGTCGCCCAAGAAATTACAAAAATGCCATCCGAAAATAAATTGGCCAAAATCGATGCTTAATAAACTTATCATCCGTGCATAATAGGATCAAGATACTTCATTATCGGTGGATAATAGCCTCAGCCTGATTCCGTGATCTGTAGCCTCTAGAATCGAAAGAAAATGGCATTTCGGATAAATCGCCCGAAATCTGTGATGGTACCCCTTAGGAATCTGCCAAAAATTGACCCGAAATAAATCCGCCCAAATCGGTGCTTAATGGACTCAATCATCGTTGGAGAATAGCCTCAGGCCGAATCCATGATCTGTAGCCTTTAATATTAAAAGAAAATGGACTTTCGTAGCCCAAGAAATTACGAAAATGCCATCCGAAAATAAATTGGCCCAAATCGATGCTTAACGGACTTATCATCCGTTGAGAATAGGATCAATAGACTTCATTATCGGTGGATAATAGCCTCGTCCTAATTCGGTGATTTGTACCCTCTAGAATCGAAAGAAAATGGCATTTCGGATAAATAAACCGAAATCTTTGATGGTACCCCTTTGGAATCTGCCAAAAATTGACCAGGAATAACTCCGACCAAATTGGTGCTTAATGGACTCAATCATCGTTGGAGAATAGCCTCAGGCCGAATCCGTGATCTGTAGCCTTCAATATTCAAAGAAAATGGACTTTCGGCGGCCAAGAAATTACGAAAGTGCCATCCGAAAATAAATTGGCCCAAATCGATGCTTAATGGACTTATCATCCGTGGAGAATAGGATCATTGGACTTCATTATCGATGGATAATAGCCTCAGCCTGATTCCGTGATCTGTAGCTTCCAGAATCGAAAGAAAATGGCATTTCGGATAAATCGCCCGAAATCTTTGATGGTACCCCTTTGGAATCTGCCAAAAATTGACCCGAAATAAATCCGCCCAAATCGGTGCTTAATGGACTCAATCATCATTGGAGAATAACCTCAGGCCGAATCCATGATCTGTAGCCTTTAATATTCAAAGAAAATGGACTTTCGTCGCCCAAGAAATTACGAAAATGCCATCCGAAAATAAATTGGCCCAAATCGATGCTTAACGGACTTATCATCCGTTGAGAATAGGATCAATAGACTTCATTATCAGTGGATAATAACCTCGGCCTGATTCCGTGATCTATAGCCTCCAGAATCGAAAGAAAATGGCATTTCGGATAAATAAACAGAAATCTTTGATGGTACCCCTTTGGAATCTGCCAAAAATTGACCAGGAATAAATCCGACCAAATTGGTGCTTAATGGAATGGACTCAATCATCGTTGGAGAATAGCCTCAGGCCGAATCCGTGATCTGTAGCCTTCAATATTCAAAGAAAATGGACTTTCGTCGCCCAAGAAGTTACGAAAATGCCATCCGAAAATAAATTGGCTAAAATCGTTGCTTAACGGACTTATCATCCTTGGAGAATAGGATCAATAGACTTCATTATCGGTGGATAATAGCCCCGGCCTGATTTCGTGATCAGTAGCCTCCAGAATCGAAAGAAAATGGCATTTCGGATAAATCGCCCGAAATCTGTGATGGTACCCCTTTGGAATCTGCCAAAAATTGACCCGGAATAGATCCGCACAATTTGGTGCTTAATGGACTCAATCATCGTTGGAGAATAACCTCAGGCCGAATCTGTGATCTGTAGCCTTCAATATTCAAAGAAAATGGACTTTCGTTGCCCAAGAAATTACGAAAATGCCATCCGAAAATAAATTGGCTAAAATTTATGCTTAACGGACTTATCATCCGTGGAGAATAGGATGAATAGACTTCATTATCGGTGGATAATAGCCTCGGCCTGATTCCGTGATCTGTAGCCTCCAGAATGGAAAGAAAATGGAATTTCAGATAAATCGCCCGAAATCTGTGATGGTACCCCTTTGGAATCTGCAAAAAATTGACCCGGAATAAATCCGCACAAATTGGTTCTTAATGGACTCAATCATCGTTGAAGAATAGCCTCAAGCCGAATCTGTGATCTGTAGCCTTCAATATTCAAAGAAAATGGACTTTCGTCGCCCAAGAAATTACGAAAATGCCATCCAAAAATAAATTGGTCCAAATCGATGCGTAACGGACTTATCATCCGTGGAGAATAGGATCAATAGACTTCATTATCGGTGGATAATAGACTCGGCCTGATACCGTGATCTGTAGCCTCCAGAATCGAAAGAAAATGGCATTTCGTATAAATCGCCCAAAATCTGTGATGGTACCCCTTTGGAATCTGCCAAAAATTGACCCGAAATAAATCTGCCCAAATCGGTGCTTAATCGACTCAATCATCGTTGGAGAATAGCCTCAGGCTGAATCCGTGATCTGTAGCCTTCAATATTGAAAGAAAATGGTCTTTCGTTGCCCAAGAATTACGAAAATGCCATCCGAAAATAATTTGGCCCAAATCGATGCTTAACGGACTTATCATCCGTGGAGAATAGGATTAATAGACTTCATTATCGGTGGATAATATCCTTGTCTTGATTCCGTGATCTGTAGCCTCTAGAATCGAAAGAAAATGGCATTTCGGATAAATCGCCCGAAATCTGTGATGGTACCCCTTTGGAATCTGACAAAAATTGATCCGGAATAAATCCGCCCAAACCGGTGCTTAATGGACTCAATCATCGTTGGAGAATAGCCTCAGGCCGAATCCGTGATCTGTAGCCTAATATTCAAAGAAAATGGACTTTCGTCGCCCAAGAATTACGAAAATGCCATCCGAAAATAATTTGGCCCAAATCGATGCTTAACGGACTTATCATCCGTGGAGAATAGGATTAATACACTTCATTATCGGTGGATAATAGCCTCGGCCAGATTTCGTGATCTGTAGCCTCGAGAATCGAAAGAAAATGGCATTTCGGATAAATCGCACGAAATCTATGATGGTACCCCTTTGGAATCAGCGAAAAATTGACTCGGAATAAATCCGTCCAAAACGGTGCTTAATGGACTCAATCATAGTTAGAGAATAACCTTAGGCCGAATCCGTGATCTGTAGCCTTCAATATCCAAAGAAAATGGCCTTTCGTCGCCCAAGAAATTACGAAAATGCCATCCGAAAATAAATTGGCCCAAATCGATGCTTAACGGTCTTATCATCCGTGGAGAATAGGATCAATAAATTTCGTTATCGGTGGAGAATAGCCTCGGCCTGATTCCGTGATCTGTAGCCTCCAGAATCGAAAGAAAATGGCATTTCGGATAAATTGCCCGAAATCTGTGATGGTACCCCTTTGGAATCTGCCAAAAATTGACCCGGAATAAATCTTCCCAAATCGGTGCTTAATGGACTCAATCATCGTTGGAGAATAGCCTCAATCCGAATCAGTGATATGTAGCCTTCAATATTCAAAGAAAATGGCCTTTCGTCGCCCAAGAAATTACGAAAATGCCATCCGAAAATAAATTGGCCCAAATCGATGCTTAACGGAGTTATCATCCGTGGAGAATAGGATCAATAGACTTCATTATCGGTGGATAATAGCCTCGACTTGATTCCGTGATCTGTAGCCTCCAGAATCGAAAGAAAATGGCATTGCGGATAAATCTCCCGAAATCTGTGATGGTACCCCTTTGGAATCTGCCAAAAATTGACTCGGAATAATTCCTCCTAAATCGGTGCTTAATGGACTCAATCATCGTAGGAGAATAGCCTCAGGCCGAATCCGTGATCTGTAGTCTTAAAAATCCAAAGAAAATGGCCTTTCGTCGCCCAAACAATTACGAAAATGTCATCCGAAAATAAATTGGCACAAATCTATTCTTAATGAACTTATCATCCATGGAAAATAAGATCGATAGACTTCATTATTGGTGGAGAATATCCTCGGCTTGATTCCGTGATCTGCAGACTCCAGTATCGAAAGAAAATGGCATTTCAGGAAAATTGCCCGAAATCTGTGATGGCACCCCTTCGGAATGTGCGAAAAATTGAACCAGAAGAAATCTGCCCAAATCAATGCTTAATGGACTTAATCATCATTGAAGAATAGCCTCGGTTCGAATTCGTGATCTTTATCCTTCAAAATCCAAAGAAAATTGTCTTTAGTCGACCAAAAAATTCCGAAAATGTCATCCGAAAATAAATTGGCCCAAATCGGTGCTTAATGGACTTATCATCCATGGAGAATAGGATCAATAGACTTCATTATCGGTGGATAATAGCCTCGACGTGATTCAGTGATCTGTAACCTCCAGAATCGAAAGAAAATGACATTTCAGAAAAATCGCCTGAAATATGTTATTTTACCCCTTTGGAATCTACCAAAAATTAACCCGGAATAAATCCGCTCAAATTGGTGCTTAATGGACTTAATCATCGTTGAAAAATAGCCTTAGGCCGAATCCGTGATCTTTAGCCTTCAAAATCCAAAGAAAATGGTCTTTCGTCGCCCAAAAAATTACGAAAATGCCATACAAAAATAAATTGGCCCTAATCGATGCTTAATCAACTAATCATCCGTGGAGAATAAGATCAATAGACTTCATTATCGGTGGAGAATAGCCTCGGCCTGATTTCTTGATCTGCAGCCTCCATAATCGAAAGAAAATGGCATTTCGGAAAAATCGCTCGAAATCTATGATGGCCCCTTTGGAATCTGCCAAAAATTGACCCGGAATAAATCCGCTCAAATCGGTGCTTAATGGACTTAAACATCGTTGAAGAATAGCCTCAGACCGAATCCGTGATCTGTAGCTTTCAAAATGCAAAGCTAATGGCCTTTCGTCGCCCAAAAAATTACGAAAATTCCTTCCGAAAATAAATTGGCCCAAATCGATGCTTGATGAACTTATCATCCGCGGAGAATAGGATCAATAGACTTCATTATCGGTGGATAATAGCCTCGGCGTGATTCAGTGATCTGTAACCTCCAAAATCGAAAGAAAATTGCATTGCGGAAAAATCGCCCGAAATCTGTAATGGTACCCCTTTGGAATCTACCAAAAATTGACCCGGAATAAATCCGCTCAAATTGGTGCTTAATGGACTTAATCATCGTTGGAGAATAGCCTCAGGGCGAATCCGTGATCTGTAACCTCAAGAATCGAAAGAAAATGACATTTCAGAAAAATCGCCCGAAATCTGTAATGGTACCCCTTTGGAATCTGCCAAAAATTGACCCGGAATAAATCCGCTCAAATTGATGCTTAATGGACTTAATCATCGTTGGAGAATAGCCTCAGGCCGAATCCGTGATCTGTAAGCTTTAAAATCCATGAAAAATGGCCTTTCGTCGACAAAAAAAAATTATGAAAATTTCATCCGAAAATAAATTGGCCCAAATCGGTGCTTAATGGACTTATCATCCGTGGAGAATATGATCAATAGACTTCATTATCGGTGGAGAATAGCCTCGGCCTGATTCCGTGGGTGCTGGGTTTGTTCAATTGGGCTTGCAGCCCTTGGCCCATTAGCAGCTTTAGCTGTTGCTTATACAACAATTCGGTTCACGGTTCGGAAATCGGATTTCGGTTTCGGGCGGTACCACCATGTATTCCGAACTAGGAGGGTTTTGCATCCGAATTCCGATCCGAAATGTAGGAAATTCGGTTTTGGTCAGTTTGGGGTCGGTTCGGTTCGGTTCGGAGAGTTAAAACCGGACCGGACGCCCACCCCAACAACAAAGGAGACAAAATGCACCTAATATAAGTGTAAACCATTTGATATTTTGGTGGATTGATTCCAAAGAGGTAGCTAGCTGCTTGGGAGTGGTGTGGCTCATATGCTCCTCCCTTCAAGTTAATAGTCCAAAAGCAATTCCATAGTGCATCAACCAATCCCCCCCTTTTCTCTTCTTTTTCCTTTCTTCCTTTACACATTTGAGTCTGCAATTATATATATACACATAACACACACTGCAAAATCTCCCTTGCTCCAACCAAGCTCATCTCTCTCTCCCTCCACAATCTAACAAGTCACAACCACCATTTCCCCCATCTTCCACACACTTCAGTTCGATTCCATGACCTGCAATTCCCATCACGGCGGCGGCAGCCGCGGCTGAGCAGGAAAACAGAGTGAGTGATTGTGGGGAGAGAGAGAGTTTTGGTTGTGCAAAAGAACAAATGGAAGGCAGCAGTAGTAACAGTGCAGTAGGCAGAGCACTAATGTACAACAATGCTTCATCATCATCCGAGAGCCAGCAGAATAATCTTTTCCGACAACAATCATCTCCATTGGCTTCCCCAAACGGCAATTTCAGCAATTCTAATGGCGCCGGCGGCATCCAAAACCCCAGATCTGATTATCACCACCACCACAATCACCATATGAATACTTACCCAACAACCTTCGTCCAGGCAAATACCTCAACTTTCAAGCAGGTCGTCCAAATTCTCACCGGATCCGCTGACACAGCCAAACAGGCCTCCTCCCCAAGACCCCAAGATCCTCCACCACCGCCGCCGGCGATGAGGGGCAGCGCCAATTTCCCCATTCCTCCGATCAGAAGCATACCCAACAAGAAACAACAGCAGCAGCAGCAACTCTACGAGAGGAGGAGCAACAGCTTCAAGCACCGCAGCCTCATGATCAACACTCTGGTTCCGGCCGCCGGCCGTTTCGGCTTCCATTCCAATCTCATCTCGTCTTCTTCCCCTTCCTCCGCCTCCGCCGAGATCTTGTCGCCGAGCTTGCTGGATTTCCCCAATCTGACGCTGAGCCCAGTGACTCCGTTGAATCAAGACCCATTCTTCCACAACAACCACAGCTCCCCGTCACCCTGCCCCTCGTCGGCGGGGAACTGCAGCAGTAGCAGCAGCTCGTCCTCGCCGTTGGAGGAGGAGGACCGGGCGATTGCGGAAAAGGGGTTTTATCTGCATCCCTCGCCGAGAGGATCCGAGCCTCAGCTGCTGACGCTGTTCCCTCTGACGTCGCCGAGGGCGGCGGAATCGCAGCCTCCGGAGCCCTGAAAATTTTCTTTACATCTGTGATTCTCTTGGATGGGTTATGCACTTATTGATTGTGGTAATGGTTTGGATTTTGGAGGGAAAGATGAAAGTGATGATCTTTATTTGTTTGCTTGCCTCTTTTCTAATTGTAGGATTGATTCATATGATATAATTATCATCATCTTCTCGTCTCTCCCTCTGTTTCTCATAATTTTTGTAAGAAACAATACAATCGCTACAGAGTACAGACACAAGACTAACAGACAAAATGACTGACTTTTCAGTCTGACTTTTGCCGCCCTTTTCCTGATCATTTATGGCTCAGTCTGCAATTACAAGCTGGTTTCCACGATGAGAACAAAAGAACTTGAAGTCGTCCTCTACTCTCATTCTTCCTACATTCTTATCTGATAAATTGAGGAGTGAGTGAGTGACAGTATGACCAACATTTGAATTTCAAAACAAACAACTAGAGATGCAATTTTGTCCTAATTGTGGGCACTCAACTCGTATCCATCATATCAAAGAAAAGAATTTCCACGCTCATTGAGTATGGAAAGGGTATGGGAGAATAGACGGATAAAATATGATACGATAGGAGTGAGACGGAGATGGATTTAGCTACCTTTGTGTTGACACCGATATCGATATCCGCTTTCATTTTAACAATCTCACATCCAAACAGTAGACCGTAAGATACAGGGATTTATTTCGTTTGTACAAGTCACCAGGTGCTAGTAGTGTTTTAGTGCTCAGATGATATAAAAAAAAGTAACACAGGGCATTAGATGATACAGTGCAAACCAACAAGCACATTAGGGGATGGATGTCATATTTCCAGAAAAGAGTTGATGGTCTTGAACCCATGATTCTCAGGCAGAGGTGCGTTCCCCGGCCGAACAGAGATCATTGTCTTCAGACCTGATTGATCACATGGCAACATTGTGCATTTTGTCAGTCAGATTCAGAACTTCCGATCGTCTCAGGAAGAAAGAATGTTTGAAAGTAGAAAAGCAGTTAAGTTTCAACAACTATATATGCTGTTCACAGACATACATGACAAGTTATGCTAGGTTCCCTGAATGACAAGTTTGTTAAATCTCGACATTCATGGTCCAATTTGCTAATCCCAAATTTAATGACCATATATGTACTACTACTTGACCCCTAGTGCGGTGAAGAAAGAAAACATGCTAAGGCCTGCAGATTAACTAAGTAAAAGAGGCTACTGTGTTTACCTGCTGCTTTCGCTGCAACTGCTTCTTGAACGACATCTGTCAAGAACAAGATTTCGGATGGGTTATCTACTCCCAATGATTCAGAAATCTGAATGTAACTGCTTGTCTCCCTCTTGTTCCTACAGAGTGAACAACAATAACAAGCGCAAGTTTGTTACTTGACTAAACTGAAAGGGAATCTACAAGGTGGTCATCCAGCAGCAGTGAAAATGTACAGAGCTTACCCAACATTAGTGTCGAAAAACCCAGACAGGTATTTCCTCAAATCTCCAGACTTTGTGTTCCCAAATATAAGCCGTTGTGCCAACCTGCTACCGCTGGAGTATATATAGATCTGAGACAGAAAACAGGGCAGTTACTTAATTGGGGCATTATTCTGTACCTCAATTCAACTGTTAATATTGAGATTTACTAGGATTCAAACATGAGATCTCAGTCAACTAGGCTCTGATAGCATCAACAACTAGTTTATTCTAATAACTCGAGTTATTGAGAAATTTTCAAAATGAATATTATATGTCATGAAAACAACTTAATTGCTTGGTAGTAATAATGAAGGATGCTGACCAAAGGGGAAATGAAATATTCACCTTTATGCCCAAGGAATGCCAGCTCTGCAATGCTTCAGGTACATCATTGTAAAATTCTCCTTTCAGTTCATTGTTCTGAAAGCCAGTTCTCCATATGTGCCCCTGCATGAACAATGTCTCGGCCACCTTTAGAAGACATATTATTGATTTGAGTTCAGTGGAAGAGCTAATCTCTTGTCCACGAGAGAACATACTTGTAATTGTTTCAAGGCAGTGATCTTGCGATCTGCTCTTATCATTGCCTCAACATTAGCAACCAGTGCTGAAATCACCGCATCCTTTCCAGCATCATTTGGTGGAATGGACACAGCGCCATCAATACCTTGCGCCAAATCATCTTCAACCTGTTAACAAGCAACAAAGAACTAAATTAAAGGACAAAAATGCCCTACAAAGAGTCATTTTTCAAATTCCAAGATCAAAACAACATGCAAATTTTTCCAAGTGGCCCTTTGCAAGAGATGGCAACATAAGCAACATGCATGAATAAGTCAACCAAAGACAATTCATAAAATTACCTGGGATCGCAGCAACTTTATATCTTCTTGAGTATCCTGGGTCTCATATGTTGCTGAAAGATGCTTTCCCACATTGTCACGGGCGTAAGGAAAAAGGACATCAGCAACAAACGTTATAGGTGTGGTAGTCCCTTCAATGTCTAGGAGGATGCAGCGCTGAAAAATTCAGTTATAGATCTTCAAAGAGCTACCAGAGTAATGATGTCCAAGAAAGCCTTAATTTACTCAGTTCCCAGATCAAGACATATACACCATATCAGAAGTTTATAGTTGGACTAACAGTATCATGCATAAGAGAGCTTACAGGCAAAGGCTCACTATTGTGATTTGAATCCTTCAGTCCTGCCTTCACTGGTGCACTTATAGCTCCTCTGCCCTGCTGGATCGGGCCATGGCTTGGGGTGGACCAGTCCAGGCCCATTTGATGAAGTTTGATTGCAGCATCGAACAGATAATGATAACATTCAGCCTGCAAAAAATTTCCCAGTCATAAAAGAATAAATGAATGAGATTGGGAACACAATTAAGTACCACCTCCTAACATAACTGTTATCCATCTACCGACTGTTAACTCATGCGACTATTAGAAGTGCAACATATCATACGGCCAGTATTAGTATGAACAAGAGAGGAAATTCCGCAACAGAATTATAGGAGGTAGGAACAAACCCACCATACAGAAGGTCTTCCATAAAACAACACTCGTCTGATTTGTTGAAAATATCAAGTTATACAGTGTGTTGCACAAACCTGAGTTTTGGCGCTAATCCATGTGTCCCCCCATACATATATTCCATGGTTTCGAACTAGCACAGCCGTTGTCTTTGGGTATGCTTCTATCTAACAGAAGATAACATACTGTTAGCCCAAGGATACAGCTACAATATGACATAAAACTAACATTTAATAACAAAATCACCAGAAAGAATAAATTAGATCTGATTATTTGATATATAACAGTGATCCTACAATAGATCAATGTCCAAACAACAACTCGAATTATGCCAGTTGTAGAAACAATAAGCATTCAGTACACTAGTGAGAGACCATAGAAAAGCAGACTTCATCTAAATAACATAAACAGTCACCCATAAGAAAAGCACACAACTTTGACAGGAAATGACAAGCGTCAGCACATAATACCAGTCATTCAATGACCGACTATAATGTTAATGTAGGACCAGCTAGTTTGATGAATAAAGATTGCGATGCGCATACTATAATCATTTTACATATAGCAAAAATTTTAATTGGTAAGGGCAAAGTGGAGTAAGAGAATTGCAGAAAACAGATATTTACAGCTTTAGTAAGAGATTCTGTCAGCTCATTCTCATAGGCTGTATTCTCTATTATTGGGACAACAAGTTCATCATAATATCCATGACCCTTTATTCCTTTTATCATCTCCATGTGAGTAATCTGTAAGCAAACAAAATGCAGAGTAACGTCATCTGAATTCAAAATGCGTTAATGATGAATCTGTTCGAAGAAAAATTCCATTATAGTTTTTGCTCATACGATTGCATTAATACACATAAAAACAGTTTAACTCCGACTGATGTGCTATTGCCAAATTCTTTGGTGCCTTAGCTGCAAGAAAAGTGAGTCGTTTTTCTAACTTGAGGCAGAGAATAGTTTTTAAGGGAAGATCTCCTCTCAAGAACTAGAGAAGTGTCAATTATTCTTATGCCTGTTATTTATGCTAAATCATCACATATTCCATTGCTCTTGTTCCCCATCATTCACCTAAGATACCGAGTTTTGAATATCGTTTGAGGTGCACAGAGCTCAGGCACACATAAAGCCATTGCCAGATAGAAAGCATCAAAATTTAATTACTATAACACTACAATGCACGGTAATACAGACAGAAAGCTGAGAGCTTTACCAACCATCATACTTAGCTCACTAAATGTTTCGATTTAACATAATATGGATATGAAACAGTCCACTACCAGAAGGTTGTAACTGTTCAGAGTGAAAATAAGTTGTGTGTTCTTCTGTAGATGTTTAATCTAAAGGAATGAGGTTGAGATTCTAAAATGCTTCACAGTTTATGTTCCTTCTCACTGCATGGTAATAAATAATAATAAAATCCACGACAGGTTGGTTGGCCAGAGGATAGAAATTCATTAGGACATTAGTAGTGATTATCATGCAATAACGTTCTTTTTCACCCCTTCTGTATTTCATGCCCACAAAGCACTTCACAGATGGAAGAGTGGCTAGTTCGGTTGGAAAAGCATAATGGAAAAAATTTAACTGGTAAGACTTCATATCAAAATGGAAACAATTACCCTGAATTCTTTTGCTGATGGATTGAGCATTGTCACGAGGCAAGACTCCATCCCGTGACTGTGAATGACTCCTCCTGCATCACGCATCTCATATGCCTGCATCGCACCAGTAAGAATCATCAAGCACCAACTCAAAGTAGCAAGATGGTACCCCCAACTTAAACTGGAAGCATATCAAGTAACTGGGCTATACTAGAGCAAGTAACTCCATCTTCAATGCCAAGACCAAATGTACAATTAAAGTGGTAAGTTTTCTATGCAGAGCAAGAAATCTTCCTGACCTTCATAAATAGAGGAGCACAATCAGAGCACTTAGGAGGCTTGTGAGGGTAAGGCTTCGGGGACGGCGCATACAGTATAGACCCATTTCCTGACATGACATACATATCATCTGCTTCCATTCTCTCCTTCTGAACACCTGCCAAACCACAATCCTAAAATCATTTGACATACGATCAAAAGCTAGTGCGATAGTAATGCGAATGTCTCAAAACCCCACTAATCCAAACTGGGAATCAGGGTATCCCATAGCAGTTTATCAATCCAAAGTCGCCCTGAAGGTCCAAATTGTGCCCGACTAACAGTTGGTTATCAACGAGCATAAATGAATATCTATTACCCACACAGTAAAAACTAAGCCCAGATAACACAATCCCTAATAACATCGAATTCATATCCGTTGCCACAACAGTTAAAATGAAGCATTACAGTGGAAAATCCAAAGATTCAAGAACAGAGGAAAGCAAACTAAATTAAGCTGTAGACCAGGATTTTGCACCAGAAGGGGACATGAGGATGAGCTGCTGTGGTTTGGGGATGCAATCATCGTGGACCTTGATGGTGATGCTGCCGCCGGTGCCGGAAACCCAGCCGAGGCTGTAGAATTGACGGCAGAGATCAGCGACCAACGCCCTCGTTTCCTTGACCGCTTTCCCCTCCAAGTAAGCCTGCGAAGCCAAGCTCACTCCGCCTCCATTCACCGCCGCCATAGCTCGATTCTCCCCCTCTGCAACCCCACAGTGAGGTACGGCGTTTGTCGCACGCAGATATAGATTACACAGTGGCGTGAGGCTGAAAGGCTGCGGCGACGTGCGGCGATTAGCGAATTTGGTTTCCGTCTGTTTGGGAGTTGGTGACTGAAACTTTTTGAAGAATATGATTGGTCCACGTGTACAGTTCTGGTTTTCATGCTTTGACTGCAGCTGTGTGTTGTGGATCCAAGGCCCATGAAGAAAACTCTATTGGGTTTGTGTAAAAGCCCATCTACAAAAGAAACACAAGCTGAATTTAAAGCCCACAAAATTAAACCGACCGGATTGATCTGGCCGGACCGGGTTGGGTGCCGGGCTGAGTCAATTCCTGACCGGGTAATATAAAGAGATTGTTCCTTCTCTTCTCGGCGTCGTCTTATCTTTAGCCGGAGGCCGGAGCAATGTCCAGAGGGCCGGGCCGTCTGATAGATAACGTGAAGAAGTTAGCCGACACGCAGTACAAAGAATTCACAGCTCGGTATGGCGACCAATTGGTGGACATTTTCGAGTTCCCCATTAAGCTTGTGCTGTCCCCTTTCACCCTCGCCTTTGACATCGTTGGCTCCGCTCCCCGTGGGTTCGGCGTCCCTGAACTCATCTCCAAGCTCTCTTATGCTTCCGTCTTCGTAAGTTATCCATTTCCCCTGACTGGAAATTCTGCAGGATTCTTTTCGCCTACTGTAAATTTGGTTTAGCTGGAAATGGGTTTTACAGTAAATGATTCAGCTTGCTTTGGGTTGCTTGAAAGTCGTGTGCTTTGGAGACCCTTATTTTTTTATGCCAAAGAACTGGAAACATTGTGTATAAATACGCAGGAACTCAATGCCGCGTAGATATTCTACTGGTGTTACAACCTTAATTTGGTGATGCTTATATCTGGATGATGATGTCCGTTTCCTCTTCTTTTTCAAACTGAAAGTGGGAATTTTCTATTGGAGTTGTAGAATGAACAATCTAGTAGCCGATTTGATGTTTCTTCCTGTTCAGTGAAGTTGCATTTGAGCAGTTTCTATTTCTTCTTTGATGAGGTTATTGCTGTCCCTCTGCAAATGCAATCACAACTACTCAGGTTGTTTGATGCATTTTCCTATATCTAGGCTTGTTGGCCTGCTCCTAATGTGGGCATGTTAAGTCTATGCGGAGTCTCTTGAACATTTACATTTTTATCTTGGCAAGCAATGAAGTAGATGGAATCGAAAGTCCTCCACGGGGTTCTCGATCATTTGACCAATTCAACACGCATAGTTGTAGTTTCCAATGCTAAATAACTTCTTCTGCTGTTTCTTTCTTTGGAAGCTGATGAACGGCCTATGAGGCGGGGTTTCAATGATAAACTAGTCTCTCTTTATCTTGATTGCAGGCTGTGGCTACACTTGGAACCTATGATATTGCTTTGGAGTTGGGAAAGAAGGTTATATGTCAGAGGTGCTGATTCTTGCTTTCAGCCTGCTGTTTGCCGTCATCTGTTCTGGTGGATTATAAATTTGTTCCCCTAATCTATTGGTAGAATTGAATGGACTATGAAATCATGAATCCAGGAACTGTCGAACTTGCAATGGTTGGCAGGCATTGCGGTGTACCATGTGTAGAGGATCAGGAAGCGTGCAGTACCAAGTGAAAAATTACTCCTTGAGAAGGTATATACTTCTGCTGAGCTGACCCAAATAAAGATAAGATGCTCTCTCAGATACAAAATATGGCGGCTGCAAAGCCTCATAAAGAATGAAATCAGACTGAGAATGTGTCTTTGACTTTGGAATTTTTCTAAATCTGTTCTTCTGGACTTTGATCATATTATGTACATGTTTGTTGTATTTTCTGCAGAGGGGAGAAGCCCACTGCTGAATGTATTGCAGATGCAATTTCTGAAAATCGTGCTGAAGTAATGCATTTTCCAGCTGCCATAAATTCCAATATGCCTTTGCCATCTAAAGACTGTCCAGACTGTGATGGCACGGTGAGACTCATCTTTACCTTTACCGACTGTAATGGTACTTTTCGTTTGCTGATTTTGATATGTTCAATGTGTTGACCATTTTGTATTTCACCAATATTAATAATTTTGTATATCATTTGCGGTTTCATATGGATTTTCCAATTTACTTAGATTAGTGATGCTGGGCTTTGGTATCTTTGCAGACCTTTTTTATGTCTGTTGATGTGTCGGTTGTAACTGTTGTATTACTGATTCTCCAGGGTGTAATGGGGTGTCCGGAATGCAAAGATAAATTACAAGTCAGGATCTCTGCGGATGATGTGAGAACTTGTTAGATTGCTTGTTCTTTACGTATCTCTTTGGTTTATCTGAAAGAGCCCCTTAATGATGGTTCTGATATTTGTTCCGCAGATTATGGAGCCACCATGGAAAGCATATAATGTTCTGCGCAAGATGGACTATCCTTATGAGGCAAGTACAGATTTCTAGTCCTGGATCAATATGTTATTATGCTAAAAGCTTTTATATATTTTGAAACTTTTCCGCCTGTTATATTCAATAATTCACCCTTTGATTCACTGAAAGGATGGCTGACTTAGTACTTGTGCTCGTTGGGAATCCCTCCATCCCCTTGTTTGGTGCTCAGTGCTCACATATAATTACAACAAATGTATTTAAGACCACTTGGCACTATATAATTGGTCTTCTAACACCTGATTTTTGCTCATTTTGGTTTCAGCATATCCGTGACAGCATGAAAGATCCTAGCATTGCTGCATTTTGGTTGTTTACCTTCCCCCAGGTTGTGGGTGGGTTGAATTATGATGATGACATCAAAAAGAAAATTTGGTGGCAGTACGAGGTTAAAGACCTCTCTCTATCTCTAAGCTATTTAGTATGTTTGCTACAGAGTTACTGCACTTAATTTCCAAAAGTATGATATCGACCTTGTGAGTTTATCACCCTTGGCTGCAGGAATCATTTCGGTATGATAAACTACGCGATATCGTGGCTAAGCGAGCTCCTGGCTGGGAATTATTACAGGAAGTAAGATGTTGCTAGTGCTCATATATCTTTGGCTCGTTTTTGACATTTAAGCGTGATGCTTCTATATTTCGTTTCACCTTTTCCTAAAATGTCGGTAAGGCTAGAATTGTTGTAGAGGTGATTTGCTTGCACTCTATGGAATTTGTATATGGTTTATTCTGTTCCCCAAGTTTCTCCCTTTTCCTCATTACCTATCATTCACAGGCCTTGACCACGATAGACCCTATTCGAGCCAGGGAAGATCCAGTTATTGTGAAAAATCTTCCACACTACAGGGCCAAGAAGGCATTAAAGGCTGAGGTCATGAAACTTGATCCACCACCACGGCCAGAAAAGTGGGGAGTGAGTTACTTGTGGCTTTCTTCTCCCTATTCCCCAAAAATATGTTCTCCAATTGACATGGTGTTATTAATCTTGCAGTCAACCAGTATTGTTGTGACTCATTAAGTCGAGTTGCTTTAATTGTTAATAATGGAGCTACGATTTGTGTATCAGGAGCTTGACCTGCCACTGAATTCATCATCCTGGACTGAGGAAGATCTTAAAAAGCCAGAAAAGTTCTATGAGATGACTGTTCTCCTTAATGCACAAAGAGAAATGGCTGATAAAATGTTGGATGCACAATGGGAAGCTAAATGGCGACAGGAAAAGGTCGGTAAAGCTTGCATCACTGACATAGAGCCTCAATGGTCCATTTAGAGAGAGAGAGAGAGAGAGAGAGAGAGAGAGAGAGAGAGAGAGAGAGAGAGAGAGAACCAACCTCCCAAACCGCTTCTTAATCTTTGACTTCTCGTTTAGATGTCGTTTCCCCCATATTAGTATTGAAATTCTCTATGCCAGCTACGTTTGCTCTTTGCTTGATATGTAGATAGGGAAATGAATACTCTCTACCACCATATCTGTTGCAGTTGAACCAAATGCTGGAGGAGAAGGTGCAACCATACCTCAAGGACGCGGACAATGGCATCCTCTCGCAACCAATTGTTGTACAACCACAAAAACAGCATATAGAGGTCTCACCTTCAGTCTTTTACTTTCATTATGCAAAAATGCATACACTTACAAAGTTGCATAATATCATGTGTGATCTGGAATCAAATTATAACCCCTGAAAGTTCACTATAACGTTTGGTTCTCTGGTTGCAGAGGAAGAGGCGAAAGAGATGGTGGATTTTCTGAAGTCGGCATCTCATTCGTACGTAAGTGGTGTCATCATAGAGCCAATGACGTGAGAAACGAGACACAGTATCCTCTTCTTCCTGTCTCTGCATATCAGGCTCCAGCAGCTTTTGATAAATACGTAGAGATAACGCTCCTGCAGCATGCAAAGCCAATGACCAGTGTTTGCAATGGTCGACTAGTTACTCTGATGTATATGGAAAGAGAACACCATTGATCTTTGCATCGAGCAAGCTGCGTGTAAAAACCAAACGCCAGTCCATCTCCTTCTCGAGTTGTATGTTCTGTTCGATTTAAGAACAAGTTTGTTTTACGAGGAATATTGATGCTAGCGCATATGTCTAAGGTTGTTCTGATCTTTATCAAGGTGGCTACAGCTCGGTTGAACACAGGATAATTAGCTATACACTCGTGGATTTGCATGCTATATATGAAACACTGTTTAATCATTTAGTATTATTGTTATGATGAAATAAGATTGGATATGACTGTAAAGGTCTGACAGCATCGATCTGGCTTGGTCGTGGTAGCTTTTCTCCTTTCTCCCTTTTGCCAAGCTAGTAGGGAAAAAGAAATCATCATCATGATCCAGATATGGAACTTCAAAAAGCGAACCAGCTTTATCATCATCGAAATGCATTACACATGTATATAGAATGATTAAGGAGGTTTGCTGCAGCTACAAAAGTGATGAGAAAGCTAGCTTTTTTATGCAATGATGCAGCCAAGCTGCAGCTGCAAAGTGCTGATCAGAAAGCTAGGTAACCAGAAAGGCGCCATGGTTATGTTGGAGAGAGATGATTGAGATTGGGTTTTGATTTGGAACTTGGAGCCCGCTAAGCTTGCTCTGCATACATAATTACGAACGCACCGGTGACTTTCAGCAGGCAGCAGGCTCCTCCAACTCTGTATAATGATGACTACAAGTCTACAACTACGCCTGTCTAAGAGAGTTAGTAACCTTCGGATAGTAGTGGCGGAGTCAGAAATCTCAATGAGGGGAACTACTTTCGCATTCTGATAATTGGGAAGGGAACTTAGACCTTAACAACTAGTCTATTTCCTGAAATTGTACAAATTTTACATGTAAATTTGTTGTATTTCAAAGTTGAAGAGTATTATTGCCCCTCCTGAATATAACCTAGCTTTGCCATTGCCTTTGGTTTATGACACACTACTATATATTGCATGTTTTCCTAGCTGACACAAATATACTTATGAGCATAATAAAATCTCTATTAGGATGTTTATCTCAAGTACCGAATGAACTAGGATGTTTTTTTTCTTCTTTTACTAATAGAAAATCGTATAAACGAAAGGTAAGCAATAGTTACAGTAGATTTAAATTCGACCCTCCATAACCATACAAAAATTTTCAACCTAAAACTCCAAATTTGGAGAGATTTTGCATATGATAATACATTGCCTTTTACATATATTACCCCACTAAATAGAAATCAATGCAATATAAGTAGCTAGAGAGAATACTTTTCCTCAATCATTCACATAAAAAAGAAAGCAATGGCAGCCTTTGACAACGCATCACCACGCATATATAGTATTGATTTTAGCTCCAACGTCATTGTTTTGATTATCCAATTTAGTTCTAAGATAATTTGTACAATTTGAAGTTGTATCACAATATTAAAAGTACAAATTGGAGTTATATCATAAGGAGATTTGTACAAGCAGTGGCGTAGTAAGATTTTGGATGGAATGGAGTCTTCAAATATTTCGAATTGATTAGAGTCCTTACATGAGATGGTATCGCGCGAAAGTATGATGTCCTATATTTCAAGAATCATACTTAAACACATATATTTAAAAGGTTTTTAGTACCCTATTTTTTGCTAAGCGGGGTCCTAGGACCCCTCACCTCAAGCTCTCCCTCCGCCACTCTATACAAGAGAGTATATGTACAACCTGAAGTTGTACCATAACGTAAAAGGTACAACTCCAAGTTATACAACACAAAAAAAGGGGGTAAATACAATTTAATATCCAAACCTTTTATTTTAAACAATATAATAGCCAAACCTTTTCGAAAACAATCTAATATCCAAATCGTCAACTTTTTGTCTGTTTGACCGTTAGTTGACACTTCAAAAAAGTTCGAAGTACGACACTTCATCAATATTCATCGATATCTTCTCTGAAAAACCACCAACATATCGTAGTTCCAAACACGATAAGTCTATGACTCCACCATGATGGTATGGAATATCTAAATATTCAGTCATCTGCAATGCCAAAACAAGAAAACAAAGTTATATTGTGACAATTTCCCCTAAACAAAGCTCTTTTGAAGTGTCAACTAACGGTCAAACAGATAAAAAGTTGACGATTTTGATATTAGATTGTTTTCGAAAAGGTTTGGCTATTATATTGTTTAAAATGAAATGTTTGGTTATTAAATTGTATTTAAAAAAAAACTAAGCACCAATACTTTAAAAGTATTGTAAAATTCTTCAACATTGATTATTAGTAACAAAAAGGTGTAATTATACCCAAAATTAAACTTTATGAACCCTAATTATTAGTACCAACTCTTCTCTCTCTCCATATCACTAAATTTGCTAAGCTCGTTAACTCTCCTTTTCACCAAACCATTAAACTCACCTTCACCAAATTTCCTTCCTTTATCTTTCTTCCATCCAATCCTCTTATATATATCCCAATAGTTCCTCCTACTCAACCTTCCATTCCAATCCCACTTCTTCTTCCCCAACACACTAAACAACACAAAGAAAGTAGAGGAATCATGGCTTCTTCAAGTCATAGCACCTCTCTCTTCTTCTTCTTCGCCTGCACAGTGGCTGCTTCCTTCTGCTTCCACTCCTCCATGGCCAGAAGCTTCGACGTCGGAGGTAAAGAGGGTTGGGTCGTCAAGCCTTCCGAGTCCTACGATCACTGGGCTCAGCGTCTCCGCTTCTTAGTCAACGACACCCTCGGTAATCAAAATCACTCCATCTCTTCCCTTTTTTTTTAATACCTCTAGTGTCGGTTTTACTAATGTGGACGGAAGATGAAAATTCATGTTTCGTCGTTATAAAAATTTGAAATTGTAATCTCTTGACACACCTTAAAAAATTGTAATCGGACATATCTGTTGTAAAACGCGTTGTATCATTTTACTTTTATCAATTCACTGACACACCTCTCCAAAAATTCTGGGCGCGACTTCTCGGGGCAGTGTTCAAGTACAAGAAAGGATCGGACTCAGTGGCGCAGGTGACGAAAGGGGATTACGACAGCTGCGACGCCAGCAAGAAGCTCAAGGTGATGAAATCGGGGACCTCAATCTTCAAGCTCACACAATCGGGACACTTCTACTTCATCAGCGCCAACAAGCAGCAGTGTCTCGCCGGCCAGAAGCTCAACGTCCTCGTCCTCGCCGTCCGATCTCCCCCCTCATCGGCGGCGACACCCAAAACTCCGCCACCGCCGACACCCATTATTGCACCGGTTCTGCCTCCAACCGCATCCCCGCCGCCGCCAAGCCCCGCCGCCGGGACTCCCCAACTGGCCCCACAGCCATCTGCCGATTCTTCTCCTCCTCCTCCCGCCGGCGCTCCAGCTGCTTCCGGGAACTCGCCTGCCGGGCAGCCGGCGGTGTCACCCGACACCGCTAACCAGACGGCGGCTAAGAGTTCTTCTTCTTCTTCTTCGGCGGCAGTGGCGTCGCTGGCTTTGGTGGCTGTTGGATTGGGATTCATATCGCTGTTCATGTGATCTATCATCATCTTCCTATAAATCGAGTTAACGGTAGATTAGTGATTGTGTTTCTTTTTTCTTTTCGCTTCTCCTTTAATTATTATATTGGGTGTTTGATGTGGATTTGATTATTGATGGGGTTTGTAATTTGTATTTGGGATTTGTTCAACTTGGTCATTTGTGTGAGACATATTTCTTGATCATTTACATTATCGTTTTTTTTTTATTATTGTTACCTTATTTAAAAATTCGACTTTTAATGTAGTTGATATTGTATTCTTCACTGCGGGCATATACGTGGACGATACAGAAACACTATATAATCAATGGTCAAATATATGTGGAGGGTAAATGTCATATTTGGTTATCTGAGATTACTAAATCGTGTCATGTTTAGTAACTAAAAAATTTTAATATAAATTTTGATCACTCGAATTACTGAAACAGGTCACATATGGTCACTCTCCAGAAGCCTCTGTCCAACTCCGATCACTCAAATTATTGAAACATGTCACATTTAGTCACTCGAATTACTGAAACGTGTCGATTGGACGAAAATTTAACGGGAGAGTGAAAAATACGAAATGGTTAATTGAACTATCCAAGCCCAACAACTCTCTTATGGTGATCCGACTAATAAAACCAACTGCTGGACCAGCCACAGCCCAGTACCCAGTATACTTCCCTTTAAAAGTATCGGGCCCGTATCATAAACAATGCAGGCCGGGCCCAGTTCTTATGTTTACTTCTGAGTCCGGGTCTTATCGACGCATCTTCCCCTCTCTGTCCTCCGATCATCGTTCCGGCATATCTTTCCCCGGCGTTCTCCAGCGGTCGATAAGCTGCTTTTTTATATCTCTGGTTCCTCTTTACTTCTTCGCCGCAGACCGTGAATCGCTCCTTTCAACAAACGCAAACTTTATCGAAGAACCCAACAAGATCCCGGCTTCGTTTCCGCTACCGCGGCTCTTACATTTCCAGTGGTTAGTTATCTCAATCAGTTAAATCTTCGATTTCCTTGATTTCAATTCTGCACATAGATATAATTATTTTTTTCCGGGGGTGGGTTCTGTTTATCTCAATTTGTTGCATTTCGTTTCACACAGAAAAACTCGAATGCATTTAGGGATATACAGGGTAGTGAACGTAGAAGAGTAAGTGGCAGAAAAGGCCAAGTCTTTCCCATGAACAACTGGAATGAATCTTCTTCCTAGAGTTCTGTCTCGTAAGCTTTGTTCACGCTGCTCGTCCTATTCAACATCTTCTTTCTCATGGATATCTCCCCTGCAAGATGCCGATTCCGTCAAAGACCCCCCACCCAAAACTCATAGCAGTCTACTCGAGAGAAGACGCAGGAGTAGTAGTAAATTCATATCGCATGACTCTGCAGTGACCTTAATCCAAGCCGAGAGAGATCCCCAGCTTGCACTGGAACTATTCAACAGGGTAGGTGAGCAAGATGGGTTCAATCACAATCATGCTACCTATTCCACTATGCTGCACAAGCTCGCCAGGTCCAGGAAGTTCGATGCTGTCGATGCAGTCCTCCATCAGATGACCTACGAGACCTGCGAGTTTCACGAGACCGTGTTCCTCGACCTGATGAGCCATTTCTCCAAGTCCATGATGCACGATCGAGTGGTGGAGATGTTCTACGCGATTCAGAAGATTACTCGTGCTAAGCCCTCGCTCAAAGCTGTGAGCACCTGCCTTAATCTCTTGATCGAATCACAGCAGGTTGGTCTGGCCAGGAGTTTCCTTGTGAATGTCAAGAAGCATCTCGATTTGAGGCCGAATACTTGCATTTTCAACATCTTGGTTAAGCATCACTGCAGGGTTGGTGATCTTGAATCCGCCCGTGAAGTGATGAAGGAGATGAAAAGATCGGAGCTTTCTTATCCCAACTTAGTCACCTACTCCACTCTCATGGATGGCCTTTGTCGGCATGGCAGACTCAAAGAAGCAACTGATATGTTCGAGGAGATGGTGTCGGAGCATCAGATCGTGCCTGATGCTCTAACATACAATGTGTTAATAAACGGGTTTGTTCAATCTGGAAAAGTCGATCGAGCCAGGAAAATAATCGAGTTCATGAAGAGCAATGGATGCACACCAAACCTATTCAACTACTCAACCCTAATGAATGGGTTCTGCAAGGAAGGTAAAGTGACTGAAGCCAAAGACGCTTTTCAGGAAATGAAGACTGTAGGGTTAAGACCCGACACAGTTGGCTATACGACATTGATTAATTGCTTATGCAGAAGCGGAAGACCCGACGAAGCCCTGGTGTTGCTTCAAGAGATGAAGGAAACACAGTGTAGACCCGATGTTGTGACATATAATGTATTACTGAGAGGGTTCTGCGAAGAAGGAAGGTTCGGTGATGCTCTAGGGATGTTGAAGCAGGCAGCCTGTGAAGGAGTTTACTTGAACAAAGGGAGTTACAGGATCGTTTTGAACTGCTTGTTGAAGAGAGGTGAATTGGAGAAAGCTGCTGTGTTGTTGGGTGTGATGCTTGATAAAGGATATTTGCCACATTATGCGACTTCAAACGAGCTGTTGGCGAAACTATGCGAGGAAGACAGGGCGTATGATGCAGAGATGGCATTGTTAAGGTTGGCAGAAGCTGGGTTCAAACCTGGAGCCGAGTCTTGGGGTTGTTTGGTTGAGTTAGTCTGTAGAGAGAGAAAGTTGCTTGCTGCATTTGAGCTGCTTGATTCGCTGGCAGAAGGGTAAGCCCTTATTCTTCATTCTTTATCAGAGATTAAGAAGATGAATTTATTAAGACCTTTTGCAGAGATTAATTAAACTCCTATTGCATTATAGGATTAGTGGTCTCCATCTCTTAAATCATCCTCTTATTATAACATGGCAACCACCACCAATTATTCAATTGGCATGGATTGGCTTAGCTGCATAAGTGTCTGCTCTTCACGTCTCACATGACATGGTTGCTGCCTATAAAAGAGCCTTTCCTGGCGGCTATAATGATCACACCAAATCCTCCAAACTTCCCATTGTAGCGTTCTCTTTCTATCCCTTAAGCTTCTCCTTACTTTCCTAATGGCTGCAACCCATCTCTCGAAACCTTCATTTGTCCTAGCCTTGGCCCTGTTATTGGCAGCCATTGCCTCGGCGGAAAACTACAACCCTACTACTACTAGTTCAGAGGAAGCTGGTGCTGTAGTTAAGCCTAATGACAAACCAGCTTACCACAATGGATATGTTTCCACGCCGGAGTTGGAGAAGCTGAAGTCGAAGATGCACCAGTACGAGAACGGCTGGAAGCACGAAGAAGCTGACAGCCACCAACCCGAATCAGGAAATGGATATGGTTTGAAAGCAGTGAAGCCAAAGGTGAGCTACGAGAAGAGGTCGTCGAACTATGAGGCGAAACCGGAAGATGTGTTCCCCATCGGCATTGAAGGAGTTGTTGCGTGCAAATCAGGATCTGACTACCGTCCCCTTCAAGGTACTTGAACTACAAGTAAACAGTTGACAATCTTCAGACAATGTCGTGTTTTCTTATGTTCTGTTCATCCTGATGTATAACTAAAGATATCGAGATCAATCCTGACTGCGTTTGATTCGCAGGCGCTGTGGTGAGAATAACTTGCTCGGGTGAGGAGGAAGAGCACAAGGTGTCGTGCTCGACCGACGAGAAGGGATATTTCTACAAGACGATGCCGGCCTATGGTGGTAAACCGGAGCTGTGCAAGGCATACCTGGAGAAATCCGGGTCTGAGAAGTGCAGTGAGCCCACAGATGTGAACAAGGGCATCAATGGCGCCGCCCTCTCTTCGTACAAAATTCTCCATGACAAGCGCATCAAGCTCTACCCTGTCGGCCCTTTCTTCTACTCCATGAAGAAGACGACGACTTATGATGCTGATGATCACCCTGCTGCTGTATCTACTGCCAAACCTTACTCCAAATCTCCAGCAGGCTACTGATTGGACCCAGATTTTTCATTTTGCACTTTTACTAATCTACTTAATCTATCTCTTTGGCTTTGTTTTATTGCATTTCATTGGTTCATCATTGATTCAAAGAATCATTCCTTTGTTTGTTACTCCAAAATCCCAAATTTGTATGAGTGCTTCCATACGAGAATATCTTATAAAGTCAGTATGATTGTTGGTGTCTTAAATTTTGTTTACTATGTGACACGAGTATAGATCATCTCGAAGTATTGACAATCCGCCTCGATTCAGTTTTGATTAGTTTTGTTTGTAATCCAATCGAAAATTTATCTTAACAAAATATATAAAAGGGGTTTTAGAAAACAATCTCCCCACGCCGTCCTCTTGAGTTCTACACGTGATTCTCGATATTTATAACAACAAAACACGATAACTGGTTCGTTAATACAATATTGATCCAGTCTTTAATACTAAGATATCTTATAGAAGAGCATAAGTCTCATGAATTTAGTCCACACCAAACACATCGTTGCACACCCCTAGCTCTAATGCAGTCATGGTTCTAATAGTAGAATGTTTTCACACGTGGAAGATAAACATTGGCGGATCAGACACATCCATAATATATAAAATAATGCATTTTAATTAAATTGGTCCTATTTCAATTAATTAATGACGCACTAATGCCGTGAGCTAGCTTAGTTGGACCAATAGCTGATTGTGCTCTAGGGAGTAGTTTACGTTCTTTCAAGATACGATTCTCCATATCAAAGAAAAAGTATCACATGAATCATGATTCCTAATGAGGCACTAGTAATATTGTATATGATCCTGAAATTTTATTGTATATGATCCTGAAATTTTATCAAGGGTCCTCAATTGTAACTAAAATATCTAAGGACTGTCAGACGTGAAATATGTTCAAATTCAAATACTATTGTTTGTGCCAAGAACCTCTACGCCCGCACCCTCACACGCCAACCCTGTAGCACGCCTTACCCTGCACACAAAGGCACCCACCGAGCCCTATTTCGGGCTCGTTAGCACTCCAACGCCCAAGTCAGAGCTTTATTCTAGAGAGAGAAGTGAATAGTAATTTTAGAGAGAAGGTCCAACCTGAGTAAATGAGGTTCACCAACTTCTCTATTTATACTAGGAGCCTCGCCGACCAACATCCTCCTCCGTCAGACCCGCAATTAATGCGTCGTACACTCGCGCTCATGCGCCTCGACCGTCTGACTCCCTGTTCAGAAGATCGAGGCGCATGACGTCATCTGGTCTTGACTCCGTAGACTTCCAGCCGTTGAGAGCCTTTGTCGTATGCGACCCGTGCCAGGCCTCCGGTCCCACCTGCCTAGAGGATCTCCTTGTCTTCTTGGGTCATCCCTCTTCATGCGCTTTGCCCATTGGGCCTGAACCCATCGGGCCATAATTATGCCCCCACACCTGGCTTGCTAGCTTCCCCTTCTTGGGGTATTGGGCCTGGGCCCATCCTGCCCTGCTTATGTCCCCAACAATTGCCCCCAAGTCAGGCGCCTAGGGTACTTTTCTAGGCGCCTGATTGGATACTGTTCCAGGAGTTCTCGATCGAGAGCTTGGACGCGCCACGCCCCTCACATCTTGCCACGCCGAGCGCCTTGCCTCTGGCGTCGCAAACGAGGAGCGTTTAGCAAAAATTCCCATTACTCGATGCTCCTCACTCCTGGTTTTTGTGACTCTCCTCCCTTGCCTCTTCGGTTTCCCTCCATCTTATGACCCTTGGAATTCCTTCACCTTTTGGGACTCTTGGGCTTCCCCCTATCTCCCCCTAGTCCGCTTGGAGTTTTGAATTTCGAATTTCAAAACTCAAAACGGACTAATACCCACACTCACCGTCTTCTCTTTCCTCCCTTTTCTCCCCTATATATTCGTCTTCCCCCCTTTGACTCTCTCCTCCCATTTTCACTTCGCTCTGCCTTCTCTCTTCTTTCTCTCACTAGAGCTCGACCACACTGCCCTCGGTGTTCGTCTGCGTCAAGTTTCGCCTGCAAGCGCCTGCTATGTTTTCGTCTCAGCAGCCCGGTCCTCGCGCTCCGCGCCTTCTGCCAACACCGCCACCCCCTTGAGCGTTGCGCCTCGAAGTAAGATTTCCCTCCTTACCCTGATGTTCGAAAGAAAATTTTCTTTCTGTGTTCTTTGGGCTGATTTGCGATAAGTAGTACGTGTTAGTCTAGGGTTATGCACCTTCGATTATCCCATGCGTCCCCCCTTGAATCGTCCCTTTGTTCATGCGTCCTTTCCTTGTTACCCAACCTTTTCTGCCTGAAACGCCCTTCAATTCCGTCCCCGCCTTCGTTTTCTTTCCTAACCAGTCTTTGCCCCCTGACCCTTCGTCTGACCCAGGCCCTGACGCGTCACAAAATTACGAATTTCGCACGTGGGAGTCGACTTGGGCCTCAGGGCATGCGCCTGAGGATATTGCGAGGCTTCCCCTGGAAGTGGCGGGCCCGAGGCATCCCTCAAAGCTGGTGCGTGTGCGGTTAGAGAAGTTATTGATAGCTGCACAAATGCCCGCGCCTTGGCGGTATGCGCATGCGCCTCCCGAAGCGAGGATAGGCGTCTGCGGCAATGGTGGCTGGACGGGATTGTACCAAGAATTTCTACGATTTGGCATGCGCTTCCCTCTTGACCCCGTGCTCGAGGGCGTACTAGATGTCTGCCAATGCCCCCTTGGGCACCTTTCTCCATCCGTTATCCTCTACACAATCCTCTTCCGCCATAAATGCCAACAGTTGGGCATCACTCCCACCTTCAAGCTTTTCAATCACTTTTTCACCATGTCAAGGAGTTCGAACTGCCTCAGCTTGCACAAGCACAAGAAGCAGGGATACGGCTTCATCAGTGGCTGCCAGAAAATGGGGCGTACGTGGTTTGACTCGTACTTCTTCGTTTATCCGCGCGAGGCGCCTTTCTTCGCGAGCGGGCGCCCGAAGGTAACGGAATGGTCCTTAGGGACCGCGCATTATTTTAATAAGCCCGCGACCCTTAATAAAGCGGAGTTGGCCAGCGCCTTGCGCCTCTCCGAGGAGCCATTTAACTTGGACGATGACGATAGATATGTCAGACTCTTAGGCGATTTCTACCAATATGGTACTAATGTGCATGCGTTTTTATCTACAGATTGTTTATGCGCTTTTATCCATTTTGCTGACAAGTTAGCCTCCCTTTCTTTGCAGGCACTGACTTTACTTCCGTGACGGAGATATCTATCGCCTAAGGGCCCCCCTGCGCCTAACGCCTCAAGGCCCTCGGCGTCAGCGCCCCCGCGACGAACGAATAAAGGCAAAGCGAAAGCAACACCATCTGCTTCTACCTCAGACGCCTCGGGCCATGCGCCCGACGTTCCTTCGCCCCATCATAGTTCGGGCGCAGGCTTGGGGAGCCCCCATTCGGGGCATGAGGATCAGGAGCGCCCACACTCTCCCTCTACTCCGTCTTCCGATACTACCCCAAACACAACACACGAGACGGGTGTAGTGGACACGCCTCCTTCGCCACCATCGGCCTCGACCAGATGAGGCTAGTCTCCCTCCGAGCTTTGTGGCACCGACGGTCGGGGCGCATACCAGCGAGCTTATCCCGCCTTACTTGCAGCCTCCGAAGCGCCCGCTGTCGAAGGTCGCGGTTGGCGTGCCTGTTCTGGCGGCAAAAAAGTGGGCACTTCCATGGCGTGGGCGCGCGCCCAGTACGATGTAATCGAGCATCCTGAAGGCCTGGTGCGACATGACCAACCTCACCGCCCAGGTGCACACACGTCTTGGACCTTATGCCTTTAACCTTTGCTTGAAAATTTCCCAACTCTTTTCTATGCGCCTTTACCATTGCTTTTTTGTTTTGAAAATTTTCCAACTCTTTTCCATGCGCCTTTTACCATTGCTTGCCTGTCGTTGATAATACTGACCAATCTTGTCTTATAAGCGCGTTAGATGATGCTCCTATGCGAGGCCACCACTCGCGAGGTTACGAAGATAGAGCAACAAGGCTCAGAGGCCGCCGTAGCCGCTACGCGCCTCAGGGTGGACTTGGATGCTGCCAACAAACAACGGAAAGATTTGACGTTGGCATGCAATGAAGCCCGTGAGAAGGCCTCTTCTTGGGCCTCGGAGCTCGAGGAGAAGCTGGAGGCGGAGCGCCGAAAGGTGCGCTCGAAGGAAGAACAGAGGTGGCAGGCGAAGGTGACGGCCGGGCAAACCAAGTACGATGAAGAAGCGAAGGCGCTCCGGGAGGAGCAGGGCACCTTGACCATGGAGCGCGACGCTCTGTTGGAAGAGAAGGACGTCTTGCACCAAACTGTCCACGACTTGGAGGAGGCGTACATGAAGCTGAAGAAGTCAAACAAGCACTACCGCCACGACCAGAAGAAATCCCGCTCCAAGGAGGAGGAGCTGAGGGAGGACTTGGCCGATTACAAGAACTCCTCGCTCGGCAGGAACCTGCAAGCGGACACCGTAATCATCCAATAGAAGTTCCTCACTGACCATCCAGATTGGTCATTTGACTCCATCGCACTGTTGGACCACATCATCCGAGTTATGGAGCAGCCAACACCCGCGAGTGATGAGGAGGCGCAAGGCGGAGAGGAAGAGGGGGAGGCTGATGCAAGGCGTAACGAGTGAGGTGGCGCAAGACGGAGAGGAAGAGGAGGAGGCAGAAGTGCAAGGCGCAGCGAGTGAGGAGGCGCAAGACAACCAGGGCGCAGGTGATGAAGATGTCCCCAGCGACGGAGAGGCAGGAAATGAAGTAGGCGCGGGTGGTGGGGGCGCCAGTGAGGAGGAGGAGGAGGAGGAAGAGAAGGTCGATGTCGAGGGTTGAAGTTTTCTTACGCTTTGAATTCTATGCTTTAATTCCGAACTTTCATTGTTGTAACTTTGACGCAGGACCTCATTTTATGTTATTTTGTGCCTTGAACTTTTCTCATCTTATTTCTCTGCTACTTGGGTGCAAAATGTTCGGGCGCTCTACACTACTGGGCACAAAGTGAATAGGGCGCTTTATTGAACATATCGTAAAGGGCGCAGAAAGACTAGGGCGCAATTCTGCTTAGGGCGCAGCGTGATTAGGGCGCTTTCGACCACTTAAACAATTTTCGTATAGCACAGGGGAGGGCGCGAAAGGTAAGGCGCTTTTAACTCGATCACTTAAGCTGAACTTGGATATCTCATGAACTGTTCACATGGGCGCTAATGGACGAGTGCTTTACAAGTACTATTGAAAAAATGACAAGACGCAAACTGAAGTAGGGCGCTTTACAGACAAAATGCTAAGGCGCTCGGGGTTACGCGCTTGCAGTAGTAGTAATCTCCCCCCTCCATCTTTACATTCAACACTCTCACTCCTAGTGTTACTCCGAAACGTCTTCCCTTTCCTGTCCCTGGTATGCCTTGAGATTCTGAGCATTCCTGGTTCGTTTGATGCCTTTTCCTCCCATGCGCTCCAGCTTAATCGTGGTTGGCCCCATAACTTCCCGGACACGATACCGTCCTTTCCACTTCGGCGCCAACTTCCCCTCACATGCTTTCGGACGAAAGTCACGTCTTAGCACCAAGCTTCCTAGGCGTATCTGGTGAGGGCGCATCTTACGATTGTAGTACTTGGCCACCTGTTGCTTCATGGCTTCGAGGCGTACAGATGCAATGTCTCTGCGCCCCTCTAGCATGTCAAGGTCGTGTACGCGTTCCTCCCCATTGGTCTGTTCCTCGTAGCCCGCCATCCTGTATGTGGGAAAACGCACTTCCACCGGTATGACTGCCTCACTGCCATAGGTCAGAGCAAATGGCGTTTCCCCCATCGCAGCTTTGTACGTTGTTCTGTGCGCCCACAACACGCCCGGGAGCTCCTCCACCCACCTTACTTTTGCCCCCAGCAGCCTCATGTGCAGACCGTGCAGTATGCTCTTGTTGGCCACCTCTGCCTGACCGTTGGCCTGGGGGTAGGCTACGGAGAAGAAGCGCAACACGACGCCGCTTTCATCGCAGTACTCAACGAATTGGCGGCAGTCGAACTGCTTGCCATGGTCGGCTATGATTGACTCTGGCAACCCGAACCGGGTGAAGATGTTCTTGGTCGTGAACTTTCTAACCTGAGCCTGAGTGATGGACGCTAGGGGCTCTGCCTCGATCCATTTGGAGAAGTAGTCTACCGCCACAATCAAATATTTCATTTGCCCAGGCGCCTTGGGGAAAGGCCCCAGCAAATCCATCCCCCACTGCGAGAAAGGCCATGCGCCCACATTCCCCTGCATAGGCGCCTGAGGGACGTGGGTGTCGGGAGCGTGGATCTGACACTGGTGGCAGCTGTCAACATGTCTCTCCGCATCCCTTCTGATGGTGGGCTAGTAATACCCCTGCCGGATCAATACCTTCTCAAGGCTTCTCGCCCCCGAGTGCATTCCGCATGCGCCTTGGTGCACTTCTACTATCGCTATTTCCCCTTCCGCCTCCATTAGGCATCTTAGGTAGGCCCCAACATGCGACCTCTTGTACATTTTGCCATCGAGAATTGTGCATCGAGCGGCCTTGCGCCTCACCTGTCACCCTTGCCTGGCGTCCTCCGGGACTACCCCATGGAGCAGGTACGCCCTGATCGGGGCCATCCATCCTTGTTCTTCCACGCCTTCTTCCTCAATTGCCCCTATCATTGTTTCTTCGCATGGGTGCTCCTTTGAGACAATCACATGTCTTTCACTTTCGAAGTCAGTGGCGGTAGCCAACTTGGAGAGCGCATCGACGTGAGCATTTTCTTCCCTCGGGACATGTAAAAACTCCACCTGCTCAAACCAAGTGCGCATGGCTTCGATCTTCTTAGGGTAAGCGCTCAGCGCCTCCTCCTTTACCTCAAACACACCATTGAGTTGGTTCACCCCAGGGCTGAGTCGGAGCGCACCTGTATTCTTCGCGCCCCCAGTTCGCAGGTCGTATTCACTCCCGCTATCACGGCCTCATATTCCGCCGCATTGTTTGTTTTTAACGCCGAAAAGCGGAGTGCTAGTTCGTGCGTCGCACCCTGGGGAGTGATGACCACCACTCCTGCCCCTGCTCCTGCTCGGCTAGCCGCACCATCCACATAGACTTGCCAGCTTTCGTCCATCCCTTCTCCTTCCCTTACTACTCCTTCCGCTGCGAAATTGGCCAGCACCTGCGCCTTGATCGTCGGGCGGGGTGCGTACTTAATGTCGTATTCGCTCAGCTGCACGGCCCATTTTACCATACTCCCCGCCACATCCATGGATCCCAACGTGCTTCTCAATAGCAAGTTAGTGAGCACCACCACCGTGTGCGCCTGAAAATATGGACGTAATTTTTCTGCCGTGGCGACAACATCAAGGGCCGCCTTTTCGATGGCCGCATAACGCATCTCGGGGCCTGTCATTACCTTACAATATACTGGACGTTCTTCCTTATCCGCGCCTGCTTTTGAAATAAGTACCGCACTGACTGCCGTGTGAGAAACCGCAATGTAGAGGTACAGCGTCTCGCCCTTCCGTGGGGCGGTCATGACAGTAGGCGCTACCAACAGGCTTTTCAGTTGCTCGAACGCTTTATCGCACTCCTCCAACGAATATGCACTTCGAACAATATCTTCTATAAGTCCAATTCGTTTGGCCTAGAGGTGGCAATTCTCAATCCAATCCATTAAAAATATCCACCTAATACAATCCATTTGATCTAAATCCAATTGGATTGGTGAATTCATGGATCAATCCATGGATCCAAATGGTAAATTATAGTTTGGTGCCTATATTTTTTATGTTTCACATTTTTGGTACATAAGATTTAATTTTTTATACGAAAAATATCATTGGAAAATTACGTATTTGGTACCTAAAATTTTCATTGACATTTTAGTACATAAACTTTTCACATTTTACATATTGGTCCAAGGTTGAGGATGTCATTTGGATTCATGGATGATCCACCAATCCATTTGATCCAATCCATGAATCCATCAATCCATTGAATCCATGGATCCAATCCATTTGCCACCTCTAGTTTGGCCATAACTGGTCGTAATTTACAGGAGGCTCATCAAAACTTGGAGCCGAAGGGGCAATGAAGAATTTGGGGTATGCATAAGAAAGGAGTTGCATCATAGATTCCAGATAACTGATTATCAGCCTATCTTTGATCTTTTATTCATCTTTCCACCATACTTCTCGCCCAATTGATCAGCATTCACAGCACAGCCTCATCGACAAGCTTTCATTTGAGGGCAAAATGAGAAGCAAATTGCAAGAGAATTTTGTTGAACTCAGCGGATACCATCCAAATGCCTGATGTGAAAGTTCAGTCTTGGAAATGGCAGATAAATAATTGACAGAGTACAGATATTATTTGTCCGGTGCAAAAACAAATGCATTGACTCCAAAATACAACAATGCTTAATTACAAGAAAGGAATAAAGAAGAACAAAACTAGTACGCTTCAGATGGAAGTTCAAGATGGTTGAAAACAAGCGATGCAACTGTTGCCAAGAAATATATAGAATAAGCTTGTACGCCACTCACAAAATGGCTCTGCAGATTTTGATAGTAATCATTAATTTGTCGGATATTCATGGAAATGTTGCGATAAGGCTCGTTGGTATGCATCAAAATACGTGTCATAGACGAGAGAACGCTTGGTAGCTAGCCGAGAAAGCATCTCTGAAATAGGTTACAAGTCAGTCTCGCAATGCAATTTGACCACATCCTGCTGCAGTGACAAAATCCATCGATATATAGTGAGACCACTTTTATATTAGTTCAAAGAATGCGTTCATTAATGTAGTTAAGGAGAAGGTACCTTGGGGACTGAATGGCCGGGGGTATTCCTTCTTCTTCCTCTTCCTCTTCCTCTTCCTCTTCTTCTTCTACACTCAAGTAGTTACTGTCCTCTTGAACTCTGGTTTTATTGATTTTAATATTCCCAATGTGAGCAACTTTGGGCCAGTCCTCAGCCATTTTACTCTTCAATCTGGCTGATAGAAAACGACAGTCTCGTACCTCCAGATTACTTAGCGCTGTGAGCTTGGGTAGCCACTCTGGCAAGCACTCGAGACCGCCACACCCGAATATCGACAGCCACCGCAACTTAGAAGAATGCTGAAGCCACTCTGGTAGACACTTCATCCCTGGGAGTTCCACCATAGCAAAGCGATTGAGGTTTGGAAAGGCAGAGAACTGGAGGGAAGTGAGATGTTGCTGTTGACAAGTAGCCGGCGGAGACAGATTCGTTAGGTTCGGACAATCCTCTATCCTCAAAGCTTCAAGGGATGCAAGCTTTGGCAGTAAACCTTGCGGCAAACTTCCAAGGCCCCTTATCCCTGCGATTTTCAGATTCTTGAACCGCGAAGAGGAGCTGGGTGGTGGAAGCGACGCAACAAACTCGTCCAACAGTTTGCAGTCAACATTATCTAGCAGAACCGTTTCAATATCCACAGAAAAATCAGGAACCCATACCAGTTTCGGGCATTTACGAAGTATTAGATGGAAAAGATTGGAGAACTGCGGCATTTCCATCTCTGTAGTTGATCTCCAGCTTACCAGGTTGGGGCAGCTGACAAACCGGAGAGACTTCAAGCGGGGAAGAAACTGCTCACCGTCACTCTCTATGTACTTCAACCGGCCTAAAAACTCCAGTCTCAATTCTTCAAGAGACACCAGCGGACCTGGCAACGACAGGCATTGCAGTTCCCCGCAACGAAATAGATGGACAGAGACCAGATTCCGTAGAGAATTAGAGAACCAGCTAGGTAGACTGCTCCCGCCGTAACCATCCAACGTTAGTCGCTTCAAATTCCTGTGCGGCTCCAATGCTTCCAGTACCCTCACATCCCCACCAGCAACGCCCCACTCCAATTCCAAAGCTTGAAGATGTTGCTTCCTAAACAAACTTGCCACCTTCGCTTCGGCCTCGTCTTTCACCAATTCCAGATGTTCGATCCTCAATTTCCAGCTTAGATTGTCGAGATGCTCCAACTCGCTAATTCTAGCAGCGACTGCTCCATGTGAACAGTGTGATGCAGCCGACACTAAGAATATGGACAGCTCTCTCAGGCGAGTGAGCCGCCCGATCCCAAGCGGCAAGTGTTCCAAACTCCCACAGTCGACGAGGCTAAGAAACTCGAGATTAGTCAATTTCACAATATCTCGTGGCAATTGCTTGAGATACGGACAATAGTCTAGTATGAGCACTTGTAGATTTACTAGTACCTTAATCTCACCAGGGAGCACCTCCATAGAATTACCAGATAGATCTAGGAACCTGAGATGTGTCAATTTATGAATGGAGCGGGACACACTCTTCAATACAGGATTGTCGAGAATTAAAACTCTTAGACTAGTATTGTTAGAGAAGATCATCCCACAGTCTCTTTTGCCCTCCAAATAAAAAGAATCCACATTTGTACAAATAAGGGTTCGCAGTTTTGTTGCTTTAGCCAACGCATTTGTAGCTTTATATTCCTCAAAATCTAAATATATGTGTCGAATCCTATCAAAGTTGACACTGCCTTCCATTGAATTTGAGGCTTCTATACCCACCATCTCCTCCCCTGCAACTTCTAGGGCGAGATCATGCATCAAATCATGCATCTTACACGCTGTTACACTCCCAAATTCATCAATTTCCGGCTCTTGAAAAAAAAACCTAGATAGCAAACGGTTGAAACATTGAACTCCAACATCAAATGAAGCAGATGACGATGTACTAGTATTGATAAACCCTTGCCCCATCCAAAGTTGCACCAACATTTTCACATCAATCTCACAATCTTTCGGAAACAAGCTGCAATAAACAAAACACGGTCTCAGTTCAGAAGGTAGGTTGTCATAACTCAATCTAAGAGTAGCTGAAATCCTTTTTGCGTCATCACCCCCATCTAACAGTGCTTGCCTATCTCTTACAGCCTCCCATTCAACTGTGTTGCTCTTGGACACTAGGGAACCCGCAATCACCCTTATGGCCAAAGGAACTCCCACGCACCTTCTCATGATCTCTTTCCCTATGCTTACAGATCTTTCACCACCTTTTACTTCACCTGAAAATGCTATTTGTTCAAACAAAGACCATGATTCTTGCTCAGATAAACCTATTAGGTTGTGTAGTTTAATCCCCTTTGTTGCCATGTAATTCGCGACATCTCCAAGTCGAGTAGTTACCATAATTTTGCTACCAACTTCCCCAACACTCCACAAAAAACTCATCAAGCTATCCCAATTGCCCTTATAATCGCCATGATCCCAAACATCATCCAACACTAACAAGAACCTCTGACCATCCATTTCCTTCTTAAGTTTGCTCTTCATGATATCCAAGTCAAGATCTTCTGCTTTATGTTTGGTTATAGACTCCAACATCTTCTTGACCAACAATGTTTGATCGAAATTATCCGAAACACATATCCAAATTTTCAATGAAAAACAAGTAGTCGCATTCTCATCGTTGTAGATACTTTGGGTCAAAGCAGTTTTGCCGAGACCCCCAATTCCAAGAATAGGAATAACCTCTATTTTCTGCTCATCGTTGGTCGATGATAGCATACCAGCTATTTTCTTTCTATCTTCCTCTCTCCCGACAAACACAATAGGAGCGAAAGAATCGGTCTGCCTCTCCCGCTTGATCACATTCACAGCAGCAGCAGCCGGCTCCGGGAGGTGCGCATGAAGTTTAAACCTCTTTCGATTCTCATCAATCTCATCTAGCTTGGTCCTAATGGCCTTCAACCGATGAGCCATCGTAAGACCAGTAACCAATTGGTTGGAACGCGTAAAGAAGAGGCATACCTCGTCCAGACAGCGACTCCCATGATCCCTTTGCTGCTTCAACAGAGCCTCCGTGGAGAAATCATCCAGCAGGTCATCAGCATCATAAAGGACCCGCTTCAGCTCGTCGAGCCAGCGCCGAACCTGATGGTTCAGACCCGATTGTTCCTCCGCATCCAGCAACACCGCTCGAATGGATGAAACCGTACTCTCCAGTTTCTCAACCTCACTCTCGATGCTCCAGAGGAGACCTGCTTGCTCAGCAGCTAGAGGACCCAATTTCTTGAGGATTGACTCAGCAAGAATGAATACCATGTTTGGAAGAGTGGGGAAAAGGGGCGTCCCTCCAAAGGCAAAGGAATGAAGGAAGAGGATGCAAGAGAATGGGATCAGATGGTTTTCAGATCCAAAACCCAAGTCTTTGTACATACACGGGATCCGATCGCAGCACTAACGTCAAGCCATTCTGACACAACAACTAATTCTCAATATAGATTCAACTATTTCTTTTTGTACATGCACATGATACACACCTTAGCTGTCCCACTCGCTGTTTTCCTAACTTACAATGACCAGCTCTTCTACCAATACAAATCCCACTCGCTTTGCATAGAATCGTGGCTTGCATGTTCTCACACATACAATATTAATTTGTTTTTTAATAATTAGTGATAAATTCAATGTTAAAATTAAAATAAATTTTTTTATATATTATAGCATGTGAATAATTCTATCAACATTAACCAACTAACTATTCAACCATCAACCACTATTTGTTTTTTTGGTTGAAAGACGGATGTCAAGCATCCTAATTCGTAGAAACAAAACGATCATGGGTGATGCCCATAACATCGTAGGAGAGCCACGAACACAGTTTCGGGTTGCTTACATCGATAGGATCTGTGCCAAAAGGAAAATCATGCCCTATACAAGCAAGATAGTCAGCAGCAAAATTACTCTCCCTATACACATGAGAAACTTTAACTTCCCATTCTCTATCAATTAACTCTCTAATATGGTTGGCGAGGAGGCTGTGTCTGTGATCATCTTCTCCAGAGTTGATGATGCTGATGGCTGTCATGGAATCAAGGTTTAGATGAAACTTTTTTTTTGAATCTCATTGACCAAGCCAAATTCAACCCTTCAGCTGCACCCTTGAGCTCAGCGTTAGTAATCGAACAGGCACCAAGGTTACAAACAAAGGCACCTTTACAATGTCCAAGATGATCACGCAAGAGGCCACCAGCAGCAGCTTTGCTTGTGGGAGAGATGAGTGATCCATCCGTCTGAATTTGGATCCAGCCTTCTTCCAGTGGACGCCACGAGATCTGCTTGTTTTCTCTATGCCTCAAAGTGCTGGCCGAGATGGACTATTCATTAACCATAGCTTGCTCATAAATCTTAAGCCATGAACGAATCCGCCGGATGATGCCGGCTTCAGAGCAAGCTCGACCCTCCATTGCCTCTTCGTTTCTGTGTTTCCACAAATGCCAACAGATAATGCCAAATTCAAAGCCTTTCTCCTCATTAGCGGCGGATCTAGGGGGTGGTCACCCCGGACAACGGACCAGCCCTTCTCTGGATCCGGAGCTAGTATAGTCCTCATGAGTTTATCGATTTTAGCTATTCGGACCAGTGTTATTTTATAATAAAATTGTGTGCAAATAGAAAATGGGTCAGATGAACATATTCAAATCACAATTCTAAATTTAGCCTGGAAATTTTAGCTACAATGATTCTCGTCTAAAGAAAAACAAATAATGAAACCTAAAATTCTGAAAGTCTAAAACGTAAAAGACTAATATAAATATGAGGCTTGTTCCCTTGAAAAATTACTCAAGTAGCTAGTGGAAATAGGGATTGACACACAATACAAATTGATTAGTCGATTTATTTGTCTAGTGTTGACATTGCCCGTTTCAACAACTACTATGGAGAGAACCTTTTTCAACAATAATCCAGGTGAAAATTTATTTGCTTGATAAAATGAGCGATGAATTTTTCGCCGATTGGTTAACTATTTCATCTGAATGAGAGTATGCTATTGGTATGGATGTAGACTCCATTATTGATGAATTCACTACATTAAAATTTAAAAGATGGACGTGTACAATTGATATTGTAAAAAAAAAAACTTTGATTTTTATACAATATCTAATTTTCTAATGAAATGCGGCCTAGTGCTCTATCGTGTCCTGTATTCGCCGCTGCTCCTCATCTCTCAGATTCTCTCGAACCCAAGTCTGGAAATCCAAATTTTATCTTTGACCATTGTTCATCTTGAAGTGGTTCCAGACACCCCTGATTTTGTTTTGTTGCAGTGTCTGAGTATGTGCTCTGGTGTTTCATCGATCCCTCTCTGCAGTGAGGACAGCAACTGTTATTACTTATTAGTGAGCTTCCGTTTTTCTCGTTCTTTGTTTTTCCGCTTCACCCATATTAAACTCAAATCACACACTCCAATGAATTTAGAGAAATTTTACAGTGCTATATAGTATTGGTACTATAGGTTTTTGTCTTTATGGCACAACTTAAAATTGTACATTTACGTTATGGTACAACTTCAGATTGTACCTATACTTTTTGTAAAAATTCTTTTATGGTACAAATTGAACTTGTACCTTTACGTGATGGTACAACTTCAAGTTGTGAAGTTGTACCATAACATAATGATACAAATTATTTTATGGTACAACCTAAACTTATACATTTAATGTTATGGTACAACTTTGAGTTGTACATTAAAGCACCAATGCTATATAGTATAGTAGAAGTGCTCATGAATTTAACGTGTACATAAGGTTGGAGGAGTATCGAATGTTTGTATTGGGCCCAACAACTGTGCGCTCTGACTAATAAAACCAATTGCTGGACCTGACTCCGCTCAGAGCCCAATATACTTCACTTACCAGTATTGGGCCCGTACCATAACAACGCAGGCCCGGCCCAGTTCTTGTGTTTACTCACCCCCGGGCCCGGCTGCCTACTACTCCTTCGTCCTCCGATCCTCCTTCCGGCGTATCTTCCCCTGGCGTTCTCAAGCGGCCGTCGGCCGATAAGCTGCTTTTGATCTCTGGTTCCTCTTTACTTCTTCGCCGCCGACCGTGAAATGCTTCTATCAACAACACAAACTTTGTCGAAAGACCCAACAAGATCCCAGCTTCGCTTCCACTACCGCGACTCTTTACATTTCCTGTGGTGGGTTGTTATCTCAATTCTCAATCAGTTAGTCTTCAATTTCCTTGATTATTATTCTGATCATCTGATCAACATAGCATTTTTGGCTTCCGCGGTGGGTTATGTTTATCTCAATTTGTTGCATTTCTTTTCACACAGAAAAACTCGAATGCATTTAGGGATATACAGGGTAGTGAACGTAGAAGAGTAAGTGGCAGAAAAGGGCCAAGTCTTTCCCATGAACAACTGGAATGAATCTTATTCCTAGAGTGCTGTCTCGTAAGCTTTGTTCACGCTGCTCGTCCTATTCAACATCTTCTTTCTCATGGATATCTCCCCTGCAAGATGTCGATTCCGTCAAAGACCCCCCACCCAAAACTCATAGCAGTCTACTCGAGAGAAGACGCAGGAGTAGTAGTAAATTCATATCTCATGACTCGGCAGTGACCTTAATCCAAGCCGAGAGAGATCCCCAGCTTGCACTGGAACTATTCAACAGGGTAGGTGATCAAGATGGGTTCAATCACAATCATGCTACCCATTCGACTATACTGCACAAGCTCGCCCAGTCCAGGAAGTTCGATGCTGTCCATGCAGTCCTCCATCAGATGACCTACGAGACCTGCGAGTTTCACGAGAACGTGTTCCTCGACCTGATGAACCATTTCTCCAAGTCCATGATGCACGATCGAGTGGTGGAGATGTTCTACGCGATTCAGAAGATTACTCGTGTTAAGCCCTCGCTCAAAGCTGTGACCACCTGCCTTAATCTCTTGATTGAATCACAGCAGGTTGGTCTGGCCAGGAGTTTCCTTGTGAATGTCAAGAAGCATCTCGATTTGAGGCCGAATACTTGCATTTTCAACATCTTGGTTAAGCATCACTGCAAGGTTGGTGATCTTGAATCCGCCCAAGAAGTGATGAAGGAGATGAAAAGATCGAAGCTTTCTTATCCCAACTTAGTCACCTACTCCACTCTCATGGATGGCCTCTGTCGGCATGGCAGACTCAAAGACGCAACTGATCTGTTTGAGGAGATGGTTTCGGAGCATCAGATCGTACCCGATGCTCTAACATACAACGTGTTAATTAACGGATTTGTTCAATCTGGAAGAGTCGATCGAGCCAGAAAAATAATCGAGTTCATGAAGAGCAATGGATGCACTCCAAACCTATTCAACTACTCTACCCTAATGAATGGGTTCTGCAAGGAAGGTAAAGTGACTGAAGCCAAAGAGGCTTTTCAGGAAATGAAGACTGTAGGGCTAAGACCCGACACAGTTGGCTATACGACATTGATTAATTGCTTATGCAGAAGCCGAAGATCCGATGAAGCCCTGGTGTTGCTTCAAGAGATGAAGGAAACACAGTGTAGACCCGATGTCGTGACATATAATGTATTACTGAGAGGGTTATGCGAAGAAGGAAGGTTCGGTGATGCTCTAGGGATGTTGAAGCAGACAGCCTGTGAAGGAGTTTACTTGAACAAAGGGAGTTACAGGATCGTTTTGAACTGCTTGTTGAAGAGAGGTGAATTGGAGAAAGCTGCTGTGTTCTTGGGTGTGATGCTTGATAAAAGATATTTGCCACATTATGCGACTTCAAACGAGCTGTTGGCGAAACTATGCGAGGAAGACAGGGCGTATGATGCAGAGATGGCATTGTTCAGGTTGGCAGAAGCTGGGTTCAAACCTGGAGCCGAGTCTTGGGGTTGTTTGGTTGAGTTAGTCTGTAGAGAGAGAAAGTTGCTTGCTGCATTTGAGCTGCTTGATTCGCTGGCAGAAGGGTAAGCCCTCATTCTTCATTCTTTATCAGAGATTAAGAAGATTAATTTATTAAGACCTTTTGCAGAGATTAATTAAACTCCTATTGCATTATAGGATTAGTGGTCTCCATCTCTTAAATCATCCTCTTATTATAACATGGCAACCACCACCAATTATTCAATTGGCATGGATTGGCTTAGCTGCATAAGTGTCTGCTCTTCACGTCTCACATGACATGGTTGCTGCCTATAAAAGAGCCTTTCCTGGCGGCTATAATGATCACACCAAATCCTTCAAAATTCCCATTGTATATTTCTCTTTCTATCCCTTGTGCTTCTCCTTACTTTCCTAATGGCTGCAACCCATCTCTCGAAATGTTCATTTGTCTTAGCCTTGGCCCTGTTCTTGGCAGCCATTGCCTCGGCGGAATACTACAACCCCACTGCTACTAATTCAGAGGAAGCTGGTGCTGTAGTTAAGCCTCAAGACAAACCAGATTACCACAATGGATATGTTTCCACGCCGGCGATGGAGAAGCTGAAGTCGAGGATGCACCAGTACGAGCATGGCTGGAAGCAAGAGGATGCTGACAGCCACCGACCCGAATCAGGAAATGGGTATGGTTCGAAATCAGAGAAGCCATTGGTGCCGGAAGCAGTGAAGCCAAAGGTTAGCTCCGAGAAGAGGTCGTCGAACTATGGGGCAAAACCGGAAGATTGGTTCCCGATCGGCATTGAAGGAGTTGTTGCGTGCAAATCAGGATCTGACTACCGTCCCCTTCAAGGTACTTGAACTACAAGTAACCAGTTAACAATCCGCAGACAATGTGGTGCTTTCTTTAGTTCTGTTCATCCTAATATCATTACTGCGTTTGATTCGCAGGCGCTGTGGTGAGAATAACTTGCTCGGGCGAGGAGGAAGAGCACAAGGTGTCGTGCTCGACCGACGAGAAGGGATATTTCTACAAGACGATGCCGGCTTATGGTGGCAAACCAGAGCTGTGCAAGGCATTCCTGGAGAAATCGGGGTCTGAGAAGTGCAGTGAGCCTACAGATGTGAACAAGGGCATCAATGGCGCCGCCCTCTCTTCGTACAAAATTCTCCATGACAAGCGCATCAAGCTCTACCCTGTCGGCCCTTTCTTCTACTCCATGAAGACGACGACGGCGGCAACGACTCATGATGCTTATGATCACCCTGCTACTGCTATATCTACTGCCAAACCTTACACCAAATCTCCTGCAGGCTACTGATTGTACACCAGATTTTTCATTTTGCCATTTTTTACTAATCTACTTATCTATCTCTTTGGCTTTTTGTTATTGCATTTCATTAGTTCATCATTGATTCAAAGAATCATTCCTTTGTTTGTTACTCCAAAATCCCAAATTTGTATGACTGCTTCCCTACGAGAATATCTTATAAAATCAGTATGATTGTTGTTGTATTAAATTTTGTTTACTATGTGACACGAGTATAGATCATATCGAGGTATTGACAATCCACCTTGATTCATTTTTTATTTGTTTTGTTTGTTTTGTTTTCTAAAGAACCATTGGAATCGAATCGAAAATTTATCTTAAAACGATATATTAAAGGGGTTTTAGAAAACGATTTCCCCACGTCATTTTTTTTATAGTTTCACACGTAATTCTCGACATTTATAATAGCAAACCATGATAACTGGTCCGTTAATACAATATTAGTCCAGTCTTTAATATTAAGATATCTTATATTATTGGAGAGCATAAATCATTAAGTCTCATGAGTTTAGTCCACACCAAATCACATCGTTGCACACCCCTAGCTCTAATGCAGCCAGGGTTCTAATAATAGAATGTTTTCACACGTGGAAGATAAACATTGGTGGATCAGACACATCCATAATATATAAAATAATGCATTTTATTTAAATTGGTCCTATTTCAATTAATTAATGACGCACTAATGCCGTGAGCTAGCTTAGTTGGACCAATAGTTGATTGTGCTCTAGGGAGTAGTTTACATTCTTTCAAGATACGATTCTCCATATCAAAGAAAAAAGTATCACATGAATCATGATTCCTAATGAGGCATTAGTAATATTGTATATGTATTTGCGGATCCTGAAATTTTATTAAGGGTCCTCAATTGTAACTAAAATATCTAAGGATTGTCAAACGTGAAATATGCTCGAATTCAAATACTACTATCACGGAAAATAAAAGTTTACGTAAGTTTTTTTTTTTTTTACAAAATTTTGATTTCAGGGTTTTGTCAATTGACAATTCAGTTTTGCACTCGAATCCACCCCTGTGCATCCTTGAACAACTCAAGTTATTGCGATAATTTTTTTCTCGATATAATATGGTATCAATCTTTGACCTATTAGAGATCTCGTATATAATTTGATTTGAACATTAAGATACGATGGGTGAATCACATTACACATACACAAACTATCAATTGTTTTCTTCTTCTTGGCAACTCAAGTTATTTGAAAGTAATTAATTTGAAAATATTAGATTAATTAATCAAAGTATTAAACCACGAGTTTCCACATATTAGACCTTCTTTTAGAGAGATTAAGTCGGGTCCCTAAAGCAATTGATTTCAGGGACTAAAAAGGATAATTAGTCTTTCCATCACCGGACAGCGTAACAACTAACAAGTAACAAGTCACCCCATTCCCACGTGAACCATGCTCAGGTACTATTTCCCAATCTAGTCCCTAAATTTGAAGGGTTTTTCCCAACAAAGCCCATTTTGCCAATCATTTAGGACATTGAAAAATTCTCTAATGAAAAATATGGACTTCTTTCGTTCTCCTTGGTGCCACCTGTCACGATTGTTTCTCTGCGGATCGGGAAATGGGAGGATTCGACAAAGCTAAAAAACGAAACGCAAGAACGCACACGACACACGATTTGGGTGGTTCACTATAATACAATATGTGTTAGCTAGTCCACAGGCAGGAGAGAGCCATTTTTATTATACTTCGAGAGAGACCGTGACATCCAGTCGTAGCACCAGATAGTCCAATTCAAGTCACATCAAGACCATCGATTATGGAAAAAAAAAATTAAACCCAGAACCTCACCCTGCAATTCAAACATAGGAATGACAATGAGGCAGGTCCGGGACGGGTATCTCGATACCCATACCCACCCCGTGGCAGGTCAGGTAATTTATCACGGGTCACGGGTCGGGCCAGGTCGACCCAATGGGTATGTAATCTATATGGAAAACATTAGAAATATTCATTATTTTCATTATAAGACCAAGAAACAAATCATAATATGATAAGATGTAGCTAAGTTATTTGAGAAATTGAGGTTTCCACTAATTCGCAACTTTATAATAGCTAAAATATGTGTAATAAAAGGAAAAGTCTAAGTAATTTGACTAAGATTACATGTAATATAGACAAGAACGGATCGAGATTTGGGCGGGTAGGGGCAGGGCAGGTCGATGAGAATACCAATGCTCGCCACGTCCCGCCCCAAAACATGTTAAACAGGTCGAGTAAATCGAGTCAGGTAGAAATTATATCATCCCTATTCAAACATGACCATCATGAATGTAACAAATGAAGAGGGAGAAGTGAGGATGGTAGCGATTGTGAGGAAAGACGACGATGACAGTACGAGGAGAGACGTGAATCACCGACAAAGAAAGCAACTTTAGTGAAAAAAGACCAGGAGTGTTGGAAGGAGAGAGGGAGACGCACGAAATGATGGCGATACGTAGATGCTGGTCATGATCAAATCTCTTGAGTAGTAGGTATGATCTACAAGAAGATAGATCTCGAAGACGAACCTTACAGTTATGGTTATAGGGCCTATCACAAGAATATTTTTTTAATTGGGACGATAACTCTGAAAAGACAGATTCCCTATCTTTTCTTTCATCTCTGGCGAAATACGACCGGGAGGACTAATTCAAATCTTTCGGGTAAAATAAGAACAGCGTGTGAACTTTAGCTAAATATATAAAGATAGATCCACCCGCGTTTTGAGCAAAGAACACCTCAATGTAGGGCTTGATCTACTGGTATTTCCATTAGTATTGAATACGAAAATCTCACACATTCAAATCTGTCTAGTAGAAAACAAACTTATATCACTCTATAAGAAAAAAAAAATTGAGGTACTATATCCTAACTTATAGAGGAATGTAGGTATATAAATGGAGGTATCTAATTAGTAATTTAATAATTAAACGAGATTAGACTATATATGATATTATATCTTCTATCCCCGTTCTAAAATGCAAACACTTCTATATCCTCTTCAAGCCACAAAAACGGGAATGGCGGTTTCCGATATGCTGATGATCAACTTGATAACTGTTTACGTAATGGTAATTATATTAACCGTCGGCATCAGTTCATCATCCTCCGACACCACTCCGACGCCGGCGGCAGCTGCCGGCCGGTGCTTCACCTCCATTTTCAGCTTCGGCGACTCCATCACCGACACCGGGAACCACTGCCACATTCTGTCCAAGGCCGGGAGGTCGGCCAACAACTGCCTTCTTCCCTACGGCGAGACCTTTTTCCACCGCCCCACCGGCCGGAGCTCCGACGGCCGTCTCATCATTGATTTTATCCAGTGGCGGATCCAGGGCTGGGCCAACCCAGGCCCCGGCCCAGCCCTCCTCCGGTTCCAAAGTTAGTTTAGTGCTTATAAAATTTTTCGATTTAGCTATTTGGTCCAGTGCTATTTAAAATTCTGTCTACTTTTGTTTGATAATAGGATTTTGTGTAACTAGGAAAATGGTTCGGATGAACATATCCAAGCCATTACTCTAAATTTATACTAAATTTTCTATAGCCCCAATGATTTTATTTGAAAAATGACATGAAAACCTAAAAGTGTAAAGTTTCATTAAAATAAAATAAAAAACTCTAAAGTAAAGCACACCCTTCCTTGCCAAATTCAAAAAATTTCCCAATCCTCCAAAACAAAACAAGAAACGAGGAGACGAGCAGACCCAAAATGAATTTCTCTGTCAGCCCGTCGAGCTGGTTTTCTTTCCATTCTTTTGATTAAGAAAATATTTACAAACTTGCTGAGTCGCCATTTAGATTGCCTCAATTGAGTGGGGCACTAGATTCTAACCGTTCTTTCTGGTGTTTTGATGAAGAAAATATTACAAACTTGCTCAAGAGTTTAGCCTCGAGACTTAGAAGGCTATGAGATGCATTCTTTGGAGAATGCACTACTCATATGAGGAAGATGAAGTTTCTTCTCTTGCAAAATTATTAGAGAAGCTGGAGGAAATAGGGATGGACACATAATACAAATTGATTTGTCGGTTGATTTGTCTAGTGTTGACCTAGCCGTTTCAACAACTACCATGAAGAGAATATTTTCAGCAATGGAACATGAACATTGATTTGTGCAACAAAATGAGCGATGAAATTCTCGTTGATTACTTAGCTATTTTCTTTGAAAAAGAGTATATTATCAGTATGACAGTATGGATGGAGATTATATTATTGATGAATTTGCTAAATTAAAATACCTTCTTGTACAATTGACGTTGTAATGAAAACTATATTATTATATATTTTTGTTTATGGTATCTAATATTTTATTCAAATACGGCCCAGTGCTCTTTTATGTCCTGGATCCGCCGCTGATTTTATCGGTACACACTATAGTGATCTACATATAAGTTTCAAAAAATTTACGGTTCATTAACCGATGCATGCATGCGGGTAATATTTATTCTCCCGATTTTTTCATTTTGATTGAGATGTAATAATTTAGAGTATTACAAAATTTTCACCTACATAACGTCAATATACAAGTAATTTTCAACTGTTGAAGTTACAGAAAATATTGACATTATGTAGGTGAAAATTTTGTAAATTACTAGAACGGAGATAATTAGTTGAAAACAACAAGATTTCATGAAAACATTACATATGTAAATATCAAATATGTTGAGAAAAATAGTGATTTAAAAAAAAAATATATGCATGTGTATAACTGGTCGTATTCGTGTTGGATAGTAAAAAAATCATACCCACTAATCAGCCACAATATTCGAATTCAGATTTTACTTAAAAACTCATTAAACATCCTTCGAGTCCGAGTTTTTACCCTACCCCATTAGATCAAATGCGGGGAATACCAGGTATGGTTGCCAGCTGGTTCATTCGATAAGCACACAATACTATAAGAATACATGAATTTCCTAGAATCGGTGTATTTTAAAAAAATAAGATTGTAAGAATTCATGATTTGGTCTAGCTCCCAAATTTGTCGGTTACTTGCATCTCCATTTCTCTCATTGACATCTTGCTTTCCTTCTGGTCCTTGATACAGCTGAGCATTTGGGGATCCCATTGGTACAGCCATATTTTGGAGGAGGGAGCACGGTGGATTTCGACGGCGGAGTGAACTTCGCGGTGGGAACAGCCACCGCGCTGGACAGTGATTTCTTAGAGAGAGGAGCAGGAATTAAGGTAACCGGCACAAACGTTTCTTTGAATGTTCAGTTGGATCACTTCAGGCGACTGATTCCGTCGCTATGCCGCCGTGGCACCGATGATGAGCTCTCAGGCAAGTCTCTCCACTATCATCTTTGTTGGTGTTTTGGGCTCAAGTACGAAAGCGTTTTAAATTGTTATTTCATTCATCATGCAGTAAAAATAATTTTTCTTTCTTTCAGCGTTTAGATATGTTTAGGCAAAACCTATACAAATTAGCCACTAGATGAGTACCAATGCTCGTCTTACACGTCTAACGCCGTTGATATTAGGGCTGGACAATCGATTAGCGGTTAGCGCTTAACCAACCGGTTACACCCGAAACCAGCCGGTTATCCACTAACCGAAAACCGAGTAATCGAAAATTGGTCGGTATTCGGAAAGATGGGTGAGATGCTTTTAGTCTTGGGGGCAACTCGGTTAACTGAAAACCTAGATAATCGAAGACTTAAGGCCTCTTTTCGATAGGTTGGGAGGTGGTTTGGTTTAACCGACAACCGATCTTTTGGTTTTTGGTTATAACCAAACCAACCGAACTCAACCCCTAATTGATATATAATAAATTAATAATATGGATGAGGTGCTTGTATCAGTGATAAACAAAGGAAGAGACACAAGAGATCCACTTTGTCTCCCATGAAAATGGAGAGTCTTATCATAATTAAGCCAGGGGTCGTTTGGATGGAGTATTACAATGAGTTATTTGGACGCAAATAACTTGTTCGGCAGCGTTTTACTGAAATGAGTTATTTGGACAGTGAGTTATTTACAAATAACTCAAAACGAGTTATTTGAAATAATTTATATCCATGTGTTATTTCGAAATAACTTGTTTTATAACTCTGCTTTTACCAAATACCACATGTCAAATACCACATTTGCATGGTTCAACCAAACGAGATACTTTATTTCAATTACCACTGAAATAACACTGAAATACCACATGAACAATAAATGAGTTATTTGACTCTACAAATACCACATTGACAATTAACCCATCCAAACGACCCCGCATATTTTGAATTATGGGTATTCAAAAAGGAAGCCGACTAAAACCTAACAATTTATGGAAAATATATATGGCCTACACACATGGAAATTCAATAATCAACATTGCTGAAGAATAAAATATGTTATCTCCAAAAATATATATCATCAAAAAGTTAAAGACAAAATCAATGTCTAGTGTGTCATCCTATTTGTTTATTTATTTTTTTTAACAAAGTTCCAATGATAAGGTTGTGCATATAAATATAATGGTGTTGTTTGGATTTTTTTTATGAAAAGCAGTGCACATATATTACATGATTTTTTGAAATAATTACATTTTATTGGCTTGTTACAAAAACGGAACCAAATCAACGGGTGGACAAGTCTAGTAGAAATGCTATACCGGTTACAATAGCGGTTCGTTCATTTGCTTGGATGGCTCGGAATAGACCGAACAGATGGAAATGAAACCAACTGAAACCACCCCCATTTGACTGGTTCTTTTGGTTCACTGTTTTAACAACACAAGAAATTAAGAGAAGAAAAAAGATACTTTAACGTAAACTAAGACCACCCATTCCAACTCGAATTTCTATTTTTATTTCTGCTCTTTTTTTTTTCCTTTTCCCAACCTCTTTGTGAAAATTACGTTGATTTATATTGAGACATAAATTTGTTAAATCTTTTTATGATCGTATTGTTATATGCTTCAGACTGCAATCACCTCTTCAAAAACTCACTGTTCATATTGGGAGAGATTGGAGGGAACGATTACAATTTTGCCCTCTCCGACGGCCTGAAACAAGTTCAAGAGCTAGTGCCTCTTGTTGTTGGTTCCATAATTTCAGCCCTCAAGGTGATGATAATCATACAAACCCACCTCCAAATAAAACTATATTTCTTTTGGATTGTAATTTGTAAACTAACTAACCAACCTGGGAAAAATTTCGCAGGAAATCATCGAACTCGGCGCAGTCAACATTTTAGTGCCTGGAAATTTTCCAATGGGTTGCTTGCCCTTCTTACTAAACAAATTTCCCAGTACAAATGCAGGAGATTTCGATCCTTCCACTGGTTGCCGTACTTGGGTCAACGAATTTGTTGAGTACCACAACGATCTTCTTCAAAGAGAACTCAATCGCACAAGAGAACTTCACCCCAATCTGAACATCATCTATGTGGATTATTACAATGCTCTCTTACGCATATATCAAGCACCTAAACAATTCGGTAAGTGGAAGGGATCCATATCCTACTCATCTTTTGTTTAAAGGTTAATGCGGTATTGTGTTTATTTTTACTATGACATTAACCACACAATAAAAAAACATCCAAATCCGACATAACTAGGAGGTATCATTCTCAGTAGATTCTTCGATAACTCTCATGACATATATGTTGGAAATGCGAGTTTTTCTAGTATAATTTCAACTCTTGAAGCCTATATACAATGCATCTATATATTGTTTGAGGTTTAATGTGAGATCAACATTAATTACCGAGCTCAACTTATAGGATCAAAACACGGATTTCGTACTTACCAATTTCGACCGATAAGAAAGAGAAAAAAATGATACTCCTAACTAGCGGAGTAGAAATTGATAAACAACGTAGTACATAACGGACATGAACTTGTTTGTCGAAAACCGTAACTTAAGAACTCATGTGAGTAGTTGATATTGTTGAGAGGATTAATCAAATAATATGCATGAATGATGGTGTCATAATTTCAGGATTTAGTGGGGAAGCTCTGGCTGCATGTTGTGAAGGAGAAGGATCTGTGCAATGTGGGAGCCCATCAGTAAGGCCTTGTGAAGATCCTTCAGCATATGTCAACTGGGATGGGATTCACTTCACAGAAGCAACTTACAGAGTAATTGCCAAGTCACTACTGGAAGAAGGTCTCTTCACCAATCCTCAATTTAGTGCCTCCTCCTCCTCCTGTATTGCTGGGAATTCAGGGAAAGCCTTCCCCAATTCCTTCTAAGAACATGATCTTGTTTATAGTACCTTTGCTGGTATCTGTAGCTCTATGGTTCGATCTCTCTCGTACGGTTTCACGATTCATTGCTTCAACTGTAAGTACCATAATTAAAACTACTGAATTGCGAGAGTAGGTTACAAGTAAATTATAGTAACAGAAACAACACATACAAGCAGGGGAAATAGCAGCATCTTTCTCATTTCCCTTCTCCTCTCAATGTCAAAAGCCAGAATCAGGGCTCCATTAGCTGGCAACTGCTGCAGCAGGTGAAGGGGAAGGAGTGTACCAGCCATGATGAACCTCGACAGCCTTCTTAGTCCTGGCGAGCCGCGATTTCCTGCGTGCTCCTGTATTCCTGTGCAGCGTCCCGACTTTCACGGCTTTATCGATCACTGAATAGGCTTCTGCAATGAGTTTCTCCACTGGGAGCACCTCCTCGGGTTGTGCCGCTGGTTTCTTCCTCAAATCATCTAGTGCTTCCAACACCTGCAGCAGCAGCAGCAGGAGTAAGAGAGCTAATAAGCAAATGATACATCAAAATGTTTCCTTTGCCCAAGTTGAATCCCATGAAAACTCATGTTGATACCAGCTGCTATGCATTTGAACCCTAGAGTAGAAGAAGTGCTTTAAGTGGCATCAGCTGTCTTTAGGATGATGTCACATACTCACATCAATGTCTAATCTTGAGGTCAGCTCAAGTCAGATATTTACAGAAATTCTAACGAGGATCACCTGAAGACCAAGCACAAAAAATGATTCATGCACGGCCATGAGAAACTGCTTCAACGCAGATCATCCAGACCCTAGTTCATAGCAGTTCCTTAGCTTCCAAAGAATTCTGAAGATGTAAATGCTACAGAACTGCAAGGTACGGCTCGTTCTAGCCTAATCTAAGTGACCACCGACTAGGAAACTAGAAAAAAAGGTTGCTTCTAATAAGACACTAACAATAGACTTTATGCCAGCCACTTGCCTTGGAAAGCTGCAAAATATGCTATTAAAATACATAGGCAAGCCAATGTATATGAAGAAACAAGAACGAGAAGCAATACATAGAATAACCAGCATGCACAGAATGAAAAAGAAAAGGAAGCAGAGAAGATGGCATGTGAATTTATCAGCTACCCACAGAGTGCAGCTTGCAGCCAAGAAAAGGAGTAAGCCAAAGGAGCTCAAGCTGCACCTTACTCGACCACACACCACACGGTGAGACCATATGAGGTACTCTGGGAGCAATTCCATCCTAATAGCATCTCTGAAACTCTGAAATTATATAACTGCACAGAACCTGCTTTTGCAAGGAACTGAATATATAAAGCTGCACCTATTCTCTCAGGGGAACTGACCAAGTCACAAGGACCGATGAAAACATCCAACCTACCCATCATTCAAACTTTGAGTCCAATAATCGCAGCATTCACTGCATAATTCCACTGAAGCTATTCTACCAAGCTCAAAAACTGCTTAATCCTTTCTATGATTTAGCCAAACTACTGCACTAACCAGCACATGTACCACTTTCTAATCGAATGCATACCCATCTTTCTACTCCTCCAGCTTAACTCCTTAATTGAGATTGAAACATTGAAATCTAAGACTAAATTCTATTCACCTGCACCTCAAGATCTGAATCCTAATCTACCAAAATCACCCCAACAGATAAGCACCTTGGTAAGATCTCATTCTGAGCAAGCAGGTTGACAAACTTGTAGCTTTCCATAAAACAAGAAAAGTCTCGAGCTTTTCTCATACACAAGAATTATAATGCGCCACAGAGACTATCCGGACCTCAACTTTTGATGCAGCAACAATGCCACACACTTGAAGGACATTCTACAGTTCAAACCCTCAGCTACATTATCCCATTCCACAAGCGCCAAAACAAATTTCTCAAAGTTCCAAACTTTGGAAGCACAAACGGTAGATAACAAGGGAAACAGAACCGGTTACCTACCTTCCTCATTCGCGTTCTAACTTCAGACTTTTTTGCTTTATTGTAAACACGCCTCTTCTCGGCCTGGCGAGCTCTCTTCACCGCCGAATCGGCCTTTCTGCCCGGTGTAGCCTCGCAAACAACTGAAGAACGGCGAACGGACCATTCCACTGGCCTCATCGACAGGCATCCTGAAAACCCACAAACGAAATCAGCTCAATCAAACCAAACCCCACAACAGAACGACCCAAAGAACTTTCCCAAATCGTCAATTGCGAAGAATGACCACTCGCCTGTGCTGAAGAGACTCGGGTTATGCGAAACGGAAGAGGAGAAACTGATGGAGCTCGATTGAGATGGAGAAGAAGAAGTGGCGGTTAGAGAGAGATTGTTGAGCCTGGAAGTAAGGACGGAGCAGCAAGATAGAACTGCAGCTGCCATGGCAGTAGCTCACAGGGTCTGTTGTGCTCTAATGGTGTAGCGGGTTGAATTCGGGGTAGAGGAGCTGTTTCCACAATCTTTTTGTTACTTATCCACTGGCGCGGCGAAGATAGAGCCAGTACAGCATCCATTCCCGCCGTTAACGTTATCAACGGAGTTACATATATCTACATACATCTTCTATCTCATTAATTAATTTATTTATTCAATCACTGGGCTTATAATTCAGGTTCATAGCAAAGCAAGCAACCTTGGCCACTTGGCAGGAGGTTCGCTGTCCACTCTGGCCACGGTACAGAGCCTTGTCGCCATTAACAAGCATTGGATTTTCCTTCACATGTTACATTATTTGAATCGTATTCTCTACGGTAATTTGCATTTAAACGTGTATCTGGCAAAGGAAGAGAGGCCATAAAACCGCCAATTGCAAAAAAAGTCCCATCTTCATTTACTTCACACATCACTTTCCCATTTCCCTCCGAAGGGCATGGAGGCTCCAGCAAACATCACCATTAAAGGGATACTGAGCTTGTTGATGCAGAGCATTGATAACGACGGCACAAAGAGGAACAAGGAGAAGAGTGTGATTTCGCTTGGAATGGGTGACCCTTCTGCTTACTCTTGCTTCCAGGTTCCTCCTGTTGCTTCTCAAGCTGTGGCGGAAGCTCTTCAGTCTCACAAGTTCAATGGCTACTCCCCAACTGTCGGACTCCCCCAGACTCGAAGGTAGGTAACATCCTTCAAATGGGTCTTTGAATTCAGACAGGCTTGGCTTGTTGGTCTTAACCAATATCACTTTCATAATCTTCTCCACAGGGCGATCGCAGAGTACTTATCTGGTGATCTTCGTTACAATCTATCTTCGGATGATGTGTTTGTAACGTCCGGATGCACGCAAGCCATTGACGTTGCACTAGCGATGCTGGCTCGCCCTGGTTCGAACATACTGCTTCCCAGACCAGGCTTCCCTATCTACGAACTCTGTGCAGCTTTCAGGGGGATCGAAGTTCGACATTTTGATCTCTTGCCAAAGAACGGATGGAAGGTTGATCTTGCTGCAGTCGAAGCCCTTGCTGATCACAATACAGTGGCAATGGTGGTGATCAACCCTGGGAACCCTTGTGGGAATGTCTACCCCTATCAACATCTGAAAGAGGTAAAGAAAAGGGAAACACAATAGGAACATTCAGTAGGGAAATGATCAATCAAACCTGCTCTCATTTGTGATGTTTGCCAACTACTATAGATTGCTGAAACTGCTGAGAGGCTGAGGATTCTCATCATTGCTGATGAAGTGTATGGGCATCTTGCCTTCGGGTGTAACCGTTTCGTCCCCATGGGAGTTTTTGGATCAACTGTGCCTGTCCTCACACTTGGCTCTCTCTCAAAGAGGTGGATCGTGCCAGGCTGGCGACTTGGTTGGTTCGTCACTTGTGATCCCTCTGGCTCTTTCAGAAAACCAAAGGTTGGTTACTTGGCTCCCAAGCTTCGTTCTTCCCTCCATTTCTGTGTCCAAAATCAATTTGCTCTGGATCAATGGGTGTTTCTAATGTTCTCTCAGTTGGTGGAGCGTATCAAGAAGTACTTTGACATATTGGGAGGACCATCGACATTCATCCAAGTATGTATCTTACTTATTAACCATGCTTGAATGTGTTAATTTCAACATGGATCTTCTAGGACTCTGTATAATTGTTAGATGTAGGCAGCAGTTCCTCGTATTCTAGAGGAAACTGGAGAGGTTTTCTTTAAGAAAACAATCAAGGTGTTGAAGCAAACTTCAGATATTTGCTTCGATAGGACGAAGGAGATTTCGTGCATCACATGCCCTCACAAGCCAGAAGGATCCATGGCTGTAATGGTATGTTGGAATGTTGCAGCTGAATGAAGGAACAAGGTTTGCTTGCATCATGATTGATAAGAAGTAATGTGCTATTTCTTTTTGCCAGATGAAATTGAATCTCTCACTGTTGGAAGATATCAGCGACGACATAGATTTCTGCTTCAAGCTGGCTAAGGAGGAATCTGTTATCATTCTTCCAGGTGAGAAGCTCTCACAAAGTTTGTTTACTAGCCCTCCTCTCTTCTCATGCAAGGAACTGAAACCAAGGAATCTGATCTGTGAAAACATTGCAGGAACTGCGGTGGGATTGAGGAACTGGATTCGGATAACGTTTGCAGTTGATCCTGAGTCGCTTGAAGAGGGTTTAGCGAGATTGAAATCGTTCTGCAAAAGACACACCAACGAACAGCTAGGGAGTTAAAGGAGATTCAACATGTTCATTCCCTCTAGCTATTTCAGCAAACCAATAAAATTTGCAGGTACAATTGCAAATGCAAATGAATGCCTACAAGATAAGCAAAGTCTGTTAGAATGACAGGCAAAATGAACAGTCTGTGTACAGACCTCCGTGTTACAGAATTGTTAATTTAGGAGAAGTTCTTATGTTTTCTCATTTGGTTATAGTATATACCCAAATTTGAGCATGTACATCTCAAAGAAATGAAGTTGCCAGTTCTTATGTTAAAGATTCCGACGCTTACCGTGGTACTTATAGTTTGAGTGACAAAAGTGAAATAATTTAATGATCTTGTGACATCCCTGCCAATTTACTGAAATGCTAGCCAATCGAGATTTCTGAGTGGAGAATCCACTGAAAACAACCGATACAAAACAATAAACCACGGCCGGCCGCCTAAAAAACTTTACAGTCAGGGTTCTGTCTCTTCTGCCCATTGCCCATCAGAACCTCAGCAAAACTCCAAATAATGCAGAGCCAAAATCCAAAGTGCCCAACTGCTTCCTCAAAACTTTGGCAGCAGATTAAAGTGGCTTCCACATCCCCAAAAACGACAAAGTCCATCAGTCTAACCCCACTGAAAAATAAAAATTGCACCAGACTACCAGAGTCATATCATCCTCCTATTAAATCCCAGTGTGTAGTTGGTCCTTTCAGTTCACCATCCCCTCAATCATTTCGCCATGGAACATCAGAGCCCAGGCAACTACTCTTTTTCATAAAGCCTCTCACTTTTTTCTATTCAGAATTGTGAGTTTCTTCTGCTTGACATCTACTCTGGTGGGTCTTCGAGTTTTTTTTGCAGAGGAGACTGTTGCTGCTGCTTTAGAGATCCAGAAAGGAGACGACTTTAAGGTTCATGTGTTCTCATCCTCGGAGGTTTGTGAAAAAGCTTGGAAGATTTTGACCTTACAAATAGACATAAAGCCATGGTCTTAATGATCTTGAATGACTTGTTATTGTTGTTGTTTGTGGTCCAATGTGATTCAGTTGATCGAGAAGCTGAATGAGAAATGGAGGGCAGTGAAGAGGAAACCATACCCAGCAATGTACTCGAGCGTCTATGGTGGGATCATTCTCGATCCGGCGTTGATGGTGATCCCAATTGATGACCACATGGTACATCGCGGACATGGTGTTTTCGACACAGCCATCATTCTCGACGGGTAATCTGCTCATTAGTTCAGTGACCTTTTGAAGCATTTAGCCCCGCGGCATGAATCTAATTCTGCAGCTCTCGTGTTTTAGATACCTCTATGAGCTAGACGTACACATAGAAAGGATCCTAACATCGGCATCGAAGGCAAGGATATCATCTCCATTCACCAAGGACAAGCTGCATACCATCCTGCTCCAGTTGGCAGCAGCATCAAACTGCAAGAAAGGCACACTGAGATACTGGCTGAGCGCAGGCCCAGGCAACTTTCTGCTGTCACCCTCTGGTTGTCCAACTTCAGCATTCTATGCAGTTGTGATCGACGAGGAGTTCTCTCAGCAGAAGGAAGGTGTGAAGGTGATCACATCTAACATCCCCATGAAGCCACCTCTTTTTGCAACTGCAAAGAATGTGAACTATCTCCCCAATGTGCTCTCTATCATGGAAGCCGAGGACAGAGGAGCCTTTGCCTCGATTTGGGTGGATGAGGAAGGGTACGTGGCTGAGGGTCCCAATGTGAACGTTGCGTTCATTACTCAGGAGAAAGAGCTGATCCTGCCTCCATTTGACAACATACTCCGCGGGTGCACTGCTCTGAGGCTGCTTCAGCTGGCTCCCAAGCTGGTGGAGCAGGGGAAGCTGAAAGGGGTGAAGACAAGTAAACTCACAGTTGGAGAGGCCAAAGGTGCTCTTGAGATGATGTTCGTGGGGAGCACGCTACCTTTGTTGCCAATCGTGATGTGGGATGATCAGCTCATTGGAGATGGTAATGGGAAATTGGCTTCAGTTTTAGAGGTGTATATACTTTTGCTTGAGATAAGAGGCTAATGGGTGTTTTTGTTTGAAATGCAGGGAAGGTGGGAGAGTTGACAATGGCACTTTCTGATGTGATATGGGAGGACATGGTTGCTGGGGCTACTACTCAGAGGATTCCTGTTCCATATGAGCAGTAGTATTGAGTCAAGAGAGAATGGGTTTCCGGAAGTTGCCAAAAGGAATGATGTTTATAGGCTTGAAGTTTGAGTGTCTCCTGAATTGAACATGGTTTTATCCTTGCAATCTGGAATAAAAATCTCAAAGCTGTGTGCTTTCTAGTTTCTGGAGTCATTTTGTTGGAGAATTTGAATGAGAAAGTCATTCCAAGACATCATTCTGGTCTCATAACTTACTTACACTATTCACCATCTTCCGGGTTTTCATCAATCTGACTACTCTGATCACTATCAGAAGTTGAGTTGAGTGTATCTGAGAGCTCTTCTCCTTCACCAGCTTGAGCTTCTTCCCCTTCCATGAAAGAGTTCATCGTGAGCTGGGCAGAGTAGAGGACTAAACCGACAGAGTTGAGGCCGAAAACGAACGTGGCAAGGTAGCACAACCCATTGATGATGGTCCTGCAAAAGTTTACAGGCAATAATGAGTGATGTTCAACATTTTCAACGTCTGAATAGTGCCTTGTATTATACTTTGCTGGAGTTACCGGATAGTAATCGTTATTTGGCGAACCTGAGAGAAGTAGGAAAAACCCAGATTTAAGTGAAAACTTAACAAATCATTCAAAGCAGACACAACACTAGCAATTCTTTTTTATTAATGAATTTGAAACCGACGAGGAAGGGAAACCGTGGACTAACCGAGAAGTTGTCTGATATGGTCTGCCGGTTCAGAGATGCCTCAATGGTTGTAGTGAACTTGTAGAGAATCAAAGCAATCACACCTGCAGATATGCCACCTAGAAGTGCCTGCACTGGTGAAGTAGGCTTCTTACCTTCTTCAACAGGGCCCGCAGCTCCAATGGCCTTCAAGCTTTCCAATGCCTCATCTTTAAGCGACTTCTTAGTAGCTCCTGATGATCTGAACCTCTAAAGAACATGTTCCACAAGTCACAAATCGTCTGATAAAATATCAGGCTACCCTGATTAACAAAATGATATAGTGTGCCACAAAACATAACTGCAATTCGACATACACAACCCATAAATCCCCCAATCCAAAAATGAAGGCTTTTTTCCAACCAGAACAGAAATTCACAAAATCCTTATCCAAAAATCCCCCAATCCAAAAATGAAGGCTTTTTTCCAACCAGAACAGAAATTCACAAAATCCTTATCCAATTCAAGGGTATGGCAGGCGAATGCCAGCGAGAAATAGAAAACGTAGAAAGGGGGCAAAAGGAGCTGGCAGTTATACCAGTTCCTTGGCACGCTTAACACGGCGGCGGATGGAGCGAACAAGGAATATGAAGACAGCTCCGGTGAGCAGCACGCTAGTTGCTATCTGCAGCGGCGAAGGGTCATCGGTGGTGGCGAAGATGGACGGCGCAGAAGGGAAAGGTAGCTCAATTGGGCCACCGCCGTCTTCCGGCACGGGTACGGGTACTGTAATTGTGGTGGGTTCCGAGATATCCGCCAGCCATGGCTCCAATAAAGACAGCGGGACTGCCGATAGGGAGGAGAAAAGGGCCGCCGCCGTGGGTTTTCCGACACAGCCGCAGGGAAAAGAAGAAGAAGCTCTCCGATGGCAATGGCGATAGCGGGGCGAAAGGAAGAATTGCGGAGAGAGAAGAGTTGGGGAGTAATGGTGGTTCTGCAACAACAACATCTGAAAATTCTCGAAAGAAGACGGCAATGGGGAAGAAGGAAATCGGAGGAAACGAAGGAGTGGAGACTAGCGCGCGGTGGCGGGATTGCGGGAGAGGGAATATCTGAAGAGATAATTGGACCGGCCCATTCAGGTGTCCTTTTCTCAAAATGGGCTGAATGAGCCCACCACATCTTGTACCCGATACCCGACCCGGTAAAGTCATTCTCCCTTGTTGGTTGGAGCTCCGAGGACAGAGCGAAAGCTTTGGCGTTCTTCTTCTTCTTCTTCTTCTTCAGTCTTCACCACTGGAGACTGCGCTCTTCATACCTTCCTCTCTTCCTACATCATCCTTCGGCGTCCGGCGGCGATGAATTTCCGGTGAGTCTGCTACTTTCCTCATTTTACCTCCGCCTTTTCAATTGAATGGAGGCGCAAGGTCGTCGGTCGTCTACGGGAGGCGCATGGGCATGATTACTTAACGACATTGCGAAGGCAAAATTCTACTGTGTTATTGTTACGTATGGAATTGAAATCGGCGCTTCCTGGTTCGGCAGCTTCTCCTTCGCCCAGGACGAAGAAGAAGCGGAAGAGACTGGATGCGATCTGCGAGAAGGTTTATACTCGGAACCACAAGGATCCGGTTAGTGCAGCAAGGGAAGGGGCGGCATCGACGTCCCAGACCTTGCCCTCTACTGATTTGGAGCTAAGGAGGAGCTCAAGGGTTCGTCGTGCTCCGGTTTTGCTCGATGTCTCGCCTCCACCGGTGAAGAAGAGGAAGAAATTCGGTAAGGATGTGAAATCCAGTGGAAAGAAGAATGTTTCGGTTGGTTCGTCTGGGGATGAGTTGAAGGAAGAGGATGAGGGTGGAAACTTGGAAACGCTAGGAAGTTGGAAATCACGGTTGAGGGCTAGAAAGAGGAGTGGAAGAAATGGGAGGAGAAAGTTGTTTGCTGACTTGGGCGATAGTCTGTCTAAGAAAGTGGAGTCTGATGATGAGGAACTCCTGGTGGGAGCAAAGGCAAAGAGGTTGGGGAAGGTTAAGGCAGTCAGTGGGCTGATTAAGGAGCTGAAAGAAGTCGAAGTGCTTTCTGATGATGATGATGATGATGATGATGCAGCGTCGGAAAAGGAGGCTGACAGTGGAAAGGATGAAAAGGAAGTGGCTGATGATGAAACTGATACCACTAGTCATGAAGATTCCCCAGCTTCAGAAGGGGAGACTAGCGTCCGAAATGAGGGGGAGAATGGTGATCCTGTTTCCGATGAAGGGATGCATGAAGAAGAGGAGAACTCTAGATTGGATGGCTTAAAGTTGGAGAAAAGTTTTGATGGAGCAGATACTGTGGATAGTGATGAGGTGAGTGGGTTTAAGGAGAAAGGATTAGAGATTAACAACGATGGGGAGAATGAAGGGGATAATGATGTTAAACATGAAAGGGAAAATGAGGAAGAAGATGAGGAGGGGAAATCTGAAAGGGAAAATGCAGAGTCCGATGAAAGGGCTAGTGAAGAGAACGCCAATGGAGGAAAGGAAATGGAAGAAAATAAGGTGGATGAGGAAGACCATAGTGATGACCTAGAAGCTGATTTCACAGTTGAAATGCCCTTGGAGGATGGGAAAGATGCAACGGAGAGAAAGATGAAGGATGATTCTGTTGATATCCACTGCTCACCTGGGGTTAAGCAGGGGAGGCTATGTGGGTTGTGTGGCTGTGGCAATGATGGTAAACCACCAAAGAGAGTGATCCAAGAGGGAGGTGAGAGTGAAATAGAGGCTTATTGCGGTTCATCCGCTTCAGAGGAACCCAATTATGATGTATGGGATGGATTTGCGAATGAACCTGGCTGGCTTGGCTGTCTATTGGGTCCTGTAAATGACCGATATGGTATTGCTGGAATCTGGGTTCACCAACTCTGTGCGGTGTGGAGTCCAGAGGTTAGATCTTTCTGTTGGTTTTAATCATTTATCTGTACTTGATGGAAAGCATGGTTAGTTCAGATGCTTTTATTCAGCTAGTTTGTCATTTCCTTTCTACCTGGTCCTAGAAGATTGAAATTTAACTGGAGGCAGTTTCTTGCCTGGAATATTTGGGGGCTGGGGTCATTGATTTTCCTTCAAAGTGAATCTAGGTAAAAGACTTATCCAGTTGACATTCATGGATTTGCAATCTTTAGTAAAGCTCCTTGCGAACATCCTTTGCCGTTGCACATATTTCAGTGCAGCGAGAAACTATGCCGTGCAATCTAGTTGGTATGAGCAAACACGATTGTGGCATCATATAACCTCCTTAGATATTTTTTAATTTGTTTTAGACCTTCACATTTGTTTGTTAAAAGGGGGTAGTAGTTGATTTGTTTTCTCTCCATGCATTAAATATCATTGATTCTGTTAGAGATCAATGAAATTCATGCTTGTAAAACCCCACTTTATAAATTCTCTATTTCTCCTCTGTTCTATGGTGCTTGGATTTGCCTGCTAACTTTGGCCCTTTTACAATTTTGATCTTCAGAAATCAGAATTTTATTCTGGGTTCAATGTTTTTATATCATCCTTAACATAGTAGTCCGGTGAAGGGTTAATCTAGTAAACCACGTACCTTAGTGCTTGTAGATGTCCGCTTATGGCAATATTTTCTTTTTGGTTTCTTAGCCTATAATTTGAAGGCAGTAGTCTTTTGCTTGAATATGGCCTTCGTGTCCTACTTTGTGATATCTCTTTCAATCATCTGCTTTCAGGTGTATTTTGCCGGTTTGGGTTGCTTAAAAAATGTCAAAGCAGCACTTTTCAGAGGAAAAGCATTAAAATGCACCCGATGTGGAAGGCCAGGGGCCACAATTGGCTGTCGTGTTGATCGCTGCCCGAGAACCTACCACTTGGTTTGTAATCTACTTGTTTTTCGTCTAGCCCTTTTTTCAGTCTTGAGAATTAATCTAGACTGTACCTTGACCCTCTCTCCATCTTTCGCAGCCTTGTGCCCGTGCTACTGGCTGTATCTTTGACCATAGAAAATTTCTCATCGCATGTACAGATCACCGGCATATTTTCCAACCTCAGGGGAGTCAATATTTAATGAAGATTAAAAAGCTGAAAGCTCGAAAATTGAAATTAGAGGTCAGGAAGTCATCAAATGATGCATGGAGAAAGGATGTTGAAGCTGAAGAAAAGTGGTTGGAGAACTGTGGCGAGGATGAAGAGTTTTTGAAACGTGAGAGCAAACGGCTTCATCGGGATTTGGCAAGAATTGCACCTGTGTATATCGGAGGCTCAGGAGACTCTGATTCTACCCAACAATTCGAAGGTTGGGAGTCCGTTGCAGGGCTTCAAGCTGTCATCCAGAGTTTAAAGGAAGTAGTCATTTTACCTCTTCTCTACCCTGAGTTCTTTAGTAATCTGGCGATTACACCGCCTAGGGGAGTTCTCTTGCATGGGTATCCTGGAACTGGTAAAACTCTTGTAGTCCGTGCCCTTATTGGTTCATGTGCTCAAGGAAATAAAAAGATAGCTTATTTTGCTCGAAAAGGTGCAGACTGCTTGGGGAAATATGTTGGTGATGCTGAGCGGCAACTGAGACTCTTGTTTCAGGTTGCTGAGAAATGTCAACCTTCTATAATTTTTTTTGATGAGATAGATGGTTTAGCTCCTTGTCGAACAAGGCAGCAAGATCAGACTCACAGCTCAGTGGTATCCACATTGCTAGCTCTCATGGATGGCCTAAAATCAAGAGGCTCGGTGATTGTGATAGGTGCAACAAATCGTCCTGAAGCTGTTGACCCTGCATTGCGCAGACCCGGAAGGTTTGATCGGGAAATTTATTTCCCCCTGCCTTCAGCCAATGATAGGGCTTCCATTCTGTCAGTTCATACTCGAAGATGGCCGAAACCTGTCTCTGATGACTTGTTAAAGTGGATTGCTCACCAAACTGTAGGTTTTGCTGGTGCTGATCTGCAGGCTCTCTGCACCCAAGCTTCCATCATCTCTTTGAAAAGGGCCTTTCCTCTTCAAGAAGTTCTGTCAGCTGCTGCTGCAAAGAGAGGTCCCAATGATGCTAAACGTCTTCCACTTCCATCGTTTACAGTGGAGGAGAGGGACTGGTTGGAGGCTTTATCATGTGCTCCACCTCCATGCTCTCGTAGAGAAGCAGGAATGGCTTCTTATGATTTAGCGTCTGCTGCTCTCCCTGCTCATCTGGTTCCTTGTCTGTTGCATCCTTTAACAGTTTTGATTGTGTCCCTCTATCTGGATGAGCGCCTATGGCTCCCTCCTCTTCTTTCAAAGGTTGCTGCAATGATTGAACCTATAATTATTCCTTCCGTAGAGGCGAAAAATCTGGCCCGGAATCAGTGGGGGTCCTGCATTAGTGTTCTCTTTAAAGAAGCAGGCATTGCTAAAGAGATACAGCAGAGGCTTTCTTCTGCTGGCATATTGGCTGGAGAATCAGGTTTCACTGTTGGTGAAATAGAATCGGAAATGGGTAATGGGGGTGCTCAAACTAGTTTCTTTCAGTCTGGAAGCATGTCTTTTGGGTCAAGGAAAAAGTCGGGATTCCGGGTGTTGATTGCTGGGGATCCGCGATGTGGCCAAAGACATCTTGCAGCTTGTACTCTTCGCTTTTTTATTGGCAACCTTGAAATTTGGAAAGTTGATCTGGCGACGGTTTCCCAAGAAGGTCAGAGTGATATGGCACAAGGGATAATGCGGATATTAAGTACGGTCTTCTCTATCTCTCTTCCTCTCTCAAGATCTGTGGTAAACTAGGTACCCTGAGTGGATTCTCTGTCTCGGATATATGTGTCTCTATTCTAGAATTTGCTTTCAAGTTCTGATCAATGGCCTTAGGTTTAATATCGAGAATCTTTCTTAAGCATTGGTGTTAAATTTACTAATTTCGTTCGATTTTTGCTTAGGTTTCTCATTTTCACTTTCTTTTTTTTGAGCAAGTAAGTTACTGATTATACTAAATTCGCCCTTGCAGCAAAATGTTCTAGCCTAGAGACAAGCATGTTATACTTGCCCAGAATTGATCTCTGGGCTATAGGGACATGTCAAGAGATGAACGACTTTGATGAGTCAGCTCACCAGCAGCTTCCTGAGGAGGAGGTCAAAGTTTCTGAAAATTCAGACGAGGACTCATATAATTCTTCTATACAGACTGCCTCATATGCCTGGAACTCGTTTGTTGAGCAAGTGGAATCTCTCCGTGTCTCGACATCGTTGATAATTCTGGTATGATTGTTCTTTTGCAACTGTACTAGTTTTGGGAGCTGGGGCTTTGTGTTAGTATTACAATTAGAATTTATGGGACTGATTTACCTTATTCTACGATTAGCTTCTATTGAGTCCCCGAACAGAATCCTCATAACAAACACAAATAAATCTTCATGTCTTTATCTCCAGTTCACGTTTTCTTGTTTTTGTCATACTCTGAGAATGTCCTGTGTATATTTTTCAACTCAATTTCACCTTTACTTGAAATTAATGTATATGCAAATTTAGATATGATGAATGATTCATAAATTGTGTTGTTTTCTTGTTAATTAGTAACATCACCCCATCGCATCGATCGACCATCATTATATTCATTTTGCATGCTCGTAAATGCTTTTTTGTTGAAATATCAGGCTACTTCAGACATTCCATATCCAGAACTACCTCACAAAGTAAGAGAATTCTTCAACAGCGACACCTCACATTCCGCCTCTGCACTGGAGCATACTGTACCTCGGTTCTGTGTGCATGTCGAGAAGTGCCCTGACTATGAATCCGTGGTCAGTCTTTCAGCTCAGGAATTATCCCGGGATATGATACATTTATTCGTGCAGCTGAGTCATCAAAGCGCTCATACCCATACCCATACCCATACAAGCTCATCCAAACATAATTCGGCGGAGAAAGTTCCTGATGTAGATGATACTTGCAAAAATCACGAATCAGTTCAGAACGTTGGACCTACCCCCAACACGAGAAGTTCAAAAGGCAAGTCAAACTTACTACTGGCGATATCTACATTCGGCTACCAGATTTTAAGTTACCCACATTTCGCTGAACTCTGTTGGGTGACCTCGAAACTTAGAGATGGTCCCTGTGCTGACGTGAGCGGACCTTGGAGGATCTGGCCGTTTAATTCTTGTATCATTCGTCCCGGTAACTTATCGGACAAGGTATCCATGGCTTCTGGAAGTATGAAAGGCAGAGAGAAGTCGGGTTTCGCAAGGGGTTTAATTGCTGTTGGATTGTTGGCTTACAGAGGTGTCTACAAATCTGTCATGGAGGTTTCCTTTGAGGTAAGGAAGGTCCTTGAGCTTCTGATGGAGCAAGTCAACGAGAAGATTCAAGGTGGGAAGGATCAATATGCCTATGTTCGTCTCCTCTCGCAAGTGGCGTATCTGGAGGATATGGTCAACAACTGGGCCTATGGACTACTGAGGTAAAATTTCACGTTTTGTCATTAGATTCATTCTTGTTGTAAGATTTCTCATTATAACAGTGTCTTCTTTTTCAGTTTGGACGGCAACAGTCAGTCAAAATCAGCATATCCATCGATGGGTCCGGATTTTCCTGATCACCATAGAAGCACCGGTGAACCCAATTTGACAGAAAGCAACAATCACCACATATCCTCCCTGGAAAATCTCGGAATGGGAACAAATTCTGAAGCTAATAATGGCGTTGCTGATCCTGATTCCAACGAGAGAGGCGCAATTCTGGCTGACCAGTCTGATCAGCCAATCGACCCTGGAATGAAGCTGGAAGATGCCGAGCCAGAGAAACATTCCGGCGTATGTACATCCACAGAGCTCCGTACCTCTTCCGAAAATGGCTTCTGTGAGCCGGAGAAATTTGTGTCAGAGGACCAGCCACGCAGAATTCCATCTGATAATCCTGATGGTCGACCGGAAGAGCAGGGTGGAAGTAGCGACTTGTCTCAAGAGCAGCCTTCTCCGGATTCTCGTGTTCTATGCTCGTATCGTTGTTGTCCTATATGCCTCAAAGCCCTCCACAGCACGATCCAGAAAATCATCGTCCACGAAATGGAATCCAATGACGCTACTAGCCAGTGGACTGCAGAGGACTTTCACGATTTAGTTGCCTCTCTGTCGGTCAATCTCCTTTCGTCGGTGAGAAATCTTCATGAGAACAAGAGACACGAGAGCTGCAGAGCTTCCCCCGGTAGTGGATCAGGGTCGAGTGATTGCGAGTGCAGAGCGGAACACAATTGTCATGCTGCTGATGAAAAGAGTAGCCAATCGACTGACTCGCTGCAGCATTCTGAGAAGGATCTTAGGCTTCTCATGAGAGATGGGATTCTGGTTCCTGCAGGTTCAGAATCTGCCGAGGAAGATGTTTCTTTCCATTGCAAGTACGAGACTTTCTGCCTGTGTTCGCTTGTTGATGTAGTGATGATGATGAAACCACCATATTTGGTTCACAATGCAGGGACTTGAAAACACAGTTTTGGTTATGAATCTATTTTCGTCAAATCTATCATTTGTCAAACAGAAGAATTGGCATGAACTTATAATTTCAGTATGTGCATTGTGATGACATGTAACTTTGGCGGAAACGTTCACAATTGCTTTGCATCATAAACTTCGTAATTTTCACTAAACCGATGTGTTTTGGCTACAACTTTAAGAAACCTTCTACTAAACTACTCAATAGTTATGACACAGTATGCAACGATGAATGGATGAGCATGTCTGTCAATCTAGACAATGTTGTTTGTTTTATTCTTAGTCAAGGTTCATTCGATCTATATCTAAGACAATGTTGAGTACATAATAAAACGAACATTTGATCCAATCAATCAATCAACGAATTCGTCGAAAGACAAAATCCAAAATGCTATCATCCATACTCCCATTTGCTTCTGCCGCAAACAACTCTCTTAACCAACAGTTGCTGTCACGAAGGAAGTCAGACGAAGACAAGAGAGCTCAAAATCGGGCAAGACAAATATTAGCAGTGTTTCTGTCTGCCGAAACAAAGAAAATCACATGGGAAACGAGTTAAGGTGCATTCATGCTGGCATTATGGGGGAAATTGTTGTTATTAAATAAAACACCAAAACCCTAGAAGCTACCAACCAGATTATCTTCTGTGTATTATTTAACTTCAATCGCTGTCCTACCTGGAAATTGCACCACTTAGCTTCTCCCTGAACTCAATATTACAGCCATCTTTAGCTGTGTTGCTTTTTCAGAATATAACTAGGATCTTCTTAGTCGTGTGTCGAGATTAGGAAGAAAAGAAGACTTTAATCATTGTTGAAAAATGAGCACCATGAAACTACATGCCACTCCGTAGAATCATTGATCATCTCGTGTTTACGAGATATTATTGTCGGTTCGGTAAATTGTTGTTATTGGAGTTGGAACTCCTCAAATTGTACATAATTTGTCGAGATAGCATCATTTTCATGATCATCGCCTCCGTAATATAACACGTACATTCAAGTTATACTAGATTGCGACAAACGCTTCTAAGTTCCAAGTTTTTGTTTGTATTCACTCAGTTAAAGAATATATGAATTAAAAATTAAATAGAGATAACAAAACATTGCATCTTCATAAAATTATTTACAATAATATATGAGATCTTGTATTCAATCCACCATCATACGGGAAAAAAAGGTTTACTACTCCATTTTCATGTCAAGGTGGTGCAAATGACCGACTTTGGCCTCAAATGGCTCCACCACTGATGATATCACTCACATATTTAAACTAATTGTACTATAAATTTTACGAATCAACAGACGGATCGATACTATCAGCAACCGAATTAATAAAGAACTTATCTTCGCATAGCATACATCCCATTAAGCACTAAAACCAAAAACCTTGTCTTCACTTGATCTCAAGTATAAGAAGAAAATATTCTCTTGGATACTCTTTTTTTTATTATTAAGCTCATTAAATAATATTCCCTTGGATACTTGTTTTCATACATAATTAAGTAGTAATCTTCCCTTGAAAAAGAATTAAGTAGTAAATAGTAATCAAGTGAATCCCTTAATCAGTTTACCTGACCCCCTGCCCACCTAACTCAATTAATAAATAGAAAACAGCTTAATCAGTGACACATGACACCTGTACCATTATTATCATTAACCAAATGGTGATTAACTAATTAATTTGATTAGCACTAGTCAAATAATTCTACTACCCAATAATAATTTGGATACATACAATACAAGGGAGAGGAGGAAGCAAAGCACATGCAAAGGTCCTCTGTTTTCCTCTGTCCCACCAAACCTTGCAAACTCATTGATTGATTGCCCGCTCAAATCCAACCCATTCTTCTCCATCCATCTTATTATTATTAACAAGACAGCAAACCCACAGAGAGAGAGAGAGAGAGATTGACGGAGGAGAAGAAAGAAGCAGAGAATATAATTCAAGTTACAGCCTTTGATCGAGCCCATTTGATACAGAGCAAAATCGGCCATGGGTTCACTCGCCGGCGAGTACCCATCAGAGAGAGAAGAAAAGGGCAGTGAAAGAAACGGCGGCGTGCCTGATCTGCTGGAAGAAGCTTGGTTCTTCAGGAAACTGATCGATGGAAGCGGAAATAAGCCGGCGGCGGGAGGTAGATTCATGGGGAGGTGTTTCTCTGATCCCACTTCTTCACAGAGCGTCGTTCCTCCGGTGCAGGTGAGAGGCGACGCCGGTTTGGTGAGGGCGCCGTCGCTGCCACCTTGTATTGGCAGGAAGTCTGGTGGGAGGAGGAATGGTAGTAAATCGTCGAAAACAGGGGAGGGTAAGGAAAAACAGGGGAGTAAGATTAAGACATCAGGCGGCGGCGGCGGGAGGAATCCGGGGAGTTTGGCGAGAGCTCCGTCGCTGCCGCCGTGGATAGGGAGGGAAGAAGTAGAAGAAGAAGAAGAAGAAGAAGAAGAATCAGATGGGGAAGAGAATGGTATGAGTATGAGCAGATTGATTCAGCAGGCCATGTCTTCTTCTCTTGATGATATCTCTCCTAGACACTCTGTTTCTTCTCCTAAGGTAAATCAATCAACTATCTTTCTCTTCCTCTAGTAATTGGACTCGAGTTTTTAGATCAACGGATTATCGACATGGTATTAGAGTCTTCTTTTTTTAAATGAATCTCTTTCGTTCAAATTGTTAAGATTATTTGTATTGTCGATACTTTTAAACACAGCAATATATACGATGAATTAGTATCCAACTTCATGTTTAGGAGGTGTCCTTTAATTGTTCGATTCTCGACTTTAATTCTTTAGATAAGTTTGTCGTTACAAAGTTTTAAATTTCATACATGAGCTAGTTCTTCGTGATAAAATGTGACCAAAAGTTACTTTGATCGTGGAAACGTAAACTTTTGATGTTATGCACGAGTTCTAACTATTTTTTTTATCGTACATTCACCTCTCATCTTTAGATGCAATGATAGTTATAAGTTTTTATGTGATCATTAGAATCTACCGATTTCGAGACGAGTGCATATATATTATGTTTTCTTCTCTCTAGAATGAAAAATTATTAACGTCCATCTGCCTGTAATCACGTTTTAAGCCCTCTTTCTAACATCAACGTTACTCATCTCGCGGCCTTGACTAAATGCAGAGCATGACTAGGAGTTGCAGGAGCATGAGAAACGAGGTGAGAGGTGGCGGTGGAAGAAGAAGAAGAAGCCCGGAGGTTAAAGATGATCAAAGTGGAGTAATTAGTACGACTAATCACACCAATAATCCTCCTTCTCCGCCCACTAATCCCAAGGGAATCAGGAAGTTGACCAAGACAATGAGCAACCTTGAGATCCAACATGATCAAGCCAGTTACTACGAGTCAAAGAAGGCGGCAGCGAGGCCACAGAGGCCCAGTTACGACCAGTTCCTCCGGTGTGCAGGCCCGCCGATCCCGACGTGGGCTTCAGGGCCCACTTCCAATGCCCAGACGACGACGACCGCAACTGCTTCGTCAGCTGAAGACATCAAGGCCCATCTCAAGGTCTGGGCCAGGACTGTGGCTGCTAACATACACTGATGAAAAGTGGATTAAAGAAAATTAATGAATTTTTTGTATGGTTTTGGTTAACATTAACCATCACAATCATCATAATCAACAATCTGTGTTATTGTTGAAGAGTTCATCACAGAGAACAATCGATTGTTTTGTAAACATTTTGAGAAGATTTAATCAGATTCCAGTTGAACATGATACATGACTGCTGAAGTAGAAAGATTGAAGCTTTCTGCAGAACTTGGGCAACCCACAAGTTACGAACTTATGCCACTGATGACACACTTGGTACTGAATTCTCTGGATGCTGCGCCTATGAGAGAGAGAGTAAGAGAGCTATCTTATCCGGTTCTTGTACAGGAAGTTGACACTTTCAGAAGATCCACCATCCCTCCAAGCTGTGACAGGAATCACTGCGCCATCAGCAAGCATTCGAAGCACAATTCGAGCTATGTTTCGAGTGTCGTCGATTCCCAGATGGTGACTACCCAACATTGGCATCTTAAGCTGCTCCATCATGGTCCTCATTCCCCTAGCCTGTGATTCATGACAAGTGGGAAAGAAACCGGAAAACCTAATCAGCATATTTCAGGTGCAGTTCACAAGGTAGAAAAGTAACCAGCTTGCTGCTAACTGCAGAGAAGACCAACCTCTTGTTTCGGATTGTAGAAGTTTAGGTAGACGTCTTTCAGATTGATCCATTCATTAAAGTACGGGGGGAGCTTCATCTTCGACACAATGCATTGCTTGGGAACCTGTGTTTTCACATCCCAGTTCCCACTGGAGATCATCCGTACAATAGCACACAGAAAACACATTAGCTCCAGAAAAAAAAGAACTTAAAACTCACTGTTTTGAGTAGGAGATTCACCAGGTTACGAATGCTGCTCGATTAAGGCGCCCATTGTGCTTCTTTTCCCACAAACAGTGTTGGACTAACCAATCTTCGAATTGCTGCACAACTTCAACGAATGGAAGGGCAGTATCATGCCAAACTCTGCAATTGAGTATCAAAAGGGTTAAGAGTCTAGAATCACAGCAGTTCTCTCAATCAAACTGCCAAAGGCAGCAGATTGTTAGAGAGTTCTATGAGACGGTCCAGAACTTTGCGAACGAGAAACAAAGTTCCCTTCCTTTAGCACATCGTCACGAAATTGAACAATACAGCCTAAGAAGAAGGGGAGTAAGTAACAGCATTACCGATCAACTCCAAACTTGCCGTACTTATTCTCAATATATTCATCAACCCTTTGCTCACTCATTGCAGTTGGCCTCACAAACCTGAAACATTCGCAACCAGACCACCATAACACATTCATCTACCCATTTGCTCATTTCTTCCACCAAGCTCAGTAAGACTTGAGAAGGCTAATTCAAACCTGTGAAACAAGTCCACTACGGACATAGTTCTGGTATCGATTAAGAGCACAGGGAACTCGAGAATCTCCACTTTCCCTTCCAAATCAAACACCAGCAAGTAATCAAACTTTTGGGGATTGTGCTCGCGTTGGAGTTCGCCTTCAGACAAACGGAATTCCTCGGAGCAATCGTGATTGAACACCTGAAGGTGTGCAGGGTCGTCCATCTGGAGAAAACACCGGCAGCGAGAAAACCCGTTAAAATTGAAAAATCTCAATCCCAAACTTGTTCAAATTTTGGCGGTAAAACGAACCTTAGTACATTTGCCTTGTGTATAGTACAAGCACATTGGCTTCCACCGATAACCGCCGCCGGAAACGGTGGCGGGACTGGGAGCGGCGGAGGTTGGAAGCGGAGGAGGACTTGAGGAGTGATTTTGGATGGAAATGGAACGGAGGACGGTGTGCTTAGGGTTTGAAGATTTGGCTGTGAATCTTCTAGGTAGAGAGTTGAAGACTGGGACTGCGCGCATGAAAAAGCGTTGATGGAGAAGAAGGAAGCTGCTGCGGGAAGAGGACAAAGCCATAAGTGCAGTTTCGAAGGTCGCCCCGCTTGCTACTGCGCGTCTCTGTTTCTTTTCGTCTTCCCAGGACTCCCCGGGTGAGTTTTACAGAGTCAATTTACATCAGCGGTCATCCAACTTCGCATTCACTAACAATCAAATCACTGATCTTTATTTTTTAAACGATTCAGTCACCCAAAAGACAAAATTTAGAATAACACAGCAGAAGTAGCAGCATGGCCAACATCCAATGTGAGTTGTCCAGACCATTGTGCAAATTCATATGGTGAGAACTCGATTTTCTAATACACCAAGTTTCATGCTTTGATACTAACTAATTACATCAGATCACACGAGAAGTGTTTCAACTTCTAAAGATCGCACTAGTAGCAAATCGTTTCGGTTCATGGGGATGCAATTCATAAAGTCATCTACCACGTCCTAGTCTTCATCATCAAGTCCAGTGAAATCTTCGACGTTTTGCGCCTGTTCAGTTTGTTGATTAATCGACCGTAGTTCCTCGATTTCGGCCAGCAGAAACGGATCACATACTAGCTTCTGGGCTTGCAAGACCTTGGGACAGCCTGTAATAGACAAGAAGTAATCAAAAGGCTAACCATAGAGACAGACAGAGAGCCTTTTTTTACCCATCAATGGCGAGAAGGCTTTGGAGATAAAGGATAGTTAGTAATAAGGCACTTGTTTGACCCACCTGCTATGCAGCATGGTTTTTTAGTACCATTTCGGGGCAAGTATGCCATGACGGCTTGCTTCTCATAGATGTGCTTGCAGTCCATACTACACAGCAAACAATTTGTTACAACCATCACTTCAGACTGAAAAAGGGTGATAGATAAAGGAAAGAACTTCGTAGCACCTTCTAACTGGTTCTGCTAGGTCAGTAATCATCTTGCCACTTAAAGGACATTTCACATTCAGGAGGTTGGACTGGGTGCTCGTCATTACGATATCCTCCTCCTCCTCACCCGGCATTGGCTGATTTTCATGATGAACATTCTGGAGGGCAGTAGAAGGTAAATTTAACCACAAAACATACAACAGTGGCATGTGTTGCCAGTGTTGGAAAGAAAGAAAGAAAGAAAATTGATGTCAAGACTAGTAACATTAGACGACTTATATAAGCCATACCCAAACAGCTTCATGAAATTGACGGATTAGTCGATTATTCTGTGATGGCATAGCCTTGAGCTTCATAAATTGCTCATCAAGCAACTTTTTGAAATCAGTGAACTGCAGGAAATGAAAACGAGACCTATCTTTATAACAAACAAGGTCCAAAAGGAATGGAAGAAAGAAAAGCTAAGACCATTGCTTAGAAAAAAAAACCTCTGGAGTTGGCTGATATTCGTTTCCCACATTATGAATTGCTGATGCACGACAAATACAGTCATCACAAGATTCCGACAACTGAACTGCTAGAGTTTGAAGCTCCTTGATCTGGATAGAGATATAAAGCTATTACCAATAGAACCAGCTCCATAGCAAACAGAATTTGACCATTTCATCAGAGGAAACACGATGGAGCCCTCTGTGGCAGCCAGGTGGATTTGTTTCATTTCTATTCTTGCTGCATCAGAACAAATACACTCGCACAACTTTTTCAGAATGCAAGGAAGAAACACACCTAAAGTCTAGACTACAATGAAAAGGGCCGGTAGCAACACTACAGACCTCGGAGACAGATGTGGAAGTGGACTTCACTTTTCCGCCACTAGCTCCATAATGATGTGCACAATCATGGAAACAATGAAACAACAGCACAACCATACTGAGATTGGCAAGCTTGACGCCCTACTTGACTATGCAAAATCAAGGATACACTACGGTTCAAACCAATTGTATACATTCAGCATTCTGTTTAACCTCTAGGTGTACAGATTACATTATCGGCAAAGAAGAAAACCTAATAGAATTTCACTGTATTAAGAGTACATCCACAACCATAATCCACCAAACAAAGCAGAAGAATGATGAGAAATGAAAAATACTAGCCGTCGACATAATATCTCGAAACAGAAACGAGCTCAAGCGTATTTCATTTCAGACAAAGAAAACGCACCTGCGCGGATTCTCTCTCTCTTTCCAGATCAACTGCGATGTTTTTCACCATTGTGAAGGCCTTTTTTATGTCCTGAAAAGATAGCACTTGCAATGGTGAAAAAACCCTGATTACAGTACATCTGCTGCAACGGAATCGTTCGCGCGCGTGGTTATGAGAGAAGATACTTCTCCTCTGATAGTGCCGATCAATAATAACTTTCAACATAGCCGGACTTACGCTGACGAGAGTCTGGGTATCACCCGCGATAGTAGAAGCAGCCCTCTTGAGTCTTCCGGAGGCATTATCCCGCACAGGCGGAGTCGAACTCGACGCCATTGACACTGGTTTTTGGGCGTCTATTTGAGCTCCGCTCCGTCCACCGATAGCGGAGACGATTCGACGGCGGACCTCGATCGGCGTGTGTGAGGGAGCGGGAACGGAATGCTGAGAATCGACGACGAGGGAAATTCAATCCAACTTCCAATTGTATGAGACACTCCAAGCAGCTATGGGCGGGCCTGTAACTGGGCCGGGTTCCAGTCTGGTTGTGTTGGATCTGGCTAGGAAATCTAAGCGCTAAATTTTAAACAGTTGGCCCAAATCCATCTTTAACTGAAGATCAAGAATTGTAATTTGTAAAAATGGAGACCCCGCGATTAGGGATGTGCAATGGTTCAATCCGTACTGGATCACACCGGACCAAACTGTTGTTAAGACCGAACCGAACCAGATCGAGTAAAATGTGGTCCGATCCTTGGTTCTCAAGAATTTTATAATTACTGAAGAAATGGTAGACCGAGCCCATATTTGGACCGGACCGAACCGGACCAAATGGACCAAATGCAAGAATGGTCCGGTCCATGGTCCGGTCCATGGTCCTTCACTAATGAACCGCGATTCTCATGAGTTTGGTCCGGTCCGGACCGTTGCACACCCCTAGCCGCGATCTGTATTTTTTTATTATTAAATCGTGGTTATCAATAATTCAATCATTTAATACCAGTGGGCAGTGAAATGCATCGTGATTTACCAAAAGTAATTGTGGCGGCCGGCGGCTAATAAAACTAATTGACAATTACCAAATATTTCGCTCACAAACAAGCACAGAATCGAACTGACAGTCTAATATATAGTTTTAAGGGACACTTACAGCAAGCAAGGAGGAGCAGAAGAAAACTAGTACATACTATAACCAACTCTTTTATTACCTATATATGAAAAAGAACACACTATTTTCTCAAGTTCATTACTTGCATGCATAATCACCACAACTAGTATGAGCTAAAGCCTGACTTGTGAGGGAAGAAAGGAAGAAAGCAAATCACTTTCGACCACCCCACCCCCATTTCACAATTGCATAACCTGCATTCTAATTCTGTTCAAAGGATTCGCCTATCAGTCGAGTTCAAGTACGACTTTACCGGGCACCCGCCTGCTGTCTTTTGCTTCATGAGCCTCTCTCACTTGCGAGATCGGGAACGTCTTCTCCACCGGCATCTTCAGCTTCCCGATTTCGGAGAGTCTGCGTATTTCAGCTAGGCCGTCGGAGTCGGCTCTCATGTAATTCCACCAATACTCTGCACCAACAGATGAATACTCAATACAGTCATTCAGTTCCAACTTCCAAGTAGTAGACTCAAAAGTCTGGTTCATGAGAAAACATTTGGTCCAATTCGGACCCCAAGTCTAGATGACAGTGTCAAGCCAGTATTATCAAAACAGTAATCAGATGGTTCAAATGGAAGTTTGAGGTTGGAATGAAAAGAGAACTGGTAGAAAAAGAAATTTCCCCACCTATTCCATGAGAATAACGATACTGTATCTGTTTCTTCAGTAATATTGAAGTAGCGATGGGAAGCCCAACCAATAACCCATATCTATCCGTCAAACTTGCTGCTTCCCCCTACAAGGTTATAGATAATACAGATCAGTTTCACGACTATGTGGAAGAGATAAGCGCCTATATTTACTCGCTTCAATAAAGGTGCCAAGTATGTTTCCATCAAATTACCTGAAGTGTCATGTAGTGACCACCTCTCTTCAGAAAATTGATTCCCGTTCTCTCTGTTTCCGGCACTCCAATAGTGTCCAAAACAGCATCAAACTTCCCTTTTATAGCTACCTCAATATCCTGTACGTTAACCACTTGATTACTAAGCATACATCAGTGTGCAAATGCATGCTTCCTGGACAGTAAAGGAATCCAGATTTTCCAGGGATTTAAGTAGCTGGAAACATCTACGAGATAGGGCCTATTAAGACGCATATAGTCACCTCAGCAGTGTAGTCGACAGCCTGTTCTACACCAGATTCTAGCATTCTAGCTACACTGTTACCTCCACAGGTGGTTGTAACATAGCACCCTGCAGCAACACCCAGCTGGATGGCAGCAAAACCAACAGCACCACCGCCACCAATTACTAACAGCCGTTGCCTGTAGTACAACATAAATATCATAGAAGTATATTAGATAGAAGATCATATAACTTTGACTATATTTTACACAAAGCATAGGAAGGCTTCAGCCAATTCATAGCAAGAGCAGATTCACAGCCTCCCTCAGCGGCAAAAGGTTTTCCAGACGGAAATTATTGCAAGTTGGCTACTTCTGCATCTAAGGATAATTTTCCAACCTTACAATTATAGGCAGGCAATAATGTGCCTGACCAAAGCTTAGCTACCAATATCAACCTTGATGTGCCTTGGTATATTAGGAACAGATGAAGCAAGAAGCAGAGGGTTCTTTTCGGCTGGAAATTCTAGAAAACAATAGAAAAGGGATTTTAAGAGGTTCCTTCCAATCAAGAGGCATGACTTTCATTGAGAATCCACTCAAAGAAAACAAGTCTAAAGGCTCAAAAACACTCACACAAATCTTCTATGTTATGTAGATTAGCTTACTTCTTCAGGTTAAGAGGTCTGTATGCAAAACACTCATCCTGTTCTAGTAATATTTCTTCGGACAGGTAAGAGAAGACTTCATTTTCTGAAAAGAAAAGTATTAATAACCTGCTAACATAACTAATCAGCATTTCCAACTTAATAGGTGTCATATATGATTTCCTTCCTATATGCTGGCAATACCCTCTAACCAAATTCTCTCTGTTCTTGAATAATTGAACAACAAGGATAAGAATAAAAGAAATTCAAAGGAATATCAGACTACTTTGAGTAACAGCATGATCGAAATAAAACAAGAGGAACATATAATCTTTCGCGAGATTCGATCAGAAGCAATGTTCTTTTCTCCTCAGTATAGTACATGAGCTACTACAATCAATTGAATAAGCACGATGAAAATGTAGCAGTAAAACATACCCCTCAGCTATTCTAGCTGTACTCTTTAGAGCACGCCAAGCAGTCAGTGCAGCAAAAGGAATGGCACTTGCTTCCTGCAAGAGCAGAAAATCCATTACAACTTGCATTCCATAGTGCCCGAAATGGAGCCGGAGATGAGCAGAATAAAAGTTCATGCAGAACTGCAATAATTCCAAGTTTATTCATAATCATTTGTCAGCAGCTCCCCCATGTTTCCAATACTTTACAATCTAAGTTCAAAATCCCGTTATGCATATCCAAATAAATTTATCGGGTCCACATTTCTGCATGGGAAATACTAAAACTGCATTTGTACCACATGAGTAATTGAAGCTGGTTTCGCAGCAAGTTCTTCTTCTGAAAGCACTGCATAATCCGTGTAAGTGCCCCTGACGGCAGTTGGATGCAGCGCACCAAAGACCTCTTGTCCAACACTCAAGGAATGAACCGACGTTCCAACGGCTGCAACTTCCCCGCTGACATCTCGACCCAAAATGAGAGGTAGGAGTGGTTCGAATACCGAACGACCATAACCTGCTCGCATCTGGAAGAATCAAAGATTCAAAAAAATCGATTGATTAATGAACCTACTCCTTGAGACAGATAACTCTTCAAGCTAAGACATCATCTACATGACAAATTCAGCAATTGAAGAAATACAGTGAGTTCTCTGTATGATATAATAGAAAGCAACACATTTCCAACATCTGAGCTAACTTCCATCATCATTCATATCATTAGTTAATTTTAGATTCTTTCTCATGCATATGCTTCTTTGCTATACCAGAACCAACTCTCACTTCAGGCACCATCTTCTCTGATTCTGACAATAATGCAATCGCCACGCTATAATTCCCAAGAACAAATCAAACCCATTCTTCATCCATGATTCTCCTGACCTAATCACAAAACAGAAATCCTTCCATTCTATCGAGAAACTACATCCGAATCCGAACTTACTCGGGTATCCAGTGGATTGACCGAAGCTGCCCGAACACGAACGAGGACCTCATTGGGCTTCAGCGGCGGCACATCGACGCCGTCCCGGAGCTCCAGCACCTCCGGGCCTCCGAACCGGGGAAGCAACACGGCCCTGCAACTGGTCACAATGTGTCTAGTAAAACCCGAATTCCAGAGTCGGCAGGCCACCGCCTTTCTTGCACCGAAATGAGGTCTCGAGAATCGCATCCTCGGCGGGAGTTGATTGGCTTGGGCTTGGCTGCTTCTATTTGACGAGAAGCGGTGGGGGTTTTCCCAATTGCATGAGAAATCGATCGGAAGCGAAGCTGTGATTTGATTTTTTTGAGGGATTACTGGAAAGTGGAAAGTGGAGATGTTGGACGGGCAGTGGCCGCAGAAAGAAAGAAGGAAGAGGAAGTAGATGACGTGTACTTGTTTGCATCCGCCAGATAGCGCCTGGTAACGGGAAATCGGGTAACCCAACCCAAGCAACCGGTTCGACTTACGACCAACCCTAAAACTGAAACGCAAATGGGCCCAATTGTGCTACTACAGTCACCTGTCTTAGTGGCTTGTAATCCAGCTGGGCTGGTGTGGTAGGCCCAACAGGTTTTTCCCCCATTTTAGATTTGTAAACTTTTTTTTTTCAAAATCATGAAACTCATCAAATCTGTCCGAGGTATTTTACCCCAAATTTAACATAGCAAAGAATGGGAGATAGTCTTTAAGTTTTAGGTCGTTTGAAAATTGCGATTGTTTTGTTGAGATTGTGATTATGCATGTATTGTTTACAATGCATCGTTTTACCCCAAATTTAACATAGACAAAGAATGGGAGATAGTCTTTAAGTTTTAGGTCGTTTGGAAGTTGCGATTGTTTTGTTGAGATTGTCATTATGCATGTATTGTTTACAATACATCGTTTTTTTTGTTTTTTTGGAAGCTGAAACAATACATGGATTGTTTCTGTGATGTGACAGAAACTATCACTCATTTTGAGTGATTGTTATATCTCAACTTTTAGTTGTGATTGTTGAGATTGTTGAGTTGAGATTGTTTTGTCTCAGCTTTTAGCTGATGCGACATACACAATCACACATACCAAACGTTGTATTCTACAATGCATCAAATTCGACAATACATGTATAATATTATACATGCATTCTCAACAATACATCTATTTAACAATCGCAACTTCCAAACGACCCCTTAGATATAAAAAATGAAGGACGGCTTTGATGTTGGTGGTGGTGATGGGACATTTGAATCCGACGCTCCCCTGAAGCCGGAAAAGAACATCCATGAGATCTTCATCATCCAATTCCACCTCCCCCTTCCCAGCCCTCTTCTCCTCATGCTGCTTAATGACATTGTCGAAGATTCGGTCCAACCCGTTTCGGAGACCCAGAAGCTTGGTTTTCAAACCGGTCAGACCCTGAAGAAACCCCAGAGACGGGTATAGATCCGCGAGGTTGAACCCGACCACGGCTTGAACCGCGGCTTGAGTCAAACCCAGGAACTCGTCCTATCGACGCACTGGTACCCGAACGCGGTTTTGCAGGTAATCGTATTGGTCAGACCGAGAAACGTCTAGGTTATGTTGACTGGTCTCCCGACCGATTTCCTGACTGACCCGATGAAGTACATTTTCCTCATTGATTTCTGTCGATTATTCATGCAAATTCATTTATATACATACACACATGTTTTCGCTCTGTTTAATGATGAAATATTATACATATATATAGGTAAGGTTAGTGTATTTCGTAAGTATACGATACTCCAAAGATAGTACTAATTAATGAGATATCTCTATCTACATCTTGAACTAAACCGAATTTAAGGTATCGACAATAATATATAGTGGATCAACTCGATTCTATAAACTCAAATAGTGAAATTGCGTAGAGTATGATATACTTCATCGGGACACTAATATGACGGTTGTCTGCACGAGACGCATGTATTGTTCAGAATCAACTTAATATATGACGACAACTTTCAGCCACGGCTTCAGATAGTCGCTAATAACGAAAACTTTTCAGCAACCATTTGTTATTTCATTTGCGACCACTATGCGGGAAACGACAAATCCTGGTCGCTAAAATTATTAAACATTTGCTCGGAGATTCTGGGACCATTTTTCTTTATAACAAGACACGATCACAAACGTACAAATTCTATGTGATATGGCAATGGTCGTGGCCTCGTGGGAGCTACATGTCACGCCTGGCTGGCCGGCGGCCGCTACATCTTGGAAGATGGGGTGGACGGACGCAATGGATGGGGTGGACGGGTTTTCGTATCAAATTGATCTATTCGCTTATTAATGAGTTTGAATCGTTTTGACTCGCAATTCACCCATATTTTTTGCGGATCGGGTTGGGTGTGGGTGGCGGATGGGTGCGGTTGGACCGTTGGTTAACTCGCAAAAACAATTCTCCAACTAGCTATTAAGAAAATTGACTAACATTTATAATAAGTTCATAGCAAATCAGTAAATTTGTATCGATTTAGACACTTCGTTCTCACTTTGTCTCAAGTGAATCCATGTAGTATTTGCATAACAAATTTTACTACTCTATCCACCAATTGTGTAGAGAAAACTTACACATTTTGTGATTCTGATAGAAATAATAATTTATAGTTTTCATCTCCAATATCTAATAAATGTTAACAACAATTTGAATTCCAATATCTAATTGATACTACACAACACAGTAACCAATAACAGTAGTCAAAACTATTATTCATTCTCCTCCACCTTTAGAAGTATATGGTTAGACTGTAGTGCGGTTCGAAAATTTGATGAAAATTCGATACTATAAGAAACAACATTTTGTCATGTGAAAATAGGATGCGGGTCATTCGGGTGACCCGCAATCCACCCACCCACATAAATGCGAGTGAGAAATTTGTCAAACCGTAATCCACCCACATCAATCACCCACAACTTGCTCATCGGATTATTTGCACGTGGATCGATGCCAATTCGCGAATTAACCACCCAAGTGCTCACCAGTAACGTAACCAATTGACCAATATATCGAATAATATTTGGAAAACAAAAAAAAAATTGAGTGTTGGATCGTGTCATGGTTGCTGATTCGTACAGAAAGAGGTGAGATACCTATATATAGCATTAGCAGGCAATGGGCACCGAAAAACTGGAAATGAGAAGTCATTTGGAAAAGAATTTCCATTTGTCGTCACAAGAGATCTCACCATGCACACTTTGTTTGACCACGGCTCTATTTAAAGTGGTTCGAGTTTATCCATATTCGTACTCACATAAAAATCAACTAACATATCAAAATTACACTCATATTCTATCAGATTTTGAGTATTCACAATTTGGCCATTTTTCAGAAAAATACTACCGTAAATCACTAGAACGAGAATAATTAGTTAAAAACGTGATTCCCATGACAATATTATGTATAATAAATATCAAATATGAAAAAACTAATTATCATTTTTGAGTGTGTGAGCCTGAGTCATGATTTTTGTGTGGACTATTGACCTATGATTACATGAACATGTGAGTTATGTTTCTTATTGTGAAGTGTTAGCTAAGTTGTTAATCATTTGGACTCAAGCGGATAAGTGTTGCAAGAAAATTATTTTATTAATCATTTGATACGAAGTACTACTTTTGCTTCCATTTCCTAGCTAAACATGCTTAAACAACATTTAAACAAATTAGGCGCTAAACAAAATCCTAACACTTGCCTTATGTCTATCACCTTGTTGACCATACACAAACAAACACACTACGCTTTAATTTCTACTTGCCACGGGAACGGGGATCAGGCATAGGTTTTGTTTCCTCTTGAGCCCGATTTTAAACACCTCTCTCATGTCCAAATCTTCGGGTTTCATTCCGTGGGGCAGTTTCCAGTCGAAATGAAAAAGCAAGTTTGCCAGCGCGAGCTGAACGGTGACCATACCAAACTGTATTCCGGGGCACATCCTTCTTCCGGCGCCAAATGGCAGGAACGTGAAATGTGTTCCTCTGTAGTCGATCGAAGAGCCGAGGAACCTATCCGGGTCGAACTTCTCGGCTTCGGGCCAGTAGCTCGGATCTCTTCCTATGGCCCAGACATTGACCATGATTGGAGTTTTTGTCGGGATCTCGTAGCCATCGATCTCCAGCTTCTCTTGATTTTGCCTTGGAAGCATCGGACCCGGAGGGTGCAACCGAAGAGTCTCGTTGATTACCGCGTTCAAGTACACCAATTCGCTGAGTCCTTCTTCACTAACACGGTCGGGAAAGACACTTCTCACCTCAGTTTGAGCCCTTGCCATTACACTTGGATTTTTCATCATTTCCGACATCGCCCATTCTATTGTTACTGCTGTACTATCAGTCCCACCAATAAAAATATCCTGTGTATATCACAGATGAATCATTAGTCAAACTTTGTACGTTGCGTTGATATCAATACCAATATTTGTAAAATCATACCGTATCGGTGGTCCGATAGAGATACTTACAAGGAGGACAGCCTTGACAGAATCCATGGTCAAGGGGAAGGCCTGGTCAGCATTATTTTGTTGAATGTTGAGAAGAATATCCACCAGATCCTCTGTTGCATCATCACCATGAACCTTTCTAGTTCTAGCTACCATGTGTTGCCTGATGACTTCGTTCAGCACCGAATCCACTGCTCGATGCAGGGCCATAACCCTGGATCGAAACCCGCTGATAATCGGAAGAAATTTTAGCGAAGGAAACATCTTGGAGAGCCCGAAGGCTCCAAACAAACCCATCACACCCTCGACAATCCTGACAAACTCCTCGTTCAGCTCCCGGGACGAGTCCATCCCGAAAGCTGAACGAGAAGTGATCACGTTGGCCAGGGACAACAACAGTGGCTTCAGATCCACTGATTGATGTCCTCTCTCCTTCTGCTGGGAGGTGGTCTCCAATCTCGTGACGAGATTGGAGACCTCCTCCATCCTGATGGAGCGGAACGACATGACACGCCTAGCGCTGAGCAACTCCACCACGCACAGCTTCCTGAGCCGCCTCCACTCCTCCCCGTAGGGGAGGAACACAAGGTTCTTGCAGCCGTAGTGGATGATCTCCCCTACGGCGCTAAATGGCCGCGTGGCGCAGGCCACGTCGTGAACCTTCATCGCCTGCTCTGCGGCTCGGGCGGACGAGAGGTAGACGGTGGTGACCTCGCCGAGCCTGAGCCGCATCACGGGCCCGTGTTCCCGGGCCAGCCGCCGCACCACCTCGTGCGGCGGCAGATGCGTGGTGATGCTCAGCAGCACCAGCTGGTGGAGGTTACCGATGAAGGGCAGCTGCCATGGCCCTGGTGGTGCTAGCTTCTTCTTCTGGTTGTTGTTCTTCCTCTTCCTGCTCGTCAACCACACGCCGGCGACGACGATGAGCAGGAACGGTAGCAAATAGTACCCCAATGCGCTATCCATACTGTGTATTATTGGTTTTCTTTTTCTTCTTCTTCTTCCACTCCTGGCCTCTTTTCTTTCTGATCTATAATTGTATGGCTTTACTATATATAGAAAGCTTTTGCCAGCCGGCCAGCACGCCGAGTTTGAAACTGATATCAGCCCTCACGTCACTTGTATAAGTTACAACTAGAAGTTGATATACTTGTGTGCTCTCTTTGACTGCGATTTTTTTTACCTTTCATAATATCAGTGATCTCCACAAACAAATACACATTGTGTTCTGTAATATTTTCTGTTGTCATTTGTCTCCATGACCAAGTATCATAACACACTTTCTTTCCCATAGCGAACTCCATTACAAAGACTGTATGGCTAGTGTTTTCCCAGTCTTTCCTCATTTGTCTCCATGACCAAGTATGATAACACACTTTCTTTCCCCCAGTCTCTGCTTGTACAAACTCAGGTCCAGAGCCAGATGTAGGATGAAAAGCAATGAGACTTGAGACACCTCACCTCCCGAAGGAATCGAGCTCTGCAGGGGTTGTCTCCGTGTTTCTTTTACAGCGAAACCATGGATTCGCTTTGGGTTTGGGTCATCCATTCGATGATGTCGTAACAAGCATCACGGTTGACAAAATGCCTATCACAAAGAAAAGTTGTGCACATTTTTATTCAGCTTTCTTGTTAGTGTAACAGTTATTGTTCAATCTTTGTCGCTGCTCGATGCAGGTGTCTTTTTTACCTGTTCCTAGCGCGGTACTTCTTGAGCTCAGCAAGTTCTTGCCTGCTAGACGCATCTCTCGGCATTCCAAGAGACTCGGGCACAATAAGATTTTTTGAGTGATCATGGTAAGCATCATGCACAAAGTTCAGAACTCTTTCCTGCAAAAACCAATGTTTGGAAGCACTACTGTCAGACAATGACATGCATATCATTTCATACTTTGGAAGAAGGCACGCAGTTTGGTCCATGGATGACTACCAAGTTCCACGTATGAAGAAAAAAAAAGTATACAGAAATCAAGGACAATAATGAAAGTCAGACATATACATGATTCTACCAATAAGCGTAGACAAAAGTCGAGATCGCGAACAGGTTTGTACTTCAAGAAACCTAGTATGCCATTTCACAATTATGCAGCTCATCAAAGCTCGATCAGAATTCAGAAACAATTAATCTGTTATATAGCACCCTTCTAGGTTATGTTGTGTGGCATAGAGATCCACTTCACAGCCAATAGATTCAAGTTCAGAAAAAAGATATATCTGCCACATAGAGAATGATATATCTACCAACAAAGCAAAGTGCGGAAATACATCGACACTAATCTTACCATAGGCTTAGAAGCATCAAGCCAATGATAGATACGCTCATTACGAAACCATGTCATTTGTCTTTTTGCAAAGTTTCTGCAGAATGCAAGGGTGGTGAAAAACAGACAAATATCAAATAAGCAAAGAAACAAAGTCTTTAGCAGCAGTCATACATTACCCTCCATTAAGATAGAGAAGGAAGTCGAGATAAGTTACCTAGATGCTTTCTGAAAATCAGCCAGAAAGGCATGAAATTCTCCAGGAGAACTCCTGCCTCCTTGATGTTTACAGCTTAAAAGGTACTCCATCGCCTGGAATTAGAAACAACATGAGCAGAAATAGTTGTACAGACTCGATTCAAAAGTATAAACAAAAGGCAAGCACATGTATCACGTGTGGGAGATACTAGCACTGTTCCTCGACTCATGGGAAAAACAGGACTGTAACAGAAAGATTACGAACCGTCTCCTAAGAGGCAATGGCCAAATTTTTTATAACCGATTTGAATTGGAGCAGCTTATGAAATATCCAACCTTGGGTTTATAAGTAACACATTAAAACAAAGCAATAGCATAATTCTCCAAAAGAGCACTTAAATAATGGAGCACACAGTAATACCACCCATACCTGTCTATAACCAATTGCTCGAGTAGCAGAATTGGAATTTGGAAGAAGACCCATGTCAAGTAGCATTTTCGCCTCCAATAAAAACCCGGGACTTTCTACAGCCGAAGCAACAAACATCAGATAATATAATCAGTCATTAATACGGCCACCTTCGCATCAAAGGGACTTTTACGACAGAATATTAGGACGGAATGTAGTAGAGAAATGTTATCTTCATTCACTATGAAGAAACACTAGGTCATCCCACAGTAAATAAGCTCAAGAAATGATAGAGAACATAAAAGGACTTCCATGTGTGATGAGCAGATAGATTGAAGTGAACTTTCAGAACAACTTAATATGGCAATGCCATATCAGAGCTAAGAGGAGTCCGCCCATCCATGGAAACATAGTGACCAAAAAGCATCGAATTAGATTAAAGTCAAATTCCTGAAGTAGCATAGAAGAATGAACTACGTTCCGAAAGGTTTTTGTCCAACATCAACATAAGGACTTGGCCAGTGGAACTCCCGACTGGGTGAATCGTCGAACTGTGGAAGTTCATCAAACGAAGGATAGGCAATCTTGTGACGATAGGAAATCAACGGAGGGACTTATTTCAAGCACTTAGATCCATTAAGCATAAGAAAGAACCTACACGCACGCACAAGACATCCATTCCTCCGAAACTAGAGTTCGGAAATGCTAACGGGCTATATGGCCATAAAATAGCCAGCTTCTTTAGCCATACTATCTACTTTCACAACTCTAGTCCCATGGAAGGAGCTTGACACAAAACTTCGATGACCATTTTAGTAGCTATAGCTACCAATATATCTTCAGAGCAAGATTTAGAAATTGTCATCAGAACAAAACAATCTATATCTTGACAGATAGAGGCTCTGAAGAAAATTGGCAAACAAGCTTTTCCCTGAGAGTTTAATGAGGAAATAAAATTAGCAAGATATGGATGACATACCTGAAAGCATTACTTCACATCGGTAATCAATTGACCTGTATAGATCAAGTCTGGGGCTTGAGAGGAAAAAACAATTAAACTCATAGTCTAAATCATTTGAATTTACATCCTTAGATGAACCATCGATGGATGAGTTGCTTGTTGAATTTGATATAGATTGTTCCTTGAAAGAATCATACGGAACTTGAAAAGCAGATGGAGGCAATCCACTAGCCTGCCATAGCAAAAGATGTAAACAAAGATCAAAGGAAACACAAACCCCTAATCCCATTCTCAGAAGCAGGCTATGAACACTATGGGGGATTGAAGGAACAATGCCAAGGACCCAGGAAGAGACTCAGAAGGCCAGGTTACAAATTAAAACCTTGATTATCTCTAGACTGCGTCGCAACCTGTACCAATCATTGGTGGCTAAATCTTGTGCCTTTGGATCACCTGCTTTGACCACTAACTGCACTGCAGCATCCCAATCATCACTTCTCTCGAGTTCAGCAAGTTCAGAGTAAACTTGAGAGGCAACTTCTATCGAAGCTTGTGGAACATCAGGTTTCCCATATACATACCTAACAGTTCGGTCAAAGGAATCTTAACGAATATCAGTGTGTATCAGCATGTCAAAATATGTCCGCATAGCATGAAATATTGGTTTGATAGCATCGGATTCAAGGTCATACAGTCAAGAACTCCTTGAAAATCTGAATTAAAAGAAAAAAATTACAAATACAAATACCATCGCAAGTACAGTCCGGTCCCACCAACAACTATTGGAACGCGGCCACGGTTGAGAATGTCTTGTGTGACCTGCCGTGCATCTCTAAAGAATTTTCCAACTGAATAATCTGGCAAGATTTTTAAGTAAATGCCATCATGGTAAACATGACAAATATAAAGTTAAAAACTATCCCAAGACAGTATCCATAATACCATAGTAATCAAGCTTTATTGGCAACAGACGAATGCTGCTTAGACCTACCATCGGACGGGTTTAGTATGTCAACCAGATGGTGTGGCACTTCCTGCGTGGCAAAAAGGTAGTAAAATCAATGCAACAATTAAGTAAAACTATCCCAAGACAGTATCCATAATACCTAGAGTCTAATATATATTACTCGTCAGCTGACTGAGCACAACTGCCCAGGATCAAACATTTCTACACAGAGCTATTCAATTCCATTCTATGTCTTTCAAGGGTAAGAGCACTCAACGCAGCAAGCGCTAGAAGATCATTAGATTAAGAAACAAACTAGTGTTGTTGTCATTCTAGCCGATGACTATTAGGATCTTCTGGAATCAGGTTATTTGGGGGTCTTCGTATATAGATAATTGATTCTTAACCATCATCCAATATACCCATTCAAAAGAACAAAAATGCAAGCATTCAAATGAATATGGCTATAACGGCAAACACCACTGAACCAACTGCTCAGAAATGACTCTGCCACTTTTTCCCTTGAGCAAACTGACTTGTTTGAATTATATTATGCGTACCTACCATTATTGAGTCAATGTTGTATACTTAGTTGACAATGTGTTTACATTCATGCCCAGAAAACAAATTTTAAAGCAAAACTCTGAATTAAATGGACAGGCAGAATAAAGCCTTCGACTTCAATGAGAAAGCACCTGTCTTTCACTCTTAGAAGGTTTCGCTGATCCAACATCCAGACCACGATATACCTGCAGAAAACAAGCGACCAAGCTCATTACTTTTCAACACTCTTGATAGGAAACTCCCCTAAGCAGAAAGAGAATCCAAAACTTAAGCCCTCTTCCTTTTATAGCATAATACATGAATGATCCTTTGCATTCTCTCTTCTCCCTAATTCTTCTGCGTTCTTAGAATTAGAATACTAGCTTTCCATACATAAACCAGCATTAATTCAAATGAAATCCCCCCCTTTTTCTAACCATGTTTCAGCAGCTAAAATGTAAGCAGCTATTAGACCTACTAGTGCTTTCAGTCACTGGCAATGTCAACCAAACAATTGAGAGAAAGGGTAAAAACCATATTCAAACCCAGCACAAAAGCCGAATTCGTGACGCTTAAGTGAATTCCGCCATCGATTGAATTGAATCCAGCTCAAAAACGAACCTTGTTCAACAGCAAATCACAAACTCTACCCTATTGATTTGACAGGCAAAGAAAGAAAGAAAAGGAGTGTCGACGGCGAGAAGGTTAACCTGGACGGAGTCAGCACTTATGATTTCTCCCTGAAGCTGCTTGGCGAGTTCCAAGGCGAGTCTGCTCTTTCCGGCGCCGGTGGGGCCGGAAATCACGATTACCTTATCTTTCCTTGCCGCTGCGGTGGCGGCGCAACCGGTTGTTGTAAACCTCCGGCAGAACCGGAGTAGAACACGCCGACGGGAGGAAGGGAACGGCGAAGGAAGGAGTAAACGGAGGCACCGTATACGGAGGGCAGAAGCTGACAGTTCGCCGGCTAGCATTTTTCCGGTAATCCTATTTCAGTAGGTCGAGCAGCAATTTAGCCTTTTTGGCGGCACGAAGTCTATCGCCAGGAAGGGATTAATTTCATAAATAGTCACTAAAGTTTGATTCACTAACAAAGCGGTTATTTAATTTTACGTTTTTGGCATTTTTGGTATGCGTATTATAGAAATCTTGCAACGAGGTCCTTTTTCTTATTTATATCGTCATATTTAAAATAAAACAGAATATTATATAATCTCATTGAGAGGTGAGTGGCTCATTGCATCGAGACTATCACTCACTCATTTCCCCAAATTCTCCGCCCTCCAAATTTCCTCCATCGCCGTTTCTTCTCGAAGATGAATTCGATGCTCAGATCCGCCAGAACCCTTGCCACCACGGCCTCGCGATCTTCCATCCTCCGCCGTGGCTACTCATCGGAGTCCGTTCCTGACCGCAAGGTCGCCATCCTCGGCGCGGCTGGAGGGATCGGCCAGCCGCTCTCCCTGCTCATGAAGCTCAACCCTCTCGTCTCCAACCTCGCCCTCTACGATATCGCCAACACCCCCGGTGTCGCCGCCGATGTCAGCCACATCAACACCAGATCTGAGGTACTCGATCGTTGTTTCCGCATTTGAATTTCATATCGATCTTCTAGTTTCTTCTTTCTCGTAACGGTGGGCTTTTAGTTTAGCTGTCGATTAGGGTTGGGTTGTCTTTTTTTTTTCTTTGTTTGATGATCCCTTTTCCGTAACTTTGGTGTGTAATTTCCTTCTAAAGTCTCGACCTTTGGCATTGCACTGTCACTTATTTACATTTGTGTGACTACTAGGTCCTAGTGATACTCATTTCCAGATACATTTCAGTTTCTTGCTTTGGTTATGGACTTATGGTGGGCTTACTAGCTCCTGAAGGTGTGAACTTAACCCATTTTGTTTATCTATTGTTTAGGTTACCGGATACTTCGGTGATGACCAACTAGGTAAGGCCTTGGAGGGAGCCGATGTTGTGATCATTCCAGCTGGGGTGCCAAGGAAGCCTGGAATGACACGTGATGATCTCTTCAACATTAACGCTGGGATTGTGAAAGGTCTCTGTGAAGCAATTGCCAAGTACTGCCCCCATGTGAGTATTGAATTGCTGATCTTGATTAACTCCCTGGTGATTCTTTGCTCTGTCTGTCTTATGATCCTTATGCTGACTGGTGCTTGGAATTAGGCGCTCATAAATATGATCAGCAACCCAGTGAACTCAACTGTTCCAATTGCTGCTGAGGTTTTCAAGAAAGCTGGAACTTATGATGAGAAAAGGTTGTTTGGGGTTACTACTCTTGATGTTGTTAGGGCCAAGACATTCTATGCTGGGAAGGCCAGAGTCCCCGTTGCAGGTCTGTATTCCTGATCCTTACATAGTGGATGTGTTTCTTTTCTGACATTCTCCTCTAAGGTTTAGCTGCTGAAATAAATTGGATGCGGAAATAACCAAGTAGGATGCTTTATCACAATTGTTGTTTGGAGGATGACATGAAGGGAAATAGAACTGGAATAATATACTATTTTATTGTTAAGCTTTCTCTCTTGATAATGGTTTCACTGGTACCCTGTTTTGATACTTGTTGCTGAATGGACCTAGTAGAATCTTATGAACTCACTCAGTGGTGATACATTTACCAAGTTAACTTAAAGGTTTGTGCACCTTTTTGTTCAGGGGTTAATGTTCCAGTTGTTGGTGGACATGCTGGTGTTACCATTCTCCCATTGTTTTCCCAGGTACTAGTGCCTCCCCGCTCCTCTTTCTTTTTTTTTTTTTTCCCTTTCGTATGCTTACTTAGATGTTTCCCCCTCCACTTTACCCTGTCTTTTCTTATTGCCATACTTTGTATAGGCTGCTCATATTATTTATACTTCTTTCTGAGTATCTTGCTTGCTGAGTTGACCGTATTGTCTGTTTTCATCATAGGCCACCCCAAAAGCCAATGTATCAGAAGAGGAAATTGTCGCTCTTACTAAGAGAACTCAAGATGGTGGCACAGAAGTTGTGGAAGCTAAGGCTGGAAAGGGTTCCGCTACTTTGTCTATGGCGTAAGTTGTACTGTGAATGAATGCACATGCCTCTGCCTGTTTGAACTCTAAAAAAAAAAAAAAATCATTGTTCTACCAAATAAATATATAATTTAGAGAATTGGGTTCTTTAAGTTGGCCTGTCATTGTGTCCTTTTCTGAGTTTTTCTTTCTCCAACCATGAATTGGTTTGTCTAAGATGCGTGAAGATTGCAATTTCTTTGATCCTGTTATATATGTATATGTTGCCTTATTGTCAACTGAGCTATCATTTTGAATGCTACTGGTTATTAACCATCTGCAATCTTCCGTTTTGCAGCTATGCTGGTGCCCTTTTTGCCGATGCATGCTTGAAGGGTCTCAATGGTGTTCCTGATGTGGTTGAATGCACGTTTGTTCAATCAAATGTCACTGACCTTCCTTTCTTTGCTTCCAAGGTGACGAAACAAAGTTTTTGCTAGTGTCTGAATTTAATTCATATAATTTTACTGCTAGTTAGTAATTGAACTGATCTTGTCAATATACTGTATCTTTGCAGGTAAGACTTGGCAAGAACGGTGTTGATGAAGTCCTCGGATTGGGACCTCTCTCCGACTTCGAGAAAGAAGGGTTGGAAAAGCTGAAGCCGGAGCTGCTTTCCTCCATCGAGAAGGGAATCAAGTTTGCAAACAAGTAAAATGGGATCGATCGCAAATCAACATTTTGTGGTCCGTGTTTCACTAGTTTTGTATTCGTTGTAGCAGCCAACAGCATTGGCTCGAGATCTCTGTTAGTTCGGAAGAGTTTATGAAACCATTAAAACTGGACCTCTCTAACAAATAATCCCAGTTGTGTAGGGAGACAAATATTGTTGCTGGCTTTTGTTCTACATTCCAAATTGGAAGCTTCTTCTCCCACATTCTGTTGGTGGGGCTAAACTGGGATTGGTTCTTCATACATGTTGCATCTGGCGTCCTGGTATAAAATTATGCAATTGTATGGTAACTCTATTGGTTATTTTAGGTTATAGCTATCTAAAATAGTATGCAATTATGCAACTTCACGTTTGTGAAACCTATTCAGCTTGGCATTACTCTGCTAGTTGGACTCGGTGAAAAAAAACCAATACACAGTTGTTTTACTACATCTCTATAACAATTATACTTCATTGACTGTTACAAGGTATAAGTAGCTACAACTCTTCTTCAAACCGCATCGCGTACACCTTAATGACAATTGCCAAGCATCATCCTCAATCAGGCTGTTGTCAATTCAATCAGAAACTCTGATCCAAGTCTGCAAGTCCAGCTCTAAATCAATCCCAGTTACCAAAACTGGTAAGCTGGTGTTGACATCAAGTTTGATTGGGATTTGGCTGTCGCCTTGTCCTCTGCATTCAGAAAGAGATGTGGCTTTGATGAAATTGTTAGCTTAAATCACTGGCGGCTGCTGCACCATGTTGATCAGCATCGGATTTCACTTCTTTGGTTTCTGGCAGCTTGGATCTGGTCAGCAAGTGAATCTCTTTTCAGTTCATCTAGTTCCGTAAGCTCGAAATCTAGCTTCCCCCAGATTGGAGTACAGGAGATCTGCTGATCTGCTTCATTGATCGCTTTCCTACTCTTTGGTTTCTGTCTTCGAATCTGGAAAACAGAAAAGAGACAACAGCACCCAGATGAAAGATCGGAAACCGAATGAACTAGTTCCTATACCATTCTCATTTCTTGAGCAGGGTAAGCACAAAAAGTTTTCAATTGAGTGGACCTAATTGTACATGCAGCCTTGTGCACTTCTTCAAGAACTGCTTGTCAATGAATATTCACTTATTTTTGCAACTGCACACAAGTATAAAGTTTCTGGTGAGTTTCATCTTCATTTAACATACCTTCACCAATTTCTGCTTTAGTAGGAACTCCTGGGTAACAGGTGACTTCCCTCTGTTCTTCACACTTCTTCTACGGGCCTTACGCCTCATTGCAGCTCTGGCCTTCTCTTTCTCTTCCCTCTCCTTTTTCCTTTGAGCAAGAATAGCAATCTTTTCTTCCTTTTCTTTTGCCAGAGTAGCTGATTTTATCTTTGCCAGCTCCTTTGCAAATGCCTTCTCTGTGGCGAATTGAAGCTGTTGGCGAGTAATTTCTTCTTCTATTTCATTATAGCTATTCCAATTCAGCCTTTGTTCATCAAGACCTCCATCCTTGGCCGCTTTTGCTATGCTTTCCTCCCATGAAAGGAAAAATTTCACTCCCAACCTTTTCGACTTCAAACGTTTGTTCCAGAGTCTTCTAAGTGAAGAGCTTATCTTAGCCTTGATTTCAACACTGGGAAAACAGCAATTATGGTATCCAAAATGCAAGAGAACCCAATCTTAGTAAGTTCAAATATTCGTAAAGTAATGAAATTAAGACAAGTTATAAACTACTAATGACTATATGCATGATGACCAAATCCATGAAGACCGCTACATGGTTCGACATAAAAGCACAAGACTTGTTTTCACATCGACAGGTTTGCAGATCTCAATTGGCAACAGCATATACAGAAAATTCTAGGACAAAAGTCCAGTTCACTATAAACTAGAAACGATTTGATAGCATCCATCAATCAGCGAACTCAACATGTGATGCCCAATTGCCCATATGCTTGATGGCAAGAACAACTACTTTACTGTACATCACAGAGATCATGTCAAATTCGTAGTATGTAGAACAGTAACAGAACTATGAATACAAAAACTGGGTAACAGCATGCTATTAATCACCTATGAGTTCGTGGCTGTTTTCCCATCTTCTTTTTAACCTGAAACCACAGGAAAGAAACAATCATAAAAACAGATGAATGGAAAGACCAAGATAAAGCAGACATGTTTATGTGCCATTGTAGCAAACTAATTGTCTGCCTATAATGATCCAAACTCTACAACAGCAATTAATAATAGAGCCTGCTGTGCATGATCGAACTATCTTAAAGCTAAAAATAATTCTTACATGCCTTCACCTGGGGGTCTCGCAAGGCTTCTATTGTTCTTCGCCTGATCAGTTCCCGAGTCTCTACATCATATAAAAAATGTCAAACTGTATAATGCAGTTTGTTAGAGACTGAAAATATTAGTTCATATGCAAAGGCGGGTGAGGTATTTCACTTCGAGCCAATAATTAATCAGTCATACAATCTGGTGGATTCACTAAATGGAGAAAGACATACCAGCTGAATGCTTTCGCCCTTTGTTCCATGGAACCTTTCCCTTATTCCCATGATCAATCTTTGTTTCTCTTTCCTCGGCATTGTGGCTGCCATTATCTTCACCAAAGTCGCTATAACCACCACGATCATAAGGAAGCTGCTCCTCAGCTGTATAGAGGCCAAGTTTCGAGAGAAAATACCGATCGAATTGCAACGTTTGCTGAACATCGAAACCGACGTTTGTGGCTCCAGAATTCTGAAGTCGTCTTGAGGAACTGAGCGAGGAACACATGGCACATAAGCTTGTCGTGTAAGCCGTACGATGATTCAAAGGCATGACCAGAGGAGAACAAATAGCTTCCACTGCCACATGAGCAGGACTACACGGTAGATTAGGTACTGATGTTTTCCTGGTAGAACAGAAAAGGAAACCGTGGTTATTATTCTTCATCCTATTACATCATGTCCTACAAGCAGAGCTTTTATCAGAGAGTAATGAACACGGGCACACCATACAAACAAACAAACCACTTCCTCTTCTAATCCCGTTTTGGGTGTCGTCCTCTGCTAACACATTCGTTAACTTTGGATGAAAATTCAAACCGAATACGAAATTATCGTGCCATTTTCAACCCTATAATTTGAGCTTCCTGAGCAATTTCCAAAAAATTGAGAAAAGACTGAATCTTTTCCATCCAAATGGCTAAAGATTGGAGCCACATTTAGAGGGCATATCGTCAATAAAGTTACTGTAGCTAACCAACAGACTCACACTCCTGCTACATTGATGCATTCTCTTTCAATCTCTCCCGACTGAAGAAATGGATAACATAACTCCAAGATGCTGGCCAAAAAGGTACGGTTACAAACACTGTGCCAAGTTCAAGGCAAGAAGGAGAGCTCTAGAAATTAAGTACAGAGGGCAATTACGATACAAAGCCAGGTAACTGCCGATGGCACTAGCGAAGCAGGTTTCGGTCTTTTGGGGGAAATGGAAGGAAACCCATAAGCAAACTCATGAATAAGAAACAGGGGAATCGAATTGAGAGAGAAAGAGCACCATTTTACTTACAAATGAAAGAAAGACATTTCCGGGGGAAAGGGCAGTTGACGGCTGAGGGCGACGAGTGAAGAAGGTGACTGATACAGTGACTGCGGAACTTGGAGAAGGAGGAAAGGGAAATGGTCCGGCCAAAGGGCGGAAAGGGAATCCCTTTGAGAATCGATATTGGCCACTCGCTCCAGATTGTTGGCTATTGCAATCGAGGTTTCACATGGAGACTGGAGTATTCAATTTCATACCTCAACTTTAGAGAAAGGACAGCTATAATTCCGAAAAATAAATAAATAACAGTTTGATCCACGATCAACTTCTTCCTAGTTTAAAATTAACCGTCTTGAGCTAATCCTACTTGATTCATTTGATGATTCAAATTATCACATTTCGCACAAAGATAAATTGTAGATTGATTTGATTTTTAATTTCAGTGGTTATAGAACAAAATTCAATATTATTTGTTGATTATCCATAAAGATAAAAAAAAAGGCATATATGTGCAAACTTCAAATTCATGAATTGGATTTTATTTGAGAAGAGCTTATACATATGATGCAACGGTAAACAAATATATCTTTGAATCTCTTCGGACAACTTGCAAGTTATTGCGGTACTGACAGTTTGACACGATTCCCAATTACACAATACACAAATCATTCATGGTAGTTTGAGACAAATAAATCTTTTATTGCCAACATTGGGAACACATATGCATAACACACACATTTTGTCATTGATTGGTGTAGTAATGTCTCCTCTAGATGGACTTTAGGTATACTTGATCAAACATTCTCCCTTTTTATGTTTTTTTTCTATTTTTTGAAGGGCACTTCCAATGGCAAAGAGCAGCATGCAGCCTATCTTAAAACAAATAACCCAAACTACACCCAAGTCTTGAATATATAAAAACCCATACTCCAATTCTCGCGCGCGTAACAATTCATATCCAATCCATCAATCCACAATCCACCACGAATGACAATCAGAGCTTATCGGGGATCTTGGTCTGAGCCTCCTGGAGCGTGATCCCCATCTCCTCCATGAGCTTCTCGCACCGTGGGTCTGTGGTGGACGTCATGTAGCCGATCGGGTTCGCGTAGCGCGTGGCCTGCACCACCCCCATGTTGTCCGTGAGCAGCACCCTGGCTCGGTCGATGAAATGGAACTTATCCTTGCAGTTGTCCAACGGGCTCCTCAACAACTTCACCTGTGTACGTCACACACATTTAATCAACACAGGAACATAATTACTCCCCATAATTAAAACGCGCGCGAGTTCCACTAAAATAATGATTTTCATTTATTAATATGATCCTTTTTTTATTACGACTTTCAAAGCTATTCACACCAACAATCACCTCGCAGATGTCCTCCTCGTGGTCGGCCTCCACCGGCAGCCGGTACGTCCCGGTCTTGTCGGTGTCGCCCTCCACCATGTACGTCATCGTGTTGTTGTCCCTGCACCGGCACTGCAGGTTCACCCTGGCGCCGGCGATCATGGTGCTGATCTTCGTCGGGAACTCGACGCGGCACGGGTCGCAGTAGACCTTGCCCTCTACGAACATCTTGTCCTGTGCATCGACGACGGCGGCGGCGGAGGCGAGAAGGAAGACGGCGGCGGAGAGGAGGACGGCGGCTGCAGCAGTCTTTGCCATTGGTTGTTGTTGATCTCGGAGGGATATTTTTGAGAGGGAAAGATATCTCTCTTTGTATACTTGATGAGGGAATTTGCAGAGGAAATGTGCTCTGTTTTATACAGAAAAATTATTTGGGAAGAAAGTGGTTTTCATCTTGCTCTGAGGTTCATTTTTCCAGCTTTCCTATTTTAAGGCGGGTGATTTGGTTTCGAATTGTAGGGTTTATAATCTACTGGCGACTGGTTCAACTATTTTCGATTTCCAGTGATAATATTTTTGACAAATTTTTGGTTTTATCTGTTTTTTGTATTCTTCCCCTGTTTTCTCAGAAACAGAGAGCTAAGATTAGTTTGAACTTTTAATTAAGTTCGAGGTTGCATGGTGATAGATAGCATAGTTAGTAAAAGTTACGTATAAAATACATACGGGTATTAAACTTCGTCTTTTAGCTAATGTTACGTTTAATAGTACGTTAATAGTCATAAATATATTAAATTAATTATGTTTATAAATAAATAAATTTGTAAAAAATAGTAATGTTAATAATTTAATTCATTAAATACGGATATAAAACGTGTTATACGGGTTTTATACGTGTTTAGTAAGGAAGCCGTCAAATGAACGGAAACAAATGAAACGACTTGACAATAATACGGATACGGAAGTTTTAAACGGAAACAAATGATGAAAATAAAACGAGAGAGGAGACTTGGAGAACACTCCATCTATAAGGGTTTCCAAGAAATGTAATACAAAGCTAAAAACTAGCATTCTCTATACGACAACACATTCTCTATATTAGGTTGCAGGGGAGAGGGCCTGAGAACGGAAGGAGGTAAGGGAAAATGTTAGACCAAATACATCAATGCCACTCTTGCAAGCAACTCCTAACTGGAGACACCAGGAGGAATGCTCTGAGCAGTTAAGCCGGTTGCCGGTACAGAAACAATAGGGTTAGGGACCAGCCCGGGTTTTACAGCATTCACCATGATGTTGCTGCTGCTGCTGCTTTCGACGGGTTTCGGTTCCATTGCGATTTGGGTTGCTGTGAAGGTAGTATTAGGCTTTGGCATGGCTTCTGTGGTAGTCGCAGAGGTCTTTTGGATGCCACTAGTACTAGATTGATCTCCACCGGCTTTCAGCTGGTCGTGACTTAATGATTCTGTTGCTGCGTGAAGTTGTTGCAATCGGTAATCAGTTTCAGGTCTTCGGCAAACTTTTCTGAGAGGCACGATTTCCTGAATGGAAAGAGGAAAACACACGCGATGAGAAGTAGCATAGTGATTGCTAGGGTTGACAAATGAAATGAAAAGAATTACTGGTCCTAGTGCTCGTTACAGTCAAATGTTTACGCCAAGTAATTGGAGTTTGGACAAATCTTTTCTTCGATGGCTAATTGAGCTCCAGAGATTCTAGAAGTTAATTCCAAGTATGAATAGCTAGGTAATGATCCTTTCTTATAAGGTTGATAGTACAGCATCAAACATTCAGAAGGTAATCCCTAAGTAATGAAAGCACTAATTATCTACACAGGAGCTAACACAAATTTGAAAAGATTATAAGCCAGTCAGATATTTTGTTTTTACTCCTTACTGAGGAATAATTCAAGACCTATACAATGCAGAACATCCAGGATTTGAATTGCCACCTTGAGAAAAATGAATCTGAAGATGAATGATTCACAATCAAGGACACGAGAATGAGTGTGATTGTTGGTAGTCTGGTAGATAAGGCTCATCATGGAGCAGCTTGATTTCGGAAAAGGTTTAATAGTACCAAAGACCCATTTAAACTGAACTAGCAAGAGCAAATACTAGCACACAGGGGTCGCAGTTGTTTAAGTAGCTAGGACTAGACAAACAGAAGAAAACTGCAGGTAAAGAATTTACTTAAAATACTACTTAGTAAGGTTGACAAGCACCACAAATGTTTTACAAGTCACAAAGACCACAACTACAATGTGAAGAAATAATGGGAAGGTGAAGAGCCATACCTCAGATTGATCATGATCATAACGCACCAAAAACCTACAACGGCAACCTCTTACATCATGTCGCCTTCTTTGTGCATCCAGAACATGTGCATCGTAGTATAGTGCTTGATCTTTGCCTTCCTGAAACAAGGTAAGCCCGGTCAACATAAAAGTCAGGAAGGGAGACCAGAACCAAGAAAATCATCCTTCTGAAGTTGATTTAAACAATAGGCTCCACAAACAGTCACTAGTAAAAAGACATTGCATAACAGGTTACCTGGAAACACAGAATTAGGTCTCCAGGAAGAACCGCAACGCATTCAGATGCTTCACATGGGAGGGAACGCTGCCTTACACTCTTGCGAACATTGAGCCACTCATCCTCATCTGGTCCAAAACCAGAAAAACGAACAAGTACTTCCTGAAATTCCCCAAGCAGTATCAAATGAGAAAGCAAATTGTTAAAGGATCAAAAGCAGATAGCCCCCTGAAAGAAAAGAAAAAAAAAAAGAGAGCACTTTAAGCACGTTCTCTCATTTTTTCTTCTTTTCCTAGTTATATGAATATAACTAAGATGAATTGGTGGCATGATATTATGTAAAATGAAATGTCTTAAGCAGAGTATCAAGAAAAACTTTCAATAACCATCCATGTTAAACATAACCCAAAGCAAATGAGTTGCATGTTACCGGATCACCCGTGTCCAGGTATCTATGAGACAGGAATGTCGCAACGTCGTACCTGAAAAGAGCCAAAACTCATTAGGGATTGAGGACACTTAACCCCAATAAAACACAAAGAGAGGTTGCAAGAAGCCATAATGTGATTTGCTTCACTTCATAAGCTAAATGACTCGAGTCACCCACCATGCACCATCTCTAGCAGATTTGGCTTCAAATTCCATGTATGTATTTTCTGGAGTCACCCTTCCTGGAATTGAAACTGTGCAAAGAAAAGGCAAAGATTACAAAGAAAACTTAAAAATCGCAGCTCAAATCTTCAGCTTCAAGCTGCCATTCAATGCAATGAAGTTGATGATTAATCAGGATGCATTGCAGCACTTAAATTGAACAAAAACTCATAATCATTGCTGCAGATCAATCATGGAAATTGTGAAGAACAAAAATGGTGGAATATCTTAAATGTCTTCATATGAAACCAAGAACAAGTAAAGATAATCAGGATATCTGGAGAAGAAAAAATTTGAAAAGTCAAATTTAAATAAATAAGCTTATATTTCCAAGGCTTTAAACATTTAAAATTAGCACACCTGAAGGAGCAGCCATGCTAGTAGTTGCATGAATAGACGCAGGAGTAGCTACAGGTTGTGGAACATTTTTAATTGTATGTAGATCATCCCGTTGCACTGGTGTTATATTTAACTTTGCTGGCGACTTGCTTTGTTTGGCTCTTATAGCATAACGCCTGTTTTGGAACCAGTTCCATACCTGTGATTCAAATCCCACTCAGACAACACCCTGAAACCTCTCAGAATATAGGAACAGGAACAGGGACTGAACTATCTTACCTGCTTCATTTGCACCGAGATCTTCCCTTTTCTCTCTGGAGATTCACTGTCATCAGAAAACAATGCCCGAAATTTTCATTCTCCAGAGTTTTCCGTTTCAGAATTCATGATTGGTAGGTAAGAAGCACTCTGAAATTATAAGAACAAACCTGAACCTCTCAGCAAGAGCCACAAGAACCTCACGAGCTGGCATTACTTGCTTGTGGTGTTGCAGAATTGCTTCCATCTCCGCAACCTAACAAAAAAAGAGCACCATACAGTATGTTATTCCAAGTTTTTACCCGGTAACTAACTCTCTAGCACCACGGCAACAGCTCAAGGATCTACACTCCTCAAAAGAAGAACACAGCAGATAGCCTTCCAGTCTTCCATCCCATGTTTCTTCTAATAGAACCCAACAACTCAGAAACGCAGAAAACTATCACCGCTAGCATTCTGCTACTTCATCATTCAACAAAGGGCGGCATTTAATTAGCACAGCCAAGTTACATCTGATGAGAGGAAGAGCAAAAAAACCCAACTTCGGGTAACTAATTCAATGAACTACCACGCTACGAAACTTGGCCTTTTAATGTTCAGTCCAACCTAAAAACGCCATTAAATTGGAATCCGGAAGCGAGCAATCAAGACGCCACAACCATCAAAAGGATAAGGGGAAACAGATACTAACATTCAAACGCGGAATGAATTCAAAATGAGGAAAATGGAACAGACCTCGGCGTGGGTGAAGCGAAATGCAGGACCGCCATTGCTGGGAGGTCGACCCATGGCTTCGCTACTTGCCTCTGCAGCTCTTCGAAAAAAGATGCGCCGAATTCAAATAAGCACTGCAACGGCTGATCGGAATCTGAAAGCTCGCCGTCTAATTGATCGTCTCCCGGGAGGATTTCTTTCGATTGTGGGCTCAGTTTCGATGAAGAACAGAAACTAAAAGAGAGAAATAAAAACCATTATATCCCCACGGCAAAAAAACGAGCTTACATATCAGTACCCCATGTTTTAAGTTATATCATTTCACTCCAACAACAATGAAAAAAGAGATAATACCTCCACAATTACTCAATTAATGATCATTTTTTATACGTTCTTCATAATTGAGTTACCATTTAGCTATTAAACCCAAATAGACCGGAGAAAATAAATAAATCGAGATGTTATTTGCTCACGGCTCACGCCACTGAGACGCCGGTCCTCCAGTTAACTGAAAGCGGCCGATTTAGTTGCTCCGATCAGCGCCTCGCAGGCGAAAAATGGTGTTCGAGGCGACGGATGAAGTCCTACAAGTGTTGAATTCTTCTCTTTCTCACTTAAAATGGCGCCTTAAATCTCCAGCCAAGCGCCGCCTCGAGATAGGTCCGCTCTTGAATCAAACCTCTCCCAAACCTACAAATTGAAAGCTCGGCTTGATCTCTGGCTTTGAGATGGCGGGATGTGCTTTAATTGAATTCCTGTTTTTTCTTTTCCGTTCTTGCAGATGTTCTTGCATTACTGACAGGAATGAGACCAGTGATAATGGTCGATTATGGCGGGAAGATGCCCGAATTGCAGCAACACCTTTGTTCACTCGTCAAACAATGCCACCAGGTTCAACTGTTTTCGTAATGCGCTGCATAGTTGCCAGAAACCTAGCTTGAGTTTGTGTTATCATGCATTAGAAAAATGTTCTTCTGGAATTGGAGCTAAGAACAAATTTTGTTGCCCCCTAGAGCCTGTTAAATGCTTACTAGTCACTTCCGTTTAGGGTTTCCCAGGCTAATGTGCTGTCTGGATGAAGTTGTGACCTTGGCTTCTTCCTTTCCTGATCAGGAGTCTGCGGTTTTCGAATGCCTAAGAGTGATGGTTGTGGATGATATGATCTATCTGATACACACTAAAGGACTTGCAGAGTATGTCAGTACAAGCTTGAACTCAGAAGCGGAATTGATTTTTGTCAACCTGGAGCAGGATCCACTGGAGGTTGGTTTGCTAACTCGAATCCATTTCGCTAATCGTGCTATCTGGTTCATACGTCGAGGGTTTCATTTACGTTCTCCAGATGGTTTCGCAAAAGCACGAATGCCCCTTGGGAGCTGAATTCCTGAAGCTGCAGAGAATGTTCTCCCTATTCTTTCCCATTGATGAAGCGAAAGATGTTGCCTTGTTGCCCGATGTGAGAGATACTGTGGTCAATACCGAACCTAGCACTTCTTTATCTGATGGACACATTGATCTCAGCAGTTGCATGAAAGATACTCAGATCACAGTGCCGACTCTAAATGGGTCAGTAATATATACACTACACACATTCTCTTATCCGATCCTAGATGGAAGATGATTCTTCCTCTCCTTGCGAAATTGTTTCAGTTGTACACTACGTGGATTTTGAAGTTGGGCGACATTTCGTTCAAACATCTATTTTTCATTTCCAGATGGCTTCTTGGCTACCCTGTAGTGTATTTGTTCGGCAAGGAGTTCATATCAGAAGCAATATGTAATCTGTCAACGAAGAATCTGCATCTCTTCAGAATATTAGTCCGCAGGTTTGTTTGCCCTTCCTGGTCTCAGTTTTCTGTAGCTAAATGTATAGAAAGCATTGAGAAGGAAGGATGAAGATGGGGGGCTAATATGGAATCATGGTTTTGTTCCTGCAGAGGCAATGCTGCATCCAGTAAGGGATCCCAGCCTGAAGAACTAATGAGGTAAATATTATCCTTAATGTGCAATGGTCCAACTTCTGACTGTGGAAAGCTAGCTAGTTAGGTTTGTCAGTAATCTCTGGATGAATGAATTGATAACTTAGTTGAGTCAGTATCGATGCATTGACATGATTCTTGCTTAGCCTGAAATTCTATTAGTTGTGATGCCAGTTTCTTTGTGTACTACTAAGCATAAATTGTTGCAACAGTTTCTCAGTGCCGTACGAGCTGAGTATGCGGGGAAGGAAGGAGCCATGGGCCGAGGCATTTCTGGAGCGGCTGCAGTGCAAGTGGCAGAACTGCAAGCAGACTTGGGTGTCTTTGGAAATGGAGGTCGATGAGTGCTACCCTCAAGCAATAGTGCTGTAAAACTCCTCGAATTCGGAACACGATCTGATCTCACCTTGTCGTCGGCTATAGCACAACGAAGTCTCGAGGCAATGCTCAAAACTTTCATCAATCAAACTCAACGGATAATTTAGCAGTTGTGTAATTCCTTTCCTCCTTGATTAAGCGATTGGTGTTGTATGCTCATTGTATCAACTATTGTCTACTGGGATATAAATTCTCGTATTAACATCAAGAATGGGCTCGGTGCCAGAAGCCCAAAATGTAGAAATGGTTTGATAGGTCCCGTTGGATAAATGGGCTTCGTGCAGGAGGCCCAAAATGAGTTTCTCCCCCGGGGCCCGTTTTGATCTTCTTCTTACGTTTGCCTATTTATGTAGTACTCGACGAAAGCTTTGGAGCGTGAGCTTGATCACAATTCACAGACCACGATCGAAGAGAGGAAGAAGAAGAAGCAGGAAGAAACACAGGAGGAAAGCAGGACAAAATGTCAGGAGGAATCTCGCAGGACTGGGAACCCATCGTCATCCGCAAGAAGGCTCCGACCTCCGCTGCCAAGAAGGATGAGAAGGTCGTGAACGCTGCTCGCCGCGCCGGAGTTGAGATTGAGACCATCAAGAAATGTTAGTTCTCACTTCTCCCTTCGTCTTCGTTTATTTTCGTTTGCTTTTTGTGGCTCTCTACTAGTCTCCGTTTCATCTTTCGTTCTTCCCTTCACTTACAAAGATCGCTGGAATCGTTTGTTGTTATTTTGGATTTCTGGAGAAACAGTAGAATTTTGGTGAGGTAATCGGTGAACAGAGTTAGGTTTCTCGCTGATTGATGGTTTGCTATCGATGGAGAGTTAGGGTGTTGTTTGCTGTATTTTATGTTCTGTTTTATCTCTCTTTTCCTGCGATTGTTGATGGAGATTAAAGACGTGGTGAATGAACTCCATGCTAGTAAATCTCTTTCACTCTTTGTAGGAACTTGCATGAAAGCTTAGGATAGGTAGTTTATTTGTTGATCAATGTGTTGGAAGTTCTGAGGTGTTTTCCCGGCCACATTCTGGGAAGAAGTGATCTAATGTTTGTGTTTGTGTGATTTATGTAGCAAATGCTGGCTCGAACAAGGCGGCCTCTAGCAGTACTACCTTGAACACCAGGAAGCTTGATGAAGAGACTGAGATTGTTGCTCGTGAGTATTCTCCTCTTCATGTTCATTTTGTTTCCATATTATGTATTGTTTTGCCCTCGATTTCTCAGTTAGTTTGTAGATATTGCAACATGGTACTCGTAACGCGCTTTCTGTTTGACGTCGAGAATCATCCAATCATAAGCTAGAGTATAGTGGTTGAATTTCTTATGTATTGCAATCCTTGAATAATTACAGATGGTTGAACACAACAGTTTAGGCAACTTCTCCAATATGAAGTCTTGTTTGAGCTATATGGTTTTTGGGATATTTGGGGTTGCAACCGAACCTGCAGAAGGTTGTAGGTCCTTCTTGGTTAGAAATCACTGAAAATGTTATAGTTGTTTTCTTCTGTGTTGGATCGAGGGTGACTTGATAATCCTGGCAAATGAAAATAGTTCAATCTGGTGGCTTTGATGTTAAACTTGGGCTTCCTTTCCGGTCTACGTATTAGAGTATCATAGAGGAGGACAAATCTATAATTCTTTTGCAGATTGTTGTTTAGAGTCTGGTTTTAAATTTGCTTTATTGTCTTTGTGTTTCTGATGAGTAATCAAAGATTCTTGGTCCATCAAAAGTTGGAAAGGGACAAACCACCAGATGGTGGGTAAATGGAGTGGTACTTTAAGGTGGAAATAAGAGTTTTGTTCCGTTTGCAACATTGAGAAAGAATCTGTTCCTTTCTGCTAGCTGTGTGAAGGTTATTTGGAGGTGTGTGATTTCTTTCCTCCTCACCTTTGTGGTTGGAAATATTTTGGGAAAAAGAATTAATCATGAAGTCTGTATCTGAATCGATTCAAGATATTCACCTTTGATATTTGAAGTTATCCATCCCTGCAAGGATTGGTCTGCAGATATATTCTACTGCAGATCTTGAAAAATCCTCTTTTCCTTGCTGCCAAGAGTTGCACATCTACCACTTTAGCTATAGATTAACTCAGCATGGTTCCCTTTTGCTTTTCTGAGTTGCTCCTGTTCTACCTTATGATGCAATGAGATCAATACCGTGGCGGTCAGATCATTGCCAGTATCCAATAAATCATTTGTAACTAATTGGCTTTTATGTGCTACGTTAGCGACTATGCATTTTTAGCACTATTTGTGATGATGGTCGCTTGTAACGTGAACAGATGAGCGAGTGCCAAGCGAACTGAAGAAGGCCATCATGCAAGGTCGAATGGACAAGAAGCTTACTCAGTCTCAACTTGCTCAGGTCTCTCTCTCCCTCTCTCTCAGCACAGTCAAGCTTTTGCATAACAGCAGATATTTAGTTCCTAATGGCTCTCTAATTCTAGTGTCTATGGACTGGATGCAGTTGATCAATGAGAAGCCTCAGATAATTCAGGAGTACGAATCCGGGAAAGCCATTCCTAACCAACAGATCATTAGCAAGTTGGAGCGAGCTCTCGGAGTGAAGTTACGAGGCAAGAAGTGAATCGCTCAGCTCACGAGCATTATCCGATATGGCCCTGGTTCTGAAGTCTTAAAGACCTACTGATGTACATTGAGAACACCTCATCTTTCCGAAATTTCTCTACCCTTCGCCGCCGCGGCTTGTGCCTCTCGGGAAACTGTGTTTTTTGGTGGACTGACGATGCTATGCATGGCAGTGTTTTCCTCTGTCTGTTTGCACTCTAAATCTCCCCCATACCACCATGTTTCCAGTTGAAAATGCAATCTGCAAGCGTTTGTTACCTATGGCTGCTTCTCATTTATACCTAAATCATTGCTGCTAGCTCGAGTTCTGCTTGTTTATATATCAGCCGATCATACCGTGTAAAAACTCGTATCGCTGCTACGATATATAAACACTACTTGAAATAAAGTTCATATCAATCAAGTTGATGAAATTAAGTTGGAAGTATGCAAATATTATTCTACTAACTTGTCTAAAACAAGTTTGAAATACTTTAATATAATTATGCTAACTTGTCTAATACGATCTCCACTATATTATTTCCTTTTTCTTGTTAGAAACAATACGTCTTTTTTCCTTCCGTCAATTTTCGTTTCTTTTTTTAATTTTTGTTTTGTTTCCAAATTCCAATCCATTAATTAAGTTTAAACAAATCAGTTAGCTATTGATATTATTTATGTTATCCCATCACTAATTATCAAAGCGTGGATAAGCAGATTAGCAAATTCGACAATCTACCAGTCTACCACCACCACCCGCCATTTCTGTATCTCCCGCCCGCCTTGCAGCTTCCTGCTGCCGCAAAATTCTTCAGGACTTCTCGCCGGCAGCCGACGTCACCGCCGGCCAGCCGCCGCCTACTCTTCTTCAATCAGCTTCCTTACTCACCACTCTCCGCTTCTCCTCCTCCTCCTCCTCCTCCTCCTCCTCCAATCTCATGACGACATTGACGAGTCTGTTCCTGCCCATTCTTCCCAATCCCTAAAATGCCCTCTGACCTCCTCCCTAATTTCCACTCGGCCGGCGGCGTCTCCTCCCTTTCCTCCGACCGCTCCACCGAATCCGTCGCCTCCCGTGCTTCTTCTTCCTCTCCTTCCGCCGTCCCCGCTCCCCTCGCGGCCTCCTCGGAGGCAGCCATGTGGAATTACTTCTGGATCCCTTTCCTCCTCTCGCTCTCCAAGGAATTGAGCCTGGTCAAAGCATCGGACGCAGTTCAGTCAACGATTCGTCTCCCCAGCCATCTGGCCGATGACTCATCCTCCGCTTCCGACGCCTTCCCGTCGGTTCCAAGCTGTCCGGCGCTGAACCCGAACCTGAACTACCGGCCGGTGATCGGAATCGTCAGTCATCCTGGCGACGGTGCTTCTGGAAGGCTGAGTAACGCGACCGATGCTTCCTATATCGCGGCGTCGTACGTCAAGTTCGTTGAATCGGCCGGCGCCCGCGTCATTCCCCTTATCTATACCGAGCCTGCCGACGTCCTCTTCGAGGTACTTCTTCTTCTTCCGTGGCTCTCTGGCTATTGTTATTGTCATCAGCAATTGAAATTCTAAGACCATCACTAGGGATTATGACAAAATGTTCCTTGTCTGGTTGTACTGCAGAAGCTGAATTTGGTGAATGGAGTCCTCTTCACTGGAGGTTGGGCGAAGAAAGGATTGTACTTCGACCGTGTGAAGGCGATTTTCGAGGTGATTAATTAAGAATGGTTCCTACTGTTATCTAGCTGTTTATCATGGGGACTCTTGCATCTTATTCTGCTCATTATGATCTGGGAATAGATAGGAACATTGACTAATTTGCTTTTAGTGTGTTAACTAACTATGAAGGTCTCTTGGGGTGATAATTACATCAAGTTTGTATCTTGTTAATTACCACCTCGTTACCCTGTTGATGTTGTGTTTAAACATTCAGTCCCCTCTCTATTACCACTGTTCTGCACTTGATTTGTTTAGCTAGACAACTGTCTGATGATGTTGGGGGCTTGATACAAGTAGTTTTATGTTTGATGTCCAGGATCATAGTAAATATAGTAAATAATGATGGTAATGTTTGACTTGCAGAAAGTTCTTGCCAAGAATGATGCCGGACAGCACTTCCCACTTTATGCCATCTGCTTGGGTTTTGAACTCTTGACGATGATTGTTAGTAAGGTTAGCCTTGTTCCATTTCCTTGTTTCCACTTGTAATTGCTCGCTAGCTAAAATTCGTTGTCCTTAGTCTTTTTTTTTTTACATTAAAACTAGCTACTTTTCTACCCTATCACAACTCTATAGAAGGTCCTAGGCATAGTGAGTTAACGCCCCCTCAGAAAATTTGAGTTGGCTTACCGTTTGAGTTATTCAAACGGCTCAATTGTACTATCTCTCTATTCCAGCATGTTATCCCTTGACTAGATGTGTCAGTCAGGCATGAATCTGAGGATGAAATACCAGAATTGAACTGTAATTTTAGAAAATGCTGCTGTGTTTGACTCTTTTTTTTTTTCAATCCATGTTCATCAATCTGTGATGTTACCCTTATTGATCTCACTTTCCCCTTGGTAATAGGACAATAACATTCTGGAATCCTTTAATGCCGAAGATCAGGCTTCCACTCTGCAATTTGTGAAAAGCATAAATACCGAAGGAACTGTGTTTCAAAGGTACATGTGTAAAAGCTTCTTCAGATTTTATTTTTTCCATTTGCAGTGTTGATATCTGAGGAAAACAGAGCCAAAACCAAAATCCATTTTGCTTGTCTGCCAATAGAAGAGAAGTTATATCTCGAGTACATATCATATTTCCTTCCTTTCTGCAAACTTCGGGTATTGGAGCTTCATTCCTAACAACGCTGAGACTGTAGCTTTTGGAGCAAGTTCTTTGCGCTTCGATAAAAATTGATAATTACAATCCTTTCTTTGGACTTTTAGCATTGGGGCTCGTATCTTTGTCAATTTTCTTGCAAAACAATTTGGGGATATCAGTCTGCTTATCTTCTTTCATTATAACAGGTTCCCTCCTGGTCTACTAAAAAGGATGAGTACAGATTGCCTCGTGATGCAAAACCATCATGTGAGTTCAAAAACACTAGTCATAGTTACCCAACTTGGTACTGGTTCGTGTATTAGTTTGGCTGGTGTTGCATAGAATATAATGTATATTGAATTCAGATCCTTTTTACCTCTTACCTAACATTCAATCAAGTTCATATCTCTCCTTTACAAGTCATCCATACAAGCTGCTCCGGCAATTTCACTCTCTCACAGAGCCAAATTCTGTATTTCCTCTACATTAAAGTTCGACATTTGCTTGTGTGATGCTGTATTTATATCTTTATGATCCAATTTGTGATCTTCCCAGCTGATATGCTAAGGAAAAAAAAAAAAAAAAAAAATCCCCCCTCATGCAATTTCTCTTCTGCGTTGCCTCAGTTTGGCATCTCACCTGAAAGGCTTCTGGGGAATCCTGATCTGTCAAGTTTTTTTAAAATCTTGACGACAAGCACAGATGAAAATAATGAGGTAAGAGAATGGAAAGATAATGCTTAGCTTTGCTGCATTATCAATAAATATCTGTTGCTAACACCTTATCAGGTCTATGTATCTACTGTACAAGCAAACAATTATCCAGTGACTGCATTCCAGTGGCATCCAGAGGTACAAACTCTTTTTTGCTCTCTATATTAACTCTAGGAATGGAATGCTGCATGCTGCCCTGGCTTCTCAAAGGTGTCAGCTTTCCCTTTGCAGAAAAATGCTTTTGAGTGGGGTTCGTCAATGATTCCACATTCAGAAGACGCCATTCAAGTGACTCAGAATGTGGCCAACTTTTTTGTCAGGTTAGCAAGTTACTGTGAATAAAGCAATTGCGAGTTTTGGGATTTGGAAATTGGGTTGTTTGGATCTGTGAATTAGAAGTGATTGTTAGTTATGGAGGAGGAGGGTTTGTCAAATCCATTGGACCTACAGCTTTAGCCCTGTCACGGAATCGCAAATGTAAGGATTGGTGGCCTATTTTTGGTCCACCAAATAATAGTTTCTTGACAAACCCTTGCCAGGATTTTATCCTGAAATCCTTGAACAAAATTCATGATTCGAACTACGCCTGAGACCTGAGATATATCTTCCAAGAGCCAATCTGCATTCATCGATTCTTTTTCTCCTTTTCCTTTTCAAATGCCTTGTTGGAAGAAAGAAGTGGAAGGCAAATACTAGGGGAGCCATTGAATCCTGATCTGGATTATGAATCGTTGGTGTGTTTCTCCTGTTGCAGTGAGGCTAGGAAGTCACTGAATCGACCTGCTGCCACGGCAGTGCTGAGCAATCTGATCTACAACTACAGCCCCACTTACTGTGGGATAGCCGGGTAACGTCCCGACATTCGGTTTTCCTGATTCAATTGCTGCTAGGCGGCAAGGTTGATTCTTTGGTTGAGATTTGAACTTCTATTGAATGCTTCTTGTTCCCCATTCTGTTCCCCTTTTGCAGGAAAGGATATGATGAAGTTTACATATTTACTTGAAAACATGATTGGCTTGCAACCATCACCGAGTAAACTCACCTCTGTGCATAAATTGGTCATTGTTCTGCAAGTGTAAAAGAGGGTTGTAATGCCTGGAAATATGTTCAGCAACCCTTATTGTTGTTTGTAATATCTCAGAATACAGATCTGGTGATGTGCCCTTAAATCGTTAAAATAAGGACCATAAATGTGGCCAATTGTAATGAAGAGAAACATGGAGTTGCTTGCATACACTGTTCTTCACCAGCTTGTTCTTTCTGTGTGAATTATTAAATCATCAAACATCGTCGATAGTAACGACTAATCTATTTACAAACTTGTTTATTTGCTGTCTGCGTGTATAGTTCCAAGCCCAAAATTAGAACTAAATGTTATTGACAACTCGTACGGGTGTCCATTTCAATTACCTTATCATTTCAGTTCTCCAAACGATACTTTACTACTGACATAAAAAAAAATCGATATGAGGAGAAATCTGTTTTGCGACAGAATTCTAGCCCCTATAGATACCCGACCAATTCTAGGAGCGTCTAATAAGGGCACACAACCTTGGTGATAATCATTAAGGGGTTACGCAAAAGTGGTGACTGTCAAAATTGAACTACTTATCTTATAGAAAGTTCCATCATTCAACAATCACAATAACATTTACCCTCACATACATTGTCGATTTAACCCTAATCAACACAACTATACACTTATATGATTCGACCTGATTGCCAATCGAACCGAACCGATTCAAACCAAATGGTCAGAACCATGAAAATGAGGTTGGTATGCATAAATGCACGTGTGGGGGGAAGCATCAGCAGATCGGCAGTGTGTCCATTTCCCTTTCTCCCTCCCGCGTCCGCGGCCCCAACTCGGAAGAGCCACGCCAATGTCCGACTCAGTCACTCAGTGAACTGTCTCGTACTCTCGAGTCTCGTGTCTCGTGTCTCCCCTTCTCGGCTTCTCCCAATTCTTTATGTTTCGGTTTCGTTGAAAATGAAATCCAGCCATTAACTTCCCCAATCCCCAAAAACCGTACAGACCCTTCTTCTTCCTTCCTTCCTTCACAGTTCACTCACTCCCATAAATCCCGATCTTCACTCCATTCACAGATCCCCCTTTCTTTCGCTCTCTCTGTCTCCCATAGTCCCATGTCAGCTCCTTCAACTCCCACTCCCCGCTAGCTAAAATCCCCAATAAACCTCCCATGGCGGTTCCAACTGTCCGACCCCAATTCCTCTGCCTCGTCCTCTTCCTCGCCATCACAGCCGTTCACTCCCGATTCCTCTCCTCCTCCGCCGACAACCCATCTCCCGATCTGGTCTCCGATGGCGTTCATGGCGGCGACCGGAACCTAACAAGCCCGTACTACCATCTCCTCCTCAAGTCAGAGGTGCCGGTGGTGACGGAGTCCTGCGAGCAATCCTATGGCTTCATGCCCTGCACCACCACAGCCCTGGGCAACTTCTTCTTGATCATCGTCTATGGCTACCTCATGTTCCTCGCTGCAACTTACTTGTCAAACGGTAGCGAGCTCTTGCTCGAGATTCTGGGGCCTGGGATAGTCGGGGGTCTGTTCCTCCCTGCTCTCGGTGCCCTCCCCGATGCTATGCTCATCATGGGTAAGTTGGATTGAGTTGGAACTCTTTAGGAATGGAGGAATCCTCCATTTTTGATCAATTGAACTCTTTTTTTTTTTCTCTCCCTCATTTCGATTTGGTTATGCTTTTTTGGTGGTGGTGATTTCTAGTGTCTGGGCTTTCTGGGAGTGTGGAGACTGCTCAGAGTCAAGTCTCCGTTGGGATGGGGTTGCTGGCTGGGTCGACTGTCATGCTGCTTACTTTGATCTGGGGGACTTGCATTCTTGTTGGCAAATGTGATATCAGGGAGACGGATTCCATCGCCATTGATGGCCAGGACACCAAAGGGATGCACTTAACTGGTGAGGTTTCACATGATTATCCTGTTCAGTTTTGGTGGATGTATGATCAGTTTTAGCCATGGACAGAACTCAGAAGTTCTTCTTTCTCTATGCGTTTGGAAGTTCATTTCTTCTGCTTCTTGATTGATTTGACTTTATAAAGGCGAGATCTTGTTTCGAGCTGTTGGAGCTTGATGCCTGCTGGCAGTTGAATTATTTGAGTAGAGTATTTTAGATGGTGTTTTGGATAATCTTACATATCATCATAAAAATCTAATGTAAGGACGGTGGTTTATGGTTGCAGCTAGTGGTGTCAGTACTGATATCTGGACTTGCTATGCTGCCAGAATAATGGCTATTTCAGTTATTCCATTCGTTATCGTTCAGTTCCCACAAATGATTCATTCAACTGCTGGAAGGCAGGTTGCGGTCTTGATTGGACTTGTTGTATCTGTTTCGATGCTCATTTCATATTGTCTCTACCAGGTAAGGCTTCTCTTCCCTGTTATTATGCTTAGCCATAATAGTTTTCTTTGTTTGGCATTTGGTCTCATCATGGGAAGGCTGTGGAAGAATAACTGGCGATAGAACTAAAGAGAATGTGTATATTGTTGCTTTTTCTTCGAAATAGTTATATCTTCGTTGTCCTTACTTGGCCGCACTACTTACAGGGCCTATCCAAAATGAGGGAACTGATATTCCTCAGTTTTAGGCAGTCACGATTTGATGCCTTCTTTTTAATCCTAGGATTTTGGCATTACAAAGAGACTGAGAAGCAGTAGATGTCATATTGTTCTTAACAGCTGCTTATCTTCAATGGCTTCTGATTTTGGTTTCTGGGATCTTGCAATGTCACACAGGTTTTTCAACCTTGGGTTCAGAGAAGAAGACTGGCTTTTGCAAAACACAAACATGTGATATCTGGGATTTTGAAGCATTTGAAACAACGGTCTCTGGGAAGGCTTCTGGACGATGATGGTGAACCTGATAGAGAAGTCATAAGAAAGTTAGTTCGTCACATATCCGTCGATACATAGTTTAGCAACAGGTTCTCTTAGCTAACTAACTCTTTTTGCATTGCTTCTTGATGCAGGTTGTTCGGAACAATCGATCAAGATAAAGATAATTATGTCTCGGCGGCCGAACTGAAAGCATTGATCATAGGAATTACCTTTGAAGAGATAAATTTTGATAGGGATGATGCTGTGGCTAAAGTAATGAGCGACTTTGATTCGTCACTTGATGCAAAGATCGACGAGAATGAATTTGTTCACGGGATAACCAAGTGGCTTAATGAGGCAAAGCGAGCAGGATCTGGTACTGCTCCTGATGCTGGTCCTAGGACAATGAAGTTCTTAAACGATTATCACATGGTAAGCATTACTGTAACTAAACATTGCGTGGTCTGGTCCACTCCAGAATCAGTCGGAATCGACCTGGGATGAGATAAAAAAAAGATAAGGGAAAAGGAGGATTCGAATCTGATCAAAAGTTCATTCGATTTTAGTCTGATCACACCTCAATTCTGTTTCGGTGTGATCCGAATTGTTGCACATCTCTAACTATAACAACTGGTATTTATCATAGTTCTGATCCTGACCTTTTAATATGATCATATATATACAGCAAACAAAGAGAGAGCATACTTTGCTGGGAGCAGAGCAAGAAACCGAGCAGAGTGACGAGGTCATCGAAGAAGTCGAGAATCCAAGGTGGATCTCATTTAAGGCGGTGTTGATGTTGATGTTGGGGTCAGCTATTGCAGGTGCATTTGCCGACCCACTGGTGGATGCTGTCGACAATTTTTCTGCCGCAACGAGTATCCCCACCTTCTTCATCTCGTTCATTGCTCTCCCTCTGGCCACCAATTCCAGCGAAGCAGTTTCAGCTATCATATTTGCCACCCGCAAGAAGTTCAGAACTGCCTCTTTGACATTCTCCGAGGTACTTAAGTCTTTCCCCATCGTACCATTCTCATAACATTTACTCCTATTCACAAATGTGGCCTGGTGATCGAGATGATGTTAACTTCACATCTGCATCATTCAATTGCTCTGTAATTTTCTGCAGTTATATGGGGCTGTGACCATGAACAACGTCCTCTGCCTGTCGGTGTTCCTCGCGATCGTGTACATCAGAGGATTGGTTTGGGACTTCTCATCCGAGGTGCTGGTCATTCTCATCGTGTGTCTCGTAATGGGCGCCTTTGCCAGCTTCCGCACCACATTCCCTCTTTGGACTGCTTCGATCGCCTTCCTGCTCTACCCGTTCTCCCTGGCACTGGTCTATGTTCTTGATTACGTCTTTGGTTGGTCGTAGAGTCTCCGCTGGAGGCGAGATGGATCGCTGACTGGAAACCTACTTGTATGAGAGATTTGATTCTGCGTCTAGTGAGTTGGATGTTCTTATGTAAACTTGAAAAAGGCTGGCGTTTTTGTGTCTCTGAGGTACATTTATGTTGTGACTTAGATGTTATATAAGGACACCCATGTAATCGCGTTTCGAAACGGGACTTGCAGTGGCGCCTCAAATGAGCACAAATAGTCATATGATACGATACGACACAGCCGGACACAGCCAGATAACAAGTAGGAACTGAAGTGGGAAAGCCCATCATGAGGAAGGAAATGGGCCGAATGAGACCCAAATTATGCGGCCCAAGAATGGCCCATAGCTAGCCGAAGGTCTAGGCTGGCCCATGCAATGTGGTCGTGGGAGCCACCATTTTAACAGCCCTGCATGCATGCATGTCGTGGGCACGTGCATAGCTCTGGAACATCTGCGACGGATTTACAATTTTCGTCGCAGAATCTCATAACTTTTCAACAAAGGTCCACTAATGGCTTTTGTGACGAATATGTAACTTTTGGCGACAAACTGTATTGTCGCGAAACAGTATCATGACGAATATGGAAGAGTATCATACATTGAAAGATGTCGTCGCAGAAAGTGGGAAAAGATTTTAACGAAGATATGCTCTCGCATCGCAGAAGAGTTGAAATGATGTGCAGACGGTTGTTTCGTAGCTGGCACTAGAGCGATCACCTTGCGAGTGTTGTATTCTTTGAAACGTCCATGCATGTTTCTGGTCATTGATTCGATACGTTACACTGGCATCAAATATAGACATGACGAAATAGTCATGGGTAGATTTACGTTAATCGTCTTTGCGTTATCATATTAACGAGATTTCATAAAAGGTGGCAGCAACAGACACATGATGACTAGCAAAGAAAGCAAAAAAAAACCAAATCTAGAATACCAACTGCCTGCAACATCCTCCCAAAATCGAGCCAACAACCGAAGCTTGGAATAGCCTCCTTTGCCCCAAAATCAAATCTAGATTTCTTTCCATTTTCCAAAACCTTCAACACACACACACGTCACTCACTCCCTCACTTCATCACAGACACGACGAAAAATAGAGACAAAAAGACTGTCTTTAGGAAAAGTTGAGCGAAGATTTTGCCCCAAATTTCTGACTCCCAAAAATTCAGTTCCTCCCCTATTTTTTCTCTCTTAGACATTTGAATCCCATTTTACGCCTTTAGATATGCCTTTTGTTTCTCCAGAATTTCTTCCAACCAAATCTCCCGCCTTCTTTTTCTCCTCTCTTTTTTTTCACTAAACCAATGACCATATTTCTCCAACAGAACTCGCGCAACGTAAACCAGCTGACCTGAGTATCCAACGTCGCGACAAACTAACATTTTTCACTCTTTTTTTTTTTTCTCTCGCGCCGGCGAACCCAAAAAATGGGTCATCAGAAGGATGAAATCCTTAGCCAGAACTACACCTACAGTAACAACAACAACAACATTAGTGCCGCGGGAAGCCACGGTGGCGAAAACGGCGGCGAGCTAGGGTTGGGAAGCAACGGCGGCGGTCGACCATCGAAGAAGCAAAAACAGAAACCCAAGGTTCCACAGAGAGGGCTGGGAGTGGCGCAATTGGAGAGGATCAGGCAGCTGGAAGAGCAACAACAACAACAACAACAGACAAAATCCGACCACCGCCACTCTTACAACCACCGCAGCCACCCCACCGCCGGCGGCAGCTCTTCGTCGACTCACGACTACAGCGGCAGTGGGTTTTCATCGGCCGGAAACAACAACAACCCTAACTCGATTTGGTTCCTTCCCTGTCATTTGGTTAATAAAGCACCACCGCCACCACCTTATTATCATAAGAAGTACCAGCCGCCGCCGGCGACGCCATCTTTCACCCCTTGTTCCTACAGTTCCTCCATGGTAATAAAAGAGCAATCCACATCGTTACATAACCATATATATAATTGAGTGATATTATGCAAGAAGGTTATATCAAGATGGAATGAGTCGGGCTGGGTTGGATTTCGTTAATTTCAACTCAGCGCGCGGGTGCACCGTGCACCTATTGAAAAATCCGGTAAAATAATCATTGCGATTTCGAAGTGAAAATCAAATACAACACAACAGATCATACTCACAGGTGCATGGGTACGTACCAATGGATTTACGAACATAATACGTACATATTCATTCGAGCTCCCACATAGAGTAATATAAAGGAGAATTTTCCTATAAATACATCTGCATAACAACTTATAAATACTTACTATAATCGTCCGCGTATTATTAGGTTTATATTGCTATAAAAAAATTAATAACATCCATAAATTATTTATATATATATCCTTCCTGTAAGATACAAAACTCCAAAATCCATCATCAGCATTAGATTTTACCCACTTTAACTACATTATATACCCGTGAGTTCGGATTCAATTGGTATCCCTAATATGAGCAAACTCCTATATATTTTGCAGATGAACGGTACCACACCGCCGACAACTCCTTCGTCATCCTCCTCGTCGGTCATAAACTTCCATGCAGATACTCCATCATCGACGGCGAACCAGAGCTTCTACAGCAACTTCTCGAGCTTTGGCTGGCCGCTGGTGGACGAGGAGACGGTTGGGATGAAGAGAGCGCATCCCTCGTCGTCGTCCAAGCAGGAGATCGGCAGCAAAGAGATTGGCGAGGTCCGGCCACATCCTAATTTCATGTACCATAATAATAACCTCAGCAAGCCGCCATTCCCGTCGGTTGTTCACCACCACCACCATCACGAGTCTCCTTCCTCCTTCAACTTCGGCTCCGGACCGGTCTTCAACTTCTCCTCACCAAACACTCACTATTTTAGGTTTTGCTCCATTCTAGTACTCCTTTTACCTTTTCCATTTCCTTAGGTTGAGCTCTAGCTAGCTATACTCTTTGAGTAGATATGACAATGAGGTGTGTTGGGGTGGATAACCCGATACCTATACTTGTTTTACACTAGGTTAGGTTCAGGTCGGGTAATATATTATATATATTAGAACAAGATAGGTCGACACATATTGATACGTAATTTAAAGAGAAAACATTGAAGATATTTTTTTTTTGTTAGAAGTTCAACAAACAAGCCATCACAAGATAAAAGTAGTTAGATCATTGGAGAAATTGAGGTTCTAACATATTTACACCTTTATCATAGTTAAAATATGAAGTAATAAAAGTAAAAATTCTAAGTAAATCACGTGTAATTTATTAGATAAAAAAACATATCAAGAATAGAGTGTGTCAGGGATATGGTGAGGTTAAATTACTTATCCATGTCCGCTCCGCTTCACCTACGAAATAGATATTACCCGCCTTAAAATAGATCAAATAAATCAGATAAGATTGCTTCTATTTTAAATCAGGTAAAAATGGGTCGAATCGAAATTGTCGTCGAGTACTTGTTTCCCGTATTTAATTCAGGCGTATTTGTCTGGGCGCAGAGACGGGTGCTCAGGTTGGAACGTGACGTGGCAAGCCGATTCTAGGAGACCGATGCGAGAGAGTGGGTCAACGACGGCGACTTTCCCTGGAGATTTGCTCACTCTGCCTCCTCCGGCAACTAATAACACAGCTCCTGCTTCTAGTTCAACGGCGGAAGCCGCCGGCGGAGGGTACTGTAACTCAAGTTTTCGACTCAACGACGATCCCCGCCATTTTCATCGTGCGACTGAGAAGTCCGAACTCGACTCATCGTCGCTCCACAGTTATCACCCTCACCACCACCACCGTCGCCGTCGTCACCATCAACAACAGCAGCAGCCGGCGGGGGTTTGCCATAGAGGCTGCTGCAGCTTCTTCCCCCACGAAGTGATTAACGTAGAAGATGAAAGACGGAGTTCCGTTATTATGAACAATAATTATAACGGTACTAATCAAGATCATCATCATAAACATGAAAACGTTGACCTCAACTTGAAGTTGTAAAGCTCTATATGATATAAGAATAAGCTTTCATTAATCGTGGATTTGATTGCTTTTATAATATACCATACATTTGACACATGTACTATACACAATTAAAAACTTATTTTTATACATGATGGTGTATTTGATTACAAATTTACAGATTATAATAGAATGATAAATTGATAATCGATCGAATTCTTTATTTTACAAATTTACTGACGGAGCAAGCCACGTCATGGTGATATTTCTCAACTTCTAGATATGACAAGAAATACATCGGAAATTTTATAATTCTAGTTTGGAAATTTGGTGACGCTTTACCCTCCATCTCCTCAACTATCACGATTCAAATCAAATCGCGCTAGATGTTAAACTTTTTACATCCCATCACTCCAGTTTTCTTTTTCCACCACTGCGATTTTTTTTTTTTTTTTGTTTTATCAAGCCCTAAGAAGCTCATGATAAATGACTTATATGTATAATATCAAGCATCATAAAGCTGGTAGAGGGAATGTTGTAAAGCCAAATAAACCTCATTCCACCCGTTCTGACTCGGATGATTACAATCCCAAAAGAAAGCCAGCTCCGGGTGCTTACAAACCCTAACTCCGCCGCCATTGTCATTCCCCAAACCACACGGCCATTTCCCACGCGCCAGCGTCACGCACGGCTTCAGCGGATTCTTGTACCTCAAGCTACCCGTATGATACTTGTGCTCCTCCAGCGCATTGGAGAAGGCCTGGAAGAGATCCAGAATTACGAAAGTGCCACCATTCTTCTTCTTCTTGTTGTTGTTCGTCGTCGTTTCCTTGTTCAGGTCGTGGACAGCTTGCTTCAGGAGCTGGTTGTGGTTGCTGACGATGGCGTTGTGGGCTTCGTTGCACTTGGAGCTGTGCATGGCGGACGGGCCGGCGCTGTGCGGTAGGCAGCCGGCGGGCTCCATGAGTAGGACGGCGATTTTCGGGATTCTGAGCTCGTCGTGGATTCGCCGGAGGTCGGTTTTCTGCTGCTTTATCAACTTTCTCGTCAGAGCCGTTACGTTCTGCGCGCATGCAGGCGAATTCATCGTCATATTATAGATGTAACATGTATAGTATGCGTGCATAACGATGAATTTTTTTTGTTAGGGATGGGAAATGGTGCGGTTTGGTCCGGACCGGATTATAACTACAACCGATGGTCCGTACTTGAGTATATGAAGTATAAACTAAGGACCAGGCTAACGAAGGCACAGTTTTGACCATATCATGGTTGTGCGGTCTGATTCGGTGTGGTTTGTACCATGCATACTACATTGAGCGAAAAATGAAACGTTTGTTTAGTCAATCATACAAAAAAATCGAACTGATAATCGGGGGAAAAAACCTATTTTTTCCTCTTGAAACATAAATTTCATCAACATGCATGCATCATTTTGATATCATAATAAGTAAATAACAAAAACAAAAGGTTGGGGCAAACCAATTAACATATTTGGTTATGATTTATGAACATTAACATATTGTCATATGAAAACACGAATATCTGTAGTGGAGCATGATTTATGAATTATGAATGAAGAGGGACGAGATTTATAAAATTAGGGTTGAGACATGAGTCTTGTTAAAGAGTTGGAAGAGTAATCGCGCGCGAGCGAGTTGCTAACACAAATTAGTAAGTTGGTTGGGTCCACATTTTGGTCTAACCAGTTAGTAAATTACGGCCTGGACTAGACTAGACCAAAAGATCAAATACATTCTCTAATGCAAAACCATGAATCGGACACGATAGAATTGTTATTAATGATCCATTTAAGGTCCGAATCAAACTGTGCGATTCAGTTTGATCCATTATTTTTCGTGATCTATTTTTCATCCCTAGTAGTTAAAGAAAAGTGGAGTGTGATGATCACCTTGAGGGTGGCGTACTTGTAATCGTTGCCGGAGGCGGCAACAAGTGCGACGGAGTTGTCGAGGTCCGTCTGATTGTAGAAACGGTGTCGTATCATCTGACCGAGCTGGCTGATCTGGTCGCCGAGTACGGGGCCCTTGCTGATCGCGCTGACGACGCCGGTGCCGCCGTAGGCGAAATTCACACCGGACTTCAGCTGCTCGCCGCCGTCCCCCGCTTTTATTTGTTGGTAAGCAATCGGCGTCCTTATCCCCAGGAAGTCAGCTGCATTGTACCACGTAAAAAATAACTTGAGTCAAATGTAGTCAAAATCACGGTTAAAATTACGATTTAAATTTTAAAAAATTTAAAGATATACATTTTTAAATCGAGATTTTGACTTTTAAGTGTAATCAAAATCTACATTTTAAAATTTAAACCAAATGTATTTATTATTTAGTATTTACGCTTCTGGATAATAAAAAAAATGCTTATACGTAGAATCGCGTTTTTTACTATAGGTGAAGGAGAGAAAGGGGGTGGGGACCAATGTAATCGGTGAGGACGCGGCCGTCGGAGAAGCGGCCGCTGGGGACGCCGGGGAAAGTGCGGCCGAAAGGCGGCAGCCAGGAGCCGTTGTTGGGCTCGAAGTTGCCCGTGTCCACGTAGGAGTCCCCGAAAACGAACAGCTTCACGCGGCCGTTGTGGCGGTGGTGCTCACGCGCGTCGCGCTTTGTCCTCGCCGTGGTCGGAATTACGGGGTGGTGATCGTCGGCTGCTCCGATCGCCGGACAGGCGAACAACACGACGAGAGTGCTGAAGAGGAAGAAGGAAACGGGGAGAAACCTTTGCCGTTTCTCCATTAGACCCGACGAAACGGGATTAAATGGAAAGTGGGCTTAGTTAATAATTAGCAATAATCTCCCCACAATTTATAAGCTCTGTTTTTTCTTCTTTTTTTGCAACAGTAGGAAATTAAATTCTCTTTCATATCAGTTTATGGAGTAATTATTTTTTACATTATATTGCATTTAATAATGTTAAAACGTTTATGTTTCTAAGCATGAACGTTATCTTTTATTTTTGAAGGTGACATAGAAATTGTCGATCATAACAGGGTTGTGGGAAAACAATATAAGTGTTCTGCTGCTAGGCGAAGCGGTGGAGTGTTGCATTTTAGATGGCGAAAGTACAGTAGCCGACATCATTACTAGGTGCGTTCGGATGTTACGCATAGGCCGTTTGTTCGCAATTCTCTTCTTCTTTTTCTGGTGCGTTAGAGTTTAGGGCAGCCCCACGAGTTACAAATTGTACTATCAATAGTCTATAAAATGATGTGAAAGACCCTATCGATGTTTATGTAGAGTTAGTATCTTTTGACTTTGTAGCCGACTCGGGTAGCTTTTTTGTTTATTGGGTGTATGCAAGGGGCTAGGGGGTGTTTGTTTGTTTGGATCATTATAAAAATCATCATCCTAAAATGTTTGCAAGGGCCAAAAGATTGATCATATAAGTAAAGTTTGAGAGGGAGAAAAAAAGATTCAAACTTTAATATCACTGTTGTCCATTGTTGCACTTGTACATTGCCCCCTCTCTACTCTGTAACCAAGTGGTCAAAGTGTAAAACTGAACTGAAACAGACAAGCATGGCTGATGGAAATGAGTAGGAAAACTCTCAATCTCCTGTTTTATTAATTTCTCATCCCTCCATAAGAATAAGAATACACATCTCATAGTTACAAAACATAACTCCACTGCCTGTATATTCAAGAAGAAGAGAACTCTGAAACCACACACACCAACACCGAGCTTACCACTACTAACTCAGTTCTACAATCAAAACTACTTGCAGGAAAGCGTGCAAAGCCACCCTCAGCTTGCAAACTTCCTTTCCCCTCGCGAAACAACGATCAGATCGTGATCGTTCGCAGGTGGTTACGTGATATGCTCTTATGTCTGTCAAAGGCCAAAGTTAGAGAAAAAGATAGCGAGGTAAGATGATTGTATACACAAGCACAAGTTTCTTTTCTACAAGCATATGCTGCTGCTGTCACTTTCCTCTGAAGTAGCTCGAACGTGGAGACTGACACTTTCTGAACCGGAAAGGCAAAACGCTGTTTCCTCAATCAGATGTTCGAAGATGGCTTCACAAATGTCGACGAGGGTAGTTTCTGAATCACGCCGAAGGTCCATCCAAGAACCGTTTTTGGCCATGTCTTTCTTCACAACCTGATCCAGAGTAAGCGGCGATGGCAAGGGAAGAAGGTGCCAATGTAGTCTTTCATGCACCTCGTCAATGGTGTGGTTCATGTCGGGGATGGGACGGATGGTTGCAGGGTTTCCCAAAGATAACCCGGGCGATGAACCGAAATAGCAATCATATATCTCCATTAGAACCTCGTCGATGCAATTGAAGAGAAGCTGCTTGTCATGGCAAAGCTGGTTAGGGCAGAACTCAAACTCGTGACAGCTAGATTGGTCGAGAATCTGGTCGGAAGAATCGGACATCAAGTAGAACTCCTCCCAGTTCAAGCCAGAGGCTAGCAGTACATCCTTTATGTACTCGAGCATGGAGTCCTCATAATCCGTGGTTTTTGAAGGGGTACCTTGATCCCCAGATGAAGACCCTTGTTCCTCAAATTCAATCCTCAGTGGTTGCAATGGTAGTTCAACTGAACAAATACATGGCAAAAAAGATACTTTAGTTTGGAAGCCAATACATAACATAATAAGCAAGGATGTCTGCACACTTGGAATTTAAGATTCTATCTATGAGTTATGATCCTGATTTCAGTAAAAAATCGATGGAGGCCAAAATCTAGATCCAGACAAACATTGCACAGTATCAATACTAACCATGTTGGGTCCGGATAGCTGCCGGGCTAACATCCTCCTCTGAAAAATGTGGCTCAAGGACAGACACTGGACTTGGTTGGTCTTGCACATCAGTAGCTTCTAGATCATCGTGCTTCCGGTTTGATGGAGAATCCAATGGAGAACTTACCTGTAAAATGAACAATGACATAAGATTAAAACTTAGTAGCAGAGAGAGCCAGGAGAGCTGTTTGAAAGATCAAACCCAAATTGCATTACATGCTCCAAGGGCTCAGCATCTGATTTCTCATGTCCAACTTCAGAGGAGTCAACGCCATTTTGGTCATCGATGATGACAGAACAGCTACTTGTTTCCGAAAGGTTATCGGCCGCATCACCCTCTTCTGGGGTAATAATAATCTCAGAGGCCTCTTCAATCTCTACATATCCTGTTGAGAATTTTGCCACATGAGAATCTCAGGGGCACAGCTCAATGAGTATGATACATATATCAGAGTAGGAAAACAACATACCCTGAGTCATCATCTCATCTTGAATGGAACTAACAGATTTTTCCACTTCAGCAATATGAACAAGTTCATTCGGGGAACTTGAAGTTTGGTCCAAAGGAGCTTGTGCTTCAATATCAGATGAAGGTACATCTGAGCTCAGTGATTTTTTACCTAGATGGCTGATATTGCTTTCCCGTCTACCTAACGAGTCAATGTTTGGCAATCTCATTTGTGTCGTCATAAGACTCTGTTCTGAATCTCTTGCAGGACTGCCAAAAGGAGAACACTTGTACTCTGGAAATGACAAGATCCTCCCTAGCGGTTTGGAGAATTGTCTGCTCGGGAAGTCGACATCCCCAGTCCCAGTTATCAGCATCTCCGAAAGATGTTTCTTAGCCTCTAAATATATATCAGATACACTCTGTTTAATAGGTTTACCATCTTCATCTTGCACACTTTGTTCAGGTTGTTTCGACTTTTTGGGACTCGTTGGAGGGAGTCTCGCGACTTTTTCTATAAAGAAGTGCTCTTTACCTGGACGACTTTTTCCAGTGTTCTCTTTGGATGCTCTTCTGTCACCATCTCCTGCAGTCCACACCTCATTGGAGTATCTCTTAACAGTTGAGGCATTCCTTGTCTCTTTCGCCATAGCATTTCTCAAGCGTCTTTTGATTTCAGTCAGAGAAAAATGGGAACTTCCCCTTTCATTTGGCAACTTGTCTTCGGTAGTCAGTTGAGACTGCCTCAAGGAGCCAGGAATGTCTTTATTAGGTCCAGGCTTCAATATGACAATCCTGTTTGATGCATGAAAGGCATCATTTTCCCCAGAAGATAAGTTTGCAAGGGATTTACTTCGCCTGAAGAATCTCCGATGCTTTCTGGGTACAGGTTCCTGCGCTTCTTCCATAGTACTACTTCCTACCAGCGACTTTGAATCGTCAATTTCTACTTGGGAAATCAATGCTTTCTCCAATTGCTTCACTATCATTGACTTCTGACCAAGTAAGAGTCTAGAAGCCAATTCCTCATCTGAACACAAAATGTGAAGAGCATCCGTGAGTTCTTTGGAGCTGGGGTCATTCTCCTCTTCAATTAGATGCTTCCGTCTGACAAAAACCTTAAGGGCCTCGCCCAATCTCTCTTCAAAACTGATGTTACTCTGTTTTGGATGATGGAATTCACAGTCCTCGCCATGCTTAATGCAACTACTACCTTTCTGCTGGAGCTGATGGCAGAACTCCTCTATTATTTCACCTACATCAAGACTGTTACTAGATTGCTTCGCTAACTTCTGAGGAGAAGGCAGTTCATGTCCCCTAATGCCTGCAGCATTAAGATCTTCAACATGCATTTCACAACTTTTTGAACGACCCCTCTTTGTTCTCTTGCTGCTCCTCTTTCGCTGCCGGTCCTCCTGTTCTGATTTTGGCTTCATCTCATTACCATGTATCTGGCTCTTCAAAGTTTGCTCATTTAACAAATCTTCTTCTATGAGTTTCTTTACACTTGGCTTGCAGAACTCAGATGCCAAAACAAGATTGCCTTCACCGTCCTGTAGTATTGAACAAACTTAAATACCGACTAACATAAAAAAGGCAAATGAATTCGTTTAAGTATAAGAATCACACTTACAGAGGTCTTTTCATCAGAATTCGGGGACACGTCATGCTTAATAGCCTCATCTCCACGGCCTAAAACAAAAGGAGGAAAAGTAAATTTGTGAACCATATATAAGTATGCTATTGATGATGACAAGCATATAACATAGCTGGACAATTTTTTGTATGGAAAGCAGCCATCATTATAGAAATACATTAAAATCACTAAACCAATACGTGTTACGATGCATGTAATGCGTATCTAGCGAGAGAGAGTACATACCGATAACATGCCTGCTCTCGTGCCTTTTATCCGAGAGCAGCTTCTGAGTTGTTCGACCATGGCGGAAATCCAACATATTGATTAGGCCCGACATGCAGCCTGGCTTTCCATTTCTAGCTGGACGTCTTTGAGATTTCTTTGCCATGATGATTATCTTATTTATATTCACTATGTTTTGCTTAATTAACTTGGGACTTTCACCATATGATTCCACTCTAAACCTAATACACAATGAGAAGTCCATGATCAGTCTAAAAATTGCTACACAAACTGCAAAGAAAGTACACTCGGCGCTTTTACATAAAGCTAAAGAGGAAAGATCATAATTCGTATGTTCTACCAACAAGCAATAAGGTAAATAATGCAGTGGTTCGATCAGCAAGCTTTGCTGAATTACATTAATGAGAATCATCAGGTGGTGTAATCAATCAAAAAGCCAGATAAACTGCATAGAAACCGGGTGGAGTGCAGATCCAATTACACAAGGGGGAAATCAAGACACAATATCATTCAAAGGCCCAATCTTCCACAATGCAGATGCTGGCTCACAGTTCATCTAAGAGTAAAAGATCACATAAGGGAACATCTGAACCCTCCCAAATTGCATCATTTCCCCAAAATACACGAACATTTCATAACCATGACAAATGCATTTACCTAAACTTCCTACTGATTTCCAACAACAAGATCAAAGGGCCACTGATCCGGATTTTCCACTTCACATTACCTTGTGAAGTGGATAAATACATGTAAGGCAGGGATGCAGCTAGTAAGCAAGCATTTTAAGCAGATTTGCAAAATGCCATTAAATCCACAACCACGACAAGAACAAAGAACCCAGTCCCAGTTTGTCTCAGAACGAGGGGAAAACCTTAAACACCTGGCTGTTGATCCCAAGCCAAAAGAAGAAATTAGAAGAGCGGGAAAATGGGTTGAAGAAAGGACAAGCAATTCAGGAGTAGACTTAATTTCATCTCTTACCTCAAAACAAAACCCGTGAAGATCAAAGAACGAAGGCTGTCGGCTGGTGGATTGGCTGAAGCGATTCTAAAGATATAAACTTTCCCACCTTGTGAGGATCGCTAAAACCTAAAAACAACAAACCCAGGTAGGAGACCACTCAAACAACAAAAAATTTGATCCGAAACTGACCATGCAAGCAACCAAACCAAAGAAAAAAATTCGCCAGTCGGCCGTTTTGGGTATTTTGTTTTGATCTGCAAACTGAAATTGCTTCTCCCAAACGTTAACGAAAAACGATTCTCTCCCGAAGCCAAAAAAAAAAACGCTCGACCAAAAATGGGGGAAAAACAGAGAGAGAGAACCTAATTCCCACTAAGCCCAGAAGAAAAGGAAGGGAAAGCAAAACAGGGGAGCTTCCGGTTGCTTGGTGGGTGGGGAAAAAAACTAAAAAAAGTGTGTATCTTTTTTACAACGAAAAAGATGAGAAAAAATGGAGGCAGAGAGGGGCCAAAATTCTTATCTCCAGCTACCGGCCCACCCACGAACCCCATTTTCGCGCACTTTCTTTTAGCCTTTCGTCTCGCTTTTTCTGGCTGGCGGTCGAATCAAAGGCGCGGGGAGGGAGGAAAAGAACAGTAGCAGAGTAAGGAGTAGCGTATGAGAAGTTTATTTAGGAATCCAATTGTTCATCATTACGACCCCGCAATTAGGAAAGGTGAAAGCTTTACAATGAAGGGAGAAAGAAAAAACGAAGGAAACAACAAATGGGAATGGCTACCACCTCCCACGAGTTGCTTCTCCGCTGAAAGCCAACAACATCCATCATCAAAGGTCGCAATCTCTCTCTCTCTCTAAATTGCAAGTCATTTTCTTTCTCGCTGTAACCACTTTTCAGGGAGAGTAGAGGGAGGCGCTCTGGGGCTGTTTTCCACTTTTCTATTGTGGGATGAGAGAGAGAGAGAGAGAGAGAGAGAGAAATGGTTTGTTAATGTTTGATGATCAACATGATGACTACTAAACTAATGAGTTGTAAAACAATGGTCCGCCTGCTAATCCCAATCGGTCAATCACATTAATAAGTAGCAAAACTTTGTACTCACTCAACAATCTAACATAGATTTTTATTAAATATATTACTAAAAAAATACTAATGAAATTATCGTTTTATTCGTTCGGTACGCATGAACTAGTTGACCCCATTAGAACTTGACAGGATATGTCGCGAAGACCTAATAGGAATCAGCTTTTCTAGACAAGTAACTCGTACTGAGGTGTCTTAATAATGTTTCCCATGTTTGTTTTTCTGGGTCGCCTCTGTTTTGCCTCCTCTTTGATGTTTAATCATGGTTGTAGTCGTTAGTCCTCTGTAACTTTGGCGGTTATTGCCTCCCTTTAATAAATAAAAATATTTATCATTTTATTGAATTGTTTTTAGTTATGAATAAATAAATAAATGTGTCATCTCAATCAAACTGATATTAAAAATGTTAGGAACTAAAAAATCAGCTTGATTTGTTCACTGTGATCTAAACCTCAAGACCGACTCAACCCCCAGCTCACTCATTTGAGTTCTCCCTTCTTCCTCTCTTTTATGCCCTTATCTGATAGTTGTCCTCGAACTTCTTCTTATTCGTTCTAAATGACTTTCAAAGAAATATATCAAATGTGATTCACTTGCTCGCGTAAAGAGAAATAAGTCTTGGTTAGGCACGAGGTGGACATATTCAGGTGGAAAGAAGCAAGGGTTATTGCATTAACCATATAGTGTAACACTTTCTCGGGAATTGCTTCTAGAATTACATAATTTTGTTATGCACCGGCTTCCTTACAAGAGGGTTTTTGTTTAATATAGAGCACAATAGTGACTAATCGTATTTATGTATGGAATTATGAAACGAGGTACGATTTTCTGTGGCTACTTTGTTACGTTCTGAAGTTTAGCGAAACTTTGGACAAGAAGCTAGTAATAGTTTACAACTATATGCACCTCCAAATAAAGTAATAAACATCATTGTCAATATATGAATAGTGAAAACAAGTATAAATATGTGCCTATTCCAAAGAATTGTGTTCAATATCTGTAAATTCTACACCTTAAAATGAAATAGCAAAGCAGCCTGTAAACAACCATAAAGCCCAACATCACACCCAAATTGGTCCATTTTTGAGAGGCCACAAGCCCTTGCTGCCTCAAGAACCCACTCCCATCCAATTGACAATTGAGCCCACCCTCTCCCTCGCCATCAGAAGAGAACTGCAAGCACCTGTTCTTCCCTTGCTCCCCTCCATACTCATTGATCAAGAAACACTCAAATGGGTACCTGAACAAGCTCAAGTAATGCATGAACTTCCAATACACAGGGATGTCATCTTTGGCTATGAAGTAGCCAGAGAAGAGGAAGAATGAACCCATCAGCCCCGAGATCACCGATGTCCCCATGATGAAGTTCGGGACGAGAGCACTGAAGCATGCCACGAACGAGTTCGACATCGAGATCACCATCCAGACCACGAGCGAGAAGTAGAGGAACCCATCGAGCTCCCTTCTCAAGCCGACCAACCAATACACTGGGGTGGCGTACAACATGGCTACCATAAAAAGGAATGGAAGAAAGATCAACGTGTTTGATAAGACGTAGGAGGAGACCCTGTAGGCGCTGCTCGAGGTCTCCTTCATCAGTATCCTTCGCTCCTCCAAGAAGATCGGGAGGACCTCAGTTGTGGAGGAGAGCAGGAACGTGAGCGAGAATGCGAAGAATCCTAGGAGCGTCTGCGTTGCATTGCCTCCTGTTTCATTGCCCACATTGAGGAATATTGTTCCAAGTATTAATCCGGAAACCGATGCTTGAACGACCCTAGCTAGGAACAATTGCTTCGTCCTGAAAATGTTGTTACAGAATCTCTTTGCCAGAATCACGACTTCCCCGAAAATAGAGTTGTGATGTTTGAAGATGTTGTTCAGCGACATAACAGATAACTGGACATCGAAATCCTGATCGGACCGGTTCGGGTTACGAACCACCACCACGCTCGCCACATCGATGGCGAATTCGAGCACATTGACCCGACGAGGGATGTAGTGCCCGACACGCTTGATTGTTTCCTCGAGACTTCGCACAGAGCCACAATGGACAAGGCACCCATTCGAAAGTAGAGCGACCCGATCGAAGAGACTCAAGATTCGAAACCCGGGTTGGTGAATGGTCAGGACAACGGTCTTACCCTGATTAACCGCCATCGCCTTCAGAAGCTCCACAACCTGAAGAGCCGCGGCCGAATCCAAACCCGAGGTCGGCTCGTCCACAAACACAACAGCAGGGTCGTGAACCAGATCGACCCCGATCGACACCCTCCTCCTTTCCCCACCCGAGATCGAACCCACCCGAGATTTCGAAACGCGAACCAGACCCAGTTCCTGAATCAGCTTCCCGACCCGACCCGAAGCCTCGGCTCTCCCGCCAGGCAACTTCAGCTGCGCGCTGTACGTCAGGGTTTCCTCCACTGTCAGCTCAGGAAACAGAGCATCTTCCTGAGTCACGAATCCTGATTGCCTCCGGATTGCTCTGGCGTCTAACGGCCGGCTATTGATCAGAACTTCGCCGGAGACCTGACGGCAGCTAGAACTGATCTTCCCTGCTACAATCTCGAGCAAAGTGGTCTTCCCTGCTCCACTGGGACCGGCGATGGCGGTTAACTCTCCGGGCCGGGCTACGAAATTCACATCCCTTAGAATAAAACCTGAAGAAGAGGAAGAAGAAGAAGAAACAAAAGGCACCCATTTCCATGGCAGGTTGCTGGATGCTACTTGGTAGGACAAGTTCTTGGTTTCGATTTGGAATGAGGCTGGTGATCTCCTGTCGCCGGAGATCGGCTCCGGTGGTGGTGATCTAACCGGCAATTCCATATTGGGTTTTGAGGGGGAAGACCGAAAAAACAGGGCCTAGTTGAAGATGGAGGAAAAACAGAGGGGAAAAAAATATCAGATGGGGTGTGGTGTAGTAAGGTTAGAGGAGATGAGCTAACTACACCAACCACCTCTAATGGTGGTGTGTGTGTTACTACTTTGAACAAGTTATCAAGAGCCCAAAGAAGACGAAGTAGAAAGATACACAAGCCATCCATATGTTGTCTCTGTCATTCGTCTAGAATTTGTTGTTGCGGGGAAGAATAGTGTAGTCTGTAAAATCCGGGAGTTTGTAATCGGTGTAATTTTAGGGATTTGATATTTGACGCCCTAATATTCAAATTGTGTCGCCTAAATCACTTAAATTGACACATTTAATCTTAGGTCAAAACTGATCCTATTAGTCGGTTGTTAATATTATAGTTGTGAGGATTTAAAACACGCGTGACTTCAAAGATAACCCAGTTCTGGTATCGTGTTAAAAAAGAGTACAACCGATCTAAATAGTCCGAATTGTTGTAAGATGTTAATGTATGAATCTTAGTCACTTACGATGAAAATTTCGCTGGAGGAGGGCAGCGGCGGGGCCGCCCCTGGGCCACGGCTCAACCCTCCCTCGATCCAGAGCTAGTACAACACTTGTAAAATTTTTTGAATTTTGGTATTCTGTTCGGTGTTCTTTGCATTACGGTCCAACCCTCTTCGTCTTTTTTTTTTTATAAAAAAAAATGGCACAATGCTCTATTATGTTCTGGATCCGTCGCTGGAGCAGGAGGGTGTTTGATTGTTGTGGAAATGGAGAGGAGGAAGTCAAAGGGAAGTGTAAAAGTGGCTAAGGAAGGAGGCGAAGTTTGGGTGAGCTGAATATTGACTAGTGAAGCCGAGGAGGTTGGTGGAGGTTGGGCTATCTTTTCTGCAGTTCGATGGTTTCTTCTTGGGAAGAACTATTCCATGATTCACCAACAAGACAACAACAAGCCATCCGTACCGGGATCGAATTGTTGGAATTTTTATTTTTTTTTTAACAGGAGAGTATTTTGGGGGTTGTTTGCTTATGGTATTTTCATGGTGGATTTTATCCCAAAGTCCAGTACATGATGGATTATCTTCATAATTCATATATGTTGATAAATATTGAACTTTGCTCAAATATGTGGGGGTCCACATGTGGGGATTTTTTTTATGCTGAAATCCATTGACCACATGGATTATAAAATCTGTGACTTAATACGTGAGATTATTAAAGGTAGGTAGAATCTATGGTGTTGGATGACAATAATATCCTCGTTCATTTTACATATTCCACTTTTACCGACCATTATTATCTCTGTTATGAGTGTCACACAACCATTATTGAGAATGAACCATGCATAGATTATTTATGACGTTATGAGTGTCACACAACCATTATTGAGGATGAACCATGCATAGATTATTTATGACGTTGTGCCGACTTAACTTCCTATGAGAGGGTTAAAACATTCGGAAAATATGGAGTATTTTTGAAATTCCTAGCTATTAGTTCAATCTCATTACCATAATAAACCCATATAATGTTTAAGCAACTTAATCCTGCCCGGTTAACATTTTCATCATTTACTTTTGTAGGCTGTCTATTCAGCTACTGTATCATGCTTGAGTTTAGATGGGTTTTTTTAATTTTATTTGCAAGTTTAGATGATTAAACTTTTCTTCATCAATCTTTCATTAAAGATATGAAGGTAAATTCATCCACCAATACATAAAAAAATCTACTACTAACCTCCGGACCAACGCCACCTCCACAAGCCCAATCCCAACCTCTGTGCGACCGTTGGCGACTTTGCCGACATTGCCAAAGCCAATGGCGGCGTACCACCGCCAGTAGCCCACCCCCCACCCCCCTCCCCGGCCGCCGCCTAGACAGAGAGCGTTCCAACAACCTCCGGAGCAACGCCACTGTCACCTCCACAAGTCCAACCCCAGCCTCAACGTCGACTGTGGGCGATTCTTTCGACACCTCCAACGTCAACGTCGACATACCACCGCATGTTCTCCCCCCCCCCCCCCCACGACACCAGGACAGAGCGCGTTCCAAATACCTCTGGAGCAGCGCTACTACCACCTCCACAATCCCAACCACATCCCCAGCATCGACGGTGGGCGACTCTACCTACACCACCATCGACAACGCCGGCGCACCACCACAAGTTTCTCCCCCTCTCCGTCGCCGTCTTGGCACTCTCTATCTCCTCACTTCGATTCTAAATATGAGTCTGTCACTGCTATTAGTCCAAAAAAGTTCCAATGCAACCTATGCGATGATAAGTTTGAATATCTGAAGAGAAGGGAATCTCACGTGCAGATACTGCACATACAATCTAAGAAAAGATGTTGCACTTGCTTCAAAGTCTATATGCTCACGTGGGAGTTAGACGAGCACTTTTGCGATACTTTTGTTGAATGTCAATTGAAATTTTGTCCGGCGTTGAATGTAAATTGGGAAGTTAGGTAGTGTACATGGGAATTTTCTTCGGGTAAATGGGGGATCTTAGTACAGAATTTGTTTTCGGAAGCTTGGAAATATAGAAACTCAACTTGTACAGGAATACTGTAATAAAAAAGAATATCTGGTCATTTTACGTTTGCAAATAAATAAAAAAGAGGTTATTTCCATCAAAGATTATTTATCAAGTTTAGTATAATTATTGTAACTAATGGTTAATTTATTTATTAGCCCATAAACAATTACATACATATATATACTAGTCTTCAAAGCATACAAGAATAAATTTAACTAGTCATGTCCTCCATATAAAAATTAAAGATTCATATTTCAAAGACTAAAATTTTGAAAAACCAAAAAATTGAAATCACCAAATTTGTTTCCTTCTTTCTTTTCACCAAAAAAAAAAAATACTAAAATTTCTCTCATTCTTTCTCCTTCCATAAATTAGAAACACTCAATTTTTCCTCCTCTTTCTATTCCATAAAATTGAAAGAACCAAATTTCCCTCTTCCTACATTCCTTCCACAAAAAGTTGAAAACTCCAAATTTCCCTTCCTCACTTCGATTCTAAATCTGAGTCCGTCACTGCTATTGGTCCGAAAAAGTGCCAATGCAACCTATGCGATGACAAGTTTGAATATATGAAGGGAAGGAATCTCACGTGCAGATGATGCACATACAATCTAAGAAGAGATGTTGCACTTGCTTCAGAGCCTATATGCTCACGTGGGAGTTAGACGAGCACTTTCGCGATACTTATTGTTGATTGTCAATTAAAATTTTGTCCGGCGTTGAATGTAAATTGGGAGGTTAGGTAGTGTACATGGGAATTTTGTTCGGGTAAATGGGGGATCTTAGTACATAATTTGTTTTCGGAAGCTTGGAAATATAGAAGCTCAACTTGTACAGGAATATTGTAATAAAAAAGAATATCTGGTCATTTTACGTTTGCAAATAAATAAAAAAGAGATTATTTCCTGCAAAAAGAAGTTATTTCTATCAAAGATTATTTATCAAGTTTAGTATAATTGTTGTAACTAATGGTTAATTTATTTATTAGCCCATAAACAATTACATACATATATATATACTTGTCTTCAAAACATATAAGAATAAATTTAACTAGTCATGTCCTCCATATAAAAATTAAAGATTCATATTTCAAAGACTAAAATTTTGAAAAACCAAAAAATTGAAAACACCAAATTTGTTTCCTTCTTTCTTTTCACAAAAAAAAAAATAAAAACTAAAATTTCCGTCATTCTTTCTCCTTCCATAAATTAGAAACACTCAATTTTTCCTCCTCTTTCTATTCCATAAAATTAAAAGAACCAAATTTCCCTCTTCCTACATTCCTTCCACAAAAAGTTGAAAACTCCAAATTTTCCTCTTCCTAGAATCGAAGTGAGGAGATAGAGAGCGCCAAGACGACGCACTCTCTATCTTCTCACTTCGACTCTAAATCTGAGTCCGTCACTGCTATTGGTCCGAAAAAGTGCCAATGCAACCTATGCGATGATAAGTTTGAATATATGAAGGGAAGGAATCTCACGTGCAGATGATGCACATCCAATCTAAGAAGAGATGTTGCACTTGCTTCAGAGCATACATGCACACGTGGGAGTTAGACGATGATAAGTTTGAATATATGAAGGGAAGGAATCTCACGTGCAGATGATGCACATCCTATCTAAGAAGAGATGTTGCACTTGCTTCAGAGCATACATGCACACGTGGGAGTTAGACGAGCACTTTCGTGATACTTATTGTTGAATCTCAATTGAAATTTTGTCCGGCGTTGAATGTAAATTGGGAGGTTAGGTAGTGTGCATGGGAATTTTGTTCGGGTAAATGGGGGATCTTAGTACGGAATTTGTTTTCGGAAGCTTGGAAATATAGAAGCTCAACTTGTACAGGAATATTGTAATAAAAAAAGAATATCTGGTCATTTTACGTTTGCAAATAAATAAAAAAGAGGTTATTTCCTACAAAAAGAGGTTATTTCTATCAAAGATATCAAGTTTAGTATAATTATTGTAACTAATGGTTAATTTATTTATTAGCCCATAAACAATTACATACATATATATACTAGTCTTCAAAGCATATAAGAATAAATTTAACTAGTCATGTCCTCCATATAAAAATTAAAGATTCATATTTCAAAGACTAAAATTTTGAAAAACCAAAAAATTGAAAACACCAAATTTGTTTCCTTCTTTCTTTTCACAAAAAAAAAAAAATACTAAAATTTCCCTCATTCTTTCTCCTTCCATAAATTAGAAACACTCAATTTTTCCTCCTCTTTCTATTCCATAAAATTGAAAGAACCAAATTTCCCTCTTCTTACATTCCTTCCACAAAAAGTTGAAAACTCCAAATTTTCCTCTTCCTAGAATCGAAGTGAGGAGATAGAGAGCGCCAAGACGACGCACTCTCTATCTTCTCACTTCGACTCTAAATCTGAGTCTGTCATGGCTATTGGTCCGAAAAAGTGCCAATGCAACCTATGCGATGATAAGTTTGAATATATGAAGGGGAGGGAATCTCACGTGCAAATGATGCACATACAATCTAAGAAGAGATGTTGCACTTGCTTCAGAGCCTATATGCTCACGTGGGAGTTAGACAAGCACTTTTGCGATACTTCTTGTTGAATGTCAATTGAAATTTTGTCCGGCGTTGAATGTAAATTGGGAGGTTAGGTAGTGTACATGGGAATTTTGTTCGGGTAAATGGGGGATCTTAGTACAGAATTTGTTTTCGGAAGCTTGGAAATATAGAAGCTCAACTTGTACAGGAATATTGTAATAAAAAAGAATATCTGGTCATTTTACGTTTGCAAATAAATAAAAAAGAGGTTATTTCCTACAAAAAGAGGTTATTTCTATCAAAGATTATTTATGAAGTTTAGTATAATTGTTGTAACTAATGGTTAATTTATTTATTAGCCCATAAACAATTACATACATATATATATATATATATATATACTAGTCTTCAAAGCATATAAGAATAAATTTAACTAGTCATGTCCTCCATATAAAAATTAAAGATTCATATTTCAAAGACTAAAATTTTGAAAAACCAAAAAATTGAAAACACCAAATTTGTTTCCTTCTTTCCTTTCCCAAAAAAAATACTAAAATTTCCCTCATTCTTTCTCCTTCCATAAATTAGAAACACTCAATTTTTCCTCATCTTTCTATTCCATAAAATTGAAAGAACCAAATTCCCTCTTCCTACATTCCTTCCACAAAAAGTTGAAAACTCCAAATTTTCCTCTTCCTAGAATCGATGTGAGGAGATAGAGAGCGCCAAGACGACGCACTCTCTATCTTCTCACTTCGACTCTAAATCTGAGTCCGTCAATGCTATTGGTCCGAAAAAGTGCCAATGCAATCTATGCGATGATAAGTTTGAAAAAGTGCCAATTCAAATCACTAAACATAAGCAATCTTACATATGAAATAAAATTTTGCTAATGGTTGTATTGTGCTTGAAAAAAAACATTGATAATAGCACTTCAAATGATTATAAATCATTGTGAACCAAATTGATAATACGATGTAATAGTAAATAAACTTCAAGTACCAACAAATTGAAAACACAATTTCACTTTTGCTAATATTACAAACAAAACATAACATAAAAAGTTAATAATGTCATATAAAATTATTAAAAAACATGTCAAACAACATTAATAATAACACAAACGTATACCTAACAACAAAAAATCCCAAACCCATGCAATGAAAAACCCTAATGATGATTCAATTTATAAATATTGATAGTGTCATTACAAAATGTTAATACTTAATACTAATCCGAAATTGCCAAGATGTGAGAGAGACATATATTTTAAATTTCAAATTTCCATTTTAGAAAAAGAAAATTATTAAATTCGGATTTTATTAAATATTAAATAAAATTAATTTCATATTTCTTTTTAATTATAATGTAGAGAGAGGGTTGTGGAGAAAATCATGGGAGGAGAGAGAAAGAGAATTATTAATTAATTATATTTGCATAACTCCATTTATCCTTAACTATTTATTAACTACTAACCCCATTAACTACCTAATCCACTATCAACCAATAAGAAAGCTTTAAGATTCTTCTTAAAAAATGAGACTTAAGGACTTGAACTCAAGCCGAGAAACCTGGCTCGCATAAGCTAGGAGTTAATTGAGTTCTTCAAACACTGAACTCTGAAGATCGACAAGTCTGTGGTGTTGGCGGTGGCTGAAGCAGGCGTGTTCGGGTAATTATTTCAGAATCTTATTCAACCCTGTTTGATTCTCGCTACTCCATCCTAACTAGTATCGGAGTCGGATCTCTTGTCCTATTGGGTTTTGAATTTGGATTCACGGATTGTCAGCTATAAATTCCTTCCCAATTTCATCAAGTTCCGATCTTTTTAGCGACCCGCATATCTTCAAACAAGATGAGCAAGGAGAAAGAAGGCAAAGCAGAGGAACGGCGTAACTGGAGTGAGCTTCCGCCGGAGTTATTGAACCTCATCGGCCGACGGATAATCAAAGTAAAGGACGCAATCCGTTTTCGAGTGGTTTGTAAGACATGGTGGGAAACCCTCGCCGAGCAGCAGCCTCTACAGTTCCATCAATCGTCAGCCTTGCTGATGTTGCCGTATTGCAGCCACAATGAACAAGGCAACGGCGCCGGCGATAACAGCTGTTGCCGCCTCTTTATGGACGTGGCACGCAGCCAATATCACCACTTGGATTTCGAGCAAGCCCTGAAGCAAGCCAATTGCCGGGGCTCGGCATTCGGATGGCTGTTTATGCTGCAGCGCATCCCTGTGCTGTTCAACCCTCTCACCGGCGGTCAGATTTCACTCCCGCCCCTTACTACTTTCCCGGAGGTTTTGGGTTACTTCCCGGAAACAGTCGGCGCTGAATACCTGATTGTGGATCACGACTACGGCGGCCTCTTGTTCGCCGTGGGCAAGAAGTACGTGGAGTCTATCTACATTGACAGGATCGCAATGTCAGCTGAGCCCAATGCAGCGGAGGGCTGTGTTTTGATGGCTACCTGCTGGGTTCTAAGCAAACGGCGCTTAGCATTTTGCAGGCCTGGAGGTGACAAGTGGACATTGCTTCCGTATCTTAGCGTGGGCGGCGGGCCGGTACACTATCAGAACATAGTCTTCTGGAGGAATAAATTCTATGCTATTGACAACTACAACAGAATTCTCATCTGCGATCTTGCTGTTCCCAATGTGTCCTTTCTTGCTCCCAAAGTACGTCTTCTTCCTGCTGACTTCGACACCAGATACCTAGTTGTAGGTCTGGCTGATGAGTTGATGCTCGTAGGCAGAAGTTTAGCTGAACGCGAGGAGGATGCTGTTGGTGCCCTAAACGAACAACACGATGCTGGCCGCGAAGAGGATGCAGGAGGTAGAGTGATTCCTGCCCATATTGAAGATGACAGGCATGAGGTCGATGATCAAAGTGTTCGGTACGTTTGGGATAGTGACACAGATGATGAGTGCGAATGCTGTCCGAATTATGAGACCATAAAGTTTACCGTTTACAAGCTCAATGAAGAAACAAATCAATGGGGTGAGATTAAAAGCATTGGTGATTATGCTTTGTTCTTGGGTATGAATACCTCCGCCTGCCTCTCTACCCAAGATCACTCGGGATATAAACCGGATTGCATATACTTCACCGACGACTCTTTCGAGAAGCATGTAAGGCGTAGGCGTGGTGGTTATGATATGGGCATATACCATCTCAGTGATGGAACTATTGAGTCACTCTGCTGTATCAACTTGTATGAAAATCCTTCTCTAGTTTGGCCACCACCTGTATGGGTTTCGCCTGCTATCAATTAGCTTGTATTATGAAGTTTCATCGTTAAGTATGTCTTTGTCTTAAGACAAAAGTTGCAAGCCATCACTCGGTGTCATCTGCCATGGAGCCTCGACCAATTTTTTTCTCAGGGAATGGCACCCTGAATCTCTGATCCTTTCTTAATAGACTACACAGCAAAGCACAGAAGAAACATATAAACACAGAGCAAAAGAACACGTTCCTACCAACTTCACTCCAATCACACTCAATGAACAATAGATGCACACTCTGACCATTGCAGCGATATTCAAAATTCTTCCTCCAAATACTAACTTGAGCGTCGGAAGGTCCCTAAAGCATTACTGGATCACAATACTTCTTTTTCTGCAGTAAGTGATCAGAGACTCCTCGAACCACCAAAAATTCAAGATCAATTGCTGCTGAACATGGCATCAACAAGACCAAAACAAAGACCTCAAACAAAGAACTATCCACCACTAAATGAGAAATCTCTCCCAAAACGCACATGCCATAATCCTAAACGATGCATGTGGTTATTGCCAAATACAAGCAATCACACCCACCCTCAATCAACATACACCTTACACACAATGCTAATATGGTGATGAATTAAGCTATTCAAACCAAAATTATGGAGAGAGAGAGAGAGAGAGAGAGAGAGATTAGAAGAAAAAGGAACGAACCTTTATTGATCTTTCATTCAATGGCAATGGAGGGGCTGGAAAAAGAAAAAGAACAAACAACTAACATGACAACCACTTTGTTCCATATACCTCATTTTCCAAAGTTAGAAGAGTGCCCCCTCAAATTCTTCAGTCTTCTCATCAACAACCATACATCCCCCAGTGCCCACTTCTCTCCTTATGAATCCAAAGTCGTCTTAAGCTCCTCCAGCAGCACCTTTCTTTTCTTGTGTGGTGTATGTATTCAAATCACATATATACACAGTACAAACGATCACCTCCCACCTTGCTGCCTCCTCCATACTTACCCCCAACCCCAAACCAGAAAAGGGTAAAGAAGCAAAAGAGGAACAAGAAGAAAAGAATAACCACCCTTCCCTTCCTAAACTCCCCCAAAGTAAGCAACAACCAAATTGTACATATTTCCCTGGTTTCCTCCTTCCGGTGTACACTAACAGACTCGAACATACAAGTGCAAAAATGACTGAACAACCCAAAGGTAGTGAGGGTAGTAAACCCACAAATCTTTGGTGAGAGTGGGGAGGGGAAAACATCAGGAGCTGGTAATTGATCAATGAATGAATCGATGGAAAATGCTTTAAATTTAATGCCTAGCCTACATTTGTCTACCAGGAGGGATGGTGGGTTCATGGCACAGAGCTAATAGAATTAGGGATGGGGTTGCCTTTTCTTTCAATGAAGGTTGCTTATATCACAGGAAAGTTGTTTTCTTTTTGGTATCATCTAGTAGTCTTCTAGAGGGTGGGAGGGTTTCGAGTAGAGTAGTTCCATGAAAGTTGCAACTTCAAACCAGCATCAGAAGCAGAATGAGTAGAGCGGTAGGACTGGAGGGCCCTGCTGCTACGTTGTGGCTTTCTGCGAGCTCTAAAAACTGTAATGTCTCACCGAATGTTCCAATATATCACGACTTGGGCAGATCATCTCCTTCACACGGCTACCGCCTTTGTATATCTTGAATGTAGGTACAATCCTCACATTCTCAGTTGTCGCAACATCAGGGTTTGCATCAACGTCCACCTTCAAACACCACCAACACATTCTCAGCTCTTTCCTTTCATGAGTAACAATCAAATGCTTAATGCAACATCTGGACTTGTTCCTTTATGAAATCCATCTGCTTACCTTGAAGAAATTTATGGACGGATACCGCATGCATAAAGCATCCAGAAAAGGAGACATCTGCTTGCATTGCGTATTAGAGGTTGACTGGAAATGGACCATTGAGACACCTGTGCATAAAGGATTTCCGTTCTCACCATGGTCTAAGCAACAATGCTAAGTTTAAATCAAGAATACTCAAGTAAGGTTTATACCTGGAACAAATATAGCAGCTCTAAACTGTTCAAGTCCTGATACTTCCTCCACTTCACCACCAAACTTCATATTGTAAACTTCTTCCCCACGAGATTTCTTTAGTGCAACTTGAGCATGGAATAAAGACTCTGCAACTTCACTATCATTAGGTAGTTCCCTTCTCAATGACTCGTAATCCCCGACAGCATCACTCCACCTTTCTAGCTGTGAGATTTATAGCTGTATGTTAATTTTTGGCCCACATGTAGGATCTAATAGCTTAGAAGACCATATAGGCCTGCCATAACATAAGTATGAAAATGATACCTTACTGTTTGATGCAGCTCTCCGGAGGAGGGCTTTTTTGTAATTGGGTTGAATACGCAAAGCTTGGTTGCAGTCTTCTATAGATTTTTCCCACAAACCGAGTTTATACCAACATGCTGCTCTATTGCAATAAAGAACAGAGTTTGAAGGATCAACCCTCAGGCCTTCCTCATATGCCGAGCAGGCCTCTGTAAACCTTTCGGATTTAAAGAGGTCATTGCCACGGAGACGAGACCTCACCACCAGCCGCACATTCTTAAGCAGAAGAGTGACTTCAACATTTCGTGGATCAATCTGTGCAGCTCTCTCAGCAGCTGTAACTGCACCATCAAACCTGCAAAAAAACACTAGCAATCTGTTCTCAACCAGCTCAAAGTACATCTTAGTATAATGTTTCCAAATATTTCATTTGATGCCTGAACTCACCTTCCAAATGCCATATCAATCTGTGCCTTAACCAGTAAGTAGTAAGCTTCAGAAAGCATCCCGAAGAACTTGGATTGTAAACAGGAACTGGTATAATATTCTAGCCTTGGACCACTTGAGAGGCACAATTCAGCATCATCTAGATGATGGAGCTTCAAGTGGGCTTCAGCTTTGCACATGGAGAGCTGTACATTTAAATGAACTCGTAAGCCTACATCTTACATTTTTTTTTACAGATGTACAACAATTGTAGTACTTGAAAGAACAGGAGGGACGAAGCAGAAGAAAATTCATACCAGTGGAGAACAATCAGCACCAGCAGCAATAGCAGCATCACTTTCCCTTAATGCACCTTTCCAGTCATTAACATTCCGAGCATAAGAACATTTATTTATATGCTTCTCTACAACTTGCAACTTCGACAATTCAGAAGAATCTGGAGGTTGCCCGGCCAGGGTTAGGTGGCTCCTGGCACTTTCAACTTGTCCTAACCTGCACAATAACCCATTCAATACAGGCGGTCCTGTCATAAACTACAGAATCCTTAAGTATGTTGCTTTTCAAAAGAGTAGAACAAACCACCCTAAAAACCAGCATATATGAACAAAAGACTGAAAAGTAACGGGCACTTTGACAAGCAATGCAGGGAACTGAAGGATCTATAAAGGTCGAAAGTGTAGAAAGCAAGATTCATTGTCCCATTACGAAGGAACGTTGCCAGTAGACAGAGACTGATACAATTGCATAATCCTTAGTAAAAGAAAAACCCATTAACACCTTGAACAAATTCTAAATATATTCTCCGAATAATCAAGTTATTCAAACCTCACTGTACAAGCAGTAACAATTCAACGTACATGCACAGGAGAAGAAAGCAACAATATTACTCAACGTGGACATAAGGAGTTTTACTTTTATGATAATGCAAACGGGTATAAAACAATACGTTAAAATCAATGATCATGATAGTTCAGTGGACCAAATATATGGTCTTTACTGTGAAAACAGTAACAATCATGACATTTTACCTAAAGGGTATCCAATCAAACAACAATGGATCGATCCCACTCAGCAACATCAACTGAACTTGGACAGAAGAAAGCTAAGTATAACATTATGAAATGGTAAATAGCAAAAACGGATGAAGGCATAATTAACACGCAAACTCCACGACAAGGAGGAAAAGCTCCATTGACAAACTCACCTGATAAGCAAAGACCCCAGCCTTTGATGCGCCCTGTAATAATGAGGGTCTAACCTAACTGCCTCCTCACATTCCCTAACTGCCTCTGCAACTTTGCCTAAACTCATCAATGCCGCTGCTCGATTACTTCTATATGCTGCATTGGCTGGTGCTAAGGCAATGGCCTTGTCGTACAACGCCAACGCCTCACTGAAATGACCTTTCTTATACATCTCATTCGCTGCCCGCTTAACTTCCTCCGGATCCATGACCCCAAGCCCTTTATTCCCCACACAGGCATTTCCACGAACACTACCGGTGCTACAATGACTACTGCTGCTACCGCTAAGCAAGTTTCCATTGTCGGAGCTACTACTACACTTAGCCCCCCCAGCTCCACCGCCGCGGATTATGCTTCCATGGCCGTAGTGCCCAGTCCCAGAACCCAAGACGTCGGACTTAGAACTCCGGCTCGGCATTGCGATACTCGCTTTCAAGATCTTACCCGAGGGACAAATGTTTCCGGTCGGGAGGACGCTGAAATTAGCAGCTGGGGGAGAGTTCACGGAGCTCTGCCCGCTCCCGGAGTAGATTAGCGGGTCGGATCTAGCGTGGCTGGGCCTGTTATTCGGAGTTTTCAACCCGGCTGCTGTAGTAGTGGGACTGTTGCCACTGGAAGAAGTACATAGCAGCTCGCCGGAATGGCCAGATTTAGCAACTGGGTTTTGCCCATTTCGGGTTCCCGACACAGATCCAGACGAGCTTGTGCTGGAGCTAGTGGTGGTGGTGGTCGTCGTCGTCGTCGTCGTCGTGGTCGTGGCGGCCAGCCCCCGGGGTCGCAAGGGGGAAACAGGAGAACCCAGATCGAGTTCGCGGAAATCAGGCTTGTTCGCTTCCAAGGAACTCAACGAGTCGCGCAGCTGATCACTCGGCGACTCCAGACCTAGTCGGCGGTTGCCGTCATTGGGTTTTCCAGAATGCGACATTTTCTCCCCGCTCCTCAATCAGAAACCTCACTGATGAAAATCCAGAAAGGAGGAAAGGGGGGAAACAAAAAGCCTAACAAATCTCTCTCACCATTTCTCTTTCTCTGCTCTACAAGTTTCGCCCCTCTCCTCTCTCTCTCTCTCATGCAACTCTTTGTCTATCTGGGTGCGGCTGCCGGCAATGTCCGGGTGAACATTAGAAGAGAGAGAGATCGGGGAAGCAAGGAGAAGAACCCAGAAACGGAAATGGAAATCTGTGGCAGGAAGACATTAGATTGGAAGGGATTGAGATGAGATATGAGATGGGAGAAGGAGGAAGAAGAAGAGAGAAAGAGACAACAGCTGATGGGGATCTCGTGATATAAAGAAAGGGGAAGGAGAGGAAGCAAAGAATGAATAATGTGAGTGATGGATGAGTGGAAGTTTTTCAGATTTTCTTTTTCCACCCTTGTATTAATTTTTTTTACTTCCCTTTCCATGTGATTTTGTCAGGATTCTATTATGGTTTTAATTTTTCAAAATGGTATTGTTATCAATGACATTTTGATACCTTAAAATATTAGCATGATACGATTTCATATATGTTAATGTTATCTTAAATTTTCGAAAAGTTTTCAATCGAAGAACTTGTATTTATCTTTATTCCGAAAATCTTAAAAGGGATTAGGATCTCAACCTCCGATGATATTCAGGTAAATGCTTATTGGTATTTAACTATCTTTTTCTATGTGTTATTCGTCTTGAGTTTTTATATATTTACAATGCATCATCAACTAGGTGACCGCCTCTCTTAAGTTCGATTCCCTTAGCTAGAAATATTATATAAATAAGTGTAAATGTGTCATTTATGGACCAAAGCGCAAGAATCAAAAGTCAAATGTATCATTAGGAATTTAGGATTATATGGTAGTCACTTGGATGTATTGTTATTGAATGATAAAGAACCCTAATGCCCCGTTTAGTATTGTTGCCTGTTTTTGTTTTCTGTTGTGTTTTTAACGATTGGAGAAATCAAGAAAAAAAACATGTTTAGTTGGATTTCTATTTTTTGTTATGAATCATATTTGCACAACAGGACCCAAATTAGAGAAACAACAATTCATTGCTTTGAATGTGATTCATTAACATGTTGCACACGAGTTTCTTCCTTGTTGAGGTGCTGATTTCATTAAATCCGTCCCCCCACCCCCGTTCAAATCCCATCTCAGTCTTTTTTAATTTTTTCACCCGCAAACCCTACTCTGCCTCACGCCGCACACATCTATATTCTTCCTCCTCTCCGCACCAGCTCTAGGAACGACCTTCTTCTCGTCGCCGTTCGCGTCCAAGTTGTCGTTCGCACGCCGCTGCCTCACGTTCTGTCGTCTTTCTCGTCGCCTCCTCCCGCCAGCACCGCCTCGCGTGCCGCAACTTTGGCGCACCATTCCGTCGTCGTCCAGCTCGCCGCCGCTACCTTTGTGTCATGGTCGTCCCTCTCGCTTCTACGCCGACCAGTTATTGTTTCAACATCAGTGCAACCACAACAACAAAATAATACTAAACGGGGCCTAAGCTTTAGGAATCGAATTTATATATTGGCAAAATGGGGTAAATTTTTGCTTTTCTTGAATTGAAAGGGTAGTTGGAGGAAATAAAAGTAAGTAGATCAATTTGGAAGCCCCCATTTGAATGACACTATAATATGCTATGAATTATAATTTTATGAAATTATGAAATCCATAATTTTATAACCATAAAAAAATGGGGGCTTCCAAGTTTATCAAATTCATAAGTGACTATGATTTTAGGGCAAGACTATAATTGTGAGTATGAGAAAATAGTTGTAGAAGAGGAGAAACAACAAATTGCGTGGATGAGCTAAAATATGTCCATAATTTTTTATAAACTAGAGTGTCTTAGAATAGAAAGACATCAAACTCAATCTTACATCATATATAGAATATAGTTTATTAAATTTTATGACAAACTCGATCATTACATCAACATGAGACATCGATAAGCTCTTTATAAACTAAATCGAACAAAACTGGATCAACATATCAAGAAATCGGAGGACTCTAATAAGAGAATTCTTAGTTCGTAGGACCGACAAGGGAAATATGAAAAATTTCAGGGTCTAAATTCAACTAACTGAAAAATCAAGCAAAATTTTCAAGTGTTCAAGTTTCAACACACGGAGAAAAAGAAAATTTGGGAAAATAAGGGGAAAAGAAAACAGAGGCGATCCCTTTTGTAGCTCTCCCTCACATGCCTTCTCTCTGCAACGACGAGGAGGAGGCCTCCATTTCAGCGACAGAGGAGCTCTGAATACATATATATTTTTTGCGGCTGAAAGGATCCCAATTTCGCCAGCCCTCTTTCGCCTTCGCCCTTCTCGTCGATTCAGAGTCATTAGCAGGTAACACGAATTCTCGTTCCCCATCACGATGCACATTTTCCTCAACATTTTTTTCCAATTGAATTGGTGGCGGGGAACAGGAACGAACGCCAGTCTGTAGCCAACGGTGGTGGCGGTTGTAGTTTCGTTGTCATTTACCGAGAAATCTGTCGCACATCGCCCCGCCATGAGCTCATTTTTGTTGTGCCGTCACTTTACGGTTACCTCGCGCTCTCATTTCACCCAACTGTGAGCGCGGGGAGAGGGATTGAGGGCAATATGATGTCGAATTTCTCCTGTCCACGTCGCTGGCTTTGGGGGTTTTGCTTCGAATGTGGAATAGCGTTGTTGCATTGTGTGGAAATGACAGCGACTTTTTGGCAGTCCCCTCTCTGTGTTTCTGTTTTCTTGTTTTAAACGGATTTTCTCTAGATCTTTTCTGGGGTTAACTGAATTGTCTCAAATTCTTTTCTCCCCAGAGTTTGGTACTTTGAGGGTTGCGGTATGAATTGAAGGAGATCCTTTTATGAGCGATGAGTTTGATTCAGCAAAACTGGAGAATGGTTGTATGTTGGAGATATACTGCTTGATTTTGTGAAATCAGTGGTGGTGGGGTCTGGAGGAAGAGGAGTGTTCGTTGTTTTTGGTTCGTAAGACATGGCAGATGCAGCAGGGTTAATGGAGGCGGCTGGAACTAGATTTAGTTCCTTGGAGTTGATTGGTAGAGGATCATTTGGAGATGTTTATAAAGCGTAAGTTACTTGCAAATCTTGTGCCTTGTTCTACAATGTGGTGCCCATTTTTTTTCCATGTTCTTTTTCTATAGTAGTTGGGTTGCTCTAGTGCATACTTAGAGCTTGCATCTGCAGATAATTGCCTGATCAGTACTTTAGCGATCTATGACAGCACACAGAATGTAATGTAGCTTGTTGAGTGTTTGGAAAGCTGAACTCTTCTGTTTATTGATGATAGTTCCATTGAGCTTATTGTTGAGATGGTTCATAGAAATAAGAGTAGAAACATTAATGATGTTGGAATGTCCAGCACCATCGGTTCAGATTTGTGGATTAAGAGTGCAGATCCATGTTTAATCTGCACTTCCCTTATTTCCTTTCCGTTTCTTCATTTATAATCAGGATGTGGGTGTAGATTTAAGTTGTTGTAATATTTGTCTATTTGAAATTTTACTTTCTGTATTCTTCTGTACCTATATGTATTATAAGTCGGTTGTATAGTTTTTAATGTACTTTATATCAAACCTCTATTTCAAATGCTACATGAGTATCCAATCTTTATTGATTGAAATCAATTTGTGTTTTTTTTTTTGTGTGCTCTTAATTTTATGAAGACTAGAAAGAGACTTCCAGACAAAAAAGGAAAATTTATTGAAGGGGGTATTATGTTCTCAATTCATCCAAAACCATAGTGGTAGATTATTGAAATCAATTTCAGCTTATCTACTTTGTGTGCTCATAATTTTTTTTATAAGGGTGAATTGTGTGCTCATAATTTTTACAAAGACCAGAAAGAGACTTCTAGACCAAATAAAAAGGAAAACTGTTGAAGGAGTATCATGTTCTCAATTCATTCAAAACCATTGTGATGAATCTTATGCTTGAGGATCGGATTATATTACCTCCTCTAATTTGTCTTGAGATCTTGATCTTGACACAACCTTGTGATTTTCCAAATTGTAGGTTTGATAAGGAGCTCAACAAAGAAGTAGCCATCAAAGTTATTGACTTGGAAGAATCGTAAGTATTATGGATTAGACTTATCTGCCTTATGTTGGCCAGGCTAAGTAATTACACGGATTTGTTCTGCATTTCTGCCACTTCTCTTTGCGCACTTGTCTGCGGTTTCCTCTTCAAGTGGAATTGAATGGCATGGATATCTGCTTTCTTGATTGAAACAAATGAATTCCTGATGCTTAAAATACTTATATAATTCCTCTAAGTTAGGCATATTTTGTAGGAATTGAAGGTTTTACTAGTTCATGTTGACTAATCAGCAAATGATATTTACCGTAATTTCTGTTTCCCTCCCAAAATTAGTGTTGGTACATTAGATGAGATAACAAGTAAATGAAATAAAACATATTTTTAGGAGTCATTTTGAATCGTGATAATTTGCTTGTCCATACTAGATGTTCTGTCTCCGACAAATGCTTATGTGAACCTCTTTTTTCTAACATTTCTAAGCTTTTTTCCCTAAATTTAATCTTTTGCAGTGAAGATGACATTGAGGATATTCAGAAGGTAGTTAAATGTCACTTTTTGTTCTCTTTTAGTTCTTGTTATGCTTGTTATAATAGTTGAGACGTCTGCTTCGTTATATGCAGTCAAATAAGTGGTTGACTTGTCATAATATCAATTTTTTACAGGAAATTTCTGTCTTATCACAATGCCGCTGTCCATATATCACAGAGTACTACGGTTCCTATCTTCAGCAGACTAAATTATGGATAATTATGGAATACATGGCTGGTGGCTCTGTTGCTGACCTTGTAGGTTACTCCATTCACTTACTTCTGATGTTGCCTTCACTGGAACATTACATCTTCTATCCAGGATTGGGAAAATCTATTTCTCATTCTGATTACTTTCCAGTGCTTATAAAGATAACTCTTTTACAGCTTCAGTCGGGCCCTCCACTAGATGAAACTTCAATCGCTTGTATTTTGCGTGATTTGCTTCATGCTGTTGAATATTTGCACAATGAAGGGAAGATTCACAGGGATATCAAAGGTTCATTCCCTATGCCTTTCATTATAATTAACTGTGGCAATTCGAATGTGTGGTTCAGAGCAAGGGTGTCAAACACACTAGATTGCTTATAATTCACACCCAACCCTGGATCATGTTCAGAGAAAGAGTGTTAGGATCACTAGATTGGGTTATGGGCATCGAATTTTGGTTACTTGTTGGCAAGGATTTGGAACGAATTTTTTTTTCAGTCTCTACTAGATTGAGTTTGAGGTATCTTGAGGCTCTACTTCCCTTTTCTGGGAGCAAGTTCTGCTAATTTATACTGGTTCATTCTCTCTTCTCCTTAAGTTCTCATTTTCATGACAACATTTCTTAATTTGAACAGCGGCAAACATTTTGTTGAGCGAGAATGGCGATGTCAAGGTATGTCATTCTTTGCTTATATAGCACCGCAAGATCGTTAGTTTCAAGATATATATTAATATTGCTATAATATGCATTGGCATATGTATATATTTCAGTATTTCATGCTACTTTGGTTACCATTTGACAGGTTGCAGATTTTGGTGTTTCTGCACAACTTACAAGAACAATCTCCCGAAGAAAGGTGCTCCTTTGACACTTAGCTATTTCATAAATTTATTCATAGTAATATTGATTGTGATACTGAAATGATAGGACTTTGGGTGTTACTCTTACTACCAGTTTATGCATTCTTCAGCGCAACCTTATTCACTGACTTCTTCTTCAAAAAACCCTTATTCATCGACTTATTTCTCTAGGTTTTTTTTTATTAGTTGTGAACTGATTGCTAAATATTTGCAGACTTTTGTTGGCACGCCCTTCTGGATGGCTCCAGAGGTTATTCAGAATTCAGATGGGTACAATGAAAAGGTATCAAATAGCAGTTTGAGAGAGAGTATTGAAAAGATTCTCCTTAGAGTTGAACGTTGGATCTGTTGTTCACTTATAAAAAAGAGGTGAGAACAGGAAAAGCAGGGAGGAGAGAGACAGATAGGTTCCAGTATGCTTTCACCAGTAGTAATTTTATTATATATGAAAGGTTATCTTCCTGAATCATCAAGTGTCTGCAGGCTGATATCTGGTCTCTCGGGATAACTGCTATTGAGATGGCGAAGGGGGAACCTCCTCTTGCTGATCTGCACCCAATGAGGGTCCTTTTTATCATACCGCGGGAAAATCCACCTCAGGTTATTTATTTTGCCCATCTAGTATTCCTGCAGTTCTTCTGTTACTGTAAATTTAACAATGGACATGGGCAATTACTTGGTACAGCTGGATGAACATTTTTCTCGTCCTATGAAAGAGCTTGTTTCTATGTGCCTAAAGAAAGCTCCTGCTGAGGCAAGTATTTGGTTCCAGTGCTATTAAGTTCTGTTGCTGTTCCCCTGCAGTAGTTGTATTTGTTTTGGAAAATTTCTAGATTAATTCAAACCGAATCTCTAGTTTTCTCCCCAGTCATGATGATGTGCATCGTTCTTATTTCAGAGGCCAAGTGCTAAGGAACTCTTGAAGCACCGATTTATAAGAAATGCGAGAAAGAGCCCGAGGCTTGTTGAGAGAATAAGGTGTGATGTATTTCCTGCATGTCGTTGTATTGGTTCTCAAAATCTCTACACATGCTTACTAGGACCTTATTTTTCTACTAAATTGTTTTGCTTCAAGGTCAACACATGCTTACTAGGCCCTTATTTGATTGTTTTGCTTCAAGGTCAACACATGTTATCTAGGCCCTTATTTTTATCAACAGTTGTCGTTGTATTGGATCCTTAGTTACAAATATGCTTCAAGGTCAACGTTTATGTGCAAGAAGCTTGTCCCACCTAATGTCGATGAAGTTTATAAGTCATTTGGCATGTCCAAGCATGAACGATGAACTATGGTTTAGCAGCTTAACACTATTAAAGTTTGATATATCAGGCGGGACAAAGAAATGGAAACAAGATTTTTGGGTCATGCAGCAATACTCTGCAACATATGTATGGTATTGATGCTACTCTTGTAATCTTGATAGGGAGCGTCCGAAGTATCCAATTAGAGATGGGGAAAGCCCAAAAAATGGTACCCAAGCAAGAGGGGAAGCATCTGATACGGTCAAGGTGACTAGGGATGTAAGGGCAGATGGAACTGTTCAAGCCAGGTCAGTTTAGTCGATATGTTCCTATCTGAAAGTGTATGTTGTGTTGTTTTCAGTACGTGATACTCCTAATATTACAGTGGTCCAAGAAAACCCCTGAAAAATGCTGGGTGGGACTTCAGCATTGGTGGATCACAGAGTACGGGAACTGTTAGGAGTGCTTTAAGACCACCTCAGGTTAAAGAAAAGAAAGTTGATGCGTCATTCAATAAGGTCAGTCAAAGAGGGACTTTGGAGCATGGTAACCACTTGCTATCTTCGTCTCGGAATGCACTTCAGGAATCAACTGAACCTTCCCGCGTTAAGGATTCCCGGGAGCCATTTTATAATGATGAACATCCAGATGATGATGTAAGTTCTTCATTTCCACATCTTACAATTATTCTATGAGAGGAATTTTGGACGTTAAAGCCAGGCTATGTTAAATTGGTGTCTTCCAGCTATATCATTCCGTAATCCTTATGAAAATTTGTTTACTGTCACTTGTGTTTCTGTTTTTCCAACTGGTTACTTCTGAAGTTTTCGATCTGGAATATCCTGTACAGTGTTATTTAGCTATTTAAATTTTCATTCCAGGATGACTTGGATGTGAGTGGTTCTGGAACTGTGGTTATACGAACTCCCAAAGGATCTCAGTCATCATCTTCTTTTCGAGATCAGAGTTCACCAGTATGACTTCTATTCAGTAATATAATAACAATGAAACTGTAAAACTGTTCAGTGTACACACTTGCTGCTAGTCTGTTAACATGTTTGTTCTTTGTGCAGTCTAGCACCACATTAGCTTCCTTTGATGATGCATCTACTAGTGGAACTGTTGTTTTCCGTGGCCAACATGATGATTCTGATTCTCCCCGGACTCCTAGATCTAGATTGGGGATACAAGAGAGAAGCTCAAGTGTTTCTCATGAAGACAGTGCTTCAAATTTGGCTGAGGTTTCCATCTCTCTTTATGCTTTTATCTAATGATGGCATATGTTTCCATGTACTCTTTTTGGACACTGAATCACAATAATCACCACGATCGTGTAAAGCTTAGCATGATTGTGTTAAGAAGTTCAAGTGTATAATATGCAGGCAAAAGCAGCATTGCAAGGAGGGGCAAGAAAAGGGAATGCTAGAGAAAGGTCCGGTTTCAGCAAGGTCAACAATGATGGCCCTGAAAGTAGGAGAAAACAGCAAATAACAAATAGCTCTGATTCTACCAGGTATCTAAGTCAACATTCTAACCATTATTTACTCTCAAAACGCTTAGGTTTTCTTTCTAACATACATCACTTTTTTCTGCGAAGTTCTCAAGACTACCTTGATGCACAAAAAGCCTTCGCAAAATCACGCCAGTCAAGTAATGATGAAGAAAGTGCCAGAGTAATCTCATCGTCAGCTCCTCTATCAGTTTTACTTATCCCATCTTTGAAAGAGGTAATGAACTCCTTTTTTACATCCATGCTTTCTTGCTATTGGGTTCTTCCAGTTTTACTGTCTATATTAGAACGACTTCAAATTTCAAGAATAGCAAATTTGCCATAGAGAGGGAACGGGAGATTATCTTGTGGGTCCCTGTTCTAAAAAACAGCTTGGCTCTACATCCCCATCAGAATGAAAGCTAAAGTATAGAAAGAACAGAAAGGAAGAAAATGGCACAGAAGAGAATTTAAATGGGTTCTGGATTCTTTCCAACCTTAATGATCAAGAGTTTGTATGAGAATTTGCAGCAGTGAATTATTTGATATTATGAGATTTTGGTACTTCTTATAATGGACATTTAGCGTCCCAAAATTGGTGGTGTGAGGAGCAGCTTATTGAGGGCCGTAGTTGAGGTGGTGGAATGTGGGACAAATGGAATGCGTAGATAGAGATAGATTGAGAAGTTAAAAGGGTTTCACGAAGCTGAGTTCTGGTGAAAAAGAGTGCGAGAGGGGAGGGCCTTAAGTTTGAGAACGGAATTTGCGACATGTACAACAACTGAGTTACCCACTCTTCAATTCTGAGTACTTAGCACGTCATTTGTCCTTATAACCTGATGCTTGTACTGTAGGCAGCTGCAAACGGTTTAGAAGGATCAGCAGTGAATGCTGCTATAAACTCCCTTGTGAATATGGAGCGCATAAAGCCGGGGTCTTCAGAAATCATTGTCAGAAGTTTACTTCAGAGAATGTCAAGGTTTGTATGGTTACCCCTGTCCTTGTGTACTGCTTTTTATTTTCCCCAATTCATACTGATGTGCTCGTCGCTGGATATGCAGTTCAAAGGAACCTTCTCTGAAGGATCTTCAGGAACTGGCGGCTGCTTTATTGTCGAAGGGCAAAACCACCACTGCTGAAGAAGCTCAAAATGCAAAGAGACAACAGCCCAAAGATTTCAACTCAAATGCCAATTTAAGCCCTCTTGCGAGGTTTCTCCTCTCAAGGTACTACTACTCTACTAGTCCTTGGTCTTTCCCCTCAAAGTAGAGTTAAAAGTTGAAAACGTTTTTCGATACCCATATCACAGCTAGTTGAAACACGTCTAATATCAATATGGTACTTGCCTAGTATCGCGTCATAAGTTAACTATGCTCAGCCGTCGAGCTGCGTTTGTTCAGGTTGAGCTGATGCCTGTTAATTATGATGTGCAGATGGCAAGGTCGAGAGGTGTAAATCTGTAAAGAGTGGAGAAAATGGGACAAGAGAGGAGGGACAACTTAACTTTTGCTTGGGAGAGAACCTTGAAGGAGAGAAAGGCCAATGATGCTCTTTAATTATTAGTTTGTTCATTTGTTGTTGTAGTGTTTTTGCCAACCAAACTTCCTACCTCTGTCTATTCATTCTTTGTTCTGGATTTCCGATGTACATAACATAATCATTATTACCATTATTACTACTACACTACATAATCATTGTATGGGGGAAAGGAATAATTCTTTGATCTTTAAGCTCAGACTTTCTATAGGCTCTTTTGTTTGGGTTGGTTGAGGTTATCGAGCTGCGAACCATGTCGTGCAACTTACGGTATTCTGTAATATAACCGTGCAATGTAAGTTATTTGTTGCAAGTGGCCCAAACTGGTCAGGAGTGTAAAATTTTGCACAGGGATTACTGTTTGCAAGTTGCAACTCCAACTTGTTCCTCTCAGATCTGGCATGTATATGGAGAGAATGGGTTACAACCTTTGATATAAAATTGAGCCGGATTTCGGATGCATACAAAACTGGGTTTGTTGTACGCTAAGTGCTTCTGTGCATACAATACACCATTATTCTCTGTAGATCATTATTCAGAGTCTTAAGAATGTCACATATAGGTTGTAACAACACTTGCTAACAATTTACAAAAACATCGGCTGTTCCTCGCCTTTCTTCCATGTTCCATTCATGGAAACCTGGATTACCTTTTCTTAGGAGGCTGCCTTGAAGTTGGAGCCAGTTTCCGGAAGGTGGCATGCAAAATTGTGACTGCAAATAGAAGATGTGAAGAAAGACAGTCTTTAAGTTCCTCGAAAGGCAGCGCGAATCATAGGATAAAACTGCAAAGAGGTTCACCAAGGTATATACAGTTTGATGCTGGGAAGTTGGGAGGTTAGAAACACAATTTACCTGCGTAGCTGACCGCAACAGCACAAAGGAGAGCCTTTTGAACATTCAGGATTATCAATATAACTGCAGTTGCTGCAACAATGAGACAGAACAGAAAGGCAATGTTGCCGCGAGCGCGAGAATTCAGTTATTCAAAGTACATTTCCCAGAACTAGCTAGAAGAAAACAAAGATCAGAAACGTAAAAGAGGCGAATTCGAGCTGAGCAAAAGGGGGTGGCTATCCCCCCCTTGTGATGAATGGTGGCAGACTCACCACATTGTGCAGTGCGAACCAAGACCTGACGAAGAACAGGGTACCTATCCCATCCCCACCTTTCATTAGAAAACTTGAACATGTCCCAAACAGCCAAACACGAAATCAATCCCACGAGAGCCAGCGGCATTTGATACCTAGATCACGAAACATTCAAAGTTCAGTTCTTGACCAGACAATATAGAAGAATTCTCAACACATTATCTACACTAGCCACTAGCAAGAAATCCATTAATCAACCATATAAAAGCAACCAAAATCTAGTCTCTCGTCACGGCTGCAGGAGGAACACATAGCTCTCCCCATTTTCACCCACAAAGATGGAGCAACAAATGGACTAAGGGTTCAAAGATTCATGTCTCTCAAGCCATGAACAAATTCTGTGACCCTTCCTTCCTTCCTTCCTTCCTTTGCAAACATGGTTTCTAATTCTCATGCTAATTGAAGAACCAATCACAGTAATCAGCATTATAGATAGTGAAAACTGAAAAGGGAGGAGAGCTTACAGAGCACAGGCGAAGAACAAGATGAAAAGAGTGGCGTAATTCCTGGCGTAACGCTTTACATTCTCGGTGACCCGGAGCCTGGCCTGGTGCGACCCGGATGGAAACGAGTAGGACCCGCAGTCCCCGATGAAGGCCGCCGTCCACGAAGGAGTCGGCGCCGAGAAATCAGCGGCGGTGAGCTTGGAGAAAGGGTTGGTGGAGACGACGGAGAGGAGGACGGAGACGGCGGGAAACAAGGAATCGAAAAAGAACCCACCGGTTAGCGATGCCGGGTCGAAATCGGTGGCTGCCGCCGCCGCCGTGTCGCTAGTAGAGGTGGCGCTGACGGTGGTTGCAGCGGCGGAGGAGGAAGAGTGTTGATCGATGAGCTCCAGGTAGCCGGAATCGCGGAGCCAGGACTCGAATTCTGCGTCGGGAACGCTTACGGATAAAGGATTCGCTGCGAACGCCATTTTTTCCCCCACACGCACAAGTGATTCTCTTGCCGGCGAGAAAGGGATTAGGTAAAAGCGCGCACCCGCCATTTTTGCTCTTATTGATACCCGCCAAAACGGAGCCGTTAAAGCAAACTGGAAACGACTGAGGGAGAGAAGATAAAACGGGAAAAGTCAGTAGTAGTAGAAGTAGTCTAGTAGAATAGAAGCGATGTCTAAGAGTCATTTCATCAAACACCTTTCGTTCAATCTTAACAGGGCTCTCGTTCACCGCCCTCCTCCTCTGCTCCCGCTCCCGAGTCTCGTTAATACCACCAAGCCCGATTATCCCTTCTTTAGACGGTCATGCTTCTCCTCCAACATCCGCACTTCTTCTTCTCGTGCAACATTTTCATCAGCTTCGGCAGCGAGTCCTGCCACTTCAACCGACTGGAACTACCAGAGCTACGTTTCCGTCCGGATTCGATGCCCGCGGCATGCTTACGTGAGTACCCATTTCACCTCTTGCACTGATAATTGGGGCTGGTTTCTTGCCCTCATTCTTCTGCTATGTTTGTCGAAATCAGGAATCGTTTTCAGAAGCTCTGCTATGCTTCGGAGCAAGTTCAAGCAGCGTGGATGGTGATGGTGCTGGTGAAGAGGAAGAAGGTGGAGGAGGAGATGGTTCCTATGGCCTTAATGAGGTACTAATTTTCTTCCGGTCTCGGGTTCGATAAAGACTCGGGCTTTATTAACTTGGTAATGCTTTTGTTGTAGGTCGTTATTGATTCTGTATTCGTGGAGTGCCAAGATGTCAAAGCGTGCATTGCGAAAGCTGCCAATGCTGCTGGTTTGAAGACGACACCGAGCTATCAGGTTAAGACGGGTGCCCAGGATGACTGGATTCGGCAATCTCTGGTTTGTTTCTTCTTCATCTTCTTCAAACTTGTTGAAGTAGTGAAGTAGTACCCCTCTTATACCGTAGATCATACCTTTGTAATTCCTATAACTATGTTGTTTGAATCTACCTGCACATCACCCTTCATGTCAACTGCTTCTGAGTTGGCAATGGTAGTGATCTGAAAAGAAGAGCTGACATTCCAGCTCCTTGGTGCTTATGTTATGTATGTTCGTCTATTATGGCTGTTGGGTGTCTTCTGAGCTTAATGTGAGTGCTAGTTGGTGATGTTCTTAAACCTGTCATTTATAAATTTTCAATTTATTCCAGGAATCATTTAATCCAGTTGAAGTTACTCAAGGGCTTTGGATTGTGCCAGAATTGAAATCTCCGCCGGTATGACTATCTCCAATTTATCTTCTCGAATAGGATTTACTTGAATGCTGCATTTCATAGAATCTCATATGTGACAGTTAGACAAACTCTGTATGCTTGCATGCATTGTTCACATCTTTTCTACAGCTTATTCGAATTCTGCCAGTATATTTACTTGAGTAAAGATACGACTCTTAGTCGATTCTCGCATTGTAAAATCCTGTTTTCTGACAATCTAGTGATATTTGGTTCTTCATTCTCTTTGGATTAGGTAGCAAGGAACCATTGCTTGTAACAATTGCCTGATTTGCATGATTTTTGTTCACTACAGGATATTAACGCGACTAATATAATCCTCAAACCTGGTTTTGCTTTTGGAACTGGGGAGCATCCTACTACAAAGTTGTGTTTATTGCTGCTAAAAGGTTTGATAAAAGGAGGAGAATGCTTCTTGGACTATGGAACCGGTTCTGGAGTTCTTGCAATTGCAGCACTTAAGGTAATTAATACCAGTATTTCAACCGCGCTCTGTGATTTGTTTCACTATCAAAAGTCTATAGTTATCTCACTAAATGTGCTTGTAGTTTGGTGCAGCTGTGTCATTTGGAATCGATGTAGATGAGCAAGCTATTGAATTAGCACATCACAATGCTGTTCTGAACAACATGGGACCTGAGAAAATGAAGCTGGACTTAGTTTCTGGCAATAAAATGCCTTCTCCAATGGGTTCAAGGACAGATGAAGTGTTCATGAAAACTGAAACATGTGATGTTGTCGTCGCTAACATACTTCTGAATCCTCTCCTGGAACTTGCAGATGACATTGTCTCTTTTGCCAAACCTGGAGCCGTTATTGGGTTATCTGGGATTCTGTCTGAGCAGGTATGCTTGAAACATAAGTTTTCAGTCAGTCTCTAACTTGCCATGCCATGCATTTTGAAGTTCTTTGATACAATTGAAAGAACCAATACATCCAACTTGAGCTATCGGGAAAAGTCCAAAAATGGATCCATAACACGAACTCGAAATTAGTTTGATCACTACCTGGTCAAATAGTTGAACATATATTGTCCCTCCGATGTTTCCTTATCTGTTTGATCATGTTTCAGATTCGCGTAGTTTTGCGCTTGATCTGATAAAGATGCTCTTTTCTTGACTTCACTTCATTTCCCTTTTCCCCCATTACTGCAGGTGCCACTTATTACCAACAGGTACTCGCAGTTCTGGGAAGACCAGTCAGTTGTAGAAATGGATGGCTGGGCATGTGTTAGTGGAACAAAGAGAGCCAAACCAAACCTATGAGAAGGTGAGAGTTTCTCTCTAACCCTGTGGTTCAAAGTATGGTGTAACAGCCACTTGATCAAACTTGTGTTGGCACATCATCTGCGTAATACGCTTACCAATTAAGCAATACTAATAGGCATTTGCTGATAAAGTGCTCCACTAATATACAATTCTACACCGGGGGAACACTCATGGAATGGAATTAAAAACAGAAATACACAGTAATTTGCAAGGTAATTAGTTAATTACACTGTACATCAACAGGAAAGATAGAACAAGATGATGCAGTAGGTTCCTGTAATCATGTCCTTCTATATTACATCTCACCAGTACTGCAAAACACAGCAGCACAACAAAGAAGTGGCCGCTCATCTCTCCATGTAACATGAACTTGTATATGAACATATTTTGTTTCTTCTAAACTTGTCTCAGCTTTTCTTGGGTTGGTATTCCTGGCTGGGGGCTTATTGAAAGTTAGATTGTAATCAAGCCCTCTCTGGCCCAGGAAGCTTGTTTGATTTGATTACGATGATGATCGACTGATAATTAATCTTGCTGTTCTGAGTCTTAGAATGCGGGAACCATGGCTGGCCTTGCTGTTGTTGTCGCTGCTGCTGGTGGTGGTGGAGCTTCCCCAGTAACGCTGAGATTGTGGTTTGCTGCGGCCGCTTCTGCTTCCTCGTCTTCCGACACCCACATGAAATGTGCGTAGGATCCTAGCACCATACTGTCCCCAAACACCACACAAGAAGAAACAGATCAACGAGCGGGAAGCAACGCGAGTACCTATATCCATATCCGATTAACGCGTAGCGCTGGTGTTACGTACCAATCGTTAGGGGAGGCAGAAGCAGCCTGATGGAAGTAAGTGAAAGCTCGTTCTTGATCCTTGTAGTTCTCCCATATCAAGTTTGCGTACAGAGACAACACCTCCCCGTCCCCTGGATTCTCCAGTAATGCTCTTCCGTAGTATTCCTCTGCTCTTTTCCCGTCCCCTTCCACCTTTTGGTTCAAAAACAATCCATTGCCACATTCGAGTAAGTAAAATCACGTAATGTTTAGTACGTAACATTTACGTCGAGATATGATGTATAACAGCATAAGTCTTATACATGCAATGAGAATGATCTTTTGCTGCATATCATCTATACATTTGAAAATGTTCAAGTCGTCGTGACTTAATCACGAAATGATCGTGGTACATTTATATGACGCGTTATTGTAAAATATTACGTATTAAATGCACATATCGCGGTTTACCTCGTCCAGAAATTTGCCGTAGTTGCGTAGGAGGAGGGCGTCGTGGGGATTCGATCTAATGATCTGCTCGTAATACTCAGCCATCCTTCTCTTATTATCGTCGTCGCCGCCGTTCCCCTCCCCTCTTCCTCCGAATCCGCCGCCGTTGTCTTTCCCGCCATTATTATTCCCATCCTCGACATACTCCTCCATTGGGATGGCGGCGGCGATCCCCACCCCGTAGACGTCCTTCCTCGTGAACTTCCGCCGCGATCCAGCCGCCGCCGCCTCCACGGCGGAGAGGGAGCATCGGGATGCTGAATGCGGGAGTCTCTTTTTCATTCCTCCGCCGAATTCGGATCTGACCATGTCGCTCTCCGACATGGACCTGGTGATGGTGGTGGAGGAAGATCCTTGCCGCCGCCGCGGGCTGCTGGCGATCTCCAGGTGGATCGATTTCTTGTGCGCGTTTGGGTCCCAGGCGAACATTCCGGTGAGGGAATCGCTGCGATGGAGGGAGACCTTGGGGGAACCTGCCGGCGATCCGGCGGGGCAGACCGGCGGGTGGATGTTGTTCGAGCTCGTCCTCAACAGAACTGCTTTCATGGCTGATGATCTATGAAACAAAAATGAGAGGAAGAAGAAGAAGAACGTAGACAGGGGGGAAAAAATGTTTGGAACCTGGAAATTGGGGGTTTCCGATTTCGTTGTATATAGACGGAGAAGAGAGCAGATGGGCCGTCGGATTGGGCCGGGTCGGGTTGAGTTCAGGAGGGATGGGAGTCGGACACGTGGAGCGGAGCCCACGCGATGCATGAAAAAAGGCGGGAAAGGGGGGGGGGGCGCGCGAGAGAGTCGGTTGGTTCGTTATTTTGGGGAAACTGCCTTCTTGTGTAGTCCACGTGGCACGTGAACTGTGTGATTTATGCATGACGTGGCATGGGATATAAAGGTTTTATATATTTATTTTTTATATTTATATACAAGAAAACTCACAATTGTGGATGTCATTAATTAATCATAATCGGATTAGCTGGTCGATGAGAAAAATGGAGTTGGTGTGTACGCAAAAAATCTCGACACTCTGATTAAAGATTCGGTTTAAGTAACACCACTTGCATGAATTTCAGTCATATACTAACAGATATGCAACTTCCGTTATAGTCACCTACTCGTTGGTGCGCACTTCTAGTTGGATTTCGTATTGTACGATGGTTTTAACAGCTTCCTCGTGTAATTATACTCATTATATGGTTGAGTAATTCTTCGTTCGTTTTGTTAATTTTGTGTGAATTCGCTTCATTGTTTTTGCCCCAATCCTGATTTGAACAAAAGATAAGACTAATTCGTGATATAGGCGAGATCTACTTTCACATACGTCCACTTACTAGTGTGTACATATAGAAAAACAAACATGTTGGCATCACGCTAGTATGCTGAATGAGGAGAGTAAGTGTAGACTGACATCGATGGACCGCCGCGAGCAAAATCTGAACCCGTTGTCGAATGTTTTAGAGGAACTCGTATTCGGCCTGCAATTGGAGCTCCAAACCACAACCAGGAAGGTTGGTTTGTAGATGAAGCTGCAAGGCAGCCCTTATTTGTACTGCTACTTCCCTATACTGAAGCCAATGACACTTGAAAACCATTGCTGTCGAGGTGGTACTACGAGCCAGAATGATTCGAAATGGCATGTATTTCGACAGTCCAATGAAAACTCCAGCAGTTTCTCAAAGGAGTGGGATTTGAATTAAGTTCATGTGCAATCATGGAAATCTGAAAGTGTGATTGAAGTACCAGTCTATGGCTTCTTTAGCTTGGATCGGTTTGCTTTGGGAGGCTGATCAGATGTTCTGATAATGAAAAGAAGCGTTTCCACTAGCATTGCGCCCACCAATCCCAGGATTCCACCAGCAGCACTCTGCAATTAAGAATTCAGTTGAGAAGCAGGCGGACAAAGAAACAAGAGAAACAATTTTTCTTCTTCTTTCTTTTACTACGAAATGAACAACAACGAATGATGTTTACCATGGCAGGACTGTGGCCGAACAATGCTCTGAATGCTGCAAACCCAACTAAATATCCAGTGAACATGGTGAGACCAACATGCAGACCTGTAAATGGTTGGTTCATGAGTGATGATAAATACTTCAGTAGTCGCACAAATTCTAGGGAGAGAGTTTTCCCACTTTCACACATGAACTCATAATTTGTGCAGTAAATAGGAATGGGCATGAATCAATTATGCAGTCAGATAATATGTCAATGGAACAGACTAAGATCAAGTTCATACATTACTTTACATAAGCATCCTATTTTGCACCAATAAAATTTGGTTGCAGCGATAAACCACATAGATAAACTATCTTTCGAAAACAGGTGAGACTTTAACATAACCATCAACACATCAATATCTAAAGAACAAAAGGAGGGCTTTTTTATGTTAAGGGAACAGACTACTATCAAGTTCATTCATTGCTTTACATAAGCATCCTATTTTGCACCAATCAAATTTGGTTGCAGCGGCGATAAGCCACATTGATAAACTATCTTTCGAAACATAAGCATCAACACATTAATACCTAAAGAACAAAAAGAGGGCTTTGTAAGTTCAATATACCAAAGCCGAGCTGATCCTTGTAAGAAGAGAAGGGTTCAGTAGTCTCCTTGCTTGGTGTGATATCTTTCACTAGCTCCTGGTAGGCCTTTCTCTCAGCCAGTTCCTCAAGTTTCCTCAACCTTGCCTTTAGTTCTTCACCCTACATGAAGAATAATGAATTGAAAAGTTGAAACATTTTCTTATGCATCCGAGACAGATGGTATTAACTTTGAAAACTTCTTCTCTCTGGACTTCCACATCTAATCATGTTCTTGTCTAATAACACTTCTTGAATAAACCCATAGAAAAACCTTGATGGAGGCAACCTCGAACATTCAAGATTTTACCTTTTCTCTAGGTTTAGGGCTGCGGAAGACGAATTCGGATCCTGATAAGAGAACCATCAACTCTGGACGGCTAGAAGGCTGAAATCCGGTCCATATACTTCGGAGAGACACATAGAGCAAATTGTCTTGAGACAACAACCTGGATGCAACATCTTTTAGCTCCTGAGGAAGGTGTGTCTCATTGGACGCAGAACGGAGAAACGATCGAATGGAATCGTTGTTCTTGATACACACTCCAGGAGAATTTGATATTGCAACTTCTGCAGCAGAGCCCATCTGCATCAAAGGATTGCTACCCTACAATTCCACAAGGCTACCATTAAGTTTTTGGTTTCGGCCGGTAACAAGCAAAGTTCCATTGATATCAGATCACATCATTCATATACCCCATTTGGGATTTCACTTTAGCTTTGAGGATTGAACATGAATCGACATGATGCTAACCAAACAACAGAACCCTAAACCCTAATCAGCTAAATTCACTTCATTCACCGATCAGACAGAGATACAGCATAAGCATCAAAACAGGGATAACTTGACGGCCAAAGTACCTGAGATTAGAGCGATGATGAAAGCCGGCGAGGGGTACGAGGGACAGACAAATGTATCGAGCACCAGCTAGGAATTAACCGGCGACCTTCACGAAAGGCAACGGACAGAGTAGCAGCAACGAGCGGAAGCGAGCGATCGTCGCCGGGGCAAAGATAGCAGCAAAATCGATGATGGGTAGAAGTGAGAACCCCGAGTTGGATCTAGCGATCCTCTGTTCTCCGCTTCTCCTCTCGAGTCCTGATAACGGCTGCTGGGCGACTCATGGTGAGTAAGGAGTGGAAATGGTTACGGTCTAAACCGAATGAACCGAGTCGAACAATAAAAGGCTAGACTATGATCTAAATAACATACTTCAATTTGGTCAGATTCAATCTAACATGGTTGTAAATTGTAATTGGTGTCCACCCTTCGAATTCAACAACAAATTTCAATTCAACCTGATTCGATTCGACCATTTTCAAATGGTGTAATGCGACAAAATGCAATCTTTACTCAGAAGTCCGATAACTAACTCAAACCTGATGATCCTATCATATTTCAGAAGTTCAGAGCACAATTAATACATTTCTTTACACCAAAACAAGAGAAGGTTTCAGAAGTTTTATCTCTCTATGTTACTTCAATAGGCACCCCCCCATCAAACTTGCTTGATTGCTGAGTTAGGGTGTTCCATCGCCACAAAAATTGAGTGAAATCTTTCCACTGGGCCAATGATTTGTTCTACAATGCAGACTCAAGATTAATCAGAAAGTTATAAGGGTAATGATCCCTCCCTTCATAGGTTTTTCACTCCAAGATCGGCAAACGCTTTCTTGAGCATGTCCACATGTTCAGGTAAGGAGTTCTTAAACGTCTGCGAACAGCTCTTGTCTCCTTCTTCGAGATCCTGGATTCCGCCTTTCACCAGACAACCGACTTGAGCACCAGACATGTATGCTTTGCATGCCACCATGATGTCCTTGGCCCGGCTGTGGAAATGGCCCTTCACTAAATCCTCGAAATGCTGCAAAAGAATCGATCAACTATCTCAATGGGACAGGGAAAACTGCAGAAAGTTGTACAATGAACAATAAAGGAACCCATTTTCCAAATCGATGTCTAAATTTTCAACTCGCTCTAGAGTTTCCACACGTAGAATCAAAAGACATGGGTTCTTGCCAGCTTTAGACATGGATAAACTATCTGAAAACTGGAAAACAATCAAGTGATATCATCTTTCAAGAACAGTTAAGAGCCTTGTCCAAAATACACTTACTTTGGGCAGCTTCCTCATTGAATAAACCATTGTCTTGAGCGACAAAAGCAATGTATTCTCATTGTACTGAAGGGACTGGATTTCACCTTGAGCGCTGCCCTTTGACCTTTCATAACCAGGTTCATTAAAGTAGGGGTTTTGATTCAATATTAATGCTTGTATAGAAAGCAGAACCTGCATCACATTTGAAAGCCTAGGCTGCCAGTTCTCTTTCTTGCTACCAGTCCATGTTCCAAGAAGGCTGAGGCAAACCTTTCCACAGGCATACAAGTTTGGGTTTAATCGAAGACCACCAGAATGGTAGTGGACTTTCTGATATGGGGAAAAACAAAAGAGTTGTAAGAAAAAGGGCAATGGCATAACAAATCACCCACTGCATGAAAGAACACTACATACCGGCGGAACACTTGGATAGCCCTTAGGGAAGAAGATATCAAAGAAAAACAGACCATCATGGTAAGGAGTTCCGTCTGCACCAATAATTACAGCCCTCAATAGGTCCATCCTTGACTCGTAGGCCCTCACATATATGGTATCTGTTTACATGAACAAAATTTTCCACAAAACAATAGTTCAGGAATGATGTAATGGAAGGAAATAAACATCAATAGCAATATAAAGTTTCTTGTCGAAATATAAAGAGAGAAACGTACGCAGGTGCATATATCACTGCTAATTTTCTTTTCACAATATATTTTCACTCTCAGAAGAAAGGTAAGCTAACTCATTGCCCTGCTAATTTCTCATCTTCGAAACTAGATCAAGGTTTTAGTATGAGCATTCATGTTTCTAGTCTAATGAGGTCAGGACTATATACAGACAGCACCGGCAAACCAACATTAGGTAATATATGAGCAACATTCTTAGATCTTAATGTCTAAGTTCACAACAAAAATGGAGTAAAGCATTTCAAAGAGAACACTTAATAGAGTTAGTAGTCCATTCACCATTAATGTTACTGAGGATCTAGAAGAGGCCTTCATTCTGTTTTAAATACTAACCAAGTAACCGTCCATCAATTACGATCCTCGGCAATTGCTATTGGGAACCACAATTCAAAAGATCAAGGAAAAATAGCAAAGGTGCAATCCCTAGAAAAATTTCATTGACAATAACCAACAGGTGAGAGGAACAGTTCTTAAACCAATTGGCTATTAAAAGAAACAGAAACTCAATAGTCAGTTCTTGGATTCTCAAAGAATAGCATGGGTACATATCCCACCTGGCAAATCTTTCTCCAGAATTTTCCATTCGTCTTGAATTCGTTTGACCCGCTTCTTCTCCGTCTGGCAGAAAAGAGATAAATTGGTCATACAAAAAGTTATTATGTAGCAAGTCATAGAATTGAATGATTTTATGTCCCTCCCCTTTTTGGCAGAACAGACTTATGCTGGATCCCGGTTCTCACACTTAAGCCAGATAACAATCTCTTTGAATTGCTCTTAGAGACCGAAATAAGTAAAAATTCACATACAGTCACCTGTTTCGATGAAGAAGACTTGTAGTGATGGTCTGAATAGTCTTCAACGATATCGAAATGCTTGAAGAGCTTCAATTTGCTTAAAATTTCATCAATCACAGCATTTGGAGCTCCAGGTTGCTCTTCTGTAGAGGTATACATAGACGGTGAAAAATAGATAATCCAGACATGGTTCACTTGCACCCTTACCAAGCAAATTCAGAGATGAAAATAGGGATGGTTGAACATAACAAAGACATATGTTTAGATGTACCCATACGTGCAGAACTTGGAATCACGGATCCCTTACTACCAGCTGTTTTGCTTGCAGTTGAAGTATGGCTCCAAGACAATGGATCTTGTCTTATCGGAGGAATGTGTCCATGCCATATACCACCAGGAACTTGAAAATTTGAATCGTTTAGGGTGATCCCTCCATGCTGAGGAGTCCATGTCTTCATATTAGGGGTAGTTAGTGCAGACTTCCACAAATGAGGAGGTACATACATCATAGAAGAAACATTTTCAGAGACGACCTGCTTCTCAAGGCCTGCACTACTCATTGGAAAAGTCTGTTTGTTGACCTGGCTAGGTTGGAAGAATTTATTGCCAACTTGGCTAAAATTTGACCACTGAGAATTCATGGTATTCAGTTGGCTTTCATATGATGTGGAAAAAACACCACCTCCATTAGGTAGTGTTCCCGTATTGGAGACATGACCCATTAGTGATGAAACAGGCACCTCAACTCCAGTGTGGAGACTTGCATTGTAGTTATGTGATTGTGGAGGTACAAGATCATCGAACAACGTGACATCGTTGGGATTAAAAAAGGTGTCTTCCTTTCCATGACTATTCCACAGGCTTGTATCTAGGGTGATTACATCCTGAGAATCAATCCAAAGGACATTCAGAGGTGAGTTAGAGATGATGATTACTATGATGACGTGTTGACAACCAAATGTGTTCACTCAATGATATATATATCTATACCTCGCATTTCATAAGATTGACAGCTTTCTGATCCTTGATAGCTTTGCCTTTGTCCTTTCTGCGAACGTTCTCATTAAGGATGACCACATCACTGAGAAAATCGTGCTCGTCTACATCAATGATTTCAGGGAGTACAGCCTATAAAAACAACCCAATAACAATGTGTTACTACTTACTAGAGAGAATATATCTCCCAATGGTTGCCAAATAACATCCACCAGAAGTCACACTGAAGATGTATCCAAGTAATACATCTGCATAAGCATCTGCAACCGACTGTAGGCAATAAGAGGCTAGGGCCACAACATGCGTAAAAGTACCTAAGAACGCCTTTCGATGTACCAGTTCATTTTCAAATTAACAGCACAGCTACGACCTGTGAAATGTCAAGGCCCAAACAAGCACTCGCAACTAACTAAGAGTGTAAGACTAAGTTCCCCCTAAGCTAAAGGAGGTTACTTTACAGCACTAGAGACGTGAGAACTTCAAAATGCTAATACAAATTGAAGATATAATACTAAAGAAACCATCTGCTGGAGAATGAATTCGACTAACCAAACAAGCGGCATGTATGCTCAAATTAACATCACCGTTATGTACTCTACAAACCAAGGGGGCTCAAATATTTCAGAAAGAAGTAAAGAACCCAGACACAGTAGCACCTCCAAGAACGCAATTACTCATGCAGCACCTCAAAAGCACCTAGAAAAGCACGCAAATGGGAAAAGGGGCAAAAACCCTGATCATCAATGGAGTGGAGAAAGAGAAGTCCCGGCCAGAAGAGAAACGAAATGAAACGAAACGCATCTAAAAGAAAAACCCACGATCAGAAAATAAAGGGGGGCAAGGCCAATCATCAATCGTCATCTGGAATTCCGGAAAAAGATAAAGCACTGAAAACCAACCTGTTTCTGTTTTCTCTTCCTGGTGAAGTGGGAAGGCGGGAGGGAGAGCGGGGAAATCTCGACGACGTCGGCGTCCTCCATTGGAATAGCCGTCCGGTTCGGTGGTTCCCCCTGTTTTCTGAAAGTTCGCGATGACGGTAGATGAAAACAAAGACCCGATAGAGATACCCACAAGCGGAGTTATAAAGGGGCAGCGAAACTTTAAAATCAAGAACACGACAGCGAACCTTTTTGGGTGGGAATTCTGTGGAGGCCGCTACAGAACAAGGAGAAAGCGGCGGCGGCGCGGCGATCGGCTCACAGTATCAAGAATTCAAGAGATGTAGAGTGAATGAGTGATTACGGGAAGTTGATTGGAGAAGTGAAGAAGAAGAAGAGAAGATGAATCACGCCACGGAGTCGCAAAGATCGGCTTCAAAGAAACAAAAAGGAAATGTCGACTGGCGCGGATAGAGTGGGTTGCTTTGTATATTTCATAATTGAATTGGACGGGGTTTAAATGAAGCGGGTTGGGCTTTTTAAGTTTTTTAATTCGATTGGGCCACGAGAACGGACTTGAGTGTTGATGGGCCAAACTTTAGCCTATGGGCCTTAAGGGAATCAATGTAGCATGATTTTTTTTTTCTTCTGATTATTATCCTTGCCAATAAGTTATACCGACTCAAAGACTAACTAGGTACGGGAAGTTGTAAAGATCATTAGAAAGTTCAAGATAACGAAGGACATTGCGAGCCACAGTATGGACAGCTCGATTCGCTTCTTTATGAGTGAAAACAAAGTGAACCAAAGGTAATTGTAACAAGAGTAGGGGTGGGAAAACGGTTGCGGTTTTGCGGTTAAACCGCAACCGCACCGAATAAGAGCGGTTTGTGGTTAACCGCAAACCGTTTAAAAGGGTCTTTATTCGGTAACAGTTAGTGAAATTGGCTCTTTTGCGGTTTGTGGACTAACCGCACACCGCACCGAATAAGTAACTTCACCGAATAACTAACCGCGTAAGAGTATACCCAACCCAAGCCCAACCCATCCAACAACCCAAAATGAATTTTCCAAGTGCATTTTCCGTATTAGAACTTAATGTGGATGGTTTCTTTTGGATGTTTAGAACTTAATTCTGTTTCTGACTTTTTCATGTGCGTTTTCCTTGTTTTAGTGTTAATTTATCAAGTGCATGTTGCTGGATTTTACCAGTTAATTCGGTTTTTGTTGCGGTTTTATTTCATTTCGCGTTTTTTTACACCGTTTAACTCTTAATCGCGGTGTGCGGTTTAAAGTGCAGTTAACCGCAATTAACCGCTAACCGTGATTTCGGTTAGTGGTTAACCGCAAACCGTTTGCATTGCGGTAACGGTGGGTGGTTTTCCCCTTGTGCGGTGGCGGTTAACCGCGCTTATTCGGTGCAGTTAACCGCAACCGCACCGTTTCCCACCCCTAAACAAGAGATAGTGAACTTCCCACATAATCGCACCACCCCTATCATCGTTATTCGCACGTGTTACCAACTGCTGTTAAGAGTTAAGACATGTTGCGCATCCCCTAGTGATTCTGAATTGATCAGTAAGTCCACCCCCATTGTCGAAGAAGATATATCACTTCCCGGATCGCTAGTACCTCAACCAAGTAGTAATTAGAAACGAAATCAAATTATCAAACCCACAAATGCCGACATCCCAATGAGCATTTCTTCGTCATATTGTGCATTCAACGATCTCAACCACTACATGTATTTAGTAATTTGAGTGATCAACATTGCAATTCAGCTTGTATTTTTATATGTCTTGATACGAGCAATCGGGCTATGGTGCTCATACTTGCTGCTCTATGTGTGAGAATCGTTTTAAACGTATTAGAAGTTGTTGATCGGGTGCTGGAGTTGGTGCTTCATAGTCGTTGTCATCACATCTGGTCAAAGATCGTTAATTGTCAGTCAATCTCTATCTAATGGCGGTTCCAACACTCGTAAGATGATTCTCACACATGGATAGTGAGCACTATAGTAAAATTCTCATACGGGCAGCGTACACAAAGAGGTATCAAACGATCTATAACGTGAATTTTAGACGAATCTACCAGGAAAAAAAAAAAGAAACAATGAATTTGATGATAAGTATTTCCCCACACAAACAGTGGATTTTCAGTAACCACATCCATCCATATTTGGGGCTAAGAGAATTAAAACCCGGAGACATGTTTGTTGGTCCCAACATCATTAATCAAAGTGAAAGCAACGTATTCTTCAAAATCACGGGATTTCCATGACCAAACATTGAAGAATGATATCTCCATATTTTGTCTACAATCAGTTTCGGCAAAGGAACATATTGAATAGACTTACCTGCCTCTCCTGCTGATCATACGTGCTTGGCAGTCTCTATCAAGCAAGACAGCCATGCAATTGCAAACAAAACCAAACACCCAATAAAACGAGAATGGGCGGTGTGGAAGAAGAAGAAGAAGGAGGATATAATTTTTTTGGTCAATTGTGTAAATGGTCATCCAATTATGGATATCGGGGTGCGGAACTTTGATTCGTGAAAAAATCGTGTCATTCAAGTTTCGGAATAGCTAATACGAAGGTCGACAGATTTCCGTTCCAATCAGAGTTTTCATTTGACTGGGCTTTAAAGATTAAAGTGTCAGCTCATCTTAGGGTGACGGTCAAAATGCTGAGTACGCGACGTGTGAAGGCTCGTGGTCTCGTCGTGATAACTACTTACAAGGACTATGTGAAATCTTATGTTAACAATTTTGGGTGTGTTTGACAACACGTTGCTTTTGGTGCTCATTTAGCGACTAAAATATTTTTCTCGATAATATTAAGAACGAGGTAAGCCAATAAAAGAAGTTCATGTAGTGACAACTGAGGGATTATATAAAATGTTGTTGAATTTGATACACAAAACAGATCATTTAAGTTCTCCTGTATTTTCATAATATTATTATTATTATGTGTCTTTTGGTGTTTTCACAATACAATATTACAATTCCATTTTCTGGGATGTCACCATTACGATTCCTACTAACTGTATTTTGATATTCACACGTTATATTCTTACAATCTCATCTACAAACCTCGCAGTTTCTCTCTTGTACTTGCGCACTATATTATCACCAAAACGAAACCTAAAATAACTCGACCAACACGAATAGCTACAAATGTGTTGAGTTATTCTAAACTTCAATGACAAATTCGTAAAACATCAAAGTTTAAATGACCAATTTTGTTTCAGTAGCGATTCAGAATATTTATGGACTATTCCTGTAATTTACCCGAAAAAGAAGGAAAAAAAAAAAAGTTAAAAAACCACGCCACTTCAGAGCCCGTCTTTTCTGCTGGCCGGAAATTAGTTCAAAAATTTCCCTCCAAACTCCTCCATTATAGTCTCTCCGGTCCCCCAAAACTCTCACATCTCTGCAATCAATTCCTTCGCCAAACCAAATTCTTCGATTTTAAATTCTCCCGTCTTGGAAATTCAATCACCATTCATGACCACCACGAATCCAGCCTCTTCAGTTTCTCCTCCCAGTAGTTCCTCCTTCCCGGCCGCCGCCAAAACCTCCGGCCAGGTTCCGCTGCGCATTTCTGATGTCCTGGCCCTTCCTCAGGACGACGAACCCGAGGAAGATTCTTTCGAAACCCACCACCAGCGTCGCGATTTGAGGAGTTTACTGATGGGTGAAGAGGGTTTTTGCCAAGAAGATCGTCGCCGGATTTCTTACTGTTCGCCGCCACCGTGCCGTCTCGTCGCCCGGTGGATGTCCTGGATGAAGCGGGTGAAGATCAAGGGAATTTCGAGGAAGTGTTGCAAGAGAGAAAGTGGGGATAGAGTGGAAGCGGATGTGCAGCCTAGGTGTTTGACGAATGGTCTCAACGACGGTAAGTAGTTTGGTAGATCAGAATTCAAAATCGGGGGTTTAGAACAAAAAAGGAGTTGGCTTTTTCTTTTTGTGAAAGAAAGAGTACTGCTTTTGCAAATGCCCTGAATTTGAAACCCTTGGGGATTTGAATTTTTTGTGGTTTTCTGTTCAGTGGGTTGCAGGAACGAGGCCTGTTTCAACGCAGGGATTGGAGCTTGTCTTCTGTACTTAGTTGCCGCGACGAGAAGCGAGCTCGATAGGTTCAACGCAGCGCGAGTGGAAATGGAGACGATCCTACGGAATACCAAACAACTGCAGCGGCGGCGGAGCGTGGAGCGACATGGTGGTGATGGTGATGTTCTACTTGAGTTCTCAATCAGAAAGTCTGTAGTATTAGAAGAAGAAGATCATGATGATGATGAGTGCGAGCCCGAATTCCCCACAAATTCGTATGCCTTGCCAGCTGCTTCTCCTTCCTCTTCTTCCTCCTCCTCAACTGTGGTTTCAGGTAGCAAAACCCCGAAAAGGGAGGAGTTTCTGGAAGGCATGGAACAGCTAGAGGCGGAACTCGAAGCTGAACTTGAACTCTTGCAGCTCCAATTGGATGGAGATAAGTTGATGGAACAGTCCCAACTCTTAAGGGTAAGAGTAATTCACTAGTTGAAATACTTTTAGGCCCTAAAGTTAACCTCTTTGTTCCTACTTAATTGTGGCATTGGTCTCGGGTTGAACCCTATTCACATCAGATATGTATTCAGTTGCAAGTTGTTTCTCCTGAATAAGGGCAATTCTGATTTCTGAATGACACAGGTCAGGAATGGAGAGGAAACCGAATCTTCAAAAACCTACAGCATGACCTCATCCGAAGAAGATGAGGAAGAAGAAGAGGAAGTGATCGATCCAGAGCATAGGGAGGCAGATGTTGAGTGGACTAGTGGCGTCCACCCTTATGAATTGGCAAGTAAGCTGCACGAAGTTCTGGAAGCAAGACAGCAAGAAGAGATCAGAGAGCTGGAAGCCGCTCTGGAATTGGTGAAGCGCAAGCTCGTGGAGAAAGAGTTGCAGGTTGCTTGGTGGAAAGCCGTGGCCAGAGGAAGAAAACTCAGTATCAGTAGTTCACAGTAGGTACAGAGCTAGCATCCAAAGGTTTGAGAGGAGCTGAGAGCATCATTCAGTTCACGATTCTGTTCAACAATTTTTGTCCAGCGAAGCTCCGGTCTCGTGAGCCATAAAGGACCGAATCCATATTCCATGGCGAACCAGTTGAATTGCAGACAATTCTTTTTTATTGTAGTCATGTATACAGATTGCAGAGCTGATTGGATAAAAGTTTAGGGCGAGTTCCGGGGAGAGATGCTGCTTGTGTCGGCAACTTTGACGTGTTCTTGGTTTCGGTTGATAATCTCTAAATGGGGAGCGTAGGCGTTTTGTCTTTATGAATGTAAGCATACAATCGGCCCCAATTTAATATGTTGAAAGAAATTGGCAAAAAATATATGCTTCTAATCAATCATATGATTGACTTAACTATATAGATAATTAAATATCAATACTAATCAAATTCTTAGAAGATAATGAGATTTGAATGTAGGACGAAAGAATATGTTAATTTGTAAAATGCAAAGATTAGTACGATATATTTTAATACGTCGAATACATACAGTTTATTGCTCTGAAACAATTCTATAGAGGCAAGACAATAAACTCAGACTACCCAACTCGCATAAACTTTTCGGATTGGGATAGCATTAGACGCATTCACCAAAATCATCCATCATAACAAGATGGGAATTCGATTCCATTCCATTAACCCTTCGAGGTACATCCGATGAAATTAAGCACGTTCGTAACTTCCCGAGGCAAGACATTCAAAACTTCATGTACAGTCGAGAAAATATAGTAGGTTGCTTCGATGCGAAACCATTGATTGTCAGGTCTTTGGATGAAGCAAGCACGTTGTTGACAACTAAGAGAACATCCGAGGAAGGCTATGAACTACATATGTCTACACCATTAGCTCGACAAAACACCAATGATTTACACCGTGCTGCGTTTGCCTAAAGAGGTTTAGTGGATGAACTTCTCTCTCACGTCAGTTGCCGCTAGAGGTGCGAACGTTTCAGTCTGCTTCGAGCTCGGCGCCAAACTGCTCCAACCGCTGGGCATCAGCATCGTAATCACGCACTGTAGTATGATTAACCACTCCGTCATCCTCACTTGCATGTACCTGTCGACCGCCAAACCTGCAAAAGAAATGTTTATACCGTCAACTTACAGCAAATCGCAACCAACTGAAATATAAAGCAAAGGGGGAAAAAACACGATTTCACCAAACAGGTAGTGGCAGTTCTCCGGGTTCGTTGTAACGTAACATGTTATTCAGGAACTTAAGCATCTAGCAGATGACAAACTTACCATCGACCGTTCATTGTTTCTATGCACTTTTGAGCATCCTTCCTATCCTTAAATCTGACCAATACAACCCCCTGAGGGTGATTTACACAGACCTGAAGAGAAGGGGGAAAACAATCGTCACGACGACAAGGTGAAGCGTGAGCTTTGTCGGTGGGAGTATAGAGTTGATTTTATGTAAGAAGAACAGGAACTGACAGTTTAAAGATTTGGTCAAATTGCAAATGTGAAGAAGTAAGAAGAACACGAACTGATCAAAATGAGAGGGGGAAAAAGCACTCCAAGAAAATGGCTCATGAATACAGGAACATATACCAGTGAGAAAATTTGACAAAATGGACAAGCACCACAAGGACAAATAGAATTTTTAAACATTTCCATTACCTTGACAAAATCAATCGGACCTAGTTTTAGGCATTCCTCTTTAACATCCTCTTCTAGCTCAGAACACAGATTTTCATCAGCCTACAAAAAAAAAAAAGAAGTATATATTGTTCTGTTTATGTCAGAAAATGGCCATGATATATCTTCATGAGCACGTCATCTATTGAACATCAGAACCAAAACAACAACAACAAGAAAAGGGAGAAGGCTGATCAATAGTTCAAGGTTCTAAACCTACCCTCATCTCAGCAGGAGAAAACATGTAGCGCAGAACAACTGTAGACGGGATGCAGATCTTGGCATCATCACGTCCTCCTTTAATAGAAAAAGAAACTTATATCAGCTACTGAAAATCACATCATAATCCTCCATCAAATAATGTAGTGTATTCAGTAGCGGTTAGCAGAAGAACTGGCAACAATTTAACAGCGATCGTGTGATAATAGAAAATATAATTCAAGTGATGTAATTAGTTTCCTATCACCAGAGTTCTAATTGGCAATAATGTCACTAATGAGTGATCAAATCATTACAATGAAACACTTCAGGATAAAGTATACAACATGAGCACAAAACCGAGGAGCATAGCTGAGCAACTGAAAACAGCAGAGACAAGGAGAAAGTAGCACCCACCCCATCCAAGCATCTTGTCCTCTACCTTCTTTGATTTCTTCTTCTTGTTTCCATCCGTTTTTTTGGATATAAATTTATCCCCTGAAATTGATAGGAATACCGGACAATCATTCAGAATGCAGACAATAAATTCGTCCCAAAACAGCTACATCTCAATCATATGGAAATGAACAACAGAGACATTACTATATTAGCTTAACCAAGGTTTATGATCGAGTATAAATAGACATTTATTTTTTACCCTTCTGCTGAAACTTTGCTTTGCTGACAGACATAGGGGTCGTGCCAGTGGGACGTAATGGTGTCCCATCTAATATTTGAATAGCAAGGTCAACCGAGGGTTCCTAAAACAAAACACAGGGAAATATGATTAGCCAAGAGAACAAAATAAAGTGAAGCATAATACTGCCAACTCCCAAATATAGAAACCAAGCTGAAGAGCAATGAGATTGCCTTTAAGTATGTCACTAATGCATCTCCTTTTACTCTTCCTGTCTCTTTATCAAAGTATATTTTTATACGAGGCTTCTTTGTCTCCGGATCCTGCAGAAGTCATATATCCTATCTGTTAATGCCAATGAATTTCCAATAGTAAGAAAGATCTACACTCAATGTTTCTTAGCTAGTAACGCAAATAATTGACAGCTAGAAGCTAAACTCCTGACTACAGAAATAGAGGATACAGTAGCAATAAAACAAGAGAATCTAAGCCTAGCCTTCTTTTCATTCATCTAGTGTCTACTTAACTCACCCCCTTCGTTCAACTATCCAGTGTTAACATGCTAAACAAAAATGCAGTATAAAAGACGACTAAATCTATTATTGGGCACCCATTTATAATCAATTTTTTTTCTCTAGGAACAAAAAATACCAAAAATAATCAGGAGAGGATATGATTTTACCTCCTTGATTATCCCACACTTGGTAAATACCTCAGCCACCTAATAGAACATTACCAAATTAGTTTCCTTCAGCATAAATAAAAAAAGACCACCAAAATAGTAACTATTACTTCTTCAGCAGTGACATCATCAGGCAACCCAGTGATGTAAACATGTGTATTGACTTTCAATTCAAACCAACTATCAGGTGGTTGATTGGGTTCCTGCATAAGCAAGAAAAAGAAAAAAATCAGCAGAAGTGCGGAAGCAGCAAATCAGATACAGTAGGGAAAAGATGAAGTTCAACTGAACCAAGTAAAAAACCTGGGTGTCACAATTCACTACAAACAATGCGAGAAAGAGCCAGTGTTACACCTGCCCCTGTTATTGATAATACATAAACAAGAGAGGTGATCAAAGGAGCACACACCTTCTTGTCAGAGAGCTTATCTTTCGCATCTGCTTGTTTTTCTGGCAGTTTCCTTTTTCCATTATGGTTTGATTCCAATGTCTCATCAACATCCCTGGCCTTTCCTCCTAGCAATGCATCACCAACATTCAGAATTGGAAAGACTTCCTCTTCCTTTGCGAAAGTCATGTCTTCCGGCTTGTATGGCTCACTTGTGCCCGTTATATTCTCCTAGAGACCATCCAGAAGTGAATATTATATCAAACTTCACATCATATAAGGCATTTAAAATCAGCATGGGGTAACACAAATATATCATATGAACTGAAAAAAGTCCATCAACTAGGCTGGTTATGAAATGAAGCATGAGCTAAACAATCAAGCAAGAGACACCATTCATAATTTTCAAGCAAGTAATCTGAAACCATACAACCAACCTGAGGAACCCACACTCTGAGACTTCTATCCCACTTGTATATTGTCCCATCATCATCTGTGAACTCTTCTTCACCCTCTGGAGGTGATGATGCAACTGCATCATGATCAGTCCCAACAGTACTTGGTTCAGATCCGTTTATCAACTGTTCTGCCACTACCTCAGCCTCAGTGACCTCTCTTTTCCATTTCTCGAATTCATCCTCATCAACATTGGAGAGGACTGCAACACAGATTCCAATATAAATATCATAGGAAACAGAAACGCTAAGTATAACTTCGCTGTTATAGTGATATCATACATAGAAATAGAGTATTTTTTATGCATAAGAATTCATCATCCTGTTTGAAATGCATTCATTCGGCATAAGCTTTGTCTCTAAATAACAATTGTCTAAAATATGTGCATTCTCAACATACATTATATGAAATCATAGGTTTCAAACTAGTTCCTCAAACTTCCAGCAGCCCTGTTTCTTCTATGAAAAGTTTAGAGCAACCCTTGGTCCATTACCCCTAGTAGTCAAGCAGCTACTTTTATCGTTTCACGGACTGTTTGATGTATACCGATTGCCTATTGTTGGGTTTTTTTTCCTGGATTTCTTTCCACTTGATTATGAGTCATATATAAAAGCAAAGACACACCCAAACTACACACCAGTGGAACGGGGGCCTTGCTGTTCTGTGTTGCCATGATTTACATCTTTAAAACCAAGAGGCTCTGATACTGATTGTACCACTGGGACATCATCTTGTGTCTCCACTATACTGGCACTATTGGCGGATGCTGCATTTTAAAGAAAGAGTCAAGATCTTTCAAGAGAATCAATAAGCCAAATAATGGCATTCATCTGAATGAGAAAAACCTGTACCTTGCTGAGAAATTGATGACATCAACTCAGGGACTGAGGATAAGGACTGCCATTCACTTCTTCCTTCAGACCATACAAGTGTACTTTCTAGGAGGTAGCCACTTAAGAAATGCTCTGCGAAGTAACAAAGGAAAGTAGATGGTTCATCATTTTAGACCAATTGAATGGGTAACAGATATAAAAGCCTTTCCATAACCCTTGCTATTGATTCCTGGTAGAACTAAAATTGCAGGAGATAAATTTGGAGGTAATTTAGTGGTCTCAGAAGGGAAAACCAAGCAATTTTTGGTCCTCCCTAAGCATCCAAGAAAATAATAACAACAATCACAGCAGAACACATCCGAGGGAAATTTAGTATCCAGAAACTTCGAAGATTTTAAATGCTTATTACTTCGAAGTAAGGACAATGCTTTCACATGAAGAGTAATCCAAAGCTGTGAAACTTCTAGCAATCTGAGAAACAAATAAGGAAGAAAGAGAAGAAGGAAACTCACGTTGCAGTTCAGACGACGTATAAGGTCCGAGTTGCTGTTGATCAGCACCAAGGACATACCAATACCCAGCTTCAGCCATGACACAGCTTCTAGTGAGGCTGTTTCCTGCAGTTACTGTAACAGTCAATACCTGGCTGGAAACAAAAGAACCCAAGCTTCAGCCATGACACTAGCTTTGATTCACTGATCCTAATTGGTTCCAAGAGTCCGACAAACAAACAAAAAGAAGAAAACAGGATAACCCAATTCATGGTTCCCAGTAAACGCCCATCACCCCCCTTGCAACTCCAACCCATGGTCAACACGTCTCAGTTGAAACTCCTCATACTATTACAATGCCATAACCAATTCTCTAGATTATTGGCCTTAGCTTTAAGGTTAATCAAATTCTTAACCTCTCTACTCCTAACCCAACTTAGGCAAGCTACAGTAACGCGTTATGCAAGTGCCATTCATTCTACCCTATGCCCAAACTCTATCAAAAAGCCCCGTAAACGGTAAAACCCTTGCCGTAATGAGAAGCTTTTCAAAAGAGAAGTTCACCGTACCGGAGAACAAATGGATGTCCAACGAACCTTCCGAGAGAGCAAACAATGGCTGAGCAGCTACGGTGACTTGAGAGAAACAAAATTTACGGAAGAAAATGGCTCAAAATGGAGGTCGCGGACGTCGTTAGCCTGAGAAGAGACGATAGATTCTCCACCGTCGTCCTCTGACGACAAAATCTCGTCGCGAGAGGAAACCAAAGCTACCGCTGTTCACTGTCTCCGTCGCCGTCACAGCTGGTGGAGGGGAGAGGATGGAAGGTAAACGAAAAAAGGGAGGCCGTCATATCACTGGCTGGAGCGCAAGAGAAGAAGAAGAAGAAGGAAGAAACTTCCGGACGTCAAATCGAAAGGTATGGAGAATGTAATGACTGGGAGGTTGGGTGACTAAACTGTAAATTCTGTTAGTTTAGTGATTGATTCTATAGTTTGACGGTCCGAGATAATGGGCTTTATCTATGGGCGTCGGCCCAATCAACACGCGAGCCCAACAAAAAGGCAGAGTTTCATCCTCATGGGCCTTAGAGCTGAATTTTAAATTTCCATTCATTCTCGACCCTCCACCGTCGTTGCTCTCTGGAAGAAAGAACTGCTCGGCTCTCTTTCCCTCTACACGTCGGAGCAGCTCCTCGAACGCCGCCGACGACGACGACGCCGTCTCTCTCTCTCCCTCTTTCTTGCTCAGAAGCCATTCCAAAGCTTATTTTGATAAGGTACCGTTTCTATGCTACTGATTCTTTACTCCATTCCGCCATTTACTCAAAAAGGTTTCTGAAAATCTTAGGGTTCTAGCTGCGATTCCGTCTTTCTTCTTCGACACTTTCCCTAAAGAAGCACGGACTGTGTTTCTTGCGAATTCCCTGTTGCTCGACTTTGTTTTTGGTTTCTTCAGTCTACTTCGTTTTACGGAGTAAAACTGCATGCTGGACGGTTTTCTCTTGTTGTGGTTCACTGCATTGGATTCTGTTGGACTCGGTTGAAGTTGACATTGTTGGTGTAGGGAAAGGACTAGTGTGTGAGAATTAGAAGCATCCAGCAGCAGCAAGAAGAACAAGAGAAGCAAGTGAGTCAATATGGACGAGGAACAAGTAGTGAAATTTGTGGAAACATACCTAAAGAAGAAAGGGTTCAAACAAGCAGAGCTTGCTTTCCACGAGGAAGTTCAGAAGAACTCAAGTGCCAACTCAATCAAGATCCACTCGGATCCTGATCTCTCAAATCTGATCCTCTCACTTTCAAAGTAATGTCGCTTGTTCATTGTTATGCATTGGTCCCTTGCTCTTTATTATGTGTGGTAGGAATGGTGGGAGGAAGAAGGGCGTGAGGCTGCTCTTCTATATAATCCATCAGCTGCCCAGTTAGTGACAAATTACTAAAAAGGAGAATTTGGAATTTTCAGTGAGGACCTTTGAAGTCTTCTTGTGAAGTTTAGTGGATTAGACTTGATACTTGTCTAAACAATTACTTTGCCTGCAAGATCGTGCTAAGTTGTGTCTTTTCTTAAATCTTTACTCTTTCGGGTTTTTTTGTAAAGACTATAGTACTATCTTTTTCCAGGTCAGGGGACGATCCAGCACAGTACCATGAAGAGTATGGCAAACTAAGAACATGGACCTTCAATTCGCTTGATTTATACAAGGTAACAGTTTTAATTGGCATTTAATTTGTGTTATTTTTAGATGGATACAACAAATTGACGAAGGAAGTGATGCACAAAGTGTGTATCCATTCCAAAAGAGTAGTAATTTATTCTCCTTGATTGTGCATTTGCTTTAGGTGGTCATGGTTCTAAATATTCGTTTGTTTTGCTGGATTGTGCAGCATGAGTTGCTTCGGGTGCTTTATCCGGTATTCATTCATTGTTATATGGATCTGGTGGCAAAAGGTCATATTCAAGATGGTATGAGGCGAACTTCATGATCATTTTGGGTCTGGTTTATGTAGCTTCTTGAGACTAGTCCAATCACAACAAGATTTTTTTACATAGATCTGTTTTCTTCTGTAGCGAGAGCCTTCTTCAACACCTTTCGTGAAGACCATGAAATGCTCCATGCCAGAGACCTTCAGAAGTTGGAAGGAGTTCTTTCACCCTCTCATATACAGGTTCGTATTAGCGGGGAACTATTTTTAATTGTAAATCGGTGGAAAACCTCATATCTGATTTCAGTGATTACTGTTATGGTGTAAGATAGGCTGGAAAGAGACAACCAGTGTTATAAACAAGTCTCTGGGATTTCATCCTAAGCGCTTAAATGGAATCTTCGGAATTCTGTTTGCCTATGTTTTGAGAACCACCATTGAGGAATATGTTGGAGAGCTACACATCTTACGGTCTAGCTCTTTTTCAGGAGATGGAATTCGCTCATACTCTTAGGCAGAGCAAAGTCAACATCAAGATGTGTGAGGTACTATGTGTGTCTTGTCTTGTGTTGCTGCTCTCCATTTATGTCAGCTTTGTATCTATGAGACCATGACTGTGGACTCTTTCCTAATTTCTTGTTTAGCTGAGAGGGGTTATTATTATCTATCCAGCAGAATCAAATTGGATGTTAACGCCTTTTCATATCGGTTGATCATAATGGAGCACTTGAAATGTAGTCAGAAAAATTCAGTATTCTGCAGTTAGTTCAGAAAGTCCTAGGAAAAAAAGCTCAATGTACAATATTTCCAACCACTGCATTTATTTATCTGTAGTGTCTGCATTACCAGATACTGATAGGTGTGGTGAATTGTTGAACTTGATACAAGTAGTATAATCTGTTGATGTAGATCGCTAAAAAGTAACTTCCTGTCAAATTACCAGTATTCCAATGAGCTCCTGATGCAGCATCTGCGAAAGACAAAATCCACCACAGTCCTTGGGATTGTCAACGAGCGAATTAACTTCCAAGGTACCTTTCGAAGCCGATTTTTTTTCTATTAGCATGCATTATGGAGGATTTAACAAACTCTTTGTGTTTAATCCACACTTTTTTTTCAGTTTCTCCTGGACAACCAGGTTTAATATCTGATGATGCTGAGGTTGTGACGCTAATTGGAACCAGTCAGGATGCAGCTAATAAAATTAACAAGAAAGAAGTACATTGGGGGGTGAGTAGGTCAAGCCTTTCATATGGTTCTAGTTGTTTCCTCTGCATAGAGAGTTCATCTCTTATTGATTGTCTGAGATATTGGGGAAACCATTGTTCCTTTGGGTATCTATTTTCCCCTTTCTGGCCTTCTTGAAGGAGGATAGATTGGTTTCTATTTGCCAGGTCTCAAACATACTGGACAAATTATCGTTTAGCCTTTTCAAGGATCGTATCTATTTGTTCTGAATTTATGTTAAAGACTCGTCTCCCAACAGATAATATGATCTTTTGCACTGTAGTTACTGGAAGATACATTGGAAGATCGTCTAGAAAAGGCAGGGGGGTTGCAATCTGATACAGAAAAGCCAGAAGGAGACACCAAAGATGGTGAGATTGATGACAATAAGGTAACTAGTCTCATCTGACAATTTGTTTGCATTAGCTGACTGCAAGGCTAATATTCCTATTAGGGTTTCGGGAGCTCTATTTTAGATGGCATTATGGCTTCAATCCTCCATTTTGGTAATATCCTGGTTGTTACTCCATTTGCCTGACCAGAAACGATTGGCAGAGGGCGGAAAACAAGGTACTTCAGTAAAAAAATCAAAAAAGGACAAGCCAGCTGGTGGTTCAGCAAAAGCTCGAGCTGAAACTATTGTCGTACCTGCAGCCCCTCGTGTCAAACCGGAGCTTCCTTTACCAGTAATGTACTTTTCAACAATCCTTCGCTTCTTTCATGCAATTCGCTAGTAATGGTTTGGTGTAAAATGCTCGCTAAATGTTGATAGATTTCTGGTTCAGTCTAGGTCCTGAACACATCCGTCTATTGCTATGGGAATTAATGTTAGCAGTTAACTGCTAAAACTGTACTTTGCTTGATGAAATTAGCTTGTTGATTGGTTATGAAAGAAATAGGAAAACACACAACTAGCCTATCAGAACTTGTCAACAGTTTCCTTCTATTGATTATTTATTCAAAATTGCTGCAGGCCAGCAGAAGTCGAACAGTCCATCCTTGAGGACTTGAGAAACCGCGTTCAGTTGAGCAGCACATCATTGCCTTCTGTTAGCATGTATACATTTATCAACACGCATAACAGGTAATTCATGATTAATGTAATCTTTTATCAGTTTATGTGCCCAGGCCCACTCAAGAACTACAATCCCTTTAATAAATGAGACAAAAGCAAGTTGTCTGAGCCCAGTCATTTTGAGTGGGCCCTCAATTACATCTCTAGGATCAATGTTGCCGTAGGTTTATCTAGATCCTCATTGGAATTTCTTTGTTTCTGTTGGTTACTTTTCTCATTATTATCGTATTTGTGACAGTTTGAACTGCTCCTCAATCTCAAATGATGGATCATTAGTTGCTGGTGGATTTTCAGACTCCTCCCTAAAGGTGTGGGATATGGCAAAACTTGGGCAACAAGCTAGCAGTTGTAAGTCTATTGTGACTTTCTGCATGTTCCTTTTTCATTTGCTCCTGCTGTCTGATCATTGGAACGTTATGCTCCCTATTTGATGAAGGGCTCTAAATTTGATATGATCTCTCCTGTCTTTCCAGTAACAAAATAATGAAAATATCTAAATTGGAGATGATAAGGGGAACTGAATATGTATTAATTATGTACATTAAAATTCGTCGTAATAGTTAATATGATGCTTGAATCTACCGATTAGACCATGTGAGACAACTGCAATTGTACCCTGTCAGTCGATTGGTTGTTCAGCTGTAGATATCCAACCCAGTATTTTTCTGGCATAGCCAACTTCAGATGTTAACCGATTTGCCATGGCCAGCTACTCCGCAGGCTGAAATTGATGCTTCTGTTGAGCACATACAAGGGCCAAATGGTAGCAAGAGATCTTACACATTGTTACAGGGCCACTCTGGTCCTGTTTATTCAGCCACCTTCAGTCCACTTGGTGATTTTATTCTTTCATCTTCTGCAGACACCACCGGTATGTTCTGTCGTCAATCCTGACAATTACTTATCCTGCACACCAAATTGAGTTTTGCTGGTTTGTTTGGTGAAATTTTTTGTTCATATTGAACTACTTGTTCTGAAATTTGTATCAATCTGTGGAATGTCTCCTTTTCTAATGCAGTTAGGCTGTGGAGCACCAAGCTGAATGCCAATCTTGTTTGTTACAAAGGTCATAATTACCCTGTCTGGGATGTACAGGTACAGTTTCAATCGACCTCTTCAATGTTGTCTTTCCTTGCAACTTCCATCATCATGGAGAACCTTTTTGAGTTATTTGCGTGCCACTTCTTCCAGAGTATCATGATGTCAACCTATTGTTTGCAGTTTAGTCCTTTTGGACATTATTTTGCAAGTGCTTCCCATGATAGAACAGCAAGAATTTGGTCTATGGACAGAATTCAGCCATTACGAATAATGGCAGGTCACTTGTCTGATGTTGATGTAAGTAGCTTAACTCTCTTATTCTTTTACTCTGTCATGCTGCAACGCCATTGATATTGGATTTCTACTTTTAGTGTGTGCAATGGCATGCCAACTGCAACTACATTGCTACGGGCTCCAGCGACAAGACGGTACGACTCTGGGACGTACAGAGTGGGGAATGCGTCCGGATTTTCATCGGGCACCGGAGCATGATCTTGTCACTGGCAATGTCACCTGATGGGCGATATATGGCATCTGGTGATGAAGATGGTACCATCATGATGTGGGACCTCTCAAGTGGCCGCTGTGTTTCACCTCTAATGGGCCATAACTCATGCGTCTGGACACTTGCTTTCAGGTGAGGAAAAGTCTTTCTACTTAAAGAATTAAACCGCAGTAGACACTTAATTGATTTCCCCTCCTTTTTTGCTATTTTTTAAAACCAGTTGTGAAGGTTCTCTTATGGCTTCTGGTTCTGCCGATTCCACTGTGAAATTGTGGGATGTAACTTCGAGCACCAAGGGCACTACTAAAACCGACGAAGGGTAAGCTGTTCACATATTGTTCTCTTCTCATGCTTGACCAGCTTGTATGAGATTTGACAGGCATTTCTGGTATTTACTTTTATTTTCCAAATCAGCAAAACCGGAAACACTGCCAGCAAGTTGAGATCTCTGAAGACCCTGCCAACAAAGTCGACCCCGGTTTACTCTTTGAAGGTAACTTTGCCAAAGAACTTTGGAATTGTCACTCATGTAACCTCCATTATCATTTTACTGCTGAACAATAGCGGAGCCACATGGGAACGCCTTCGGATACCCAGGCTACGTCTATTGCTTCTAAATCAAATGATTTGACCAAAGTCGGGTGTTATTGTTTGCTTTTCATTTGCTGAAAGCAGTTTTCCAGAAGGAATCTCCTCTTTGCAGCCGGCGTCCTCTCCAAGAATGTCTGACAAGAGATGATTGATTAGAAATCTGCGACATGGTCGAAACTGCAGAGGAAGGGTCCGCTAAGAAACCGTAAGCGCTGGCCTGCAAACATAGTGCTTGAGAGTGGAGCAGTTTTTGTTCTTTCTGAATGATCTGTTGGGGATCCTTAAATTTTCGAGGGAAGTAGAAAGCAGTCATAACTCATATGTGCATATATGCAATTACATATACGATGGTTCGTCTTCTCGATGTAAACGATATTATACTTCTGTATCATGGTCGATTCCTTGCACTATTTCCTTATCATACGACTTAAGACTAGTTTAAATGCAGAAGGGGAAAGGATGTGTACCTTGCCCGTGCTCATAATCGTGTTCCCATATCGTAAAAAAAACATTATGCTACGTCGTGTCATGTCCGTGCCAAACCCATAAGGTCTAGGCAAAGCGAGCCCTTAGTACTTGCGCTCGAGCTGGGTCGACCCATAAATATTGTCTTTGTGCCTGTATTGTGACTGGCTCGTGGGATACCCAGGTAGGTAAAGTTACCATACTATTTTTAGTTCTAATTCTGAGGCCAACAAAGTTAAGAGATCAATTGGATTGTGTTGGAGTACTATAACTGGTGGTGTTGTCCCTTGTCTTGTCGCCACCAAAATACAACGTATGGTGTTAGCTTGCTCATTTTGCAATTCTATGGTCCTAAACCTACCCAAAATATTAAAAAAAAAAAAATCAACTTGCCAAACCTGTCTCTCTCCGCTCAGGACATGATAAATGCCCAACCAAAGCCCTGAACTTCCTGTTCCAAATCATAACTAACCTATACCACTCTGTATTTGTACGTGTGAGTGTGACTATATATTAAGCTGATAGAATGATGCATGCCATCTTTCATCACCACCACTACTACTCATCTTCCTTGGATGAAAGGGATCAGGGCGTACGTCGTGCGATTCGCCACTTTCTTGTGATGAAGGTTAGAGTACTCAACGCTGACGGTGTCGGAGGCAGGAGGAGATGGAGGATGATTGCGAGGGAGAAGAGAACGAAGCTGTACATTATCCGGAGGTGTGTGGTGTTGCTGCTGTGCTGGAAACCAGATGATGATTGATCGAGTTCTTATCAGCGGATGGTCGACCATGGAAGTTGCTACTTGGCTAACTAGTAGATGACATTGACATGATGGAATCATAATTTGGCTCAAGAAAGCCAGTTTTTGAGCATACCTTCGGAAGCTTCTGTTTCAACTTCTTGGACTTGAATAACGTTTCAGGTTTTCATGTTTATCATCAACTTCTGCAGTAGCAGCAGCAACACCAACTCTAATGGCAGTTTCGTCCTTCTGCAAGAACAGCAACTACCTAGATAGCTTCCCACAAGAGAGTGATGCGAAGAAATATCTGTCTCGATTGATTAAAAGTAGCAATCATCAAGACATCATTAATTTTCCTAACTTTGTTTCTCTGTCATTCACTCCACAAAATCGTAATTGTTAAGCACGCTGAGCGGCAAAATCTACCGTTAGTAGTAGCTCCATCACGACGGGATTAAGTGTATCTGCATCAAGCACGTCGTAACCACATTTGGTACGCAAATGAAAGTAACCATTCGTTTTCAAAAACAAATTTGAAGCGGAATACCGGTTTACCATGAAGATAGATAGTAGAGTGCAGTTTTAATTACAATGCAATTGTACATCTTTAGATGCTTTCATTACACAGAGCAACAGATTGGTAAGAGTATTACTGCATACAAAGGGGCTCTTCTTTCTTATTTACAGGAGAGAGCAAAGCACACAAGCAAACCCATTCCAACAAACCGACTTCTTTCTAGCTGGCCACAAGTAGCTGTGTAATAGACCAAATTATCACATTCAAATCCCCAGTTTACTTATGCACTGAGCCCCTTCTGAAGGGAGCTCCAAGGGCTGGATGGAAAGCTTACACAGGCCTGGCTCGCAGCCTCGTTCATCTGATCTTTCCCGATTCCAGCATTGCACAAATTTGCTACGGCCCTCATGTGTTTCATTCCGTATTGGGAAAGCGACCCACAATGCGTCTCAAAGGTCCTTACCTGGAAATCAGAAAACATGTCAAAGATCGATGCACGAGGAATGAAGATTCCAGCAATGTGACAATGGAGCAGTTGGAATTAGTTACCAGTGTTTTGAGGCAGTTCCAGTCATCGACAAGGGGCTGGCCAGCAGGGCGAACAGTGGTGAGCACCTCCGTTCCCTTGTTGATTCCAAATAGGAGTTTTGCAATGAGTTTCATGCTGTTGTCAACATGCATTCTGTGTGACATGGCCTCCATAACCTGCTTCTCGGCTTCAATCTTCCTCATTGATCCTTCGGGGGCCTTCCGGTACTGTAGAAATTTGGATAGCAAAGCACTTTAGATGAGGACAGAGTAACTGTTATGGTAGTTATTCCAGATTTCAGAGACAAGTCTTTCAAACAACAAAGTTTTAGAGACTAATTTGTCAATGAAGCTAAAGTTCCATGATGATTGATGTAGCAATTGATCCACAGATACATCCATATCTGCATATCGTCTTGGACTCCCATACCACCACTTAGTCAGTTAAGGTACTACATATTTACAATAGAGTTCCATTTCATCATGCTTGCCCTTATTTCCATTATATGATAGCAAACATGAGGGTAAAGCGGCAAGAAAGAGGATAAATGTCATTAAGGGGATGAAGAAAAGAGTTAGGACACACCTTATCCCAAAAATGGACAAGATCAGCATCTCGCTGGTTGACAGCTTTAACAGGTGGTATTATGGCATTCCGGTCCACAAAACTGAAGTTATCATTCGCTGGATTCGTACCCATATACATGAAAAGCATGTCCTTGCTGAGTGGCACATCACCATATTGCATGACATGCGAACCATAAGGAGAATTGCCATTTGAAGTCCTTGATTTAACCTGCAAATGTAGCAACATGGCATCTATCGGTCAACAAAAAAAGTTATATTTAATAACGCACGCCATCTAGAGGTATAGCCACATTGATTCAGCTTCTTACCAACTCGTATTGCTGGTGCAGGCTTTCCCTCCGAAGATTGTGCACATCACTGTTCATAAGGTAGTTGATATTTCCAGTTAAAATTTGAAATTTACTATTCTGGATTAGGAAAGACAATTAAGTAAGAAAGTTAAATTTAAGTGTGTACCTGTCCTCCATCCAAGCAACACTGTATAAGTCGCCTAAACAGGTTTCATATTCAGGAGGTGGACTAGGATAATCTCCAGGGCAGTAAGTTCCCCAACTGCTCTCTTCAGCATTTGAAGCAGTGGTTGCATAAATATTTAAACCCTCTGGAAGAAGGCCTTCAAAGATACTTCCAGATTCACATGCTTCCAGATAGAAGACCTGCAGTTTTCACCAATAAGATGCGTAAAGCAAATTGATTATATAAGATTGTGTTTAAGCTGAAAAAATGAAACTCTCAACTTACCAAGCTTTTATAGGTTCCAGAAGCATGCTTCTTTTTCAACACGTCTATCAGATCATCGGCATACAGATAAGGACTGGTAGGCATTCCTGAGAAGGAGATGAAAGATAAGCAGACGGCTTCAGAGACATACCATTAACTAAGAGAGAGATAGTAAAAGGAAGAAACCCCTGTAAATTTCAAGGTGGACGAAATTGAAGAAACCAAACCAGCTTCTAAGCTTCTTTGACTATGACCAAATAGAAGGAGAACCTTCATAGCTATTGCAGATAAATCACCAGGGTAAAATTACATCCAACAATTGACATTGTAGATTATCATATTAAGTTCGAAAACTTTTGCTGTGGTCCTACTGCAAGTGCTGATAAGCTAACAATAGATATTTATACTTGATCCTTGAGGTTGACTATTTAATTTACAGTGGGACTGCCAAATCTCAAGGCTACAAAACGATTGCAGCAATTCATAAAAGTAAAATAAAAAGATTGCATCAAAATAGGGAGAGAGAGAGAGAGAGAGAACATGAGATCATTCATCCAATTTCAAGGCTTCAAAAGTACAGATCTACAAACCTAGCACTCCAGGACCTCCATGATCCGTGTAGTAGATGAAAATGTGGTCATTTGGACCACTGTCCAAAACTTTACCACTGCCCCCAGTCAGAGCAGACTTGTTGCCAAGGATAGCAGCAAAGAAGTTGCCCACAGTCACATCTTCCCCGGTATAATCCTGCCAAACAAGCGTAAACACACTACGTATCAGGCAAGCGCTTATACACGTGCTATCATAAAGACGTTAAGGATTGAAGACGCAAAAGCAGACCTTTGGGACGCCTTTGTAAACATCGCCACCATGTGGACTGTTGATTATGACTCCAGGCCTCGGGTTCTCTTCATTATTGGCAATATCATCATACATGAAAACGATGATGTTTTCATCTTTCAGACCACCCTTTTTCAGAAGCTGGTAGGCGTGACAGACATCAGCCTACATAACGTACCAAAACAAAGGTCAGCTTAACAAAAGGTAAATCACAAGCCACAGACACTAGAAATCCATATCAAATCAAAAGGAGAGAGAGAGCACCATGTGAAGAAGCCTGACAAGATTAACAGCACAAGTGGTATATACACTACTGAAATCATCAGTGACGAAAATGGAATCCCCTATTCGATTACTTCTCCTCATCTTAGTTAAGCATACAGGAATTAAGACACAAACACACTCCAACAACCAAAAGCTCCCAACTTCGATACTGTAATCGATCATTGACGAAATGAAAACCCGCCAAATTCTAACTCCCCCTTTCCTTCCTCAACGTTTTCTCTCCAAACAATACGGAGTGGGGAAAGTTGAAATTGACTAGGTCATCTAACACCCTAAAAACTTTCAAGCTAAGACAAGCAAGCGATTGATTGAGATCATGAAATGGTAGCGGGAAAGTGAGAATTTGGATAGAACCTGATGTCTGTAATTCCAGTATCCATTGGATCCGGCGATCAACACCGCCCATCTTGTCCCCGTCGACCCGACCTCGGCATCATCGTCAACGCCACCGGAGCGGAAAAACCTGGAAGCGGATGAAGGCAGCTGGATGACATTGTCGGCTATATCTGGCCTGGCGGAGCTCACTGTGTTGGCCGTGGAGAGAGCTACGATGAGGAGTGGAACTAAAAGGGAGATGCCGGCGGCGGCTGAAATCGTCATGTCCCCGGCGACTCCCTAGGCTCTCTTCCGATGAGGTAGGAAGGTGGTGGAGGTTGCTTGGAAATTGGAATGGGAATGATTGGCGATTCGGATTAAAAAAAAAATGGACCTAATATATTTGTTTATCAGAATTTGTTTTGGGCTGAGATTTTTAATTAATGGACCTGAATCAAGGCCCATAGGGCGGCCCAACTTGCTATGTTCAATTCCATTACGAGTTCTTCCCTCGAATTTGTTTATTAACGAGCCGAGTCGAGTCAAGTTTGAGCTAGCTTGTTTATTAAAATCTTAACTTTTATTTGGTATTTCATTTTGTATATCATTATACACATTTATTTTGTTAGCTAGTTCATATTATACTTTGTTGGTATCATATGTCATTTAGTTAATAAATTTTAACTACTCCAAATCATGTTATTTCATAGTAACGAAGCAATTTATGATACATAATTTTTTTAAAAGTAGAAATAAGATATATTTGCTCACATACTCAACGTTTTAAACTTTATATATGGTGAGATATATAATTTAACAACCATATGAATTAAAAACATAAGATATTGATTGATTCGTCCATAAGTCGGTAATCGAGTTGGCTCTCAAGCCACATGTTGAAACATATCATGAGCTCTAAACGAGTCAGCTCACGAGTTTTGCTCAACAAGCCACCAAGTCGAGCTAGCTCGCGAGCTTCACGAGCTGAAGAAAGATTAGCTCATGTTCAGCTCGTTGATTTCGAATGAGCTTTTCTCGAGTCGAACACCGAGCCGCTCGTGGACAGCTCGGCTCATTTGCGGCCCTAATTCCAGTATTGCTGGCAGTGGTAGCTATGCTGCTACTTCCATGGTGGTGGAATCCGTTCTTAAGAGACTTTTTGAAAGGAAAGCATTTTCTTGGATTGTCAAATCAAGAGATTTAAGAATCCGTTGATTAGAAAGGAAATAACTTGCATTTCTGTGTATTATTATACATGTCTATGTACACTTTTGTTAGAACAATGAAAACAGGCAGCGGTTTTTTTTTACAACATGAATGATGCTGCTGATGTACAGTGGTTTCAAGTGTACAGTCATTTTAGTTGTTGGCTTTGCCAAAGGTTCTGGGGAAAGGGATTGCATCTCTGACGTCGGGGAGGCCGGTAACGAAGAGAACCATGAGGTCGAAAGCAAGAGCGAATCCAGAATGCTTCACTGTTCCGTGCCTTCGAAGATCCAAGTACCATTCGTACTGTGCAATCGGTAGCCCCAGCTCCTTAATCCTGCAAAAAAAACAAGACCATTCCATTGAATTGAAGATATAAACGTTATGGTGAATCGATTTACGCTGTCGAATTAACTGATCATGGTGAGCAAGCTAACACACTGCACCTTGTCTCGACCATGTGAATCCTCTCTTCGTTCTGGCTGCCTGAGACCAGTTTCCCAACCTTGGGAACGACCATGTCGAAGGTGGCCACTGTTTTCAAGTCGTCATTCAAGCGTGCGTAGAACGGTCTAATGTCCCTTGGGTGATTGTAGATAATAACTGGCTTCTTAAACATTTCATCAGCCAGATAACTGCCAGTTTTCCAATTCATGAAGAACAAATTCAGTGAAGTCCATTTGGAGTTTAAAAATTGAAAAAGATCAGAACTTACCTTAAATGTTCTGCTGTGAGATCAATACCCCATACGAGGCTCGTCTCGAATCGCTTGTCAGTCACCTAATCCAAAGAATGAAGTCAAGGATGTGGTCTCAGGTTCGTCAATTCATAGCAGGCTCAACCAAATTGGGAAGCAGCAGCTTACCTTTTTAAGAATCTCTACAGCATCCATGTATGCGATCCTTTCGTATGAGCAAGCAATCGTCGCCTGGAGGCGATCGATGCAAGTTTTATCGATTCGATTCGATATAAATCCCATATCTCCAGTGCATTTCTCCAGTACCCATTTGCAGATGAACTTCAAATGTTCCTCTGCACAGTTCATTGCATCCTGAAACATAGAATCAAACCCCTTTTAGCAGCACTAACACAGTCGCCAAAAAATGTTTCATTTTTCTTTCTGTATGCATACCTCTAGCTGTGAAAAGGCGATTTCAGCTTCAAGCATCCACATCTCCGCCGCCTGGTACCTGGGATTGGCATATCGATCCGCCTGGAATCTCGGCCCGAAGGCATAGACGTTTCCCAGAGCACAAGCGTAGCTCTCGAGATGAAGCCGGCCTGAGACAGTTAGATGAACCTGCCTGGAGAAGAAATCTTCCGCCACGTTAAGCTTGCTCGATTTCGTCGTTAAGAAGCCCGGTTTCGGGGTTTTCTGCTGCTTGGCTTCCAACTGCGCCGCCAATTGATCCGTTTTCCGCAAATCCTGAACCGCCGCCGCCAATGCCTCCCTGTTACTCTCGCTTCTCTTCAGCTCCTCCACCAAACTGCTCTTCTCTCGAATCGCCGCCTTCACGGCTTCTATGCTGAGCTCGTCGCCTCCTTTCGCCGGAGCGTCTTCTTTCCCGGACAGCAGCGTCGTCACTTGGAACTTGCTGCTGAATCCTTCGGCGTCGGTGTTCGTGATTATGGGGACCTGTACGTAGAAAAATCCTCCATTGTTGAAGAACGTGTGGCTTCCGAATGTCAGGGCGCTACGTACCCGCATAACCGACGCCACCTGCCAAAAATTATTCAAAGAAGAATGTTGTTATGTTATGAAGTTGGTAGCAGTCACCACCGGAGATATTCATCGGCGAGGCTGGATTGACACTTACGGTGGTTGAGCGGTGGCGGAAATGCGAAGCTTCTCTGAGATTCTCAAGCGGGACTCGCTTGGCAGCCAACGGGTACTTGTCCTTCTCCACGGTCCCAATGTGAAGGACTTTCTCCACGGAGAGCTCGACGCGGTGCTTTCCAGGCGACTGCGGCAACCGGAGTATGCCTTCCACGAGTAAACAGGTTCCGATGGGGAGGAACAGTGCAGGGGAGGCTACAGAGGAATCTACCACAACCTTTTGTAGGAAAAATTTTCTTAATCAGGTTCGTTACGAAACTGAATTTGTCACAGAAATTGAAAGAAGCAAAGATTTGATTTTTCCTGCTTACCTGAAGACTAGCAGCGCAGGAGCCATCGCTGACAAGCAAGTAAGCGGTGGAAGGCGGGGGTGGCCTCTGAATCCTCGATTCAGGGGACGCCGGCGGCAGCTTCTCGCGTACAGGGGAGGTACCGGAGCAACCACCAAAAGCACCATGGCTTCCGCCGGCTAGAATCTTAATTATCGACCTGAAAAGAGGAATTCGGGCTTGCAGCATCTCCACGCAGCTGACGTCCTTGTGACCTGGAGATATCCTGGACACCTGACCGCCACCGGCGGGTAATTGCTGCTCCGGAGCCGCCGCAGACTCTTTCCTGATTTCCTTGGAAGTTCGCACCCACCCGCCGACTACGACTCTCCGTCCTACGAATCCCACACCCCCATCTTCCCCTTCGAGTATGGTTTTCAGAACAACCCGGTTGGAAAACCTGAATGGCGGCGGAGCCGGTTGGGTCCTAGACTGATTTTCAGCGATGGCGGCTGCTTCCGACTGCTGCTGATGATGATTATTGGTTTTGGAGTCTTGAGTCGCCGGAAGGTTTTCTCTGCGCTCCATTTCTTTTCTGTGTGGGGAAAGAAGGGATGACTAGGAAAAAAAAAACAGAGCAGGAGGAATTGTAATGGTGGAAAGAAGATGATGAGGAAGTTGGGAAGATGGAGAAGGAAGATATAAAGGAAGAATGGAGGGTGTGAAAGCTTCAATGGGGAGGAATTCGGCGGAGCGATGGGAGAAGAGAGAAGGAAAGGGATTGATTGTGTTACAGAGCTCTGTTTGAGAAGAGAAGGGGAAGGAAGACTTCGGCGGCAAGGTTTTGGTATTCTTGCAAGTTGGGGCTTCCGCTTGGCGCGAATTCTAACTGAACAAGAAATGGGCTTGGGCTAAGAGTACAGACGATAAATGGACTCATACTTTGGGCTGCTAACAAATCGTCGGATGGGCCTTAGTTTGGGTTTAGTCTAAAGAGCCCAAAGGACGAACGAGCCCTGTCTCCACCTTCCTAGGAAGAAGGAAGCATGATATGGGCAGTACCTGTTGTTATTTACCAGAAATCTCCACAGTTGCAGCTTCCATCCTTGAAATGATGGAATCGACTAGCATCCCTGACAGTGATCTCTCTCTTTGTAATGAGGGAGATCAACTTGATAGCATTGTGACAATCACCACAGACTCTCAAATTCTTGGTCACCAAGATGGGCTTCGACGGGCTGAGACTGAGAATTCCAAATGCAATAGCTAGTTTCTCACTGTGGTAGAGAAGGATGAGATCCTTCTCTTCCTCTTCAACGTCATGGAAAACATAGCTGGATTCCGCACGGTATCCCAGTCTCTTCATGTCCACTTCCAGTTCATCCAATTTCTGGTTTATCTCTTCTGACTGTGGATGAGACCTATCCCCACCACCAACAAATGCATGAACAATCCCACTGACCTCAATCCAACTGCAGCCAGGACTCTTGGGGAATCCCATTTCCTTCTGCGCGAGCCTCACTTGTGCTGCATCGTCCCATCTGCCAATGTTGCTGTACATATTGGAAAGGAGAACAAAGTTCCCTGTAGATTCTGGTCCTAGCTTCTCTATTTCCTTTGACACGGTTTCTCCAAGTTTGATGTTCTTATGTATCCTGCAGGCAGCCAGTACTGCCCCCCATACACGAACATCGGGCTTGAATGGCATATCTTGAATGAACTTGTAAACCTCTTCAAAGTGCCCTGCTCGACTTAGCAAATCGGTCATGCATATGTAGTGATCCATCGTTGGGGAAATCCCAAAATCTTGGGTCATGGAACCAAACAATTGTTTCCCCTCTGCAACAAGTCCTGAATGGCTGCAAGCAGACAACAGACCAATGAATGTCACATCATCTGGTTCGATCTCTTCTTCAACCTGCTGCATTTTTTGAAACAGGGAAACTGCGTCCTTTCCTAGCCCGTGAATCCCATAAGCATCTATCATCGCATTCCAAGAGATTACATCCTTCTTATGCATGGTATCGAACACTTTGCGCGCGGTATGGATCTTCCCACACTTAGCATACATGTCGATGAGGGCATTGGAGACTATGGTATGACATGTAAAGCCATGAACTATAGCGTAAGCATGGCTGCAATAACCATGTTGAAGAGCTGCCAAATGAGAACAAGCAGGGAGAATTCCCGTCATTGTCAACACATCTGGAACTAAACCGGACAACTTCAACTTGTGGAACATCCCCAATGCCTCCTCTGCATAACCATTTTGCACATACCCTGAAATTATAGCAGCATATGTAACTGCATCTTTCAAGGCCATTTCATCAAAGAACCTACTAGCATCATGATCGATAGTCCCACATTTTGCATACATTGACAGTATAGTGTTGCCCACCATCAAATCAGAGACAGAGCCCGTCTTTATGGTATAACAGTGCAAGCATCTGCCACTGACCAAATCAGTCAACTTTGCACAAGCTCGAACTACAGTAACGAGAGTAGCTTCTGTAAGAGAAATTCCTGATTCATCGTCTTTAACCGACAATAATCTGCGGAATAGTTCTAAACCTTCCTCCATGAGGTCACAAGCAACACAACCTCCAATCATAGCAGACCATGTCACTTCATTTTTTGCCACACCCATCATGTTAAATATCCTTCTAGCATAAGAGATGCATTGACACTTGGCATACATATCCAGGAATCCAGTTCCTATCAGCACACCATTATGGTAACCATTCCTGATACTGAAAGCGTGCATAGCTTTCCCATGGGTCAAAGCCCTAGCTTGAGCAACCGCCGGAAGGATCCCCACGATCGTAGAAGAATTAGGAGCCACCTCATCCCTCTGCATTTCCATGAACAAGTTAATCACCTCATTATATGAACTCTGCCCACCACCACGTAAAGAAAACCCAACAATCATTGAATTCCAAGCAACAACATCCTTGTGAGGCATTCCATCAAACACCTCCATGGCTTCCCCCAAGCATCCGCATTTCGCATACATGTCCACCAAACCTGTGCAAATATAGATATCAGAGTCAAGTTGAAGCCTTTTCGCGTGGAGGTGTATCTCTCTGCCTTCCCCAACGGCCTGAAGAGCCGAGCACGCTTTCAGGACAGCAGGGAAGGTGAATTTATTTGGTTTGATCCCATTGTCCATCATCTCGTAGTACAATTCCACGGCTTTCTCGAATGGCCCATTCCACGCGTACGATCTGATCATGTTATTCCACTGGATAACCCCTCTCGGTCTCTCGGGAATTTCATCGAACAACTTGCGCGCATGCTCGGCCTTGTCACAAACGACATATGAGCGGGAAAGTTTTCCCACCAGTAGGTCGGTGACATCTGAATCCTGGATGTTGGTCAAAGGGAAGGCATTGCGGAGACTTTGATAGACTAGCTTGGCTTTGGAGAGCGATTTTGGATTCAGTACAAACATCAAGGAGGACGACGATAGCGGCCACCGGTAGAGTAGTTGCAGACGACGATAGCGGCGCGGGATTTCCCCGTTGGGAACCGGCACAAGGATGCGCTAATGGAGGGAACTCTCGGCCTGGTCCATGACAGTTGAATTTTGGGCCTCAATGCTTGCTTCTAAGGCCCCATTCCTAAATGAAAGCCCAGTAAGAAGCCCATTAGAAACGTGGGTCATCTCGCTTCCTTCTGGTTCTTTCAATTCGGAGGCCGTTTTTTTGGTTGCCCAAGTTGATCCGCTTTGTGGGATTCTGTGAATGGGGATGAACTCATGAACACAAATACCATAATGCTGGATAAACCTAATGAGGTTTGTTCTCTGCGGTCCTTATCTGTTATTGTACACATCTCATCTCACTCAACTAGACATAGTTTCCAGTAAGTACAACTACGAGTCGACAATAACAAGAGCCAAGACGCCACGAGACCAAACAAGGACGATCCCGGGCACATAGGAACAAGTTCTGATCGTCGGCTTAAGAAGGTTCGAGCAATTACTCGTCTGCTATTAGTAAAAGCATGTTCACAATTTCTTCATCCCACGTGAGAAAGACCAGCACCAGTTTCAGCCTTGGTCCTGAGGCAAACAGGAGAAAAAAAAAACCCGAAAATGGTGACTCCACGTTCCCGAGGTTAGTCGAGAAATACAAAGCAGTGAAAGGGGATACCACCAAGGGAGATCACTTACTTATGGTCGGCAGGATTTGGCCTGAGTTCATATACGATTGTTCCAACAGTATCCCTCTTCAACTGTTCATTATCGTGGACAAAGAAGATTCGGTTTTGAGTTGAGATGGAGGACATTCAAGATTCCGGCAGAAGCAAGAGCAAGAGATCACACGCCAATGCAATTTAGTTATACCTTAGTGGCTTCGCCTTTGAACCCGATGTAGTGTATCTGAGTAGTGGTTCCACCAAGATTACCCGGGAAGTGTAATGTGATACTTGATACTCCCTGGAATTTGGCATACCTGGCGTACCAAAAAATTTATTTGATGCTAGGCAAAACCAAGACTAAAAGTAAAAGCTAATCTCCACTTCAGCAACAACAAATTTGACACCTAAAAGATAGTTTGTAAGAGCTACCTCGTTTGGAACTCTAGTACGCCTTGCAAATTTTCAACCAACTCCCACTCCTTGTAGAGAAAAGAAAATAGGATAATGTAAACCAAAGTACTAGAGTTGATCAAGCACACATGAGTAGCAGGTAGAGAGACTTAAACACCTGCACAGCTTGCATGTCCTGAGCATCAGAGAAGTCCATTCCTTCTCGGTTGATAAACCTACACATAGAGTTCACAACAGCAGTGAAAGTTCAGATATACAAACACGTTAGATATTTTGCTAAAAAAACAGGTGAGCTTCTTCCGAAACCAGTTCTATCTCTTCTTAAACGTGAGATCCAAGTAACATTGTATAATGATATTTGGACGGTACGAGGTGTTTCTTCCATTAAAGCAAGCCAACTAACATATGCACGAATGCCTTGCAATAGTTCTGTATGTTCGATAAGTTTGACTAACATTATGCATGCATTTAACATCTACTGTCTGTGATTATGAGTTAAAGAGGAAAACACTTCTTCAATAATCCCAACTTGAAACATTATTGATGAAAGCAGCTAGGGATACAAATACCGAAAGAACCATGCAAATGAAACTTACGCTCTCATCCTGGCAGGACTTGTTCTCTCTGGTCCACCAACAATTGAGATGCTCTTGAGCTTAACATCCGATGTGAACCTGACAATTAGTCAAGAGTAGAAATAAGGCATGCGCCGAAAAAGAAATATGGGCGCAAAGTAATCACGAAACTGTAAAAGAGGCAATTAGAACAGCCGGAAAAGTATCACAAAGCAAGACTTGCAGATAATCAGCGGCCATTCCAACAGCATAGTCGTGCAGTTTCAGACACAGACCATTGCTTTGTCAGGATGGAATACAGTTTCCACTGAAAGCCAATTCAGCGGCTAACAACTACAACTGGTTGAACAGACGTACAAACCCTAATTACGAAGCTGACATACTGCTAGTGAATAGGAAGTACCATACCAGCACAAGCCTGATACATAACAAAGGATGAAAGAGAGCCGAGACAAAGTACATACGGGACAAAGACAAGTAGTTCAGTATCACCATCATTGCTTCGCAAGATTTCCTGGCATGGGGGAAAAAGGATCAAGCACGAGATAAGAAACGGTTCAGTTCTCATCCTCTTCAGACTAGGACTATACAAATGCTTCAAATGCCAGTCTCGACGACAAGGTTTTGGCAGTTCAATCGAACCAAAACAGAACAAAAACGTAAGAGCTCATTTTCCATTAGTGAGGTGGAGTAGAGCTTACCCCAGAGAAGTCCAGTCGGTGCTCCCAAGCTTTGAAGACCGACTTCACACTTCCTGGAACTGCTTCATTCAGAGCCGAAACCTAGAATTTTTGCTCGAATGAGAAATGCCAAGCTACATAGTAAGTTCAAAAAGCCGCGGGAAATCGAATTCAAAGAAAAGTGGAGACACGGCTCGTGTTCCCATCGGCAAATTGGAAAGCCTCCTCGCAGAATCATCGATATCGCATTCGCAACTGAGGTATACACAGTTGAAGACTAGGGAAAGCCATTGGAGAGGGCAGATTCTCACCTTAGGTAGGTCTATGTGTTTGTAGAGAGACCATTCAGAAGAGCAATCGTGTTCTTCGCAGCTGTGATCGTGCGTACAAGCCATTCTTCTTCTTCCTCCTCCGATTCAGTAGTTCTCTGCTTCTACGCGGCGATGAAGGAGAAGAAATTTCCGGAAACACAGCGTCTGTCGCGCGCAAGCGAATCTCTGGCTTCTGGTTCTGCGGAAGAAAAAGTTATAAGTTCGATAATGTAACCATTTTGTACAAAGTAAAAGTTTTATGCATCATTTTGTACAAGCGACATAGATAAGTGCTCATTTTGGATATTTATCCTTTTTTTTGTGTGATGCATCTTCCGGGAAAAGTACTAACGGAGGCGCCACTATTGTTTCACATTTTCCATTTTCTGTTTCCGTCTGTTCATCGAAGAAGATGGAGAGGGACGCCGGAGGCGGCGGCAGAGGAGGAAGCCGATACACCCTCAAACCCAGCCGCTTCAGCAGCGAGGACATCATATTCTGTGTAGACATCGACTCCGAATCGAAGGTGGAGATGAAGGGACCCAACGGCCGGCCTCTGGCCCGATTGGAGGCTGTCAAGCAAGCCATCCTCGTCTTCGTCAACTCCAAGCTCACCATTAACCCCGATCACCGCTTCGCTTTCGCCATGCTTTCCAACTCCGCTTCATGGGTAATTCCCCCTATTTCTCGTAATTGCTCCCGTTCCCCTTTTGATTTCTCGCTCGAGGGATTCCTTGCATGTTCTCAAGATCGAAACTTTATTGCTACACTGCGGTCTGGTGAAAGGTGAATTGAAGTTCGTTGGTTGCAATTGATTTGATGGCATCTGTAAAACAGTTTAGTTTTAGAATTCGAATTGGGATCGAGCATTGAGAATGGAGGAATGTGTATCTGAGAGAGAAGATGGTTTGGTTGCTTTGGGAACTGAGAATCTCTTCATGTTACCTTAGGACTGTAGATAAAAGATCCCCCTTTTATGTGTACCGAATAGCTAACATTGTGAAGGTATCATCCGCAAACCAGGTAGAATACTGCTTCTGCCATTCTTTTCTGAAAATTTTGGGCTATCACTTAGGAACAGTGATGACAAAGAATACATTTTGGAGCTAAGAAATTATTAGCTATGTTGTGAAACAGTTATATTGGAGAGACAAAGCTTGATGCTTAGGATTGATTGCCAGGGAAATTGCATTTGTTGTTGTCATGATTCTTAATCAGTAATTGCTTCTCATTTCCGCGATTTTTTACTAAACCATTTATGCCTAGGATTGCTACTTTGCTAGCACTAGTAGTTAGATGATCATAGGATAATAGGGTGTGTGATGAGATCTCTGGAACTAGGGGTTGGAGGTTGCCTCATGAAACAAGTGGAAGAAATAAGTTAGAAGGCTCATCCTAGGGTCTCTCTTTGTTCTCAGCTGCTATTGAATAATAGTAACCTTGTAGATGTTGATGCCAAATGCGCATCATTTGCAATAATCCTATTTTGATTTAGTTTTCCAAATATCACTGAAGTTCCATCCACATATATGCATTTCTTTATAATGACTATGCTTTCAGTTATAGCAAACTCTGTCAGTATCTTGCCGCAGTTCACGGTCATCCAAGATTAACTTCTCATAGATTTCACTCAAAAAATAGGTTTTATATCCAAAGTTTCATACCATTTTTGGTGTCCTCTTGTGTAAACAACTTGTTTTCACCAGCTTCGAATGTGAGGATAAGGCATGGATCAAAATACTATTTTGTAACTGTCTCCTCCATAGTTCATCCTTCTCTTTGCTTCTGATGTAGAAAGGAGCTAATTTCCTCGTAGTCCTGTTGATGGTGTAAAAAGCATGCCAATTTTTGTTGGAAGTTTTGCTTCTTCCTTAGTCCTCCTGTTTGGATGGCTTACCTCTAGGCTTCAATCAACTTTTTTCCGACACTTGTAAACTAACTTATCTTGTGGACCTTGGCATGCTCTATCTTTGTTTCTGTTAATGATTAGCTACAAACCCACTTCTTCTTGATACTGACTCTTTGGCAATAGCTTCGGAAAGAGTTCAGCAGTGAAGTGGAGGCCTCTGCTGCTGCACTGAGGGGACTTTCACCATCTTCCTCCAGTGGTCAGGCAGATCTCACTAATCTATTCCGCTTAGCAGCTCATGAGGCGAAGAAATCCAGAGCACAAAACCGGTTGTTGAGGGTGGTATGTTCTTAATGCCAGCTCTGTGGGTAACTGAACTAAAGATAAACTAGAAAGTGGTTATCACTTGTTCGCCCAGCAATCAATGGCTAATTCAAATTCCAGTCATCGTTCAGTTTTTGTTTCTTTTTCTTCCAGGTTTTGATCTACTGCAGATCATCTGTTCGGCCGCAACACCAGTGGCCGATAAACCAGAAATCGTTTACACTCGACGTGATGTACCTGCACGACAAGCCAGGGCCTGATAACTGCCCGCAGGAGGTGTACGATACACTGGTCGAGGCCCTGGAACACGTGAGCGAGTACGAGGGCTACATCTGCGAGACGAGTCAAGGGTTGAGGTTTCTGCTTCGGCACATGTCCCAGCTGTTGATGCATCCCCAGCAACGGTGCCCTCAGGAGGACCTCGACATCCCCAAGTCGCTAGTGAAGAAGTCGAATGATCCGACGCCTGGGGAGGAAAATGTGCTCCCTGTGTCTAGCCAATGAGACCGAACTTTGAGGGAAGGAAGCTCGGGCAGTGGTTACTGTCATGTTAGGTTAGTGCTGTTGCGCGTGTGTAAAGGAATTGGTGGTAATGGTTATATTATGTGCTATGTATTGTGCCGAGACCTAAATGGAGTATGAAGTTGGGTAACAAGTAGTGTAGTACCCTCATTTTCAACTCACCTGTTTTCTTTGTTTATATTTTGATTATATAACAAGTAGTATATTACTTCTAAAGAAGACGGTTTTTGCCTCTTTCCTTCTAAAAAAGAACTCTGACGTATAAGAAACGAGTAATCTTATTATCACAAAATCAAACACAGCAATTCTAATTCTAGTTAAGAGAGAATCACCTCAACTCTTGAAATAAAAAGTTGAACAATCTCTCTTTCTTGTGAAGGAAAGAAGCTACTACACAAAGGAAATATTGAACTTCTTGAAGACAACTACGAAACGAAATTCATGACATCTACTAGTCAAATCGCCATGCCTATCGGAATGTCACATACGGCCAACTCCTCCGGCAACTAATATGACAGTCGAGGCTCCACCGATCCAAGCAGCAACCCAACAGCCAACGAGGACTGCTGCCGCCGACGAGGTTGGAGTAGGACTGGGACCATCATGCGGCGACGGAGTAGCTGCCGGCGGCACCAAGTGATTGGACGAGTTGCCCTTCCCTCCACCAGCCGATGGTGGGAGAGAGTTAGGAGCCGGCGCCGGAGCTGGAGCACGGTGGTGATGGTGGTGGTGATGGCTGTGATTGTGGGCCGTAGCAGCAACCGCTAAAGCTGCTGCCACGGCAAAGATCAGTAGTAGCATCGCCGGCGCCTTCATCTTTGCCGCACTTGGAGATGAATAGCTTTCTGGGTTTTTGCTCATTTGAGGATTGTAGAAACACTTAACTTATACTAATGGTGATCAGTAGACTGTAGAATGTAACGTATACTGCTAGATAATTAAGGATCATAAACGGAAGTTACTACTACAAAGCTAGTAAATTTCTCAATAAATCTAATTTAAGTTTGCATTCAAGGCAGCATTTCAAAACATTCATCGTTGAATGCAATCAATTATGATGGATTCATTTTCACCATTCACGACATGTTCTTAGCCTTCTAGCAGTATCTTAAGTAGCATCCTATCGCTTCACCATTCACGACATATGGATCGAATCCAACGTGAGACAGGTCTGAGAGATACCGTCTCATTCCGCCTCCTCTAACTTCGAATCGACATTGCAACAGCTACTAGATGAAAAAAGGAACACAAAACTGAGAAAGGAATCAATCCATTTCACTAGGCAAACTGTTAACAAACCAGCTGTGGATCATTGAAGTTCGGTTTAGTAAGTTAAACACTCCCAGTAGTTAATGTTCCTATCTTCTACAATCTACTCAACCCTAAACTAGCCATATGTTGAGGTCTTCTGTACATTGACACATAAAAAACCTATCAAAACAAGCTTAGCCACAGCACCATTACATGCATATGCTTTTCACATCAAAGCAAAGTGGTAAAAGCAACTACTACGAAACACACGGTAGCAAACCCAGAAGAAGAAGAATGATGAGAAGACCAGTGTCAAATGCCACTCACCACCACACTTTCAAAATCCCAGCACCTGCTGAGAAATGTTAAGCAGCGGCTCGAGAGCACTCGGGGAGAACTTCCTCGCAAAGAGATGACAGATCCGGAACTCCTCCCGGTCGTTGTACTTGCATTTCTGCGAGTCGTATAACCTCTTGAAGAACTCCACCGTGATATCAGCCCTTCCGAAGGTGGCGGGGTGGGCTCCACCTCGTGACCAGTCGACCCACGTGATGCTACGATTCGCCAGATCGTTCGGTGCTTCGATTGTCAGCATCGTGGGGAAGTAATGCTCGTCGACGTAACAGTGTGGCCTGCAGAACTCCTTGAATTTCGGGTAGTACTTTGTGTCTTCTACTATGCTGACAGCGAGATGTCGTCTTAACTCGAACCACTGAGACCCTTTCCGCCACTGCGTGATGTTCACCTCGGGGGCCATGTTCTCGTTGTAGCGGCCTCTGCCGTAGGGCCCCTCGTCGTCGAACGCACCCATGAAGCTGTGGTTTGACCTCCTTATGTAGCTGTATATGATGCTGAAGTTGTAGAGGGGGATGCATGATTCCGAGAGGAGAATGAACCACTCGTTTGAGATGTCGAGCAGTGCGTTGGCGAGGAGTCGTCTCTCGGCGTCACACATGCTCATCTTGCCCCATTCAGAAACCTGCACAATCGCAGTAGACACTGTAAAGGTCTTTCGCGTAGAGAAGGAAACCATAACAGCAGAAATCTTGTGACCAATGTCCATATGAATTTGGTTTCTGCATGAATGAGCCCTATACTTGGACCTTAATAAATAGACTAAGCAAAAGTTCCTAATATATCTTAATATAGGGGGACAGCATGGAATTTAACGTCATCATGGTATCCAGTATCTTCACCACACAACAACCCAAATTTGCAGCTGAACAAGGAATATATGCCTTCTACCAGCTCGGATTTGGTAACTTCAAAATGAGGTCAAAACAGCTTCCTTTTTACATGGGATATAGATTACATCTAGCAAAGGGTATGCATCGTTCTACTTTTAACAGAATTACAGAGACACATTTTTCGGTGGTAATCAGGTTGTCAAATGACCAACGTATAATACAAGTTGCAAGATGTCCCTTTACCAAAGCTCCTAATTGCTATACTCTGCACTACTGTATCATTAAGTGCTGCTTTCCTTACAATGGATTCTCTGCTGTTGTTAAGGTACAGTTACATCTAAAATTCCATCCAGGATAGTGAACAGATGAAGGTATGAAATGGGTGCAAAGGACCTAATAATTGCTAGGTTTCTCAGGTATAATATATGACATCCATAAACAAGGAGAGAATAGAAGTATGTAACATACTGGCTAATATTAATATGCACCCAGTTTTCCCTTCTGATACGGATTTCGAGAGCATTAATAGCACAGCACCTCTACATGCTGCACCCTCTTAAATTCAATATGGTGATGCATAACTATGGACTATGGAGATGTTCTAGATGAAAAGTTTATGCCTTTATGGTAATCTTCCGTACTACCTAAACAGCACCAAACAAACCTTACAAAGATCTACTGATGTCTGATTTCAATTTACCACTTGTATTATTTCTCATCATGACTCATTGCTCCCTCAAATTCAATCATCAAGCAAAACAAGGGGTGAAAGAAACCATGACATAGCTTCTCTATCTATGTACATACCCTAAGTTCCATTCTTCTCCCTAATCCTATCACTAACCAAAATCAGCAGATCCAAATGCGGGATGAAAGAAACGAATGAAGCAAAAACACACGAGGTTCACAGTCAGACACACACCTTACTAGGGACCTGCCTCCGGTAGAAGACAGAGGAAGGCGGGAACTTGGCTTCGAACGTAGGAAGGGAGTGCAGGTAAATGGAGTAAAGCCCCTGATGACCCCTGAAGAACCTCTCCCAAAGAGGTGCAAGTGGCAAAGGACCCTTGGACAGGAACATGAAGGCCAGCTTTGGAACCCTCCTGAAAGGGTATTTCCGTATCCGTGGGACGAGTGTAGCCCTCCAGAGCAGCTCCTCGTCGCTCATCCTGTGGAGCAAGTTCGACGGCGGGGCTACAAACCGCTCGAGCGTCGCAAACGAGTCAGCACCGCCACCAATGCAGCTGGGGATGAAGCCGGACTTCACGGTGGTGACAACATTCTGCACTCCGAACCGCCTGATTGCGTAGATGCTGATGAAGGAGAACGCGAGGCAGAGGGATAGGAAGAGCAGGAACAACCGGAGCAACCGCAAGGGCAATCCCCTGGATTGAGGAGGGATCGTCGTCTTGATTGAAGGAATCGGAGGAGGATTTGAGTCTTGGTTGCTTTCCTCGAGTGATACCGCCGCTCGGGATTGCATAGCTGCCGACGGCGGTGGACGGCTGCGATCGGAGCAAATTCCACCTGTTTGCCGTTTGGATTCCGATCAAATCATCAGCGAAAAGGAATGAAATTTGAAACGATGAATTGGGGGAAGGGGCTGGGGATTGCTTACTGTGTGCATACAGATCTAAGGTAGAGCAACGAATCGGGAATCAAATGTGATCAGGGAAACGAGCCGTCGTCATCGTTTTCCCCCCTTCAATTGAACTACGGCGGCGGATGTGGTGGTTGTTGAGTCGAAGCAGGTTATCCGGCCGGAAGCGCGGCGGTAGGAGAGGGGAAAAGCGGAAAGGTGGCCTTGTTGGCGGTTGCGGCCACCGGGGGTCCGGAAATCGTTGAGGGAATGTTTCCCTGCACGCCGATTTTTTTTTTTTATAAAATTGACGACGACTGTTCTGTTCTTTCTAATTTTTTCCCGTTTTCTTCTTTAACTTATTGTTTTTTAATCATTATCTCCGCGAATTTGGTGAGCTGGCAGGACCTTTGACCCTCTTCTCTCGTCCAAATTGGTGCCAGTTGACTAGCATCAACAAAAGCTGACTGCTGACACCATATATATATGATACTTGTATTGTATACAAAATTGTCACCTCATTGATATGATCGACAAATCTCAATCTAAGATCGCGAAATCGTGTAATTCGACAACATTACGCAAACTGATGGATTCGGGTTCATATCCTAGAGGAACCACCACAATTGGCCAAGAGAATCACATGAACATCTGCTTACAGAGACAACAGACGAGTTCATCAGAGTTTAGAAACACACTCCTGAACAACACTTGGAAATCAGATACACGCCCCACTGACGAATGTAAACAGTAATTCCCCACCCCTTCACATGAGTTAGTTTTTATGTACCCCCAAAGACAGTAGTAGCAGCAGTAGTATGCAATTAGCAGATGATGCATCCAGAAAAGTCGGAGACCGATCATTTCCACTTCGCAACCACAAATCGGGATTTGAGGTTCGATATCATGACCGAGCACTTCCCCTTCTCGTCGTACTCCATGAATTCCCCGTCGGACAAGTCAACGTCCTCGAATGTGGTGCCTGCAACCTGCAAAAACCACAACAACTCCTAACATCAGTGACACCTAAATCTCAAAGAGCACACATAAGCCCTGACTCTAACCTCATTAAGCAATAGGTTGTCCAATCAAAATCTAGTATTGCTCATGCTGGAAATCCATGAAGGATACTAGGACTTAATTCCATGAAAATAATAAATTTGCTGTTTGTTAAACGTCTTGTTTTGTTAGAGCCTCTTCATTGTCTCTCCAAACAAGGATACCAGATAGCATCTATAAGCAATCATGAAGGTCCTTCTAATGACTCAGAATCCAGTATTGGTATTCAAGAAAATCTGCGTGTACGCTAAGTTGAAACTCCTCTACACCATACAGATCAGGTACAGTGATACAGCAGCCAGACAGTGTCACACAGATCATTTACAAATACAGAGTTATGCCAACTATCAATCACGTTGTGCAAAAACAAATACTGAGTGAACTGATATCCGATTCACAACTCAAAAGCATAGCCAATCTACTACCAATCACAAGTCCACATTTCCTAGAAAAAGAAGGTTGAGCGAATCCGCGAATCGAACTTCGATTTGCCACAAAGCATACAGAACAAACTGAACACAGTTTGAAACTATGCTTCACGCATACAATAATTACAGTACTCACTGATCCACTTACAATAAACAGACCACACTCCCACAGCAATATACCCACAAACCAAGAAATGCTGTTTAGGAACGGAAATAGGATAAGAGACAGCACAATTAATCAGAGAATGGAAACTTACTGTTTCAATCATCCATCCACCCTGAAATAGAAATCCCACAGGCTCGTAACCTCGGCAATCGAACATCATCAGCCCCGTATACTTCCTAGCTTCACTGAGTCCCTGAGTGAGTGGTTTACCTTTCCCAGTGACCAAGGACACGGTTCCTTCCCTCTCACAAAACTTGCACTGTGGAGAGTGAAATGCAGAAGGACAAAAGTAACACATCCATCCATTATAATGAAAAACCAGCAATATATTCAGCGATTCAAGTCTTCAAAACAACTTAGCCAAGAATCTAGATACCCATACCAAATAGTAAATTGCAGTCTGAACTGCCTTTAGCTACTGTAGCAATCAGAACTACTCTATGCGTACTGTTTATCAGATCCATCCTCCAAACCAATACTTAGGCTTAAGCATGCTAAACTCACAAACTGTTACGCTTCAACAGATCGTGCATATCGGATATCAAACACGGTAGAAAATCTCATAACCACACAATGAAGACGAGACGGACGAATTGATAGAAAATTTACAATCGGCAGCGGTTAATTACCTTCTGAACAAGATTAGCAGTCCGCTTGCTCCCAGGAATCTGAGCCGATCTCTCCAAAGCAACACAAGTCTCCTTCTCGGTGAGCTCACCGCAGCTTCCGCATTTCAACTACAACATTACCTCGCGTCAGAACAGATACACTAACAGGCCTAATCGTCGTTCACAGACTAATCCGCACAAACAGGCGCTCGACAAAAAAAAAAAATCAGACGAAGACGAAATAGAAGCGTCTCAAGCGAGGAACCAAGCGAAAAATCGATTCAGTAACGTAGAAAACCCTAGGACTTGATGAGCAGACGTTTACAGAGCTTATCCGCCGGCGGAATCGCGGAAGAGAATGCAGATAAAAGAAAGAGATATGGAGGATTGAAAAGGAAACCTTGAAGAGATAGTAGAAAGAAGGATCGTCGCAACCGCCCTGAGGCTGCAGAGTAGCGACGTTCTCAAACTCGGCGGTGATCATCAGCCAATAGTTCACCATTATTTCCTTCCCTCGCCAGTCGCCAGTAGTCGAGCACTACGAGCACGAGCAAATGAAAATGATCAGCTGCTATTTATACAAAAAAAAGTCACAGCAACAGAACGTCCACCGCTATACTGGGTCGATAGAGTCAGCGACCGCAGCGACTATACTGGCGTAATGGGCCGGATATCAATGGGCCGAGTTGCTACAGACTGGCCTGGGCTTGGACATAGAGATAGGCATTGAGTTAGTGGGCTTACATGCACTTCATGATTTGATTCAAGCACCATCTTTGTGTTTTGAGCATGGTTGTCACGCCGGCCGGCGTGCCACTGGTTCAACTTGTGCTGGTCATAAAATCGGCATGACATCACCGGTATGATCGGCATGATCGATATACGAATCTCCAAAAAAAATTATCTTATCTTAGTGAATTTAATTGATAAAAAGTAGTTTATTATTTGTTTTATGTGTTAAAAAAGTTAAATGTTGATGTTATTTGTTGGATTCAAGTACAAATATTTAGGTATTTACGTTAAATGTCATGTTTAAATATGAGTATTTGTAAATTATTTGTAATATTAACCGGTATGAACCGACACAAACCGGTATGTACCACCGGTCGAACCATTCCACTTGCTAAACAGACACACTGGCATAAACCGGTTTGACAACCTTGGTTTTGGGTTTGTCGATAGTTTTTTTTCAATCTTGACCCAAGAGAAGAAAAAAAATCTCTTTTGTCAACCTAATTAAAACCGAAACAACCAGCTAGCTCATAATCAGTTTATGCAAAATCAATCCACTCCATCCCCGTGAATAAAAGATATGGGGAGATGAGAAAAACCAAAATTGAGAATCATCTCCATGTTTAGGTGGAAGGTGCGTCATGCAAAATCTCCATGTCTACGCAAAAGCGAACATTCTCCTTACAAAATGCAATTCAAGTGCGTTTTGGAGCGAATATATATAAGCGGTCGTCAATAACAAACAAGTCTGCATATTGTAAAGACAGACAAAAAAAAAATGGAATTAGTACATATCCTATTGATTGTTTTGGGAGGAGCACTAGTACTGGGAAATACTGTCGCAAGAGGAAGAGAAGCGGTGACAACCATTCAGGTAAAAATTTAACTAAACGTTCGTTCTGAAAATTGCTAAATTGAGATTTTTAACGGATTAATTAATGTTCTAATTTCTAAACAGAGCGAGGATGGAGACGTGATCGAGTGCATCGCGATACAGAAGCAGCCGGCATTCGACCACCCTGCCCTCAGAAATCACACCATCCAACTGGCGCCGACTCACGATTATCAGTCGGGAAAGCGACGACCGGAAAAGCGTCAGCCGCTGGCGCCGCCGCAACCGTGGAGGAGAAGCGGCAGCTGCCCTCACGGCACCATCCCGCTCCGCCGCCGCCGTCCACCAAAGATATCAACGGAGAGCACATCAGCCGGCCAGTTATTGCTGGAGGAATCGCCGAACTACATGAGGAAGAACCGTTCGGTACACGTACCGCATTACATTACATTATATGAACATTGCCTGTCTTTTTTTTTTTCAAAGTGGACCCACCTTATACGAAATCGACTAAACTAAAACGAAACATGCGCGAGCAGAGGGCGGTGTTGATGGCGGCAGGGTACATCTACTCAGGGGTGAAAGGTGACATCAAGGTGTGGAACCCTAACGTGGAGGACGACGACTACTCCGTTTCCCACGTCGGTCTGACCAGCGGCGGCCGCCACGACTTTGAGAACATCCGCTCCGGCTGGATGGTAATCATTAATCAATTACATAATTAATCATTGTTATAATTTGCTTAACAATTGTTTTTAATTTTCGTTGATTAATTTTCTCGTGCAGGTGAATCCGAAATTCTACGGGGATAGGGTAACTCGGCTGTTTGTGTATTGGACGGTATGTGGTTAAGAGATTAAATTCCAATGTTTCAGTTTGCGTTGCGCTCGAATTTACTACAATTGGTGACTAAGGGATGACAATGGGTCGGGTCGGGGCGGGGCGGATAATGCATATTCGTTACCCTACTCAATGTAGTTCGGGTTTTACCCATATCCGTATCCATACGAGAAACGGGTAGAAAATCAAAACCATGCCCATACCTGTTCGGGTTTCGGGTATCCACGGTTATCCATAGGTAATAATTTCTCCTTATAATTTCAACCAATATGTTAACATTCACACGTATACTCACATGACGTAAGAGGAAAAGTACGACAATAATTCACTAGAATGACGAAAATTAATTAAAACAACATAATTTCATGAAAATATTATATTTATATGCTAAATATAAAATATTCTAGAGAAAAATAATGATTATTTATAGACAAAATACATATGCATGTGTATAATCGGGCGGATTCAGGTTGGATAGTGAGATAACCATGCCCACCCATTACCCGCAACATTCGGGTTTGGGTTTTACCCGTACCCACGAAAAATGCTTTGGGTTCGGGTTTTACCCTACCCGATTAGGTCGGATTCAGGTGGATATCCACGGTTACGAATATTTTTGCCATCCCCAGTTGATGTTGATTTAATTGTACTTTGGTTAGGTGGATGGGTCGAACCAAACGGGTTGCTTCGATTTGAGCTGTTCGGGATTTGTGCAGACGAGTAAAGAGATAGCGTTGGGGGCAGCCATTAATCCCATCACTCTGCCAGGTGAACTAACGTCTGAGATCACCATTTACATCTCCAGGGTCAGTAAAAAGTATTAAAAAAAAAATCCCACTTTTGATTTATAATTTGCTTGGAACAATTTTGGTTTTGCTATTTGAAGTGAATTATTATTTGATCCGCAAATTGACCATTCCTAATTTCTCTACGTCAGGATGCAGTGACGGGGAACTGGTGGGTGGAGTACGGCGAGGGCACCTACCTTGGTTACTGGCCGCGAGAGCTGTTCGGATTGCTGGCCGCCGGCGGTGCAGAAACGGCGGAGTGGGGAGGCGAAGTTTACAGCCCGAAATTGGGGCAGCGCCCTCACACCACCACGGCGATGGGCAGCGGCCGACCACCGGACCCGGTTTGGGGCAGCTCGGGCTCCGTCAAGAGGATCCGAGTTCTCGAAAACTCCGCGGAGCTGAGGTTCCCCCAGTACGTTTCCACCTACACCGACGAGTTCAACTGCTACGACGTCGAGTACTGGTCTGACTACATGCCTGACCCTGAGTTCTACTATGGCGGTCCCGGCAGAAGCTACAAGTGCCCTTGATCGTTGTTCTAGGTTAGCGAATTGCCTCGGTTTTCGTAGTAATCACAAACACATTTATCAGTACTGAAAACCAGCAAAGATTGGAATTTGGAAGTACATTTTTACTCTAGGGGACACAGTTTTCATGTCGATCGATCTCGGCAGACACGCACGGCGTATCTGCATTCCAGAATAGCTTCTACTAAAGGCAATGGGGTAAAAAAAAACAACAACAACAACAATAATCAAAGAACAGCAAAGATTACATACCGTTACCAGAAAGATCACTCTAGACAGGTTCATTTTGCTTCCTCTCTTCTTGTATGGACTGAAAGATCCGAGCTGCTGATTCGGTTGCAGACCTGGAGTTATGAGGCACGACCCTGATCACTCTAGATGCGTGGGCTGCTCGTTGAGGAGGAGCGCCAAATGCAGAAGGAGCTCTTGGGAAGAGATGGAGAGGTGCATCGTCGGTTCTGTCGCCTTGGTGGTGAATGGTCCCGGCTACTTCCACTCGCTCGCTAATGCTACTCGCGGTGCTTCTTTGCAGCTCGGATTCTTTAGTGGATACTCGAATCTCCGACACCGAAACAGCACCACGCTTTTGTGTGGCTAGTTCGACATTATGTTGAGCGTTAAAATTCGCGCCACTTCCAGATAACTGACTGATTTGACCATGGGAGCCTGATCCAGGGAAGTGGTTCGGCTGGTCAACTGCTGACCCCGAGAGAGCAGAGTTCATCATCGAACCATACGGAGGGAAGCAACCCATTCCTTGTTGGAAATAAGTTGGAACGCCGTAACCTGGGTTCATGAAGTTGCCCATTACAGGAGGAGGGCCGTATGGTCCATATCCTCCACCACCAGGTCCCATCGGTCCAGGGGGTGCATAAGGTTTGTACACGAGTCCTTCGGTAGGTGACATGACGGGGACCAACCAGTGCTGGCCAGTGGCTTGGTGGAAACTCCATGAACTCGTCGTGTTGTTGCTGTCGGTAATTGCTGGAACTGGAACTTGGTTTGCTGCATGAGGCAGCCTGTGGGTTGATGATGGCTGACTGTGGTTTCCTAGAGACTTCCCAACTACTGCATTCTCTGCAGAACCTTCCATCTTATTATTGGTAGGTTCTTGCGAATCGTCTTTCCGTTTGGTACCACGTGCCGGCTGCAGCAGGACATACTCGGTTTGAAGCTTCTTCATTGGGGAGCCTGGAATGGAGGATTTTGTGAGGTAGTTGCTCTCATCCACCAAGAGATGTGGAGAACCAGCAATATGCTGTTGAACCTACATAAAAATGTGAAAAGAGTTTTTCCATTAATACTGTCCATGGCCATATTTTTCGGGATGAAGAGTAGCTTATGTGCTGACAGAAGCTAGTTAAACTCATAATGTTAGAACGAGTTACCTTGATGAGTCTATGCAACTCAAACACTTGAACCGCAAAAACTCTTTGTTGACTGTAGAGAGAGTAACAGGAATTGGATCATGAACAGAAAATTCGCAAAATGGTTCACAAAGAGAACTCAGGTACGAGCAGCAAAAATGATGAAAATAGTTTAAATGTCAACTACCAATCAGGTTGAGTACAGCATTGTTACGAACTGATATGAATAGACATTCAATTAGACCAGAATGACTGCTCTTTTAGTCTATCAGACTACACAAATTCCTTAAATGATCGACACCAGACTCCAGAGGCTGAGTTTTTCACGTAACACAAATGTAATAGGCCTCCAGCCTTGGCCAACCCCTTGTCTATATTCACATACCAACACACTTTCTGAAAAGAACTCATGGCCAACTAGATAACAAGAATCAACTGTCCACAATTCTTATACCATGGAAGAGAGAACTTGACATGTAGTGTTAGTGGCTGCGAAAATTCAGATATAAACAGAGGCCATAACAGTATATCCAACACGAGAAGATCAGCTAGGAACTCAATTTTTGAATTAAGACTATGCTGACACATCGTTTGCATGTCTGCTACTTGCAGAAGTTTTATAGGAAGGATAAAAGTAGCTCACTCACAAGCAGCGCTCTGCGCATGAAATTTTTAAATAATTGACGATGCACGTTTCCGAACATAAAACCGAAACAACTTTCTGCCAAGCCTGGCATTTCTATAATAGAATTCTCCATTTCCTCCCATCTACAACTCACCTAGTGAAAGCTCCAGGGACCATCTCACCATATGTTGGTTTCTTGGTAAAGGCCCTTGAGGATAAGAAATTATCCCGATAGTAGGGATAACATGCAAAACCTATCGAAGATAGGAGTATAACCAAAGAAGAAGAAAGTACTAAAGAACTCGATAATAAGACAATCTACTATCCGGGGGCACCTTGAACAAAGTACCTCAATCACCATTATCCGTACCCCCTGCCGCAAGAACTTCCACATTGAAATGATAATCAAGGGCTGTGGGCACCAAAAACACGCCAGATTGGATGGATACTCCCCACTATCTAGTTCTCCCTTGCCAATGACCAGCTAATTGCTAAACAGGCAATCAATTCAATCCTACAGTTAGCATTCTGCCTGACATTTACACAATCTAACTAAGTCAGATTGTGTAAATATGAAGAGAAGTAACCCAAGAAACAAGGAAATGAGGAAGTCTTCACACGCCATTTACTGCTGTGGAACACGTATGGAGCAGCCAAATATTCCTCTAGACAAAACTGAATAACAAATTTGAACTACTTTTGTCTAGACAACCTTATGATTGCTTAGAAGCAACTCTGACAAAGGGAGGACCAGACCTAGCACTAGTTCAATCACCATGGAGATAAAAATCACCAGTTTCAAGACTTCAGATGTGCGACAGTATATAGCATGAATTTGTTCCCAGATAACTAAACGCCTTCACATGACAACACACATGACAGTCTTGAAAAATAAAATAAAAATCCCATGATAAACTTGCATAATTTGAAACTATAAAACGGCAGGTCTCAATTGTTCATGCTGTGTTAGGATACTTACTTGACAATTGCTTTTCTAGCTTTCCAGAAATGTTTCTGACCAATCATATCCACAACATCATCAGGAGAAACATCCAAGGGTTCGACAGTGTCCACAATGGATGTCTCGGATGCATCATCACTTTTATCAGTATTTCTCACTCGTATTGACACGTCCACCGTGGTAACACAAGTGCCACTGCCCTCGTTGAGGGTACAGGGCTCTTCACTGGAACCCAAGCTGCCCTTCCGCACAAGAACATCAATTTTCTCTGTCTCCTTCGGCCGCAGCTCAGGAACAGCTCCACCTGGTGCACAGTCATTTGACTGCAACCATGCAGGCTGTTGTTGACTACCTTGAGAACGTTTTTTTGGCTGTTCATTCGCTTCGTCCCCAGACTCGGTAAAGTTTTCTCTACTCTGCATATTATCACTTGGAATGCATGGGTTTCCTCCATGTCTCGAATGGGGGTCAATAGATGATGCACATGCACCATTATCACCGGCATTCCGAGCTTTATTGCGATGACCTGAAATCATCGAGCTAAATGGAGCTAGCTCTTCCACATTAGAATGTTTTCTCAGCAACTTGGACAGACCTGTATGAACAAATACTGGAACAGTGAAATCATCTTCATCTCCAGCCTTCTTCTTCTGCTCACGTGGCGGTAAAGAACCGTTCGAGTTCCCGGCACTGGGCTGGAAAGAATGCAGTTGATGAGCTAGGGTAGGTGGCGATGATAAAGTCCTTCCAAGCCCACCCGCCTGCACATACATGATTCAATCAGTCTGATGAAACTTCTACAATCTCATCTACCCAGAATCTACCTGTATTCGATCAAAATTCAAAATCCCTTAACAAAACAGTGGGAAAACAGTACCTGGCTGGAAGACCCAGGAGGAGCCAGGTTACTTGGTGTACGAGGCAAAACCCCAGAATTGAACCTTTGAGAAGGAATGCTAAGCTGCTCATAAAGGGCCATCTTGTTCCTTGGAGGCGCTCTCGGCCCCCCTTTCTCTGTATCATTCACATGTAGCCTCGGGAACAATGGCCCCATCATCTTCTCATCGTCTTTCCCTCTCTTCATCCCAACTCTCTCTTTCTCTCAATTCTCTATCTCTATCTCTCTCTCTGTCCCCAGCTATTCCAGCTCAGCCTTTGAATCAACCACCGGAAGAGCTAATTCACCGAACTAACTAAGAATCACAGAATCTGAAGCAGCAACAAACCTCGAGTAATCCAGAACGAACCGAATCTCAACTGGGTAGTAGTGATCAGGATTCCAGAAGCGACGCCGACGAAAAAGGAGAATTGGATGCTTGAAACAGCGACGGCGGCGAGAGACCCCAGCTGCCGGCGAAGGGGTTGGTCGAGAAAATGGAAAGAGTGGGAAGAAGAAGCTGAAATTAGGAGGGAAGAAATCGAAATCGGGAGAGAGAAGTGGGATTCTGGGAACGTGGGTTGGGAAATCAGTTAGGGAGAGATTTTCGGCTTGAGGAATTGGTAAATAGAAGAAGGGCGACCGACGGAAACGGGTCGGTGAAGGAGAGACGAGGGATTTCAGGGAGGAAATGGAGAAGAAAGACAGATGAAATGAAAAAAGAAGAAAACAAGTGGTGAATGGAGGAGAAGGCGAAAAGGAAAGAGAAAGAGAGCAGAAAAGCGGGGCCCATTTGGGTATAGATAGACCTGGAAGAAAGAAGTTGATTGGCCCAAATTTAACTCACATCGTACAATGCGGATGGGCCCATATGGAAAATGAAGGGAGCCCAGCAAGGCCCAACAGAAATAGCCAATTAAGGGTGAAAAACTGAAAATTGTTATTACTAATTAAATAGTAATTACTTAAATAAAATTTAGATTTCAGATAGAAATTAGTTAAATTTGATTTTCCATTGATGGAAAGTAATTAAATCAATTGTCTCACTTTCCATTTTATTTCCATTTGGACAAATGAATGACAAACAGCCGATTTCCGATTCACCTCATTTTCTCAGCTGTATATATACGGGTAACGGCCGGTGTGATTTCCCTCGCCTTCTGTTTGTTTGTTAGTGAGAGTCCGCAGCCGGGGAAAACCCAAATGGAGACGACTTAGCAAAATCCACCGGCGAGGGCGAAATTCAGCAGTGGGAAAGTTGCAAAGAAAACACCTGCACACTGCAATCTTGACGGTTACTTGGATGAAATGGCATCGTCGTCTTCTTCTTCTCACCCGCCGCCCATTCCTCCGGTTCCGGACGCCGGTAATCCAATTCCTCCATCGCTTTTCGCTTTCTTTCTGTTAGCTCGCCGAGCAAAGAAACGGGAATGGAGTTCAATTGGAATCCAAATCCCTTGATTTCCTTATCGCGTTTAGCTTCACTGTTTGCCTGAACTGTGTGGAATGATCGTTGTTTCGTTAGCGAAGCCGATTAGAGATTTTCTTGGTGCTTGACTTGATGACTATCTTGCGTTCGCAGGCGGTGAAAACCTAGATCACGATGCTCAGTTCCCGCCGCTTCCGGTTCTTGTCGTCACCGAGCCTTCTCAACTTCCAGTTGAGTTCCTTAACCCGTCGCCGGACCATGAACTCGTCGTCGGCTTGGATTGTGAAGGCGTTGATCTCTGTCGCACTGGAAAACTATGTATTGTGCAGGTAAACGAATTGTAAAGCTGGAAAACCGCTTCCGACGTCACTCTGCTTTCCTGCGTCTTCGTTTCTGTTAGCGTGCGTATAGATTCGGTAGAATCTTCGAGCTTCTCTGGTTTGTTAAGTGTGGAATCCCTTTCTTGCGTATCTTTCCCTACGAACACTGCAGTCCAATGACGAACTATATTCTCTGTTTCTTAGCCTTTATGCGTCCTTGATTCTGGTAGAGTGTGTATAAATTCTGTTGAATCTACGAGCTTCAGTGGTTTGTCAAGTATGGAGTCCGTTTCTTGTTTATCTTTCCGTGTGATCCATGCAAAACCAATAATGGACTCTAATTCCTTGTTTTTGCCTTTCCACTGGTATTATTTCCTACTGGCAGCTTGCGTTTCCAGATATTGTCTACATTGTTGATGCTATTGACGGAGGGAAGGCAGTTATGGAAGCTTGTAAGCCTGCACTGGAGTCGAGTCACGTCACGAAAGTGATTCATGATTGTAAAAGAGACAGTGAGGTCTGTATTCAGTGATCTTATTATGTTTCTTGCAGCTCCTTTAGATTGACTGCTCGCTAATATTCGTGTTTTGTTCTGCTGATCTTTTGCTGTAGGCATTGTACTTTCAATTCGGCATTAAGCTGCATAATGTCATTGACACTCAGGTAATGCTATTCTCAACTTGCTGTAGGCCTGTATCTAGTAGATGGAACTCCATATCTGAATTATGCTGCCTTAAGAGCTGTTAGATTCTTGAGTCCAGTCTACTATCAGTTATAGCAGTTCAGTAAATGATACTAGATTCTTCAATTGTTCATCGCAAATTTTCTGTATCCACTATTCTTTTGTCAGATGGTCATACATTTTTATTCTTGCTTTTGTAGATTGCTTTTTCACTGATAGAGGAGCAAGAAGGGCGGTACAGAGCGCCAGATGACTACATATCTCTTGTTAGCCTGATTGCTGATCCAGACTATTGTGGTACTTAATGTGTTAGAATTTATCATATCCATTCGTTATGGTGTTGAACTCGAGTCACAGCTAGAATCATGTTACAATGCTTGCCAAAGTCCTTACTGGGTGATGTAGAATGTGGTTCCGCAGTGTCATGCCATTGCATTCTGACCTTATTTGCTCTTAGTGCTTTATGAATGGTTGTAATCACGAGCAACGTTTTCACATTCCATACCCCTTTAATGGAGCTTGAAAATGCACGCTTGCACTGAAATTGTTTAAAAATTTCTGATGTCTACTTCTTGCTGTAAAATTGTGTTCATGGGTCATGAGTGTTAATTAACCTAGCAGGTACCTGAATATAATATAGTTCCATGATTGTACTAATGTTATCTTTCAATTGATAGTAGTTGTTTACTTTTCACTAGTAGCAAAGCCTTCCTACTGATCAATGAATGGCATGGATCATCTGATGTGGACTAGATACATAGGCTGAATGTGTTAGTTTGTACAAATGATAGTGATGGAGCGACACTGTTTTAAGTTCCTCTGTAGTCTGTACTAAAGGACCTAGTTGTCAGCTGTCAACCATTAATCAATTTATAAACCAACACAGCTAGTTTTGCGTGTTCATGTAAAACTCTATCTTCAATCTCTTTGCTTCTTCTGTCATATCACTCTTCATGTGCTTCTAAATTGTTCTGAAGTGAATGTATGGATATTTGCTTCATTCTCCTGCTCCAAATGAATGATAATGGCTTACATTACAGGAGTGGAATATGCGAAGGAAGAGGTTCGTCTTCTTCTTCGGCAGGTCAGTTAAAACATATCTATTCTTCGAATAGTTACTAATGGGTGAATCTCTTTGTGAAACTGTAGTTGACTTTCAGTAAACAATGTGTTAGATTAGGTTGTCATCTTTCATATTTGGCGTCATGTACTGTTAGATAATATTTTCTTGCTATTGGGATAGATTCTGAATGGCTTATGTGCATAAGGGTTGAACTCTAGTCACTAGCTAAAAGCATGTTACAATGCTTGCCAAAGTCCTTATTGGGTGATCTAGAATGTGGTTCCACTGTGTCAGGCCATTGCATTCTGCACTTATTTGCATCATTCACCTGTTTCCAATTGAATCACTGTATGAAGTTTATCTGACTTTTCCATTGTGCTCACTGTTTATCTTCAGGACCCTAAGTTCTGGGAGTACAGACCACTTTCTGAGATGATGATACGTGCAGCTTCCGATGATGTCCGCTTCCTCCTCCACATCTATCAGAAGATGAAGGAGAGACTGAATGAAAGATCGCTATGGTGCCTCTCTGTTCGTGGTCAACTTTACTGCCGGTGTTTCTGCATCAATGACAATGACTATGCTGATTGGCCACCACTCCCTGTACTTCCAGGTCAGTAGAGTGTACTTTCAGCTTTGTGTTCTGTATACTCCATCGATAACCATGCGTCCATACATAGTTAATTAACAGATATTGATCTATTTTTATCCTTTAGTCCTTGGTTGGCACTTTGTGGTTACCAATTTTGATACTTGCATTCACAGTGAACTTCATATTTAATTTATCCACTACTGTCTGCTTGAGCTGTATAGAGAGCAATGAAGGAAATGATGATGGCCCTGAGGAACAAATCCTCACTGTTGTCAACGTTCCACCCGGGCAAATGGGACTTGTAATTGGAAAAGGTGGATCTACAATTCGGTTCATAAAGGAATCCTGCAAGTAGGCTCTCTCTCTCTCTCTCTCAGCTTGATCTTTTTACCAATTCTTGCCAACCAGACACTTATGTTTCTTGAAATGGATAATTCGCAGTGCTGAAATTTTCATTGGAGGGTCAAGGGGTCCACCTGATAAGGTGAGATTTTCTAACCACCAATTCAGAGGCACTACGGTCTCACTGTCGATCTAGCGTAAAAAAGAAACTGCTGCTAAACATTATATGTTAGCAAAACTTGGTTAGATTTTACTGCAAGAACAAGTAAGACTGACAGAAAGTATACAAACTGAAAACAGGAGAGAACATAGAGTGGCCAGAAAATCTATGCGATTCACGAAATCAGAGATCATTTCTATTCCATCTGTTACCTTTTGATGGACATCATTGCGTGAGGCATTATTTCTTGGTTGCAGGTTTTTGTAATTGGATCCGTGAAAGAAGTGAGGAAAGGAGCAGCAATTGTGAGGGGAAGGCTGATCTCCTTCTACTGATTCGTGAAACTGACATGCTTCCTTCATCTTTGTTATAACCTCATCGTGAGTTCTCCCGGCTATTGCTACTACTTTCCCTTTGCTTGCTTTAACCCGTGTCGTCATTTTTGTAACCGAGTGCTCACTTTAGCCACATCGTCTGCTGATTTTCATACAGCTTGCTAACCGATCATACTTTGTCGGCAAACAACAATTTCCAGCACTCAAACTGGCTGGAACATGAAGCCGTGGCTCTGATCTGGGCTTTGAAGGAATAGCTTACTTGCTGTACCATTTCCAGTTCGGATGGCATTGCCAGTTTTTTCTTTTTTTCTTCTTCTTCTTTACTTGCTACTGGAGGAACAAACTGTGGTGAAACGGATTTCTCAGCCTCTAGCTATGTGCATTCTGCAGTAGTGTCATTGAAGGCTTGTCTCTGAGAGTTTTGGAATTCAAACTAATATCGAGTGCGAGTTATGACGCTGCTTGTACTACAGATCAAGAACCACCAGACAACTGCCTCACAGTTTATTCGAAATCAATTTGATAGTTGGATGCAGAATCCTCACATATTTGAATAAAACTTTACAAATCTCTCTTTCAACAGCAAACCCAAGTAAACTCGAGACAAGTGTGACCTCAAACAACAACAAATCATGAATGCCTTTTCGGATGTAATCGCCAATAAGAACACAGCAAAACCATCCACCCCTAAAAAAAATTAACCTTGTTGCCAAATGGAGAAATGAGCGTAGGAGTTAAACCGCGCAGCAGCAACGAAATCCATTTGCCATTACTTGAAAGCGCCAAACTGGTATTGTTGACTGCTGCCAAGGCTCGAGAAGAATTGGTCTGCTCCAGTTCCAGCATCAGGGGTTGACTGTGGCTGTGAAAATGCAAACCCAGACGAAGGTCCGGTCGTGAAACCTGACATGCCGAGACCAGATCCTGATCCCATTGCTCTCCCCATGTAAAATGCTGGGGGAGCTGCTGCCGACTTCTCCTTTTCTTCTTGTCCTCCACCGAGATCGCCCATCACTCCAACATCAACCAGGGATACTTTCTTGGCTGCATTAACAACAATGCATTGTTCAAATTGTCAGCGCAAGAAATATCTGAACACCATCATTCCACATTTCTTCTGTTTGATGTCCTCTCTTAGCTCCGTCGTGCAGTCAAAATATGTATAGAGATACATAGAAGACAAATAGACAAAGGAGCTCAAAAGAGATGTTACTTACGTGCAGATATGTTGAGATCGATTATCCCACGGCTTAATGAATCAGCCCAGATCCCAGATTTCACCTGAAAATTCTGCTTTTTTTCTGGAAGCTGTGTTGGATTCTCAATTGTGCCAGCATCACTTGCAGGTGGATTCTTAGTAGGTTCCGCAGTACCTGAAGTGGTACTAGAACTGAAATCGCCAAACAGATCAGATCCATCGAAACTGTTTATTGGGAGTGCAGCAAATGGGTCTACAACACTGGTAGTTGCAGAACCGAATTCCACAGGCTTTTTGGACTCCGGCACAGCTGGTGGTTCGCCGGCAGAAAAAAAGTCAATGGTTGATGGAGCAATGGAAGCAGGAGCGGGTATGGTAGGTTGAGAAGCAAACAGATCAACCTGAGTCTCAGCAAACACGAAGAAAAAAAGCCTACCACTTTAGCCACCTATTTTCTGCAAACTCATTCTACCTATAATTACAAATACGGTACGTAACATGAATTCTAAAGCAAACTCTCTCTTTTTGGCAGGTTTTGATCTCCAGCAACATTTGTAAATAGCCTCTTTTTCCAAGGAAAAGAAGACACCAATCACAGAGCAATGGTCCATATTTCGCTATTATGTTCAAAGAGCATATTGGATTGTATCTCGAATTTACGCAGGGAATTGAGGTGAGTCAATATCTAACCTGTGCTTGAGAACTTGGTACCTTGTCGACCTGAGGTTCTGCTGATACAAAATCTGCATCAGCAAACAGATCAACATCTGCAGAGCTGCCATTCTTAATAGAGGTTTCTGCAGGAACGGATGTAGGTGCATCCAAGAGATCCCCGACCAAACTCTGTCCAAACAGATCGACCTGGCTAGAGGTTTCGGCGGTCGACTCTGCCAATAATGGAAACAATATTCAAAATAATTAAAAATGTAACGCACCTTTCTAGATGGAACCTAGGAAATCTAGTTTGTAAGACGGTATCAAGATAAGTAAATTTTCTAATGGAAAAAAAGCCACTTACTACTTCTCGAATTTCCCCGAGGATCAAAATCATCATCCAAGTCATCATCGATAGCAATTGAATTTGGTTTACTAGTCTCTCTCAAGTTTGCTGAAGTTTTCGATTCATCAGGCGAAAACTTAAGCTGACCCTTGCTGAAGTAAAAGCAATTCAAACCGGAAAAATAAATGTCAGACTGAGAGATCAAGATGTATCCATCCATATCAATAGTTATGCAGTTATGACCTGATTTTTGAAGGGATTACATCATAACACACCAGGGTAGAATCTATGATTTTTACAGTATACTACAACCAGAATAACATAATACCCTTCAAATTGTCAATTGCAGTTCAATTCACACCTAAACGGATATGTAAAAAATCCTCCAACAGAAAGGAAACTTTGTTCCAAACCTGCGTAAGCCAGCAGAGCCCTTGTTTATGTTGCTTCCATTATTATCACCAACATCACGTCGTGATTTTACATATGCATCCTTATCGGTCTTTTTGTAGCTATCTTTGAAACCATCAGTATCTCTTCCGCCACTGAAGCCCCCATATCGATCACTACTCCTATAGCTGCTACTACCAAATGAGGCTGAACTTGCCTTGGAGGTGATTCCAGAAGATGAAAGACCAATATACCTAAGGATTGACAGGGAGAAATATTCAGAAAATAAAAAGCACTTAACAAAGCAAAGCAGATACAAGGTGTAGTTCCCAGTTCGTAAAGCAAAAAACTCACTTGTCACGATTGGCAGCAGCTTTATTCCTTGCTTCCTGTATCTTCTCCTGGTTATTCAGAAGGCCAATGATAGTTTCTGCCTTCTTCCTCACATTGATCCCCGAGTCCTTCCCACTTGGCTCAACATATTCAAAACTTGTAAGCGACTGAGCCCACAAACGAAAAGGATTGACAGAAAGTTAAAGAGCAAGTTACAGATCCACGGAAACCGAATGAAAACAAGAGTGTTAGTAGTAGTCCTCACAGAGATCTGAAAAGTGTGCTCTATAATATCATCCACGGCGCGCTCTGAACCATGTGCCACCAAATACTCTATGACAGACAATGCCTGGTGTTGAACCGAGTTAGTTAACACACGCACCGTGGGAAAAAATAGTTAACTGATTCAACAACTGAGGCAAGAAAGCTTTTCTGTTTCCATTTCAAACCTTGTAGACAAGACGCCAGTCCTTGCCCGTCTCCCCCAATCGTGTCCACAGCACATTCATAATCATCTGGCATTCAGTGCTGAAGTAAAATGATAGGACAACACATTAGGCAATCAACCTGGATTGCATGAATCAATATAAAAGGAAGGCCATAACAACATAGGAAGTAGAAAGTAAAAAGTACTGACAATTTCCTGGTAGCCATAGAAATCTCTTGCAACGCAGTTCCATGAGGACCCCATGGTTCATCGTTCGTGGCATCCAGTACCTTCAAAACAGGTAACAGATAATATGGAGCAGGGAAGCAAGATAGAAACACGGGAAGAACCGGAGAGCAAACCAGGTCCCTAATCATTCAATTGAAATCAACCCAGAAGAAAGCACAAGCATTGAGCTAACTACCTTCTGTTCAATTTCAGGAACCTTCAAAACCTTGAGATTCACTTCTCGCTTTCTGAAAGACAAGCCAGAGAATTAGCGAATGCGTCGAGAAAATAAAAGGGTGGTGGAAAAAATGGCGGGTGGGACGGGAAGCTCACATTTCGCGGACAGTCTGATCGATTACTTTCATGAAATCCATGGCCGGCGGATCTGTGAAATCGAAGAATAAAAACCCATAAATGCAATGATCATATATAAAACCCAGAAGGAGGAGACGTTAGATCTGCAGAGAAGGGAGCGATGAGGCACCTTAAAGTTCAGATCTTGCGAAGCAACTGAAAGGATGATGACGATGTTTAATATTTGAAATATTTTCAAATGATTTTGTTAATTGTCTTAATCATAATAAAATGAAGGGGAAAAAAACTAGTTTTCCGGTTAATCGAGAAGGAACGGAGCCGGCAAAGGGCTCCTCCGTTCCCCGTCGGTTCCTCCGATTGGGTTTGTTTCTTTTCTCCGTTCGTTTGGTTTTCGGTTTTGGAGGTTTTCCTTTTCTTTGCCCTTTCACCACCGCTCACTTTTTCGTTTGAATCATCTCTCTTTCAGTCTTTCCCGTAAGCTTAAGGGTGTGTTTGGTAAAACAACAAAACAAGCTGGCCGTGCGATAAGAAGGGTAAATTACAAGTTTGGTCACTGAAATTATTAAAAATTTTCACACTTGTGACTAAAGTTAGTTAAGTATTTTAGATTTGGTTATTCTTCGTTACCTTCCGACTTCCACTAATCTTCGTTAACGACGTCAGTTTTTTGCTGGCGTGGCTAAAAGAATTATCCAATCACCTAATTTTTAACCCAGAAAACTTTAAATTCCAACCACCATGTCATAAACCCAACCAACATGTGACTCGACCCCTCCCTCTTCTCCCTCTATTTCATTTGTGGCTTAGCGGCGACGCGAGATTTGGTGACAGAGGAGCTCAAAGCACCTTTTTCGGCTGAGGAGAAGTTGATTTGTCACTCACCGATGGGTAGTGTTTTTCCAGTTGGATCAAATAGAGGGAAAATAGGAAGGGTCGATTGGGTTTTATGACGGATTCTGAACCAAAAACCAAAATATGCTCCCAACAGCCAGACCATAAGCCACTCTCTTAACTACAACCTACTGAAACCCTAGTCTAGCCTAAACGAACCCTAGGCTCACAACCCAAACCCCCTATCTTGTCCCAACTCACACAAAGGCTGCCACCGCCTCGTGGTCCGCCATTAATTCGACCATTGCTCCACCATCTTCTCCTTCATGCCGACACCACGACAAAAAAGGAGAGGAGCCCGCTGACATGCAAAGTCCGGATACCAGATTTTTAGATTTGATGCTCGAAACCTGATCCATTCCACACTTGATTTTAGAGTTGGAAATTAGGGCGGGTGTGGTTACGCGCCCCACATTTTGCGTGTACCCACACCCACAAATTTACAATTATGCTATCCGTACCCTGCACCGCAGTGGTTAGTGGGTAACCTCTACTCACTACGGGTTGGGTGTGGTTACCCACAAAGATCCATTTTAGACATGGAGTTAAGACCGCCACTAACGTATTTGTTGCTCGTGACTAGACTATAGTGATATACAATTGTGTTGTTCGTGGAAATATAATTTTGTATATCGATCTTACTCAACGTGTAGATTTTTTCTTTTCGTGTTTGGTGGTCAACTTTTGTGTCATGGGAGTTGTGATTTCATATTTCACTGACCAGGGGTGGAATATGACAATTAGATATGATCTTGTATTTTATTTCACACAAAAGCAAAACACATACAAATAAAAGTTACTAAAGGTGTTCACTTTTAACAAATCAATTATTTTCCTCTCTCTCTCGATTATAATGTTTTATAAACGAAAAAATTCTCACATAAAATTGCTTAGGTGCATATTTGATTCTAGTGACTATTTTAATTTTTAGCCTCCCATTTTTCACATATGAAAATATTATTAGTAAATAAATATAATTAGTATGATTATTATGAATTATGTGGGTTAACTACGGTGGGTAGGAGGAAGAGAGTACCAATGGAGGAGGGAGAGAGTGCCTAGCGGGAGGGGCAGGATAGGCCAGAGCTGGAGAGAGGGATTTGTAGCGGTCGTGACCCTAACCCAGAAACACCAATGACAATGAGAATAAGAAGAAGACAACGAGGAGGGTGGGTTGGTGATAATATTTCGGATTAGGTTCTTGAATCTTGACCAAACCGAAGTAATTTTGGTTCGAATTCCGTTTGAACTATGGTACAAGTCGAGAACTTGGTATGCTCAATTGATTAATTTCGAAGAGTGTCTACCCTGATTTGTGATGAGAGAATGAATTAGTGATGATTGATGATAAAAAGGTAAAATACGTTTTGATTAAAAATATGTTTTGGGAGTCTCAGCTTCCTATTAACGAAGTTGGAGTTGCGTCACACGAGTAGGGCTGCAAATGAGTGGAGCTGCTTGCAAGAAGCTCGACTTTCGACTCGAAAAAACTCGTTCAAAACTTGACTCGTTTACTAACGAGCTGATCTTGAGCTAAACTTTTTGCAGCTCGCGAGCTAGCTCGACTCGGTGGCTTTTTGAGATCAACTAGTGAGGTGGGTCATTCAGAGCTTGTCTCAACTCGCAACATTGTGACTAGAGAGCCAACTCGATTACCGACTTATGAGCGAATCGATCTATATGAGTTTGATCTTGATAATTCATAGGATTGTTAAATTATATGTCTAGCCCTATATGAAGTTTAACATGTAGATTATGTGAGCAAATATGTCTTAATTAATTTTAGAAAGAAATTATGTATCATAGATTGCTTTGATACTACAACATAACTTAATTTTGAGTATTTAAAATTTATTAACTAAATAACATGATACCACAAAGTATAACATGATATTAGTTCATATTGAACTTTTATATATATATTTTCCATTTTGACTTTAATCACATGTATCATACATGACATACAAAATGAATATATCAAATACGACTCAAAATTTTAGTAAACAAGGTAGCTCCAAATCAACTCGGTTCGTCTCGCTAATAAGCGAGCCGAGCTCGAGCTCAACTCAATTATTAACGAGCGGAGCTTGGCTAAAACTCCGCTCCTATGCAGCCCTACACACAAGACATGTACATGCAGTTTTCAGGCCCACGGGCCCATATCCCCGTCTGCCCAAACCACTACCCCGTGCTCAGCCCAAGCCCATCGTTGTTGTTGGTTTGTAAAACAAATAACTGTGGGGGAAAGAGGAAACTGGAAAAGGAACCTGGAGGGAAGCACGAACAAGCATGTCGGAAAAGCAACGGCGACCCCCACGGCGGTAGAAAACGAAGCCAGCCAGCCAGCAGCACGACAGCGAGCTGAAGAAGAAGAAGAAGAAGAGCGACGAAAGCAGAAACCATAATAGTCCTCTCTTGCCTATTCACCTCTCATCATTGCAATTCATAAACAACGATGGTAACAATTCCGACAATCACAGACGAGTGCAAACAGTGAATGGCTAGGGTTTAGGGTTGCTTTTTTCGCTTGTGGCAGTTGATTTCTGTAAATCGTTGGGCGTTTGGTTCTAGTTTTCAATTCGCTTACACTTCCCTTTTCTTTGTTCATGGCGCGGTCTCAGTTCTCCATCGCAGCAATTAACGACACCGACTCCACGCAACAATGGGAACCCTTAGCTCCGACGAAAGAAGCTCAGGCACTTGTTCTCACCTCCATCCTCGCTTCCTTTTTGGTTTTAAGTTCACCATGAGCTCACATTCTTACCATTTGTTCGCACTGCAGGAATCTCATCTTACCCAGACTTACCACGATGGTCTCCTCGAATTGCAAGCGAAGCAATACGACAAGGCCCGCCATTTGCTGGAATCTGTGTTGAGAGACCCTCTAATCTCAAACGCCCAAGAGGTAGCACCGCCATTCTTATCTTCTCCTCTGCTCGAATTGTGGTTTATTTGCTGCTCTCATTTCATCCTTTCCCTTCAGGTGGATGGTAATGCAAGCGATAGTCATCTGCAGCAGCTCAGGTTTCTTCTCCTTCACTCCACACCCCCCTGTTTCTGCCTTTTATCCCTTTTTCTTCCTGTTGACCCTGACACAAGTTAGTTAGCTTACGGTTCTAGTATTACGGGCTGGGGTTTCTTGTGCAGGCGTATCCTGCTGTTTGTGATTGTTAACTAGGTTATTTATTCCCCACCTGCTAATTGGCAGATATTTGGCGCTAAAGAATCTCGCCACTGTTTTCCTCCAGCAAGGATCAGCACATTATGAGAATGCTCTTCAGTGTTACCTTCAAGCTGTTGAGATTGACACCAAAGATTCTGTTGTTTGGAATCAGTTGGGAACTTTGTCGTGTTCGATGGGTTTGCTCAGTATTTCGCGATGGGCTTTTGAGCAGGGCCTTCTATGCAGCCCTAATAACTGTAAGCATTTTCTCTTGTTTGTTTCACATACTCAAAGTGTGAGATCTTGTAGTTCAAACCCATGAATGATGCCTCGTATACCTCCTGTTTTCTTTGTGGACTCACATTTCTTGTAAGGATAAACCGAAATTTCTTCTCTCTTGAATTTTTTAACGCAGGGAATTGCATGGAGAAGTTATTAGAAGTTCTTATAGCAATTGGTGATGAGGTCGCTTGCCTTGCTGTAGCAGAGTTGATTTTGAGGCACTGGCCTTCTCATTCTCGTGCTTTGCATGTGAAATGCACTATTGAAGAGTCAGAGCTAGTTCCATTTGCACCTAGAGGTATTGATAAACTGGAACCAAAGCACGTCCGCCTTAAGTTCCTGGACAAGAGGAAAAGAACTGAGGAGAATTTTGACGAACTTGTAGCTAATAAACGGCTGAACCAGACCATTGAGTTGAAGCTGCATGGAGTTTCGTGGTGTGCTGTTGTTGATGCTCTGCTGGAAATCCTACATCCACTCAGTGGGCATGACACTGAGTTCAAACCTGACGAACCCCGCAAATCTGGGGATATCAGGTTAAGTATACAACTACCATCCAATTTAGATATCGATATGAGCTCTCAGGAAAAGAAAAGGCCGGTTGACTGCCCCTCTAGTCAATGCAAGCCTCTCAGCAATAGCAATTCCGAAAGAGTTGGTGCTGTCAAGGAAAGAGAAACAAATAGTTTTTATGAACAGCCTCATGAGAGGCGGAGTACTCGCCTTGAAAGACTTAGAAGTCGTAAACCTGGGAAAGAAGAAATGGATTTTGGTGACAGGAAGGATTTAGTCAGTGTTGTACTCCAGTATCTGGAGCCTTTTATTGTTGGCGCACCGTCCGGTGACAATTCTGAGCATGCGGTTACGTGTTCTGTTCCACGTACTGATGAGGCTACTTCACCTGATAGGGAACTGAATGATGTTTCAGCATTTGTCAAAGAAACATCAAAAAATTATGGTGCTTATGATATGGCCCACTTGCTTCTCGAACATGTTTCAACTAAAGGTATTATGTGTCAGGATGCATTGCCCAAACTCCTTGAAATGGAAGGGTTAACAAGAAATTGGGGGAAAGATAGAACTCCTGAGTGTAGTCTTTTTCTTGCTGAGGTGTATTATGACCTTGCATTTTTGCCTTCCATTGCTTCAAAGCTCTCGGAATTCATATCAGAAGCATTGTATCATCTATGCAAAATTGTGGAATCAGTAGCCCTAGACTATCATTCACCCCTAACCCTTGAAAATCAGGGTGGAAGTTGGTCTGATCGCTCTTGTTGCTCAGATCTCGTTTCTATTGATTCTTTGTCAAGTGAAAAATGCAACTTCTGGATCAGGTACTTCTGGTTGAGTGGGAAATTGTCCATCTTCGATGGCAAAAAGGCAAAAGCTTATGAAGAACTATCTGTGTCCTTGTCACTGGTCTTGAAGAGGGATAAAATGGGTGATTCTTCTGGGAGTCTTAAACTATCTTACCTCAAGGTCAATAAAGAGTTAACCCCAGAGAAGATTCTTCATGAAATAAATTTGTTGAAAGTTGATTCCCTGCTCGAGGAGACTGTAGGCGAGTTAATGGAGAAAGAGAATTACGTGGAATGCATAAATTTACTTGCCCCACTTCTATTCTCTGTGGATCATGTTTACCTTGATGTTTTGTCATCACCTGGAATAGATGATAAAAATGAGGGATTAACATGCATTGAGCTTAAAGCGCTGGATATATTAATTGAAGCTTCTGAGAAGGCAATCCCTATGGATAAAGAGGTACACTTAATGTGTCACCAAAGAAAGCTGCTAATACTCATGCTACTAGCTGGGATGGTCCAATTTAAATGCTCACAGCAGAAATATGGGTTTAATGCACTCTCCGCTTATGATGTAGTTCCTAAAGAAACTCCAGAGAAGTGGAATAATCTAGTGGTGCAAGAAATAAAGGCAATCTCAAATTCTGCAGCGAAGATAAAGAGCTTGGATCCATCTGTTGACACAGTGAGTAGTTGGTTAAAGTTCAAGGAGTGGATCTCTTTGTGTTCCGGTTTAATTTGGAAGGATGGTTTACACTCGCACTAAATTGTTCAGGAACTAAAACTTTTCTCTATAACCATACTGATGAGCTTTTCTTAGTTTTAACTTGATATATCTCATTTGATACTAGCTTTGTTGCGGTTTGTGTGTAACCCCTGGGCAAACAAATGAATTCTGCTTGCAGAGTGGCTCAAGCTGTCCCCTCAGTTGCATCAGTGCTTTGCAATCAGTGCTAGTAGCGGTCATGTGCCATGTCGTCATCAATTACCTCTGCAAGAAGTCCTGTGTCCCTGTTAATGCTGATGAGACTGAACAAAAACATGGATGCTATCTAGTTGATACATGTGTTGCATTCTGCAGACTTCAACACCTTGTCTCCTCCATTGCAGTCGAGACACAAGTGAGCCATATGTTTTTTAGCAGATAACTAACTTTGAATGCGTTTAACTTTCTGCCGTTATCAAATGTACTTAAAAGTTTAGGACCTAAATTCCAGGTTGAATTAATTGTCGCAATCCATGACTTGCTCGCTGAGTATGGCCTCTGCTGTGCGGGTGAGGGTGGTGAAGGCGGGGAAGGAACGTTTCTTAAATTCGCTATAAAGCATCTCTTAGCATTGGACATGAAGCTTAAATCCAACTTAAACTCTTCCTGCACGGAAAAATATCACCTTGATAAGCAGCATTCCCCAGGTGGACTCGGCAAATCAGCTGACAGAGAAATAAATATGGAACTGGATATTGATGAGTTGGAAAATCCCAAAATTAATGTTGCTGGGAATGGTGTTTCTGAAGTCGTTCATTCACAAGAAAGCAAGAGAGACGGAGTAGGAGACCGCGGAGACCGACAGGGAGATGAAGGGGATAAAAATGGTGAAAAAATCATCAAACACAGAAGTAAAATGTCTGAAGAGGAGATGGAAGAGCTTGAGTTAATGATAGATAATGCGCTAGATCAGTGTTTTTTTTGCCTATATGGACTGAATCTTAGATCAGATTCATCCTATGATGATGATCTGGCCACACACAAGAATACTAGTCGTGGAGATTACCAGACCAAGGAACAATGTCTGGATGTTTTTCAGTACATACTACCTTGTGCAAAGGCTTCTTCTGTAAGTCATCTCTCACTAGTTGTGCTGTGTGTGCTTATGTGTGGCATTTACCAGTTTGTTTGGACTCTTTGTTTCCCATTGCCAACATTTATTCAGAAGATGATCTTCTTGACTGACTGGTCCTGTCTCTGTGTCTCAGAAAACTGGACTCGTCAAACTTCGGAGAGTGTTGAGAGCTATACGCAAACAGTTCCCACAACCACCTCAAGATCTTTTAGATGGCAATGCGATAGATAAGTTCTTAGACGATCCAGAATTGTGTGAAGACAGACTGTCCGATGAGGCTGGATCTGAAGGTTATCTGGAGACTGTTATTAAGATTCTATTTCCTGATGCAGGAAATGTTAAGCAGCACAGATCATCAATGGTTAAGCGGTACTTTCATAACTTGTTCCATCATTCTCTTTCCTCCAATCATTAAGTCGGTTTTCTTAGTTGTGACATGCTAACTGCACGTTCATGCTTATTTCAGCTCTGATCCATATTCTGAGGTGTATTGTAACTTGTACTATTTCCTCGCTCTGTCTGAGGAAATGAATGCAACTGATAAGTGGCCGGGCTTTGTACTTACGAAGGAAGGTGAAGAATTTGTACAGCAAAATGCTAGTCTCTTTAAATATGATCTCCTTTACAATCCTCTGCGCTTTGAAAGTTGGCAACGACTTGCAAAAATTTATGATGAGGTTGGGTTTCTTAACTTTATTTCTGTCACTTGCCAATTTTCACAAGCATCTCCTTTTTTTAACGTGATCTACAATTTCTTCCATGCTTAGTTACTCAGGCAAATTGTTGCTTTTGATAACAGGAGGTGGACTTGTTGCTAAATGACGGCAGTAAGCATATAAATGTAGTGGGATGGAGAAAGAATGCAACTCTTCCACAGAGGGTTGACAGAAGTCGAAGGAGGAGCAGACGTTGTCTGCTAATGAGTTTAGCTTTGGCAAATACGCCATCTCAGCAGGTTTACCCTATTGCCTTGTATGCTGGCCATCTGCTCTTTTTCCTGTTTTCGTGCCAATATAGAAGTTTCTAGTTATTCTTTCAACAATTATGGGATCTCCTCCTTCGCACTTTAGAGCAGCTTGAGTGCTTGACTTGTTATGGTCCATTAGTAGATTCAGTTGAGCTATTTACTTCTGCGATTTTTTTTTTGTTTATTTAGTTATCGTGGGTGTATTGATCAGCTGATTTGTGCTTTACTAGTTTATTTTCTATCATCTTTGTTAACCCTGATGTTCATCTTTTTTGTTCTAGTGTGAGATACATGAGTTACTGGCATTAGTGTACTATGACAGCCTTCAGAATGTGGTGCCCTTCTATGATCAACGGTCTATCATACCTTCCAAAGATGCAGCCTGGATTGTGTTTTGCGAGAACTCCATGAAGCATTTTAAGAAAGCTTTCTCACACAAGTATCTCTACACATCTTACTTCCCTTCTCTTCTCCTTATAACTTCTGACCAGTTACAGTCTACATTGTCTGCTATCTCCTTTGCGCTTATGTATGTGAATAGTACTTCTATGCTTGTCTTGCAGGCAGGATTGGTCACATGCATTTTACATAGGAAAACTCTGTGAAAAGCTCGGATACCCATATGAAAGATCACTATCATATTATGACAAGGCTGTAGAACTGAATCCATCTGCTGCAGACCCTGTATATAGGATGCATGCCTCACGCTTGAAGTTGCTTCACAAGTGTGGAAAGCAGGACTTAGAAGCTCTGAAGGTTCAGTTTGTGTATTGTGGAGTTCTTTTTTGTTTGGTGACTCAATTCCTATAACAGCTATAGTTCTTCACTTCTGTTTAATCATTTGCTTAATGTGCTTTGTTTGTTATTATTTAGACCCTTTCAGGACACTCTTTCCGTCAATCAACAAAGGATGCCGTCACAAACATTTTTAGTGAAATGGCCTCTGTCATTGATGATACCTTCTCCGAGGACAGTAGCCACAAGTCAAACTACCTAGAAGAAGTGTGGCATATACTATACCATGACTGCCTTTCTGCTTTGGAAAATTGCGTTGAAGGGGATCTGAAACATTTTCACAAGGCCAGATACATGCTTGCTCAAGGGCTGTACAAACGAGGGTTGATTGGCGATCTGGAGAGGGCAAAGGATGAACTTTCATTTTGCTTCAAATCCTCACGCTCGTCTTTCACCATTAATATGTGGGAGATTGAGGGCATGGTCAGAAAAGGAAGGTAGGGCGTTTGATCTATTCCATGTGCTTTTGAACTGTGTTTTCAGCACATTGTTGTTGTGGTAATGTTTCTCGTTGGTAACAGTTTGCAACATCACAATAGTCGGTAGTTACAGAAGCTTGTTGATATATGATAGTCAGTTTGCAACATACACAATAATCAGTGGGTTCCTTTTGAAGTATTTGATTTCCCTTTCTTCCGCATCTCAGGCGCAGAACACCTGGTGTTGCTGGAAACAAGAAGGTTCTTGACGTGAACCTGGCAGAAAGTTCTCGGAAATTCATTACTTGCATCAGGAAATATCTGTTGTTTTACTTGAGATTGTTGGAGGAGACTGGAGACACTTGCACCCTTGATCGTGCTTTTGCATCTCTTCGTTCAGATAAAAGGGTATAGGAGCTCACCTGAGTACTGGTTACACTAGTCTGATACTTTATAAATCGTGCTGCCAATGACATGTGTATTCTTTTACTTACTTTGCAAGGGGAAACACCATTTTGTTTGAATTGTGTGCTACTTTCCCCTCTAGTTTAGGCGGTTTCTGATTTTGATGGTAGTTACCGGCATTGTTTTGGAGCCATTAAACCAGGCGCTGAATTCAACTTATGTATGCAGTTCTCATTGTGCATTGAAGATCTTGTACCAGTAGGTCTTGGAAGATTGATCAAGGCCCTTGTATCATCCATCCATCAAGCCGAGAGTGCTGAATCTTCTACTCCTGGCACATCAGAGCCGCAACTGGAGAAGTTATTCTCATTGTTCATGGAACAAGGGAACTTATGGCCAGAGATACTTTGCTTGCCTGAGACACAGAGCCCAGAATTTACAGATAGCAGCTTATATGGGTAAAAAGTCATTTCCAGCTTTAGATGCACAATGTTAACTTACTTTGTGGACTAGTTTCTGTGTCTTTGATAGTTTGATGTCTAAATTGTTGATATTTTTGCTAATGTTTGTGCAAGTGTTTTTGATGGCTGGTTGCTATGAATTTTCTCTTTGTTGCTACTCATCTGCAAGTCTAAACTTGGTGCTTTTATTTTCTAGTTATCTCCACAGACACATCACTTCGTTGGAGAGAAACAGCAAGCTCGAGGCACTTGAAGGGATAAATGAAAGGATTCGTAAGCGCTTCAAGAACCCAAAGTTGTTGAATAGCAATTGTGCTAAAGTCTGCCGACATGCTTCGGTTGCCTGGTGCCGCAGTCTCATAATTGATTTGGCATTGATCACTCCTATGCCATTTGGTCATGACGATACTTTGGAAAGTGGTCAACTGCTTGTGCTTGATGTACAAGCGGACGAGTTATGGAACACATCATCAGACATCACCACTCCAGAAAATCCCGAAACAAAATGGGGCTCGGTCTTGACTAAAATGAAGAATATAGCAGTTAAGAAAGCTGCAAATGGAGATATTGAGACTGCTAGCTCTTTAATGAAGAGCTGCTACAATTTCTATCGAGAAAGCTCATGTGGATTGCTTCCTTCTGGGATCAACCTTTACTTGGTGCCGCCAAAGTTAGCAGTGGATACACGAGGTGTTGAGCCAGGACAGGATGGAGTTGAAGTTCTTGATCTGAGCGTTCCTAGGAAACTTCTTCTGTGGGCTTATGTGCTTCTGCACGGTCGTTATGCCACCATTGCAGCTGTTGTTAAACATTGCGAGGAAAATATCAAGGTATGCGATGGAACAAATTTTGCATTGCAACATTCACTAAACATTAGTATGCTTCATCTTCTCGGTGATGATTTGGGCAATTTCTTTTGCCCCCCTTTGTCTTTTCTTCTCTCTTTCTCTCTGGTGCAGCCAAAAATGAAAAAGGGTGCTGGAACGTCATCAACCCCATCATCCCATTCGGGCCTTTCTCCTGCCAAACATGTCCATGCAACAGGTAAGAACTTAGCATGAATGCAGGTGTTTATTTTTAGGGTCAAAGGCATTTTTAGTCCCTGTTCTGAAAAAACCATGTACTACAGATTTTGACAAATAATTCCCTATATGATGTTTTTTATCGGTGTTTTAGTAGTCACTCATTTGAAAGTCTGTCCAAATCCATTACTAATTGCTAGGTCCATGCTATTATAACCACATCTGTGATGATTCTCATACCTTGTATGCTGGAAATCCTCCTTTCACAATTCACCCTCAATGCTACCCTTATTATCTAATGTTGGTTCCTTCAAGTCTCAAATGATGGATGCATCATAAAATGAGAAAAGTCACAGGATTCAAAATTCGAATGGAGGGGCATAACATGAATTTGTCGACATACATGACGTCTGAGCCACTCAGAATGTACTTACTAAGCATGGATTGATCATAACTATATCTACTTTGGTTGCAATTTGTAATCAAGGGACGTGAAATTATGTGATCTAGAAATACTAACCCTACCTGATTCCCAATCATTCCAAACCAAATTGATATGAACGAGTGACCACGGCGGTGTTAATGACTTCGAAAACTGTTCTTGTGCAGGGGGCGTTGTTGCAGGTGTGGAGGGAGTTAATAGCGATGCAGAAGCTGGTCGTGGATTCGGGGGATCTCCTGCAGTTCCAGCCACTGGAAGCGAGAAGAGACTGAATGCCGATTCAACTACCCCGGTTTCAAGTTCCCGGCAAAGCCAGTGTTGGAAGAGTTCAACGATGGACGAAGGAGGAGATCCTGAAAAAAAGTAATGTACGTAGCAACAGCTGAGGCATACGATACGAGGCCGAGTAATGTGTATAGAGAAGGCAGAGTTGTAGAGATTGGACTGTTAAATAGTATACAAAAATTGCTAAGCTGTAATGTTAAGTGACTTTGTTAGGGAAAAGTCCAGTAATTTAGAATGATAATGCACAAAATAGACAAGGTCTAATGTGTATATATTGCCTGTTCATGATTCTGCTACTGTTCATTTGTGTACCACAGTGATCCGAGTGGCCGTAGACGATTTTCGCAGTCCGATTGTACGATACAATGGTTAAAAATTGTTCTTGGTACTTCCACGATTTTGTTATCGTATTATACATTGAATCGATCGTCCCACCTGTCTAGGAAGCCTACTACAATATTACAGAATTTTGATATGAGGATTTTGGTGGTTTCATAGTTTATCAGTTCAATAAGCCATATCGGTTGGACCGGTTGAATTTGCGGCAACATAAATAAACCACGAAGAGAGCAAATTCCTGGTCTGGTTTGGTTTGACTAAAACGGTGCCGTTTGCTCGCTGGGAAGTATTTTTCCGAAAAGGCGGCTTCGACACTTGACTTGTTGATTTCGTCTTCAACCTGGAAACCGCTTGTTTGGGATTTCATCCTATCCTTTCGTCGGCGACTCAGCCAGAGGCATCGCCGGTCGCCGCCCCGCAGCTATCGCCACTGTTCGCAGAGATGGGACGAGCAATGTTGTCACCCTTTCTCACCCTTTCCAGCTCTTCTCCCCGCTTAGTTTCTTCCATGTAAGTCTGCCTCCTTCCCCGCAATGCTCATCACATTCTCTTTAGCCACTACTGAAAAACCGCTCTCTCTTGCAGCCGAGGATTTCTTTCCGGTCCCAGACGCCTCGCGAGTTCTCGCCGCTGCTGCTGCGCCGTTTCGCTCTCTCAATCTCTTTCTGATTCGTCTTCTTCTTCTTCGTCTTCCGATGCTGTAAGGTAGAACACACTAGAATTTCATTCTTTTCGTTTACAGAACCTGAACTGTTTAGGGTTTTTTGTAATTGAGCTGCCGGCAATGTCTTCTGGTTTGTAGGAAGAGGGTGGTTTCTGGAGTACAGCCAACGGGGTCTATCCACCTTGGCAATTACTTGGGCGCCATTAAAAATTGGATTGCTCTTCAGGTTTTAATTTCCTCTTGGACGCTGTTTCTGTTTCATAGAATGTGGCATCGTCGTTTTTTGTTACATTTAATGTTGCTCACAACCGTTTCTATTAAAATGCAGGAAACCTATGAAACTTTGTTCTTCATTGTGGATCTCCACGCAGTATGTTCAACACTCTTTACTCCACTTCAATATTATCAATGCTTGATATGCATTCTTCTGTAAATTATAAATCTTTGGCATGGTTGGTTTCTTTCTGTAAGCTGGCTAGTTATCCAAGGTGGTAGTTGTTTTTAAGTTCATAGACTATTGCCGTGCAGTAGTGGATTCCATGTAGTCTTGCTGTTGTGAGAACTTTGCCTTTAGGAACCGCTGCTCCATGCAATTTTCTCTGGTTCTCTAGTTTGAACAATAGTTACTCATTTTCCCAGTGTTTCGCGAACATCTCTCGTACATGTATCATGAATCCGTGATAGTCAAGTCACCTAAACCTTTTTACACTTTCTAGAGTTAAGGCGATTGTTTTCATTCAATACTTGTCACACATGGCTTATCTCACCAACAACTGCTTTACTCTTAAGCATGAATGGTTTATACTTTTCTGCTCAGATTACGTTACCATATGAGACCCAGCAGTTATCAAAGGCCACTAGGGATACAGCTGCACTTTATTTGGCATGCGGCATTGACACATCAAAGGTTCTGCATCTTTCTTATAATGTTATCTACTAGCATTGATTCACAAGTTAGGTTGGAGGGCAACTAAATACTATTTCGTTCTCTAATATGTGTACGTCCAGGCTTCTGTATTTGTTCAGTCTCATGTACGTGCACATGTAGAATTGATGTGGCTTCTGAGTGCCGCCACGCCAATTGGTTGGTTGAACAGGATGATTCAGTTTAAAGAGAAGTCCCGTAAAGCGGTGGGTTTATTGCTCTTCAATGTTCATATTCAATTAGCCATTCTGCTTTTTTTTTTTTTGTCAATGATTAAATAGTTTTGAATGCCTTGTTTCTTTTCGAGTTTGTGGTACCTGGAATTCTTATCAACCATTGTTTCTTGCTTAATTATGTCTTCTGGATTATCTGCACAATTTTTCATATTTATACATCTGAATTTAAGCTAAGCTTTTGGTTTCATTTATCCAGGGCGATGAAAATGTTGGTGTTGCACTGTTGACTTATCCTGTGCTCATGGCATCCGACATTCTCTTATATCAGGTGGTATCCAGAATTGTTTTTCACGTCCCACAAAAAATGTCTTATATAATCTATATATTGAAAATTTATGCCTCAAATATTGAGGGCCATTGAAGAGTCGATTTTTCATAGCATATTCTCTAGCTTGCATTTCTGCCCAATTTATTTAATTTTGATGGTATGATTGGAATTAAACCTGAGTACGCACAGTTCTTATAGATTGCAGCGTGCCTCTGTAGTCTGACTTTGTTCCAGTTGGGGAGGACCAGAAGCAACATCTGGAGTTGACTAGAGAGCTGGCAGAGCGTGTTAATCATCTGTATGGCGGAAGGAAGTGGAAGAAATTAGGAGGGTAAGCAGCTGTATTAATGGCTTATTTTGCAAGTATGAAATGTCATTAGACAGATTCTTTCTATCTTGGTACTAAATCATTTATGTTTCAATCGCAGGCGAGGAGGTGCTATCTTTAAGGTTGGTTCTCCTATATTTCGTTGATGCTCTTCATATTATGTGATAATTCGTAAGAAGTATCTTCAGTTTACTCTGATGTAATGTAGGTTCCTGAACCGCTTATACCACCAACTGGGGCCCGAGTTATGTCTCTCACTGATGGACTTTCCAAGGTGTGATAAACTTTTGTTTTCGTGGATGTGATTTTATGTTTGCTGGGACTAGCATATAGATATTACATCAAGAAGGGCAATATGCTTACCTGTGATACTTGTCCATCCTAGTAGTATTTTTAGTTTTGGCAGCTGATTGGCAGCAGGCTTAGTATCCAACTGGATATTTAATATTTGGTAAAATGGGAGTTATCTGGTCTACTTGTACCTTTTGGTCAATACACTGATACTTCACTATGGTAAAAATCTTTTAGATGTCAAAGTCTGCTCCTTCGGATCAATCGCGAATTAATCTTCTTGACCCTAAAGATGTGAGTATATGTTCACATAGAGCTTTGGAATTTGTTTGTGTTGATTCTCTTTTTCACCTTTAGGGTAGTTTGAGTTACATTTTGTTTAATAATGTTGCATTTTCTTTCCTGTAGGTCATAGTCAACAAGATCAAACGTTGTAAAACTGATTCTTTGCCAGGGTTAAAATCTCCAACTCTTCTTCATTCAATCACTTTCTCTTTCTCCCTTTCAAGCCCTCTATGAGCAATCTAAATCCACAACTTTTTGTTCCTTTGGGTAAAATTGTCCAGGATCGAATTCGATAACCCTGAAAGACCTGAATGCAATAATCTGCTTTCAGTATATCAGCTAGTTTCAGGCAAAACAAAAGAGGTACTTGAAATCATGTCTCACAGAAGTTTTAAGTGGTTTATCTTGTGTTGACGATGAAGAGTCTATTCCTTTTGGTTTGGTTATGATACGGTGTGTTTTCCTTGGTTGGCACCTTTCTCTTCACAGGAAGTTTCACAGGAATGTCAAAGCATGAACTGGGGCACTTTCAAGACTGTTCTAGCTGATGCCTTGATCGATCATCTAAGCCCCATTCAGGTCTTTTACATGATCCTTTCATGAATATTTTTAATCTTTGAACCATGCAGATACATTTACATAATAGCATGTGATTGAGACAGCTAACATGTCGGGTTCTTGCCTTCAACCAGGCTCGCTACGAGGAAATAGTCGCAGATCCGAGTTATCTGGATAGAGTATTGGAAGATGGTGCGACGAAGGCTTCAGATATAGCTGATGCCACCCTTAACAACGTTTATCAGGCAATGGGATTCTTGAGAAGATGACCACAATGTGATGATTGCTGATTGATTTTCTCTGCAGAGAGATATTGCAGGCTCAAAATTTTCACTCATACAAGAACATTTATCATTCATTTCCCCAGCTATTATCGGAATCATGGCCTTGAACATCACTTGAGCCAAGTGATGTTATGTGATTGCTCAATGATTTATTTATCATTATCACTACATGCTAGTCAGTAAAATAACTCTGGGGTCGTTTGGATGGAGCATTCTAATGAGTCAATTTGGTTCAATTGGCTCAAAATGAGACAATTGGACCAAATTGCCTCATTTGGCCACAAAAAAAGCAGATGAAGCAATTGAGCAGGGGGAATGTGAATTGGTCCATAACGAGACAATCTGAATTGTCTGGGTGGGGGTAGGTTTTCTAGATTGCCTCGTTTTTTTGTGGCCTTTCCCAAAGTTAACCTTTTAATTCTCTTTTCTATTTTATTTCCCAACTCTCTCTCTCTCTCTCTCTCTCTCACGCCTCACTCTGTCAAAGCATCCATCTCTCTTCTCTTTTCTTCTCTTCATCTTCCATATCTCTCTCTGGTTTTCTTTTTCCTATCCCCGTTAATTAGTTTGATTCTTGCCAACAATGGAAATAATATAGAGGGCATAATTACGTCTTCTTTCATCTGAATCGACGAACGGAAACAATAAGGAAATGAAGACAGCAAACGGTGACGGACATGGTGACAATCGACGCCGGCAACGACGACTACAACAGCGGCGAGGTCGGTAATTAGGGGGTTTTTTAATTGCATGTCTGGTGATTTGATTTCGATTTCTAGAGGTTATGCTGAAGATGAGAAGATAAAGGGTGGAGAAGTTGTCGCTGGCAAAGAACTTCGATGGCGAAGAAGTCGTCGCCAGCAAAGAACTTCAATGGCGGAGAAGTCGTCGGTGTATTTTTTTTCTTTTCTTCCCCTCTCCGTCGAAGTTAGCGACGACAGGTCTCGATTCTCTCTGTTCTTCTTTCAGGCAGTAAATTTGGTTGTTTAATTGGTTGAATAGGCATGGTCATGGTGATGAAATTGTTGATCTTTTTCTGGAAAGCTGTTGATATTTGTTCTGGAAATTTGTTCCTCCATCTATGAGTAAGAAAGGAAGATGAAGGAGGGTATAAAATGAGGGCAAAATTGTATTTTCCAGGAATATCTGATTCTAATTGTCTCATCTTATATTACAAGCCAAAAGATAGATTTTGGGACAATTCTCATACAATTGTCTCATTTTCAAAATGAGACATTTACTTCAAATTGACTCATTTTAGAAATGTTTCATCCAAACGACCCCTCTGTTTCGGTTTTACCATTTGCTAAAAAAAAAAAAAAAAAACTAAATCTCATTGAAATACGAAGTTATTACTGTTTAGGGTCGGCCCACTTTTAGTTTCTTGGACAGGGCCCAACTTGGGTATACTGGGCCAGGCGTACACCCCTAGGCCCAAGTACTGGGGTTTAGTTTGTCGGTCTCAACTGTTTTACTCTTTTCAGCTTCGTAGTTTCCCCTTTTGCTTCGTTCTCCCTCTGTATCAACGCACCAAAAGGCAAATAGTCTCCATCGCTGCTAGTTGGAGGAGTCGATCTTCGGCCGGCGGCGACTTCTCGTAATCCTCGACGAATCCCAATGCAGCTCCTCCGGCGGATCGCCTTCTTTCTCCTCTCCTTCGCTTGCCTCCACCTCGCCGACGCGAAGGCGCCTGCTGTGGCCTTCATTTCGTACTACTCCAAGTTCTGCCACCAAACCGTCCCGGAGTCTCCGGAAACCTCTAAGCCGGTGAATTCGGCTAGCGGCGAGGACAGGACTCTCAACTTCGACATTGCGTACTTCACTGGCGGCAGCCAAATCTTCCCAGGTAAATCCTCGCTAGACGCCGATGGAATCACGCTCTCTTTCCACCCCAAACGCCGCACTATGTTCGTCACTGAGAATCCCGACGTAATCAAGCTCCAAGCGACTCTCAAGTTCCACCTCCCTCCCCGAGGTTACTCGATGTGGCAGGGGAACAGGAATTTGAGAGAGATCCACTTCCGAGGGCCGAGAATTCCCGTGAGGACCAAGTCCGTAGGGTTCGAGTTCTTTGGCTTTTGGTCTAGGAAGTCAGGGGAACTGTGTATGGTGGGATCTGGATCCAGTCTTGGAAGCTCTCACGCTGCTGCGAGTTTTGCTCCTTCTTCGAGTGTTGTTCTGAGGCTCAAGTATCCGGTTAGTGATCCAGGGAACGTTAGTAGTTTGATTCTTGGCTCTTTGGAGAGTGTTAGCCCTGGAGGGAGTTTGGATTACTTCGAACCTGTTTCCATATTGGCTGTTCCTCACTTTAGTGAATATAAGTACTCGTTGATGAGTGGGGGAAAGGGAAATTGTTTGAGGAGAAGTGATGGTGGAATGGAAGAGAATCTTCCTCTTGAGTTGAAGGATCAAAGTGTATGCTTATCTCAGTTGTACCAGCATGCTAGGAGTTTCGAACTGGAGTATGGCAGCGAATGTAGCGATGGCTCGAACAGCAGCAAATGCAATCCTCTTACTGCTGATTCTCAGGGTTTGCCTGGTTTTATGACTATTCAAGGTATTAGATGTGAACCCAACCGTGGTATCAGAGTCTTAGTTGGGTTTCATAACTCTATTGAATATTGGTCTCGAGCTTTTGGTTATGGCAGAGTTTTCAACCCGAATAGTATGCTACTCGGTGAGGGAGCGTGGGATGAAAAGGAGAATAAGCTCTGTGTGATAGCATGTCGAGTCTTGGGTTTTAACCGTTCCTTGCATAATGCTTCTGTTGGTGATTGCTCGGTTCAACTGAACTTGAGATTTCCCAAGAAGATGACCATTCAACATAGGAGTAATGTAGTTGGTCAAATTTCAAGCAGCAAGAGTGTTAGTGACGCAGGCTACTTTCCCCCAATTGGTTTTCATGGCACTAAGAATAAAGTAAGGGGTCTGCCTGGGGTGAAATATGAGTACACTATGCTTGACTTGGTTGGTAAATCTTGTGCTGAAAAGAAAAGCACAAAAGGAAAAGGGCCGTACCCTAGTCCTTATTCCTACGACATGAGATTTGATATGTCGGTGACCAACAGCAAGGGAGAGAAAGCAGAAGGTAATGCATCGCCTTTTTTTGTGGGTGAGCAGTTTTATGAGCCATACCGAATGCACAGCGGAACTAACAGTCGCCTAAATCTCAGCTACAGGATCACTTTTGCACCATCTTCTGATTTTGAGCTCGGAGATCAAACTTTGTCGAATAGGTCTATTGATTTCTCAGCTGAAGGAACTTATAACAAAGAGAATGGTATATTGTGCATGATCGGTTGCCGCCATTTGGTATCTCATATTAAACACCCTACTAGAAATGAGACAACTGATTGTAAGATCCTTATCACCATGCAATTTGCTCCTCTGAATTCGAAAACTAGAGCTGATATCATGGGAAGCATTGAAAGTACGCGGGGAAAGGAAGATCCTCTTTACTTTGGCAAACTTCAGGTATCTTCGCATTCGATCTACATTAAACAAGCTGCAGACTCCATCTGGAGAATGGATATAGAGATTCTCCTGGTCTTAGTTACTAATACTCTTGCTTGTATCTTTGCGGGGCTGCAACTTTATCATGTAAGTAAGCACCCTGATGTCCTGCCCTTCTTATCTTTTGTTATGCTTGTTGTTCTTACATTGGGCCACATGATACCGTTGCTGTTAAACTTTGAGGCGATGTTCGGAGCAACCTCGAGCAGACAGAATGTGTTTCTTGGAAGTGGTGGGTGGCTGGAGGTGAATGAAATAGTAGTGAGGATGGTTACAATGGTAGCATTCCTTCTCCAGTTCCGCCTTCTCCAACTTACTTGGTCTTCTAGGCAGACTGCTGAAAGTCGGAAAAGCTTGTGGCTTTGTGAGAGAAAGGTTGTTTATCTATCTTTACCCCTTTATGCCGCCGGTGGGTTGATTGCATGGTATGCACACCATTGGAAGAATTCCTACAAAAGGCCATATCTTCAAACCAGCCACAGGTTTTATCAACCGCAGCATTATCCTTGGGACGATTTCAAGTCTTATGCTGGTCTCATTCTTGATGGATTTTTGCTCCCACAGATAGTATTCAACTTGTTTCTGAACTCGAGCGAACATGCTCTGTCCTTGTCTTTTTACATGGGAACGACTTTCGTCCGCTTGTTGCCACATGCATATGACCTATACAGGGCTCATAGTTCCTCCTGGTACCTCGACTTGTCGTACATCTATGCAAACCACAGGCAGGATTTTTACTCCACATCTTGGAACATTATCATCCCCATCGGCGGCTTGCTGTTTGCTGCAATTATTTACTCGCAGCAGAGGTTTGGTGGCCGTTGCATTCTTCCAAAGAGATTTAGGGCAAGTTCTGGATATGAAAAGGTACCTACAATCAACAGTGAGGAGATGACTACATATAGTCAGCAATGAATTTTACTCGGAGGATTAGCAAAGATTTTTTTGTAGCTTGTGCACAGACAGAATTTTGATTCTCAAGGGCAAACTTCTCTGGAAAAAGGTACCAAATAAACCCTTTCTCTTAAACATCTTCCCAGGTACTATGTTTTCTATTTTCCATGCTTGCTTTGAGGAAATGATTTCTGATCCAATTTATCTGAACATTGATTACAGCGGGATGAATGCTTCATATACAGCAGGTAACACTCTCAGGTATCAAGGCTATAACGATTCTTTTCCAACAACGAAAACAGAAAGAGGGACAGAATTTGACAACTCCATTCTGGAGATGACTAGCTGAATAGTTCTTGATGATGGATTGTTAGTTAGTAGATACAAGTGTCTTGTTTTTCCCTACATTTACAGTATCAATCATATAGACGACTAGCTGGGTTGGTGCTCGATGAATCGATTGTTAGTTCGTAGATACTCGCGTGTTCTTTTTCCCTACATTTACAGTATCAATCCTATTTGTAAGTAGATCATCACCTTGAGTATGCCTGTGGCAAAGTGATATTGCTATCATTGCTTATCAATCATCTCATTCTCTTCAGCCGTTCACAAGTCTACTCCCACAGCTATTCCATTACTTGCTCTTCTCTTTCCATGAACCATATATGTCGTCGAACTTGTTGCCTGATCGCAGATGTTTACAGCGAAGTGGAAGCGCGCGGTAACTGTGCCTGTGATAGGAAGTGTACAGTGTGGAAGTTTGAATCTACGTGATGGGCTTGTATGGCTTTAGCTAGTAGGGAACTGCAATATGATTACTTGTTTAGCAAGATAATGTCAATATTCAGCAAAGTCCGTGATCATCGGACCACATGTTGAGCACTTTACGATCGTTGAATAGACGAAGTGACATTTTATTTAGAAAACTATAATCACATTCATCCGATGACGGTAAAGTTCACGACCCGCAATCCGATCGATCGTGTACTTGTACTGCACTCAACTAAACTACTATGACAAAATAAACAAGGAATCGTAAAAGCGAAAAGAGTTAAAACCCTCACACAACAAAAAGCTTCTTCATCTCCCACTGGCTCGAGACATATTGCACTCAACTTAACTCTGCAACTCGATCATGGTTTACGAAACCGTACTGGAGCAGCTGGTTGGATCGAGAAAATCGAAAAAATGAAGCCGGATCCAGAATGGCTTGAAGTTGAACTTTGAACATAGCCTCCAATTTTCCATGTCGGTCGGTATTTGTGGTCGAACCAACGACCCGCGATAACCGACCGATTTTGGTCTGCCCGGATGGTTTGTTATATTAAAAAAAAAAAAAAAAACTGGTCACCCCTTTCCTCGCTGTAGAGCAGAGCTGCTGCAAATCCAAATTCGTATTCCGCCGCGCTCCCTGCTGCTCGCCACCGGAACTTGGTGATCTTCCAATCGCAATTCAATGTCGCCGAGATGGAAAGGCAAAACCGCGGAGGCCAAAGCTCTGGCAGATCCCATGTCGAAAATAGTCTCCGACCTCCAGTCTTCCCTCCTTCAATCAGACGCTCACGCTTCGCTCTCGGGGAGCAGCGTGCTCCTGCCAGCAGAACCACAACGCGGCGAGCTTCTCACTCGCGCCTGCTTCGGCCGGCCCATCATCACCGCCGATAAGGAGAATCAATGGTTTCAGCTGAGTCTTGAGGAAGCATTCTATCTCTGCCACCATCTCCAATGCCTCAAAATCACCCACCACCAAGGTACGAATTTCACCACTGCAGAGCTATGGCGGTACATGACATCCAAGGTTTCAAATTTCCCACAGTATTACAAAGCTTACTCGCATCTTCGAACTAAGAACTGGGTGGTGAGGCCTGGGTCGCAGTACGGTGTCGATTTCGTGGCTTATCGTCACCACCCGTCTTTAGTGCATTCAGAGTATGCGGTGCTTGTTTTATCAGAAGGGGAAAGTGGTGGTGATGATGGCCTGGAGGGGAGATTGATGGTCTGGTCTGATCTCTACTGCACAATTAGACTGTGTGGAAGTGTGGCGAAGACATTGTTGGTACTTACTGTCAACAAAAATGGTCATGATGCTGTTTCTCCGATGGATTTGGATGGATACTCTGTCGAAGAACGGTCGATCAGAAGATGGAGTGCTGAACAGAACCGTGAGGATCAAATGGCTGCTGCTGCAAATGGACCCAAATGATAATGTTTAGGTGATCGTTTGGCATCCTTTGTTTTGGTAATGATGTGTAGCAGTTTCTTCTCATCGTAGTTTAGCTGCCTTTTTTTGTTTTGTGGGTGCAGCCGTGCAGCAGTTTTCCATTTGTAACAGGAACTCAATGGCTTCCTCAAGGGCTTACCCAGTTTCTTATATATTGAATGTTCTCTGTCATTCTGCAAGTGCATTTTGGCAGTATATTGATCTCATCTCCGTCCTCTTGTTGCAGTTGCACCTGCACTCTGTTCAGCTTCTTCGCTCCAGGGAAGCTAGTAGTTGTTGATTATTGATCAGTCTCGTTGTTGCTAGTTGCTACTAAAAGCTTACACGACGAGATTGAATGAGAAGATCGACGTGTACAGTTTTGGAGTGGTGCTACTGGAACTGGTGACTGTGAAGCAAGCAAACTTGGCAACAAATTGGAGAAAGGCAAACCAGTTGGAAGTTTGCCTTGATGGAAGAGAGCAATGTATAGGAAATGATGTAGTGTTCTATAACAATACCCTCGATGAAGTAAGCCGTGCAGGTTTTGAGGAGACTGTCCTATAACAACGGCGAGGTTGCCTATCTTGCTAGTTAGTAGCAAGATGACTCCTTAATTAGCCACAGCATATGAACGTCTGCTCCGATTTCTCTACTTGTGCTAGTAGTTAAGATTCAGAATAACATCCCATGAAAATAGAGAACCAGGTTTTGCACAAACGAGAAAAACAGAAAGCTTGCATACATGATCTGGTTGTGATGATAAACCCTCCCCATTACACACGAAACATCATATACATCAATGAGTTTGGACCGGAATTTTCAACAACTCAGTTCTTCAAAGGCACAAGTCAGAATTTCTTCAAGGTGGGTAGCTAGCTGGTGTATGCAGCAACCAGTGGTTCCCATGCAAATTCAACTCACACTGATACCATCTTAATGTACACTTGAACCGACTCAACAGAACTTGATTGGGAAGGTTTGGATCCCACTCACTTGAAACATACAACTGAAAGGAAACCGATAGAGTAAAATTCAAGCAGACCAACAAAACAAAATTGTCTTGTCATCATCCAAGATGGGAATCTCGCAAGCATGGTGGACTTTTAGTGGGCGCCAGACCTCCAAACAGCCGAACTCGCACTTTGCTTTAGATGCAGCATCCAAACGACCGTGCCATGCAGCTTGCCTTCAAGATTCTTCAGCTCCACTGTGTTTACCCCCACTAAGCACGAATGCACTCACACCTGGAGAAAACAAGAGGCAAGAGGCCACCAAATCAATGCTGCACTTACCATGATCTTCAAGCTGCTCATCCCCTTGTACCTCATGCTGTTGATTTGAGACTCGACCTGACAACAAAAAGCCACAGAGAGCAACCGAAACAGCAAAAAACACGAAGATATCACGACTTGGCAAAAGAAAACTTAGGGTTTCAAATGCATGCCTCATCACCAGCCTCTGCAAAGATTCTGACCTCGATGTTCCATCTTGTGATTGCCTAGCTGTCCCAACCGCTATGTTGCACTAGAAAAAAATACACAAGGCAGATTAAGAATCGAAAGTTAGCCTCGTCATTTGGGGCATTGGAGCAAAACTATTACAGAGGGTTAGTGTATCTGAGCTGTAAATATGTTAAGGCTGTTCTTTGTTAATTAACAGTTACTCGAAACATGGCAGGTATGGTGGTGGTGCAGGACCTGCCACCATAAGCACCAGTTAGGAAATTCACCACATAAAACAAATAGGGCAAAGGGAGAGAAAATTCTAAGTAGACAGTTCAACATTCAACTTTGTTTGATAAACTTTCATGCAATAATTAATTAGGGGCGACTATAAACATTAGCACTTTTAAGAAATTTCTGGACCTCAAAAGTAGATTACTTGGAATGATTTTTCACTGGCATGCTGGGAAACGCTCCGACTCAATCGAACAATGGAAAATACCATAGGCAATAAGGCAATCAATCAGGTAAGAGCAAGTGCAGAACGAAAAATAATACTGAACAAAAGAATTGCTGGATGTCAATTAAGATTTAAGACCTCAAGTTCTTCAGGCAAGTCATTTGCAAACTGTTCTTTCCCATTCGGACATCTATTCTCCAGATCTGAGCCCAAATCAGTAGCTTCTTCACCCTGCAAAGATCTCCTCGTTCTCACTATCTTCTGTACTTCAGATTGCCCCTTCCATCTCTTTCACATCCTTAAAACCGAAAAACCTCAAACAGAATTAACTCACCTCAAAATTGAGGTTCCGAGTGCTGGAACTAGAGCACACTACATCTTTTTCTCCAAGCTCTACAACAGTCTTTTGATTAGATGGTAGCATTAGCGCCGGTTCAACCTGAACATCTTCCCCAGTCAAACCTATGAGTCCCTCTATGGACCCCTTTAGCGAGCCCTCTTCCAAACCAGTTTCAACTTCACTAACTTGGCATTCGCTTGGGTCAGGAGCATGCTGCCGTTCAGCATCCAACTCCATTGGTTCTGTCTCATTCATAACTAAGCACGAATTGTATTGGTGTACTGTAACTTGTCTGCTTAGGTCACACCCCATATCTTCAGTTTCAATCCCATTAGCATCACGAACAACCAAGTTTCTATTTTCACCCTTGACCTGTTCACTACATGATGTAAATGGAGCATTATTATCAACATCAGCAAGAGCCGATGAACAGCCCAATTTAACCCCCTCATGTAAGCTCTCTAGAGATGGTCCAACAGACCTAGTTCTACAGATTTCTGGAGAAACCGACACTAGTCTCTGTGGGCTTACAGAGGCACACTTGACTCTTTTCTCAGCTGCCATTTCACCATCATGTTTTCGTTTCAGATGTTCTTCAATAGATCCTGATGGAGACTTTCTAACATCATCATTAACTTTTCCAGCCTGCTGCCTTGATGATCGAGAACGTCTGTGTCCCTCAGGGAAAACAAAACTAGGAAGCTGCCTTCTTCGAACATGAGCAACATAAATATCCATTCCCGGCTTCCAAAACATGTACATATTTATTTCTTGCCTAAATTCATCAACTGTTCCCCTTATATCAAACTGCTGGCCTTCCTGACCATTTATTCCCTCTTTCCTCTGCAACCCCATAAAGAAAGCACAATGAGGCCACTGCCTTGACATGTCGGTATATTCATGCGGATAAGGATGGCACTGCAGCATCCCATTTGTATCTCGCTCGATCTGCAAAATGATCGATAGAAAAAGTTGATAATTATTTAAAGAACCGTGAGGGTGATCTGAAATGAGTAGGTTTGAAAAAGAATCCCATTACTTTCAAAGTAAGTTGTCTCAGCCGTGACTCAACCCAACCTTTCCAAGCCAATAGATCATCAGTATCTGCTGCAATTATATCAACTTGGAGGTAGTTTTTGTATGAATCAAAAAATAGATAAGGCTCAAATAGTGCACTCCAATGGGCCTTGCTCAGCTCAATCTCCTACAGGCGAGAGAGAGAGAGAGAGAGAGAGAGAGAGAGAGAAAACAATAAAGGGCATCAATAACAGAATGTTAGGCAGGGCAATGAAAGAGATTACACTTAACCGCTCACCTCACACGTCTTGTTACCAAATTGAAATTGCTCGATCATAACACGGAGAGTACTTATCGAGACGTTATAGCTAGAATTCATGCAAGGATAAGCTGGGGTTATTATAGGCATATGATGAAGTCTGTCTCTGGGGTTTTTACGGGGATCCCAAACTGGAAATCCGAGCTCATCTTCTTCTATTGGGCACAACATCACAGGATTCGGCCAACGCCACAGAGTGTACACTCGAAAAAATCGAGAAACCAACATGCTAGGGATTGCGTTGGGATAAAGCTGGCACACCCGAGCAACAAGAAGAGCCCAATTCACGCCGCCAAGAAAACCAGTGACCTAGATACAATTGACATGTAAATGGAAGTCACACAAGTATCATGGAAAAGAACCAGATGGGAAAAGAGAATGTTCATCTTACATTAGAATAAACACCTCGCCTTTTAGCCCAAAATTTCAAACATCTAAGTGCTGTTCGGAAATGCTAGAGTTTCATAACAAGGAAACAATGGTCAGACTCAAATCCATAAAATGATGTGCAAACTGGAAAACAAAATATTTATTCACCTCAACATTTGGAACATGCTTGAGAATTTGATCCGCTACCCTGCATCCATTAAGGCTTCGAACAGTTTGTTCATCCACCTGATGCAGCACGGACTCATTAGAGATGTCGAGATCCTGTCAAAAAGTAGTGTCCTAATTTAGTTTGACAAGAGGAAGAAAACATTGACCATAAACAGCAACTCAAAAGCAATTGCTTAAACTGAAAAGTGAAAGCTTGAGCTTTATCATGAGAACAAACTCCAGAATCCAATCCAACATGAACTAGAAACAACCAGCTCACGATTAAAAAATGTTATTATGGAGAGAGGAGAAGAAAGAAATAGTAGAAAGTGCAATAAAAAGTCAGGTAAGAAGATAAGATATGAGATAACTAAACATCTCCATACCAACCAAGCAGCTGAAACTAGAATAAGCATATCAACAAAGAACAAACAAAACCAACTGGTCTCACCAGCTCAAGCATCAGCATCTAATTGTCAAACATCCACTACAGAAGCTGACACTCGGGTTCAATAAATAACGCAATTCATAGAGAAATGAGCTCACTAATCAAGTATAGTTCATTTTGGGAAGAGATGAAGAGACTTACCTCCGGAACAACCAAAAGAGAAATACTTGCATAAAGTAGATCGATAGATATCCCCAGGAATTTAAATTTCATTACAGGGACATGAGCATCTGGAACTGGTTGAAGCTCTGTAACTTCCTCCATTTCAGCTAGCAAATCATGCAAAATAATGAAGAAATCTTCCTGCAAAAGATATGGGTACCATTCAGAAAAACTTAAGAAATATCATGTAAGCAGGTCTTCAAGAAGATAGCCAGTTTCAGAAGTCACCTCACGATTGACATAAGATGGCCCCACACACAATGTATCCACATCTGCCCCAGGACCATGCACCTGCTCAATAAGACAATAAGCAATTCTCATGATTTGAACTCAGAATTCAGGGGAAAAGGTTCTAAATTCTCTAGCAGAATACTGAATATACGTTAAGGGAAAACATAGAGCAAAAAGGAGAATACCACCCTGAAAGGCCATCCATGAGTGAAGCTTACGAAGTAAAATAATGTGTTTGTGCAAATAAACCTGTCAGGCTGTACTTGCCAATCAGACAGGATGAAGGCTTACTCACTTGACTACCTCCTTAAATGGTTACTATTGCTTGACTTGCAGCCAAGTGATTAAAGCAAGAAAGTAACAGCAATGTCCAAAACCTGAGCCATTTTCATATCCATATGATCAAGGAATCATGCAGGAACAAAAACAGTTTCTTTCCTATCCCTACAGCTACTGCAAACCTACATTCAAAGAATCTCTGGTAAAGGAGAGTCAAGAAAAATGCGGTGGCGGCAGGATTCCCCCCTAATATATTTCTTGGCACGAGATGCTATTACACCATACACAGTAGGCGAAAGACTAAGCGCCTGTGTATAATTTCATCCCAAACGCTCTACACTTCTACAGGAAGGAAGCACACTACAGGACTAGAAAAGTGAGAAAACAAAAACATAATAGCGTTCTCCTGATTGCTTTTAGGCAGTCTACAGACTCACACGCAAGAGGAAACAAACAGGCAACAAAATATCCACACGTGTCGCCAATAGCCCACTAAACCAGCTTGCATGCATTTCAATTTCCTCAGTAGACAGAGAAAAGGAAACATAACCTAGACTTAGACTTACTCCAAGACGGTAAGACCCAAAAGTGAAAAGAACTGCATTTGCTTCTTCCACCATCTGATCGGTGTAGCCCCTAAGGCGCGTCAACTGCTTGACCCAAGCTTTGACAATCTGCAAGTCGAGGTACATAGCTCTCATGAAGAGTTAGCTAATTCCAGTAACAACTGCCGACCGATAAAGTTATATAATAAGCTCATAAGGGTACCTGATCAATCCTGCCAAGGACCTCCTGCCTCTTCTCAGCTTCTTCTTCGGTCTCATACAACCCAGAATCAACCAAAAACTGTCCAGCACCACACCAAGTGAACACAAAGCACGAAACTTTCTTAACAGTAGGCTAAAAACCTGAAGAAGGGCGGTTTCATCTACAATTCAGTGGGCTACCAGTATTGAAAATATGGGCTACCTTCTCCAAATCAGCATTCCGCTGAAGATCAGCCTCTGAAGGGCCAGCAAGAAAGACCTTATTAGCAGCGCCACCCTTTCTCTTATTTCCCGATTGAGCGGATGCCGCCACGCTCGGAGTCTGCGAACCCACCACCATTTTTTTTTTAAAATTCACCGGCGCTGGTCGAACGAGGAAGCAAGGGGACCCGAATTTTCAAAAGCAGCTGGAAGAGGAAGAGCCGCTTAAATCTAGGAAGCCCCCCGACGGAGATGAGAATTAGGGCATCAGAAGAAAAGAGGGAGGTAAAACAAACAGATCGCAACCCTAGATCGTGACCAGCTCTGTAACAGAGCCGGGTGGATCCAGAAAGCAATACCGGCGGCGGGATCGAAGAGACAGTGTGAGAGAGAGAGAGAGAGAGAGCGAAGCACGAGAGGAAGAGAAGGGAATTGAGAATGGAGCGTAGAGGAAAGGTCGCGAAGCGGGGGAGAAGGAGAAAAGAGTCAAAAGGAGAGAGATTTAGAGAGAGAGAACGAAGAAGAAGAGAAGAGAAGAAGGCAGAAGAAAAGGAAACGATTTTTTTCCCCCCTTCCGAAACGACGTTTCGAGGAGGAAGAGAACGCCGTTACTGGGAAATTACACTTCCACTCCTCATAATTTTACTATTTTTCAAAAACCATTTAATTTGATCTAAAATCAAACCAACGGTGTGACCGGTCCAACCGTACCCACAATATCTATAACCGAACCAAAACCATCTCCCGCGAACCAGGTTAGAGAGCTTCATAAGCGTCACTTTCCGTTCCCCTCCAAATCCACGGCGGAGCTACCAAACAGCAACGGCCGGCCAACAACCATTAGTGGCCACCTGCAAATTTAACCATATGTTCCCTCGAGTCTCTCCTCTCCTCCGGTTCTCTCTCCCTTTACCTTCTTCAATGGCGCGTAACATTTCTTCTCGCGCCGCCACCGGCGCTTTCCCCATTGTTGCCCTCGCCGCCGCCGCCCCTCACTCGCCTTCCAACGTTCAGTTCTTCACTCCGTCCAACTCCTTCGCTTCCCCCTCGTTCCGCTTCACGACCAGATGCTTCCACGCCGGATTCGTCAAGCCGATTGAAACCGGGGTTTGGGCGGCCGGCGGGCAGAGAGGGTATCGGAAAGTGAGGAGACGCGCCACCGCAAAGAGCAAGCAGAAGGAGCTGGAGCTCAGCGTTAGCATTTGCATTGAGGATGACCTCCCCGATAATGATTCTGAAATCCTGGTAAAACATTTCGCTCACTCTCCCTTACTAGTTGTTTGTTATGAACTAGCAAGTCCGAGTGCCAGTGATTGATTGTTGGAGATACTAGGACTGGAAACTAGGGGGCACTATTGTTATCGTGTGAAGACCAAATTTAAATCGCAATAACTCGAGTTGTTGGACGGGTTTTAAGAGAGTGTGTTTATACCATTCCCTTCCGTGGATGTTTATGTATGGTTTGAAGTTTTTTGTTGTTTTGTATTGAAGTCTCGATTCCAATGTTGCAGAGTATAGCAGAGTTGCTCCGCCTGAACGCGCCCATGGCGTTGAAGTTGGCACTGGATGGCCTGAAAGACTCGCCCTGCAAAACTCGAGATACTGTTATCACAGATGTTGGTGGCTACGAGAGCATCGAGTTGTCTGTCATGCTTTGCAATGACAGCTTCATCCGTAAGCTCAACAAAGAATGGAGGGATGAAGACAGTGCTACTGACGTTCTCTCCATGTCGCAGCATGTTGCTCAGCTTAATCTCCCGATTGTAAGTATAGTAGGTTATTACCATTTGTTAAAGGAGCCTTCTTTCCTGGGAGAGAGCAAGCCAGGGTTGATAGTTCGTTTTCTCTTTGTTTGCAGCTTATGCTGGGTGACATTGTAATTTCTGTGGAGACGGCTGCAAGACAAGCTGAAGAAAGAGGTCATACACTTCTTGATGAAATCCGTATTCTCATGGTTGGTTTAATCATCAGTTTTTAATAGTCTGGTGCAGTTGAGAAGGCGTTACATGTTTTACGGTGGTTTCACCCTCATTTCCATGCCTAACTAGTAGATTTTTCTGCTGCCTTGTCCTTCTGCACCATTTACAGGTCCATGGGTTGTTGCATTTGCTAGGATTTGATCACGAGATTAGTGAAGAAGCTGAAACCGAGATGGAGAAAGAGGAGGAAGTTCTTCTAAAGAGTCTTGGATGGGCGGGAAAAGGACTAATTCAAAGTGCATATGAGTCCTACGATCAAGCTAATTCTGATTCAGAAATTTTGGATGGTAATTTTTTAAAATTCTTCTGCTATATATCAATCCAAAATCTTATCAAAATTATATGCTTCTGAGTCTTAGAACTGGTGCTATAAAGACAGGAAGAAAGAAGGGAGTCTCCGCTTCTATAAACCAAAATTCAAGTACATCTTCTGTGACATGGATGGTGAGATCATATCTTCAATATGATTACTTTTAGGTTCTTTCTTTCATATTTATCCTTCTAATTTGGTTTGTATCCTGAATGCTAGGGACATTGCTTAACAGCAAAAGTCAACTTTCAACCACAAATGCAAATGCATTGAAAGAAGCTATGTCAAGAGGAGTGAAGGTAGTGATAGCAACTGGAAAGGTAAGAGAAATAATCTGCTTGAAATTAATTATTGTGCACTTTGTTCCATCAGTATTTGCCTTTTTGGTCTGGTGGCGGCTGAATTGAGGTGGAAGTTTTTGTTAACTGGCCAAGAACTTATGGAACAGGCTCGCCCTTCTGCAATAAATATCTTAAAGACTGCTGGCTTAGCTGATAAAGATGGTATTGTTTCAGAGTTATCCCCTGGTGTTTTCCTTCAGGTTTCTTACTTCTCTCCTTATAATTCTCTACCACAAAATTTTGAGTTTTTGGGTCACATTTCCGCTGGCTTTTCGGACTGGATGTTAAGAAATAAGAACTCTATATCCTCTATAGACTAATAATTTTTCCTTCGGAGCAAACATGCACAACCTATTCTAGTTTTCTTCCTTTCTGCGCACGATTTCGATTCTTTTGGTTTTTACCAAACTTAAATTTAATATGTATTATCTTTATCTAGTGTATTACTTCTAGTTATTTTTACTTTTCTTAAATTAAACAGTGTAACAGTGTTCAGCTGCTCATGTTTCGGAGTTTCTATTATCTCAGGGGTTGCTTGTGTACGGTAGGCAGGGGCGAGAGATCTTCAGAAGAAATTTAGATCCAAGTGTCTGCAGAGAGGTAACATTATGATGCTAATATCTGTCTGAGTTAGATCCTTGTTCATTGACAAAGAATCATTTGCATGGATTTTCACATATACAAGCGAAGCTATAATCTGTTTTCATCCTATAGATGGCTACTCAGCTGGATTGCTTGATAAGCCTTGTGTACCATAAGAATGTTGCCAAATCCTGAAGTTATCATGTTGTAGAGACAGAAATCATTTCTTGATTGCAGGTGTGCCGGTATTCTTTGGAGCATAAGGTTCCCCTAATTGCATTCAGCAACGATCGTTGCCTAACGCTGTTTGATCACCCCCTTGTTGAATCGCTGCATACAGTTTACCATGAGCCGAAGGTACCCTTTTATGTCCTTGCTCTGCTTAATGAAAAAGTATAGTTGTTCCTTTGTTATTCTCTGAAGCTATTCCCGTGAGTAATGATGCAAGGCGATTTTAACAGGCAGAAGTCATGCCTTCAGTCGAGGATCTCGTAGCTGCAGCTGACATACAAGTACGTGAATATTCTTCTATCTATCACCATTTGGGACACACAGAGCGCTGAGTTGTTATCTGCTTAAAGAGCAACAAAGGACACTAGCTCAGAAAATGATCATTGAATTCACTCTTAATTTGTTTGGTTAAAAATATCGTAGTTGTCGGTGGCCTTGAGCACATCATTTGCCCCTGTTGACTGGGCAAGTAAAGCCCAAATTTTGGATTATCTTGCAATGTCTCACTTTCCATTTGATTTAATTACTATTTACTATCAAATATTCCCGCAGATTTATTGCCAACTGAGATCCGCCATTGTTTTGCTTCAGTGTCAAAATGCTTTGCTTTGCTTTCTTTTATTTGCTGATAAGGATTCTGACTTATTGGATATTTCAGAAACTTTTATTCATAGACACGGCTGATAGAGTAGCTACTGAGCTGAGGCCGTACTGGTCAGAAGCAGCAGGAGGTCGCGCCAGTGTAGTCCAAGCTATCCCACATATGCTTGAGATCGTTCCTGTGGGAACATCGAAAGGGAGTGGGGTGCAAATTCTTCTTGATCATTTGGGTGTGAAAGCCGAGGAGGTAAGAGCTGATTCAATCTTTGGTCTGCGCTTGTTTATTATTCTTCTGCCATAAGATAAATGAAGTAGAAGTGGGAAGTGACATGGGTTGGGTTATTGTTCTAGGTTGGGGTTAGAATGGATTCGTAAATTTCTTGAAATTTTGATGTGGTTTGGAGGGAGTTTTACTCATTTCTCGGTGCAAGGGCTTTCTGATCAGGTTAAATGTTTGGATGCTATGTTGTGAAATGACAGAGGTGGATTGGTTTGTTTATTATCGAAAATATGGTCACATAATGCAGTGTTCCATTTTCTCCACTGAATTAGCAGACTGGAATTTGGATTTTCTTTCTGGATCAGTTGGTGAAATTCCTGAAAGTCTAGGTGCTGCAATGTAAGAGACAGAATATTGAGGCACTAGATAGTTGTTCTGAAACTAAGCAACATCGATCCAAGGCAGAAGGCACCACCCCAATGGACTTTTGTCAGATGGATTCTTATTTCTTAGTGGGTTGGAAGCTACTTACCAGTAGCCAGTAAATGCTTCAACTTCCCAAGCCAGATCTTCTAGCTCTGCTGTTTCTAATCACTCATTTATCAATCCTTTCTTCTCAGATAATGGCCCTTGGCGACGGGGAGAACGATATCGAGATGCTGCAATTGGCTTCTCTTGGCATTGCTCTCAGCAATGGCGCCGAGAAGACGAAAGCTGTCGCCAACGTAATTGGTGCCAGCAACGACGAAGATGGGGTAGCTGATGCCATCTATCGGTATGCATTTTGAACCACTCGAGCATAGCCATTTATCTTTCGAGAGCTCACTCAGCAAGCATCTGCACAACACACTGGAGGTGACCGAGCTCGTGGATGCTTGGCGATTCTTCTTCTTATCATTCTTTAATGAAGACTAGAGAGCCTTGGAGTAAAACCAGCAAAAAGAAAAGCTATTTTCTGTGTTCTTTTGATAAAAGGCGCCATTTTTGAGCTGGTATCCTAGGTTGGGTGTCTGCTCATTGGATTACAAATGGTAGTTTATTTGATTGGGTTGTCGTTTTTGTTTCCCTTTAACCAACTGAACACTCTTTTTTCTTCTTCTTTTCGATAGATATGAAGGAACTGTATTACTAGTAGCAAATTGGCAGTTTTTTTTGCCACTATATTGTGAATTTGTGAGCGCTTCGATTAGTTGATGAATTTTAACATGACATTATAGAAGTCTCCAAAACTGAAAGAATATTAGCACAATTTACATAAAAATGGTTCGCAGCGAGCAGCTCGCCTCTTCCTATAAAATGCCCTATGACGATGGAGAGAAGCCTGGAACAAGGTACATGGTAGATGTAACATCGACAACATCTGTCGACTAACTGGAGACTGGCATATTCGAAAGCAAGTTTTCTGTATGCAAATGTTTATCATACGTGGATTAACGTGCGTTCTTTCGTTGGATTGATTAGACGAAGGCTTGAGAACTTGTCGAGAAGTAGTTCCCTTTAAATGAGGGAAAGGCAAAACTAATCTCAGAAACACACTGGTAACTGGTAGGCAAGAATGATTACAGAAGATCGATTTCTTTTGCTATAGATATTGCCCAAATGAATGAATTACATAGTAAATTGTAACACTTCATCCCCTCATCGATAATCGATAACATGGCGAAAGAAGGGGATATGGTCATTTTTCCTCCGAGTCTGTAACTAGTACAAAGAATGCTGGTGTCTTGAGGCTCTTCTAATGTGACTGCAAAGAGATTATGCTGGAGTCTTGAAGCTCATACATTGATGAAGGGAATAGGTTTAGCAGCAGCCATCTAACTCTAAACACATCAACCCTTGTAGACACCAGAGGGATCGGCATTCTGAATGATCCATGGATGCTCAAGCACCTTGTGTAATGGCAGCCGCTTAAATGAATCCTTGACAAGCATCTGCGGGTGCATAAGAGACATTAGCACAGATGATAAGAAAGACAAACCCTTAAGTCAAGATGGAAACTTCAGCTGGTTTAAGAGATGTAGCCTACCTGACTAATAAGGTCTTTTGCAGAAGCAGATATAATTGGCTTGGGAGGAAACTTGAGATCCACTTGCACAATCCTGCCATTATTGCCCAGATCTGATTCAATGGAGTACACCACACAAGAAATGCAACAATTTGGAAGGCAGAGTGAAACTTATGCTAACCTTCGGTATGTGTCAGAGTGTTCCATAGCCTCGAAAGGGGGAACACCATAGAGGAACTCGTAACACAACACACCTAGGCTCCAGATGTCGACACTAGCATCGTGCTCAACACTTTCCACTGCAGAACAAGCAAACCAAATCAGACTCGCTGAATTATTTGTGGGTAGCAATTACAGGTCATGTTCTGTTTACATACCCATTTCAGGTGGGAGGTAGTCCAATGTACCACACATTGTCCGCCTTCTGTTGAAAGTATGCACAGACCAGCCGAAATCAGCAATCTTGAGCTCACCCTGATGAAAGGAGAAGAGGGAGAAGCATTTGGGAACACATAAGTTCACAAGAACCAAGAAATCGACACTAAAAGCACTAAATGTTGCATAAAAATGTATGAAATGGTTGAGCACCTGGGCACCGATAAGGAGATTCTCTGGTTTGATATCACGATGGATGACATGCTTCCCATGGCAATATATCAGAGCTCGAGCCAACGACGCAACATACTGCAATTCACATATACATACAGTGAGACGCAACCATTTTCGAATATATGTCAGATCAAAATGTGGGTTGCTATAAAAACTACTTCACAAAGAAGGGGAATTGCAAATGATGGCCATGAAATGGAGCTGTAGAGAAGAGAATAGAGAGAATTTCTCACGGTTGCAGCACGCCTCTCGCTGAAGTACTTGCACCTCTGAAGCTCTTTGTAGAGCTCACCCTTGGCTGCGTACTCTAGTATCAAGTAGACTCGCTTCTGCAGGCAATTTCCATGACCCCAGGGAAGAAAGAAAAACATCAGCTACACACAGTCTAACCATAAGCAAAGCAGGAAATGTGATGTAAGAATGGCGGGGAGGAGGAAGGGGGAGAGAAACCTGGTCATAGAAGTAGCCATAGAGACGGAGAATGTTTGGGTGACGAAGGTGACTCTGGATCTCAACTTCACGGCGGAGTTGATGCTCCACCTGCGATTGCTGGAGCTGGTTCTTGAACAGCACTTTTAAGGCCACGACGTGATTGCTCTGCGGGGATCGATCAAGAAAAAGCAAACAGCCACCAGCAACTCAGAATCAGGAAACGAAACGAAATCGGGGAAGAAAGGAGACGGGAAATTACTACCACGATTATCAATTAAATTACCCTTTTCTCACGAGCGGCGTAAACATGGCCGAATTTGCCGCGGCCGAGGGGCTTCCCGACGTCGAAATCGGCGAGAGTCCATCTCCTCGTCTGGTTGTTCTCTCCGCCGGCCGTATCTTCCGCCGAAGTAGCAGCAGCAGCCTGCGATTAAGGAATTGAGGATCAAGAGAGCGGAAAATCAGGGGGCGAAATGAAACCCTAGGCGGCGGCAGGCAGGCAAGAAGGACGGCGTCACCGTCCAAACGGAGGGTGGATTTGACTTCATTACCTGGTGCTGGTGGTTGGATTGGGAATCAGGAGGAGGAGCGATCGCCATTAGAGAAGAATGGAAGAACGAGGAAGAGAGGAGAAATTCAAATTACTATGGAACAAAAACAACGCCGCTAAAATTTGAAAAGGGAAGAAGGGGGGAAGGAGGGGCCGGGACCTCTCTCTCTTTCGTTCTTGTTCTTACTCTTCTTGCGGGGGGAATCTCTATTGTAATGCTTTGAAGTCGAAAATAATATAACGGTCGACTAACAAGAGGGTGCCACGTGGCCCACATGTAGGGTTTCAAATTTTCCTGTTTATATATTGAAATGAAAGAAAAATAAAAGGGAAGAAGATATCAATTAACTTCTATGAAATGTTTTTCCGCGTGATTTAGTTTTCGAAGAGGAACGTCTAGTATTATAGTATAGAATATAGATGTCCTCGCAATAGGATAACTCAGGCCATCGTCAAAATTCTTGTACGGTGGTTAGTGGGATTTGACGGTAGAACAAAGGAGTGAGAAGAATCGATAGAGGAAGGTTTGAATTAGAATTGGTTGGAGAGAAGGGTCAATGGAGAAGGATAATGAATTGCGAGCGTTTGGAGTAGGTGCGTCGTTGGAGCGATTTTAGGTAATCATGTTAGATATAAGAATTTATAAGAGAAAAATTCAAGTGAATGATGATTACATATTTATTAGAATACCAATGAATAGTCTCGAAGTTTGATGGACACACATCTATGCATTATAGCACTTTCAATCTCTCGTTTATTCGATGATATTTTCTGCAAAAATCCTTCCACCTTACCTTGGAATTATTTATCGTATAATTGAAGCGGAACTACAAGTATGAAATGAAAATGTTTCTTATAATAATGGCCAACAACCTAGTTGAACAATTTTTCATTCTCTCATTGATTCCTTATGAAGATAGGAGATTCGGATTTCTCGATCACAAATCCAACTGTGTTTATGATATTAATTTTTAGTTTGATCTTACTTCTAGTTCATTTTGTTACTAAAAATAGAGGAGGAGCTTTAGTCCATAATGTGCTCAGAGGTTGAATTTTTCATATAACATACTTGATACATATTTTAGTTTTGTGAACATATCTACTGTTCTAATTAATTTTGATCCTCCATTGCTTGACTCACAAAATTTTGCAGTTAGCATATGCTCATGGGGGCATATCCAAAGTAGCTTATACCTCTGAGATCTTAACAAACCAAACCTTTTACCTATGTCCTCTGCCTACGAAATTGCAGAACACCAAACTTTCACTACTCCATCTTGAATACAACAGACACCGATCCTCCCCACGTTCAATTTTCAACCAAGGAAAACATGCATCGGCTGCCACTCCTTCTTTCCTCCTGTTCTGCATAAAATGCTAACGATGAGAGCCCTATAAGCTTCCATGGTGATTGTAGGAGTTTCGATGACCCAACATCCCCTCCCTGCTGCTGAATTGCTTCCAATAAACTTCCTTGCCAAATCCTAAGATTCTTTGGCAACACTATCATATGATGATGACATGGAGCTTCCATTTTCAGGCGGCATGAGTACTGGGAGAAAACGAGGGATGATGAATGCAGCCACTAAACACAGCAACACAAGCACTCCCACCCACCAAGCCTTGTGAGGGATACCCAGCAACAATTCATCGCATACTGGAATACAGCAACCATAAGATTACTACACAGAAAAAGCTACACAAATAAAACAAGATGATGTAGTTGGGAGTGAAGGAGAAACGAATGCAGAAATATCATAGGCGAAAGGAAGAAAATGTGGTCGAGAGTGGCACTAATTCAGCAAGGCATCAGCATAAAAGCAACCTCGGAGTTCATGCTGCTTATAGAAGAGACATGACTCACATACAGCAACAAGTTCGGGGTTCTCACAAGAATAATCATAGGCTCGTATGTTAGCTGCAATGATTAGTGCAAGCTAGCAAGATAAAGAGAACTCAATAGCATTACTGCTTGAATAAAAACCAAAGCTTTCTACCATTTCAATGGAGAATGAAGACAATTAAGAATCAGATCAAAACCTAACAGTCTTTCAGATGAAGATTCGATGACATTATCTAAGAAACTTGTATGCAATAGCAAGAAGTTGGCAGTGAGTTTATTTTACCTATGTTGAAGATGATTGCTTCCCTCTCTGGTACATTGGGTATTGCAACCACCCCCTCCGGCTCTACAGTTACCAGCACGTACAACTGGTTCTGCTGAACAGAGTGAAACACATCAGAAGAAAGAACAAAAAGATAACAATGTTGCCAAGCAAACAGAATTCGGATCAGTAAGAAAACTACACCTGATTGCCACTGAACTCATCAGTCTTGAAAATCAGTTTCTCTGTGTTTAGTAATCTTCGATTCCAGTTCATTCCCAAATCAGAAACATCCTTCTTCAGTTGTATAGTGAAGCTAGCAGGTATCTGGAATGTCAAACCCCAGGAAGAAACAAAGAAGTAAACTTTTTTGTTTCATGAATGGGATGGTGTGGAAATCAGCAAGTCAAAAAGACAAACATACATACAGAAGCCGGATAAGATATCTTCACTTCATACCAAGTGTTCGATTTCAAGCCCCGAAGTTCATACAGACGAGAACCTCCCTGTAAGGCAAGAGTCTCCTTCCACATTTCATTTCCAGGAATCAGCACATTGCTGGCAACCCTTTAAGAGAAATTGCCAAAGGAAAACAGTGAGATACCTCAGAACTGGCCAACTTGTCAACTGGAAATGCACCAAGCCTAAAAAGAACAGTCCATACTCTATGTTCCCAAATGTTGGAATTGGGTATCCAGCAATGAAGGTGAATGCATAGACCCAAAGGAAAGAGCTAGAGATCATAGCTAGGAGGCCATTGAAGCTCCTCATTTTGTTCATTCCGTTTCCTCTACCCTGACGTTCTACCCTGGCGTTCTACCCTGACGTTCTACAAAACAGCCACCATAGATTTCAGTACACTTTGCATTGTACATTAGAGAATGCACCATGAAGATGCAGCACACAACAAGAACAGCTAACGGAACTATCCTAGTTGAAGTTCACTTTTTCCCGGCAAGATTTTAGTCAATTAGCCGAGACCGGAGAGATCTCCAAGAGTAAAGAAGAAGAAAAAGGATCTCATGTGATTACCCTAATTGATATAATCGAGCAGTTGACGAGAACTGGCGTTGCTGTTGCCTTCTCCGCCTTCGATTGAAGCTACGTTATCAGCCAGCTTCAGGTATGGAAGTGCAGAATTCGAACTGGAAGTAGGAAAATTAGCCGAGACGGCGAGATCTGAGAGGAAGCGTGGAAGTTGGAACTCAAATTGTAAACATAGCCGCCGGCGTCTGGACTGACGGAGCTGGGCAGGTTAACGTCGACGGAGAGAAGGCCGAGATATGAATGCGAGCGTCGGGAGGAAGAGTAATGAATTGAAACGTCGCCGCTTCAAAGCCCCGTCTTGTCTGGGCTTTAAGCCTCTTTAGTTAACTGGGCTTGAAAAGTGAACTGTTGGGAAGTAGCTGGGCCTGAGTATCACCCGCATCGAGCGAGAACCGAGACAGCTGGACACTGGAGTAAGTACTATTTGCTTGGAAATGGCGGATTCTAGTTAATAAATCTCCCTCGCTCGCAGGAAACGTAGAGAGTAGAAAGCCGACTGTTCCTCTCAATTTTACAAGCCAGAGCCAATTGAAAGAGCGAAATGGACAACAACGACATACTCGAGCGGGAGAGGCAGCAAATGGAGCAGATTCGAGAGCTTGAATTCGAGGAACTACAGGTCGTAGAAGTCGACGAACACGGCGATTCTTCCGATGACGGCATCGATCCCGGGTATCTCACTTGATTTCACACAAATTTCAGTGTCCTCTGTTTTCCGGTTTGCTCTTCGTTTTTTACGTTTCATGGTGGCGGGAGCTAGGGTTTGGCCCCCCGGCGCTTTCTTAATCGCTGCTGCGTTGTATGAATTTCGTTTGGTATTTTGCTTCTGCTTTCTTAGATGGCGGTTATTTAATGTAGTTTTGTAAGCCGCCGAAGATAAGGTATTAGAAGATGAAAAGCTTTCCATCACCAAATGGAAATTTCAATTGCTTTGCAGTTTTAGTACTATTACCTCTGCCAAAGAGGAGCTACGAGCTGATAACTGAAGAGTGTTTGGTTTCAGCATGCATTTTCATTCGAGAATTGTCTTGTTGTTATCAGAAATCAGCTACTAAAGCTAGTCTACACTGATCACTTGCGCGTGGTGCTATGGTTGGAATTACCTGCTGATCCGTGACGTTTTTTTTTCTTTGGCCCTTTTTTCACCAGTTACAATGTCAACATTTCATCTGAAGAATTTACTTTCAACCCTGGTTTGGCTTCATTGCACACGTATTTGGGTGGTAAGCGACACTCCCTCCACCTTCAACATTGGCTTTTCTATTGTGTAGTGTTAGGGCATTGATGCAGTACTGGTTGTTGTTGTGCAGAGGTGGAGGACACGCGTCACAGGTTGTCGTTCTTGGATGGGGGTGTGACGTTAACTCTGCCGTTGTTCTATCTCGAAGGTGCATTAGTTTCTGATAATAGGCATCTTTCTTCTTTTGTTCTTGCACTCCTATTTCTTTTCCTGGCATATTCAGAAAGACTGCAGGGGTCGATACATAACTGGTTTACCTATGGAGTTCCTGGAGAAATACTTGACTATTTGACTTCATGTCCAACGTACTGAAAAGATAAATGATTTTGGTATTACTGATTCTAGCTTTTTGAAAATGGAATTGAATGCATGAACAATGAATGCCAGTATATATTGTTCTATTTTGTATTTTCACTTCACTTCTCGTTGTCCGGTAATTGTTACTGCAGACCTCTTAATTACCAAACCATTCTGTTTTAATAGGGGTTGTTCTTTTCCCTGAGGCTACGCTTCCTCTAAGAGTTGTTCAATCCAATTTCATATCTGCCATTGAGAGAGCCATGACTCAAGATGATGCTCCATTTACTATAGGTGTGGTGGGTTAACTTCACCTTGAACCCATTGTTAGCAGTCTTGTTACTTTACTTCTTTTCCCCGTCACAAAAGATGTTTCTTGAATGATGTTTTGCTTAGGTTCATGCTCACAGGAGCTCTGATAACAGAAGATTAAAGGTCTCTAACATTGGGACAACTGCAGAGGTATTGTGATGGAACTCTTATTTTTCTAAGCGATTAAAGGTTTGTGAAAGCAGTTTTTGGAGCACTGGTTAGGATTTCATCTATAACTTTTGGTTGTATCTAAAAGCTTGGAAAAGGAAAAACTTAAACGTTGAGGTTGTCTCTTTGCATCTTACTTTCAAAAGAAAAATACATGCCGAAAGATTTCTTCTTTGCAGTTCCTCTGAGTTGTCATTTTTTCATTCTGATTTCATCTGTAAACTTATTATACCGAACTCGTTAAATCTATTACACAGATCCGACAATATAGGCGGCTAGAAGATGGGTCACTCAATCTTCTTACTCGTGGGCAGCAGCGGTTTTGTTTAAAACGACTCTGGATGGATGTGGAAGGAGTGGTCAGCTATCCTTTTGCTCTTCTTTTTCTTCTCCTTCTATATTGTAGCCGTAAAGTTGGGTGGTAACTGATTCTTGATTTCCCTTGTTTAGCCATGTGCAGAAATTCAGATCATAGAGGAAGATTCACCATTAAGAGTTCCCAGGGAGGCACTAGGAAAGTTGTCAGCATTAAGCAATCTGCATAGACGTCGTGCACATTTGCTGCCTGCAAAGCCATCATTGCTTGCGAGAGGCAACGATTCAGAATCAAGTTCAGACGAAAGTTTTGAGGGTGATCTTTCACTACAGGAAAAGAAAATGCATCAGACTGCTGTAGAGTCTTACTTTGAGTATGATATGATGGAAGAATCAACCAGCAGTGATGATGATGAGGTGCTCTTTGACTCAGAAATCAGATATAGAAGAGCTCGGTTAACTGACTCAGAATTGTCGGTACTCTCAGATGAGGGGAAAAGAATTAAAAAATCTGCCATGAAACATCAATCTGCTGCTGCTTCTGCTTCAAACAAGTTGCCTGACAAAGAAGAAGCTCAGAAAGTGAATATCAAACCTGATTTAAGTCAATTTTGCAAATCCTCCACAGCATTTTTGCCCTGTTGGGTGTACCAAATGTACGACTCCTATGAGCTTGCTCAAAGGGCTGCAGGTATCCTTCTAACGATTCCTATGCAAATTAATACAGCAATATTGCAATAACGCAGCACTTTTCAGTTTCATGATTTCTGACGGCAATAAAGAAAAGTTTAAGTGTTCTTCTTGAGAAATATTTCAGAACGATGAGCATATTGGAAAATTCTACTCAAATGAGTTTAGTCTTCAAGTCACGGGCTAGAGTCATTCATAAAACTAGGTCTTCTAATGTTCATTTATTTTTATATAGATTTGGCTATGCTAAGAGTGAACACAATCTGGTCCATCTTGTAGTCTCTTGCAATGAATTTTCTCTTTATTTTAAGTCATTCTAAATGACATTAGGTTTGGATTCAACACCAGTCTCGCACCTAAAATTGTCTGATTTGGTGTCTTTTGCAGATAAGTGGAAACACATAGTTGGGACATCATGCATGGATGATATGGTGAAGAAGCCCGATCTTTTATCATTTTATATTGCCAGTAAAATCCCTGTGTCTGAATCTACAAGGCAGGAGCTGTTAGAGATTGATGGCATTTCCTATCGACTGCGTCGTGAAATCGAGTTACTCGAACGATTTGATCTCGTACGATGTAGAAGTTGTAAGGTAATAAGCAGCTGCTTGATATGCTAACCTCGTTGGCTGACATCAATAATCACTTCTGCCTGCTACCGACTGATACGTTGCTGAAACTGAAGTACATCAGTCATTCATTCTTCTAGTCTTAGTTGTAAGATGCAAGGCTACTCCACTGACATACTTTTTCACTCATCTCGGCAAGTGATATATTATTCTCTATCTTCCATGCAGACTGTAATTGCTAGGCGGAGTGACATGCTGGTGATGTCAACCGATGGTCCTCTTGGTGCCTATGTGAATCCACACGGTTTTGTGCATGAGATAATGACTCTCTATAAAGCAAATGGCTTGGCCCTCATCGGACTTGCGGTTACAGAATATAGCTGGTTTCCCGGGTATGACACTCTCTCTATACATACATCTTATGCACCACTTTTAGTGAAGTGATTTAAGTGGAAGAGTAAATAATTGTGAAATGATGAAATGGTCATAAAATTTATTTGTATATGAAATACCAAATAACCTCACCAGCTCTTTTGAATATTATAGAAGAGGAAGGGGTAGAATTAGCAATATAGAAAAGATGAAGTAAAGTGGTGGGGACTGCATCAATTTGAACTTAGATTTTAAAGCTACAAGTTGGAATTTGAAGTAGTGTATTTGGTTGGGGAAGTTGGTTAGCAGATCATCTGCAAGCACCACCAACAGATGCCAACCTATCGAATCAAACAGAGTTGACCTAAATTCTCTGAACTAGGGCTCATGAGTCATGACCATGGCCAGAGTATCAAAGTTTGTCCCAACGTTTACTAAACTTCGCGGATCGTGGGTGCATTCGACATTCGTTGTAGGTACGCATGGACCGTTGCAGATTGTTCCACGTGCGAAACCCAGATGGGGTGGCTGTTCACAGCAACGAAGAGGAAACTGAAGCCTAGGTCGTTCTGGGGTATAAGAATTGCCCAGGTTGCCGACGAGGCGCGTTGGCGTAACGGAGAGTAGTGCTGTAAAGTAGTCTAGAATCTGTTGAAGCTAAATGTCCTAGTTAGTTTTCCCTGAAGACTTGCTAGCTGTGAGTTTGTCACTTTGCTTGGGTATGAAGTAAATCTTGTTCAGCCAATGGTTTGCTCATGTAATTCGAGGAGTCTGTAGCCTTCACAAAACTACGTTTGTTTTTTTGGGTCACTTTAAAAATTGTACCTTTGAGGTCTCCTAGATTTTGTGCTGTAGAATTTGGTGGCCTCAAAGTGACTTAAAATAGAGGGAAGGAGCGATAAATTCTTGGTATCCATTGTAAATTCTCTCCCTCAAAATCTCTGTTACAAGAACAAAATAGGAAGGATTGTAAACTCGTACCGAAAAGTCTACAACATGGTATTTTATGCTGAAATCATTGTTCAATGGTTTCGTACTACTAAGGGGTCATTTGGAGAATGGGATTTAGGACGTGGATTCATTGAATCCGTAGATTTTGTAGAAAGTTATGTTTTTTTGTTGTTTTTTGTATTGTGGATTTGAGCTTTAGAGATTTCAAATCTCTAAAATCTACGAATATAAAATCTCTCATAATCTGAGAGATTCTATATCTTGATTCGTGAGATTTTTTTCTCCTACTTTTTCTCTTTGTTTTATTTATTTATTATATTAAATATATTTATCAACAAAGTTTTTAATATTTTTCGAACCACTCTAATTTTTTATTAAGGATAAACACGTTATTTAATATAAAAATAATTTTTTTTTATTTTCATTGAATGTTAACAATCACAGTTACCAAACAATAAACATTTTAAAATCAATTTGGACTCTGATAGGAATTTTTTTGACTGGATCATCAGTACGATACAATTTTACAAACATATTTTTAATATGTCATTAATACGTCCACCCAACTAGCATAAGCAACTCTCTGCCGCTGCAGAAGTCACCTAACCCATTGCCGCATAAGATCGCTGACGGAAGCAGGCCGTCGGATGTGGAAAATCTGGGCCCAAAGGAAAAAGCCCATTCGCTCCACCGACTAAAAAGGAATGGCGCTCAAAACATAAACCAGATTGTGCCAATCCCGGTTTCCCGTGAAGAGTTCAAAACTTCAAACACACTTTCCATTCAGCAAATAGATGGCTGTGTCTCTGTTCGTATCTGCGTGACTCCGTCATTTCCAGCAAAAGCTCAGAGAAGCTAGGGTTCCTTCCACTCAGTTTCGGATTGTCAGAAGGCCGTCGTTCATCTTCATCAATGGCTCGGGTGCGTCCGAAGCTCGTTTTCTCTGGCTTCACCAAGGCCGAGGTACTTCGCATTTTGCCTCTTTGTCTGTGTCTCTTCGCGCTCACTCGAATGTATGCCTCCAGTTTTTTTTACCAGTTTAGATTTTCGGCTTCCTTTTGCTCCTTCCTGTTTTTTGCATGCGTAACCGTCTCTTTCTCATCCATGGCGGCGGCGGCGAGGAAACCACAGACGGAGAAGATGGAGAAATTGCTGGATGATTCGGTCCAACCTCTCAACACAAAGTTCTTCAAGAATCTCGCTAGAGGTTTCAAGTGAGTTGCTCCTCTGTGAACTGTAACACTGAAATGTTGAGTAAGCGACTACTGATTTTCACCCTGATTAGCATTGGACTAGAATGATGTGGACGAATGTCAGTAGTTGAGTTGGTTTGGATCTAACGCCTGGTTCCTTTTGTTAATTTTCTCTTTCAGTCTGTCTTCAGGTCGTGCTGGCAAACCAGTTGTGAAATGGACTGAGGTTTTCATTATACTCCAACTTGAGATTGTATAGTTTTCTTTGGATTGATATCTCTGTTCTTTGGTTTGCATCTCTTATTGTTTGACTTGCTTGATGATGGGTTTTTTTTTTTTTTTCCAGGTAGAGAGTTGGTTCCGACAGAGGCGACAAGGCATCCACCCACCAGTTTGCTCCGAAACTGATGCTCCGAAAGATGGTTCGATGTTGCTAGGGCCTAGTCCCGCGAATGAGTCTAATGATACCTCCAAAAAAGCTACAGGTGCTCCATTTCTCGGGTTCTTTGGATTTGGTTACATTACACTGCATTCCTTGGTGTCTGTTTGCAATGGGACATTTTGTTGATTTGGAAACTATGAAATATAATTAAGCTTGAAGTGTAGTGAGATTCTTCAACTTATAGTGTGAGGAGAAGGGAGGAGCTAAATTGTGTGGAACAAAGCGAAGTTTAGGGATGAGTATGGGATACTTCGACTTGAACTTAAAGCATATGGAAATGAATGAAATAAGTTGTGCAAGATAGTTAAAACTTCGTTAGTATTGAACTCTCTGCAGAGTACTCTCATGTAGATTGAAATCATCCAGTATTATCTCATTTATGAATTGATGTTTTACTTAAGTGGTTCATTGTAGGTCTTATGAAAACTTCATCCAAGCTTCTTTCTCAAAAAAAAAAAAAAAAGATAAGGGTGCACTAAATTGATTTTGATAATTAGCTTTTACTGAAGGGATTCGAATCTGGAACCTCCAGGTTCAAGACTAGTGGTACTACAACTAGGCCAAACCCTTGTTCGCTTTTTTCTTTGCAGTATCATATATCTCTTTGTATAGGTGGAATGTTAATGATAACTGAGCCTAACATACCTAATAATTTACTTTTTAACTTGCCCTCTCCATAATGACTGCGATTCAAGTCCTTGTTCAAGCATTCTCACCTTGTTATGTCAGAGCAAGAGGATTCTTGTGCTATGCTTCTTGTGTATTTAACTTTCGTTTTGTTCAAGTTCAAGTCAAAATCAAAATGACCAACTTCTAAAATAAGCCCAAGTTTCGACCAATATTATTGCTAATCTTGATTGGTCTTTTCTTTCTTGCCATATTTCATACACATTTATGATTGAACTGCTACTATTGATGTGCTCCACCAATGCTATTTGCAGAACAATTAGAATATCGATAAATAGCAACTTGTTTGCACCATTGGTGCCGTCAGGCCACTTGAACCTAGGTAGCTTGTGCTATTTAATAGAAAATTTAGAGCTTTAGGTTTGTAAAATTTTCTGGAGAAGGAATTTTCAATCTTCAAGTATAGAGTTGTTATGCTTTAAAGTTCATAACTTTTTCCAGAATATTGGAAACTAATAAGCTAGTAAACATCAAGTCAGACTAGGACACTAAGAATGAAATGGTAATGATGGTTGCATCTTAATCCTGTTTCCTATGACTTGGCTTTTGTTGCTCTATGGGAAGCTTTGCCATGACTTAGATAAGTGCTTCTGCATTCTAAAGTATTGGTGTTTACCTCAAACTTGCAGTTAGTGTGGTCTAACAAAATCAGGATATTGTCATAGCATCCGAACAAACTTAATGCAGCTAATGCTTCTTTCTGCTCCATCCCACTAAACACTTGTCTCTACTCCTACAGTCTCTTTCCTCGATAGTTCGGTTGCATACAGACTTGTAATGTGTTTCTTTTTTTATTTTATTTTTTGCGCCTTCTTGGCATATCTTGGACAAAAATAAAAGGCTCTACCCCTATCACTAATTATTTTGGATTTGTAGCAAAAGATTGTCTACCAACAAATTATCCCATTTTCTGTGAGTTTATTTGACTAAATCAATGAAAGAACTCCATCTTTGTGAATACTAGTAGGAAATGTTACAATACATGTAGAAAAGGTTGGTGTTCAATTTGAACAAAGAAAAACATGGTACTGTCGACCAAGTAAAGAGAAGATGGGAAGTCGGGTCATTTCGCTCTCTCTTCTTCTAAAGATAAATTGTGGTATGTCTCCTCATGAAATGTGCAGTCCTATTTGGCTTTTCTAGATCTTACCATTTTGCTCCCTGTTTTGTCAAGGTGGCTGTTATCCATTATCCAACCAATGACAATTTCTGTATCTTACTAGATCAGTGCTAAATAATAGCTAACCATTTTACATAGCATCAGAATAGGAGCACTTCTACTATGCTATATAGCATTGATGCTTTAATGTACAACTGAAAGTTGTACCATAACATTAAATGTATAAGTTTAGGTTGTACCATAAAGCAATTTGTACCATTATGTTATGGTACAACTTTACAACTTGAAGTTGTACCATCACATAAATGTACAAGTTCAAGTTGTACCATAAAAGAATTTGTACAAAAAGTATAGGTACAATCTAAAGTTGTACCATAACGTAAATGTACAATTTTAAGTTGTACCATAAAGGCAAAAACCTATAGCACCAATACTATATAGCATTGTAAAATTTCTCTCAGAATATATATTTCTTCCAAACTAGTAAAGTGACATCTATTTTATTTTGCATGAGAGATCATAATCTTTTGTAAGTTTCCTTTATCAAACCATGCTAAAGTGACATCTATTTGACTCAATACAGGGCATATGCAAGACTGGTCGACGATGCAATTTGAAGCAAAGTCATCAAAAGATGGTGCTTGGTAAGCAAAAATAAGTATGATATCTAGTGGTTCCAATTGGATAATATGTGATTTTTAGTGAGAAAAGGGATGAGCATTGGTGGTCATCTCTTATGGAGAAGGATGTGTAGTTATTTGTTTCTTTTAGCAGAACGGATGCCATTGTTTTTAGGCTCAACATAGAGATTATTAGTTGAAGCAAGAATATTTTGTACTTTTTGAATGCTCAATGTTTGAGTCCCTTGCTTACATGGAGAAATGCACAACAAAGTGTCGAGTGTCTTACTAGACGTCTGGATCTAAGTTCGATGCTTTTTCCCCCGCTTTCCAGGTATGATGTTGAGCTTTTCCTTTGCTACAGAAAACTACCATCAGGAGACCTTGTAAGTTGTTTTAGTATGACTTAGTTATTCTTTTCATGCTAGTTCCCTTGTCTATAACGGTCTCGCCAATCATGATCATTGAAGATAGTAAATTCAATTAGTCAAATGATAACTTCCAATTAGCAATTTTCTTAGTAATATTGACTTGACATCACGATACTGACTTGGAAGAGATACATGGATGCTAACATTCCAATACTTCAGCATTTTAACTAAGAAAAAAGTTACAAAATTATTAATAGTAACAAAAACTGACTAATCTTTTTATACATTACAAAATATTTGGGTAATTATTAGTAATTCAGAAGATTTGGCTAATAAAGATGAATGCGGAAAAGGTTTTGCTAATAATTAGTATTTACCCTAAAAGTAAAAATTAAAGAAAGAGTGTTGATAAGTTTTCGGGATAAGTTAAATTGATGAGTTGTGACTTATTTTGTAGTAGTAAAAAGTAATTGTTGTAATAATAGATAGTTTATTCACTAATAAAGAAATGAGTAGGTTATAGACATGGCAATTCAACTGATGCATTTTATAACGTGTTGAAGGAAGTTCTTGTCAGATTTGAAGGATATGGGGCAGAGGAGGACGAATGGGTAAATGTAAGAGAGGCTGTCAGACAACGCTCCGTTCCCGTGGATCCTTCAGAATGTCATTTGGTGAACGTTGGGGATGTAGTATGTTGCTTTCAGGTGAGTGGCGCAGTTGCTTGCCAGTATCTCCCAAATCTTGGCTGGTTTTGTTGGTTGAATCCCAGAGAAATTAAAAGTATATGAGATATGAAATATATCGTTGCTTGTAATGAAAAAGTAACAGACGAGATAGTAAATAGCATACATAATAGTAAAATAATTGTGGAGTGTTGGAAACTGATGAATGCTATGTGTATGAAGTGTAAGTTCATATTTTTTTATTTAGCGAGCTGACTTCTAGTTTGCATTGTTCATCACGAGTAGTCTGACTTCTTGCTCAAGTTACTAGCTATAACAAACACTTTGTTGTCAGGAGAGGAAGGATTATGCGATTTACTACGACGCTCATGTGATCGGTATCAAGAGGAAACTGCATGATATAAGGGGTTGCAGGTGCATTTTCAAGATACGGTACAATCACGACGACATGGAGGTCAGGATCTCGATCGCGTTGCTCTTCCCCGGGTGGGTGTTGATAGTTGGGTGGGATGGTGGCTGACCCTGGAATTGGTTCGTTTGCTGTTGTTGCCAGGAAAGAGTTCGCCTGAGAAGACTTTGTTACCGCCCAACACCTTGATGGGAAGCTGAGACCTCTTCTTCGAGTATATAGTAGTAGTCATGTATGACATCAATACATGTGAAAAATGAAAAAGAGTTTTCTTTCTGTCTGATCAATGCTTCCATTGTTTCAGTAAATTGGGAGCTGGCACTACAGTAGAATGTTGATGACAAAAAAAATATGAGGTATGTGGGGAGAAACCGTCGCCAGTAGCCTTTTCTTTTTAACAGGTGTTTGTTAATATTGTACCTGACCGGCTGGCTGCACCCTTCAAACTGGTTTTTTTACCAGTTTGGAATATTTGTACTGATGGTGACTAGGGGTGGCAGTTTGGTTATTTCGGTTATAACCGGTAACCGATTGGCCGGTTAATGGTTAATTGAAATAATCACTTCCCCTACTGAAAATCGCCTGAAATAGGCTTTGGTGTCTCGGTTATCGGTTAACCGAATCACTTTTAACACCAAAAACCATTTCATCCAGCCTCTGATAACCGACCAAAGTTCGGTCTAATCGGCCAGTTATCGGTTTAATCGGCCAGTTAACTGATAACCGGTAACCGAACGACCACCCCTAACTGTGACGGTGTGATCTCTGATACGGTTTTACATACGTTATTGTTAATGTCCATCGGTTCGTTTAGTAACAAGTTGAGTATGAGCTAAATTTTGTTCAACTCACAACGGCCATGAGCTAGCTCAACTTGGTGGTTTGTTGAGCTCAAACTCATGGACTAGCTCGTTTTGAGCTCGATAGTATAGCTAGCGAGCCACCTCATACATTACTCATATACAAATTACTATTAAATAACATTATAAGAATAATTAAAATTATAAACTACATTATATGATACTTGACCTCGAATCGATCACGCGGATTAATTGATGGCCGAACTCGAATCGAGCTTAATCAAACGCAAGCAAACGAACATTTTTCATATAAGCAAGTCGAGTTATATCTGGACTCTTTTATTAAATCAAGATAGGTCAAAACTCTATTGTACGGCCCCACGCCTACCCCACCTTTTGACTATCTTCCTTCATATAAAAATCGAAACTTTCTTCAATCCAATCTTCACCGATATTCCCCCGCGCCCCTGGATGAATGTTCCGTTCCTCGCTGGAACCTTGTCACCACCGTCATCATCGCGCATACGATCCCTGAGAGCAGAGAATTCGATCATCCCACAAACCCGCCGTTTTCGGTTTCCTCTGCCGTAACGGATTGTGATCGGCGTGGATTCTAACGAGACCATAATCGCAGAGAAAATCCACACGCGCGAACAGAATCGCTGGGTTTTTTATGCAAATCAAAATCTTGGGTCTGGAGCTTTCGAGAGGATCTTACTAATACGATGGAACACTACGACATTGGAGGCCGCAGTGGGGAGAATCCCGAGCCAGAGGACGAGGGAAGCACAGCTCCTTTGCCTGAAAAGGTTGGTTTCTCTCTGCCCGCGCCATTTTCCTTTTTTCCTGATGGGTTTTCGAAAATGGTCTCTGCAGTGTAGACTATAGGGTTCACTTTTTTTGATTCACAGGTGACTGTTGGTGGTTCCCCAACTTACAGAATAGATAGAAAGCTTGGGAAAGGAGGGTTTGGACAAGTCTATGTTGGTAGGCGAATTGGTGCTGGCCCTGGTGCGGTAGAGGTGTGTGTGTGTGTGTGTTTCCCATGTTTGAACTCTGCAACTTTTGTAAGTATACACCCTTTGGTGGGGGGTTTATATCAAGTCTCTGAATTTCAGGTGGCCTTGAAGTTTGAGCATAGAAGCAGCAAGGGATGCAATAATCGTCCACCATGTGAGTGGCAAGTTTACAAGTGAGTTCCTTGTCATAGCTTTTTATAGTTCGTTCTGCTAATGAACCAGTGTGGATATGATGTGATGAACTTATCATCCCTTTTTACCTCTGGTAATGCTGATAGTACACTTGGAGGCAGCCATGGCGTGCCACGAGTCCATTTCAAAGGCCGGCAAGGTGACTACTACGTGATGGTATGTTGGTCGAGCTTGAGTTCTTGTGTTCATGAAACGATTAGCGGTTTGATGCACAGGGATGGTGAAAATGGAGCCCGTATTTGCTGCAGGTCATGGATATGCTTGGTCCGAGCTTGTGGGATGTTTGGAATAATAATTCAGACACGTAAAGAATTTGTTTTGGAGTTGGAAGTTCATGCCTTTTTCCACAACATTGGATTTTGTGGGTTCGGAATTCTCGTAATGCTCACCCGTTACATTTTTATTTCAGGATGTCGATTGAGATGGTTGCCTGCATTGCCATCGAAGCCCTCTCCATACTGGAGAAGGTGCACTCTAAAGGGTAATGCACCGAATCTTTCCCCCTTGCTTATGTGAACTTGTCTGTTCTCTTGTGGGGTTGCCTTTGGATTCCATTGGTTCCAAGGTTGTTGATCAAATGCCCTATTTGCTCCATGCTATAGGGACCCTGCCTGTATCTAGATTTTGAAGGTCGAGTGCGCCCACTCGGAAACCCCATGTCGTTTAGTGTGATGCTGGTTGAGATAGTTTTTCCAATTTGCTGATGTTGGTTTTCCAGATATGTTCATGGAGATGTAAAACCTGAGAATTTTTTGTTGGGGCCCTCAGGAACTCCTGATGAGAGAAAGTTGTTTCTTGTCGACCTTGGTCTGGGTAAGTTCAATACTGTTCTCTGCAGGTTGTCTGTATTATATGTTAGAAATGGTTCTTTCTGTGTATTAACTGTACCTGTTGATAATTTCACAATGGGGAACAGTGGGTCACCAAGTTAGACTACAAACTTCTGACCCCCCTTGACGTTCACAGTGTGAAGAGATGTATGCACTGGAACGCAGTTGATTTATCGTCTTAAAGTTGATCCAGGAAATGCTTACAAGTTATATCATGCGTTTGTTTCAACTTTACAGCTACAAGGTGGCGTGATAATTCAACTGGTTTGCATGTTGAGTATGATCAACGGCCTGATGTTTTCAGGTAAATTCTTGTTTTTGTTCCTTAGATAAAAACAGCTTAAAGACCTTGTAGCAGCCTTATTTTCTTGCCGTGGCTCAGTGCTAAGGTGGGTTCCGTGATTCAGGGGAACAATGAGGTATGCTAGTGTTCATGCTCATTTAGGTAGAACTGGTAGCCGGAGAGATGACTTGGAATCTCTGGCCTACACTCTTGTTTTCCTTCTCCGTGGTCGGTTACCTTGGCAAGGATTTCAGGTCTGCACTGTTGGATCATATGATTTCATCAAGAAAGTGAATTTTATTGTCTCTAACTACAGCCTTTTCTAGGGGGAAGATAAAGGATTCCTTGTTTGCAAGAAGAAGATGGCTACTTCCCCAGAAACTTTGTGTTGCTTATTTCCTAAGCCTTTTCAGCAATTTGTAGAGTATGTGGTGAATTTGAAGTTTGACGAGGAGCCAAATTATGCCAAGTATATCTCCCTCTTTGATGGGATTGTTGGCCCAAAACCAGATATTAGGCCAATAAACACCGATGGGGCTCAGAAGGTAACTTTTGTTGCCTGTTTTTATATTTTTCTTCACTTCATTTATCTTCTTGTATTAATCAATGAATTCGGTCATGTGAAGCTTATTTATCAGGTTGGACACAAGAGGGGACGATTGACAATGGAGGAGGGGGAAGATGGAAAACCATGTAAAAAGATCCGAATGGGAATGCCTACAACACAGTGGATCAGTATCTATAATGCTTGCCGGCCCATGAAACAAAGGTTTTCCTTGTAAGATTGTGGCACTTACTGCAATGTTCACAAGAAAGGTTATTAATTCTTTGAGCTGTTGCAGATATCACTACAATGTGGCTGACACAAGACTCTCCGAGCACGTTGAGAAAGGATACGGAGATGGCTTGTTTATAAGCAGTGTGGCTTCATGCTCAAATCTATGGGCCCTCATTATGGATGCTGGCACTGGCTTCAGTGCTCAAGTTTACAAGCTTTCTTCTCAATTCCTCGACAAGGTTGGTTTTCATTACAAGTTTATGATGCAAATATGTAGCGAGCAGTATAATGCTGCAATGCCTGTTGGAACTTGGGCTTTTGTCTTTAAATTTTTCACTGCAACTTGTAAATGTATAACCGGTTTGATACCTTTTGGCTCAAAAGGAATGGATTATGGAACAGTGGGAAAAGAATTACTATATCAGTGCAGTTGCAGGAGCTAATAATGGCAGCTCGTTAGTTGTGATGTCTAGGGGTGAGTGGCATATCCTCAGTTGCTTCATTTTTATGGTTTCTGATGCCTCTTACCAACACATATCGCTTTATGAAACAGGTATGCAATTCTTACAGCAGTTGTATAAAGTTAGTGATTCGTTTCCTATCAAGTGGATTAATAAGAAATGGCGAGAGGGGTTCTATGTCACTGCCATGGCCACTGCTGGAAGTAGATGGGCTATTGTCATGTCTCATGGGGCGGGGTTTTCGGATCAGGTCTTATGGCTCTCTGTGATTCTCTGCTCCATATAGATTCTCTTACTGCTGAACATTATGGTTGTTCTGAATGTCTTTTTCACTTGGTAGGTCATTGAATTGGATTTTCTGTATCCTAGTGAAGGCATTCAACGCAGGTGGGATAATGGTTACCGTATCACCTCAGCTGCTGCAACTTGGGACCAAGCTGCCTTTGTTCTTAGTGTCCCACGTAGAAAACCAGTAGATGAAACTCAAGAAACCCTTAGAACATCTGCTTTCCCAAGTACACAAGTTAAGGTATATTCCATTTGCCATTCTCTTACAAATTTTTGTTTCTGTGTGTTCCTGCTTGTGTCTCCTTTTTATTTACACTCACCTTCCTATTTGTTCCAGGACAAGTGGGCAAAGAATCTCTACATCGCCTCAATCTGCTACGGCAGAACTGTCGCATGAACAGCTGAAGTCTTATCCGAATCCCATCACGTGTCTCGCGACATGGAACCAAAGCTTAAAAGAACGATGGTGTTGCCAACATGGATCGGCAAAAATCATGCCATTGCCATCGCTTAGCGTCCAGGGAGCTCGCGCTTGTGTGCACATTCTCTCAGTCGCAGAGTCTCGCGCTGAGTTGCATTTCATCTGGAAAGTCTGTATGTATAACCGTCGGCGGAACAACAGAACCAAGTCTTTGTGTTTGAGGGTCCTATGCACCAGATCCCTGCTCCATTGTTGATCTGAAGCAACAAGAGAACGCGACCTCTGCGGTGAGCTCCGAGCTTTCATTCTCAGGGGCTCCTCGTGTCTCCGACTTCCGTGCTCTCTGCCATGAAAAGGCGGGCGTCGCTCGTCAGTCCATCCCCTGTGTTCTTGGGATGTCCCACTATGATCCAAAAGACTCTGAATGCAGAGTGAACTTTGTATACTCTGCAAGATCATGTATTTGGTCTAGTGCCGGTTTAAGGTCACCTTCTTTTACTATTTTTTGTTTACCATTTGAACTACTTCTACAACATTTTGTGGGAGGCATGTTCTAGCCATGTATATTTAATTAAGGCGTGCTTACACAGCTGCAATTGCTTTCAAGAAGCTACTTAGAGCATAATGATGATAAAAAAAATAGAATATGAAGAGGGTTTGGCTATTTTCCCCGCATTCCAGATTACAAGGCTCGCACACGCAAGCTATTTACGTACGATTACTGGGAAATTGGGGAACTGATGAGAAAACTGCCCATACCCCCAACTCCCACTCCCTGCTGGGAATGATGGGAATGACAATGGGTAGGTTGGGTTTTGTCAAACCCAAACTCAAATCTATAGGTTTATCAGTGAAAAAATTTTGGAGGTAATACCCACTGCGGGTTCATGGGTACTCATGGGTTTTTGTCGTAAAAAATTTACAATAATAAGTTTCTATCAAAATAAAAGTCAAATATCAATCTTTTAATACAAATTATCGATATATAAAACACCATTCTAGAAAATTTAAGCAAATACACAAATTAACCATACAAATTGTTCAACGCCAATCTAGAAAACTCAAGAAAATTGAACCAAATATCCATAAACAACAGGATTAATTGAAAGCTTCTTCCTCCTTATCAATTAACCTTCTTCACTCTCCACTCGATAATATCAGCTCTATACAATTAGAAAGAAAAAATTAGACATGTCTCCACAAACATAAAGAAGATTAGTTGTTTAGAATATTAAATATACCAGAAAAATTAATTATATGGGTGTGGCCGGGTACCAATGGGGCGGGATTTACTTAAACTCAAACTCAACCCGATGAATAGTGAACGAGTTTAAATCCAAACCCGGCCCAAAACCCGTCAACACGGGTTTTACCCGCGTTGACCGGATTTGGTCGGGTAGGGGGCCCGAGGGTTCGGGTTTTGTTGTCATCCCTACTCCCTGCCACCGAATTCCATTATATGCTTACTCTCTCACAATTGTGGTGTACTCGCGAGCTGGCTCGTCGGTTGAGTCGTTTTAACTCTGATCCGGCGAGAAAAACGAACCACACACTCCTACGTATCGACTTGTTACAAGGTTATCGGGTTGAGGTCACACAGCGTCATTTTTCTCTTGATTTGTTAAATGTGTGAATTCTGTTGAATCCAAGTACGACCTGTTATTATATTGGTGTAATGTTATATGTTATTATATTAGATGAGATTTATAATAGATTAAACCGAGTTGACAACCTTAAAATGAAAACCTAACGTATTTAGAAGGTATACGCAACACGAACTAGGGATGGCAATGGGTTGGGACGGGTTTTGTCAAACCCAAACCCATGGGTTTATCCGCCAAAAAACCCGGGGTAAAACCCTTTGGGTTTGAAAAACTCAAACCCAACCCGCTGGGTATCCGCGGGTTCATTGGTACCCGTGGGTTTTTGTGGTAAAAAATGACAATAACAAGTTTCTTTCAAAATAAAAGTTTTAACATTAATTTTCTCATAGAAATTAATCATACAAAAAACACCAATCTAGAGCATACAAGCAAACCGCAAATGATCAATACAAATTGTTCAAAATTAAAGATAAACATCTATAAACAATAAGATTAATTGAAAACTTCTTCCACGTCAACTAAGTTTTTTCACTCTCCACTCCATCATATCAACTTCATTATAAACAATTAGAATGAACAAATTATACATGTCTCCACAAACATAAAGAATATTAGTTGTTTAAGGAAAATATATTATTTATAATATTAAATATATCGAGAAAGTAATTATATGTGTGTGGGCGGGTACCCATGAGGCAGATTTACCTAAACTCAAACCCAACCCGACCCGGTGAATAGTGTAACGGGTTTAAACCCGAACCCGACCCAAAACTCGTCAACATGGATTTTACCCACGTTGATCGGGTTGGATCAGATGGGCACTCGTGGATTCGGGTTTTGTTGCCATCCCTATTCAACTGGCAAAGCCCACGGAAAATCGCCGCTACCATCCAATTACGATGACTCACGTGTGCCAAAGAAAGAGAATTCGCTTTAACAAATAAATTAATTATTCCACGCCTCCATGATTACTACTTTTGATCATTACGTTGATCTCTAATTTGTCTTGGTCAGATTCCTACATATACAACAATTTCGGGATCCATTACCTTTCTCACAACAACAGCAACCATGGCGGAAGAGATTGATGAAACCAACGACAACAAGAAATGGAAGGGCAAGGTGACGGCGAGAGTAACGAAAGCCACCGCCGACCAGATATGGCGCCTCTTCGCCGATTTCTTCCACATTCACAAGTGGTTCCCCAACGTCCCCTCCAGCCGCGGCGTCCACGGCGCCAACGGCCACCCCGGCTGCGTCCGCTACTGCTCCGGCTTCTCCATCCCCGCCGCCGGCGAGGCGGCGGTGAGCTGGTCAAAGGAGAGATTGACCGCCGTCGATCACGACCGGCGGTTTCTGAGCTACGAGATCGTCGATTGCAACATCGGGTTTCAAGGGTACGAATCGACGGTCGAGATCGTTCCTGATGGGAAAGGGTGCGCGATCGAGTGGGGGTTCAGCGTTGATCCTGTGGAGAGCTGGACACTGGATTGCTTGGTGAGGAAGTATGAGTCGGCCCTGGAGGCCGCGGCCCGGAGAATGGAGGAAGAGATTTTTGGATCGGTTAAGTAAAGTGGGCTGGGCCTGCTGGAGGTTCATGGATTCAAAAAGCCCATTATCTTTCCCCATGAGATAATAATAATAATTGTGATAATAACTGATAAGCTTACGTAGTTATGTATAGCCTTGAGCTGTTTACATTTTAACTGGAAAGGAAGAAAGTGCTTCAGTTCTTCACTTCTTCTGCAGTTTTGCTGCTAGTTTATACGTATACAACTATCATAGTGTGGAAGCTAAAAAGAAAATTATTATGACTGTAGGATAAAAAAAAAATTTACAGCATGAGTGCTCCTAAATCTCAGTAGGATAGCAGCTGTTTGGCGCTGCTCCACCGTCTGCAAACTAAAAGTCTACCCGAAGTCTATAAACACACTTATTTTCTTTCAGAAACCAGCAGCTAGCTTCGTTTCCATCCAGTCGATGATCTCCTGCGCGATCTCCTCCCTCTCCGGTTCGAAGAGGAGGTCGTGCAGGAACCCTTCGTACAGCCTGATGTCTTTGAACTTGGAGGCGGCTTCGTTGTACAGATCCTGAGACGCTAGAGGATCGGTGACCCTGTCAGCCGTGCCATGGAGAACGAAGAATGGAACCGTGACGGATTTTATGTTGCGCATCAGGTAGGACGAGATGCGCAGTATCTCGTGGCCCGTTCGGACTCGTATGGGGCCGGTGTAGACCAATGGATCGGAGTACTTGGCCAAGAGTGCTGCAGGGTCCCTCGAGACTGGGATGCCCCTCTTGTTGGCTCCTTTGAACTGGAACCTCGGGGCGACCAGAGAAACAATGGGAGCCACAGCCTGGAAACGAAACGAAACGAGAAGCACGACGAGAAGAATCAAGAACTAGTTCGTTCCAATGACGAGCTGTTGGGAAATGTCTTACAACCAATTCTGCATCGGACATCTTTAGCATATTTGTAGTTACTTACCGCAACGATTGGATGAGAAGGCTTAACACGCAAAGCAGGCGAGGTTAGCACAATCCCTTCCACCATCTCTTGAATGCGAGGATATGATGCTGCCTGCATAACCAAATATTTTCTCCATCATTCAACAAAAATCCGAATCTCCCACGTAATTGTACCATACGGTAAACTCAAAGACGGGTTAGTTTACCTTCAAAACCACAGCTCCTCCTGTTGAGTGACCAAAAAGGAAGCACGGTACTCCAGGGTTCTCAGACTTTATCTTCTCCAAGAAAGCCCCCTGTTACACAAGGTGTTACAACCCTCCATAGTCTACGAGTAGCATGAAAAGTTCCCATAGCACCATGATTTGTCATCCAGGTAATCCGTAAACTGCACACTTAATCACGTTCTAAGAGCAATTGAAACTGCATTACCAGGCTAGTTGAACATGCATAAAGAGTTGGGGAAAAAAGACATGCCTGAAAGAGTTGGCAAGGACTGATAAAACCAACTTGACACAGGATGGTCACAACTGATCTGAATGCACATTAGTGGGAACACTGAACTTACAGTATCTGCAACAACATGGTCGAGAGAAGGAACGTATCCGTGCAACCCATCGCTCCCACCGTGACCTAAGCCATCAAATAGACAAATGGAACAGCTAATCCAAATGTAGAGCTTCTAAGTATTCATTGTAAAAGACTTTTCTTTTTTTTTTTTTTTTTTTGTTAAGTTTCATTTTCATTCCATTCTACTGTCCCACGATTGGAAGAAGAGTTGCATACCTATCCAGTCCATAGCATAGACTCCAAAGTTCGACGAGGTTAGCTGCTTCGCAAAGTGAGCATACCTTCCACTGCGCATTACACATAACCAGGCAAGAGAAGCACCATTAATCACAAACTTCCAATCTCTACATAATCACCATAGGTGAAAGATGAGAGAATACAAAAATTGCTGAAACAGGATATCGAATAGTTACCCGTGTTCATTAAGTCCATGGATGATGACCAAAATTCCCCTGATATCAAACTTCATTCGTCAGCTTTAAGCATGGAGAAGACAGCATAGAAAGCTAGAAGCAAAACTGGTTCACCTTAAACATGCATTTGATTTTTACAAAACCCCACGAATGTTTCCTTTTTTTTCTGCATATGGAAACATGAAATTCGACTGTATCTAATCGCAAGGGAATAGAGATTCTTCCAATTACGAGAAAATCAGAGCCCTAAGATCATAGTTTTGCAACAAACAAAAACAAAACGAACCCTCCAATTCCAATTTCAAAATTTCCAGGTGAAAAATGAACTGAAACGCGGAATCAAACAGCTGAGTATCAATTTTCAATCAGGACGCTTCGAAGAGAGCGAGAGAGAGAGAGAGGGAGGAAACCTTACTTCAAATCGTCGTGAAGCGGGAACCAGGAGCGGCAGAACAGAGCGTTCCGTTTCACGCCGAAGAACAACGAGGTGCTCCACCGGCACCGAGTGTCACCGTCGACGGTCATGTCGATGACCTCGGCAAGGGCTCTCCTCCGCAAGGTGTCCTCCTCCTCCAGCCTCCACATGGATCGCCGCTTAGACGAATTGGCGGAGGAGGACGAATCCGCCGACGTAGACGGAGAAGGTCGGCGGCGCGGGAAGAGGAAGATGAGGATGGCGAGGAAGATCGATTGCACGAAAATGAGACATCTCCTCAGGACTCTGAGGATCGGGATGATGCGATTGCTCGCACCGGACGTCAGGGGTTCCATCTCCGCCACCGTCGACATGGCCGAGACGGAAGGGGGAAAAAAATCGAAAAAGTCTCACCAAAAAAAAAAAAGACGAAAATGAGAACGGAGAGAGAGAAAGGGAAAAGGAAAAAAAAAAATTGGGTCTTAAAAGCGCGCAAAAATTAAATAGGGGAAGAAAACGATGCTTACCTGTCCGACCCGGCCATTTTAGTACGTTACGGTCCACATAATTAATAACGGACAATTATTATAAAATTGTACGTCGTCCACGTGGCGAGTCCTGATTGAGAGTACGTGGGGCCTGCTGCAGTGATGGACGGTGGAGATTGATGTACGAAAGGCGGGAAGATGACGTGATTGCGCGAAGAGGTTACAAAACGTCGCGTTTCATTTATTCATTTCAGTTGGCCGAGTCACTGAGTCAGCGGACAGGTCAGTTGGGCAATAAAAAAAATTGTTTTTTAATAAGTTAATTTTTCTTAACTACTTAGCCCTAATAAAAAAAAATTGTTTTTATAATAGGTAGAATGATAGCTCATATTTTTACGGCCCACTACATTCATAAAGGCCAACAAGATCCACAAACAGGCCTAAAATTTCAACCGGGCTCGTTAAAGCCCACTAAAATCAACGAAACTCAGTCACCCAGCCCGCGTTACTAACGGAAGGGGAGAGAGTCACGTGAGAGTACTGCTGCTGACCACGTGTTCGCCCATAAAAACAAGGTGGCCGGCCGGGAACCCGCCGGCGAGCAGAGTCTTGCAGAAAAAGAAAGGCGTATATACTCACATGCTCGCCTGACAATCCTCCCCGGCGCCATCTCTGTCACGTGCGATTACCGCACCCATGGCATGGCGAGTTACTTCTACTAGTGAGAGGATGGAGATATCTTACTCCCCGGAGTAAATAAACGGCGGCTGCCGGCCACACCACCGCCGCCTCCATCGCCATAAAATTCACCGCCATCTCATCTCTTCCAGCTTTTGCAGCAGGATATGTGCATTGTTCACTGCATTATTCACGTTTTTGTTTTACTGTTTTGGGTATGTTCGATCTGTAACCTTAGGATTAAGCCGTCTGAAGAAAGCGTTATATGTACTTTCCGAGTCTCTATACTCTGTATCTCGTTAAGTACAACGTGAAACTGTGAATCGGATCTCTTCTGAGTCCTGCGTGAGCTCAGAACCGACATCCAACACAGTTGCAGTTAATCCCGAGAAATCTGTTAAGATTAGTGGAGAACAGAGAGCAAAGGGCAGGTGGTAATTAATTTCACTAATTTGATTTTATCTTTTGTATTCATGTAACGTGTAAATGCAGGCCGTCGTGCAGCTCACTGGTGGATGGTGGAGCGGATTGTGAGGTTAATTAATGTAAATTATATGAACGAGATAAATTAATTAAAGTAGGATGCAGGGAGTGTCAGGTGTTTGTTTGTTTTTTTTTTCCTTCCTTTTCCACGTCTTAATTACCCTCTTTCTCTAATTAATTAAGAACCTAGGTCACTAATCTTTTTTAGTTTTCAAGTGTAAAGAAGAAAAAAGCGAATCTAGCTGGTGGTACTATGAAGACGATAACATCAATTTGAATACACATTCAATTTTAAATTTTTGGAGCAAGACGTACACATTCCTTATTCACAAATCGAGACATCGCATTCCCTGTCTTTCGTAAAAATGACTGACAACAGTTATGAGATCAAGGACGCGGCTGAATTTGTGTACACAAAACATGGGTTTCCTAATAGAGTTTTAGAATTAGAAGTTATGGTGTGAACTCGCGGTATGAAGTTGCAGAATTTGGTAGGTTCGCGTGCAAAAAGGGTGACCAAGGCCATAAAAAGGGGGGGTAGGATTTCGGTTAAACCGAATCGTAGTTCCGAACCCGAAAAAACGACTCGAAACATTTTTCACGAAAAATGTAAAACCAAATTGTCAAGAGGGCTTAATGATTTTGATTTTCTCATAGAACTTCAAATCGAGACCAGCAACGATTTTAATTGTAACCGATAAACACAAAACGATTTCGAGCTTGAAAGCACCTTTTTTTTTTTAATCAAGTTGTTCCTTTCTCTCTCTTTTTTTTTTTTATTTGTATTTCTTACAGTGAGTGACTTTTGGGAATGGTGTAATTTTGCGGGTTATTCACTTCACCTTTCCTCGTCAAAATGGCACCTCCATATTTGTAGCTGTCCTCCCCTGTCCCCCTTCTAACGCAAACCCAAAACTCTCTCTCTCTCTCTCTCTCTCTCTCTCTCTCTCTCTAAATCACTTTCTTCTTCACACAACACCCAATTCCCTCTCCACACTCCACTCCCTCCCTCAAATTGTACCAAGAAAGAAAGAAAAAAAATTAGACAGGAAAAGGGGTAATGGAAGCACCAGAATTGTACCAATCTAACAATGGCGGAGGAGGATTCTGCACCGCGAACGAAAGGCAGCACTCTAGTATTGACAATTCCAAGCCCAGTAATGGCGGTGGTGGAAGTGAGCATTTCGTCGTGGAAGACCTCTTGGATTTCTCCAACGAGGACGAGGACGAGGAGGAGGAGGAAAACGACGCCGTATTGACGGCCGACGAATCCTCCACCGTCGACAACAGCTGCAATTCCTCCTCCGGCTCCGACCCTCCCGCTCCTCCTCCTCCTCCTCCGGCCGCCGCACCTTTCTCCGACTCCCACTTCTCCAACGACCTCTGCGTCCCGGTAATTAAGTCAATTTAACCCCATGTTTTTTAATTAATTAAATTGATTCTTCAATAGGTTCAATTCTTCTGTAATTGAGCGCGACCATTACTCCATTAGCGATAATTCGGATTAAGCGTAATTAATTTTGTTCTTTTTTATTTTTGTCCTTTTTCCCGATGACCGTACAGTACGACGATTTGGCGGAGCTGGAATGGCTGTCCAATTTCGTGGAGGAATCGTTCTCCAGCGAGGAACTGCAAAAGCAGCAGCTCATCTCCGGGATGAAATGTTCATCCCACCACGCCGCCGGCAGCAATTTCGTCCCCGAGAATCCCACCGCCGGCAACAACAACAACAACAACAACAACAACCCCATTTTCACCGCCGACGTCTCCGTCCCGGCGAAGGCGAGGAGCAAGCGGTCCCGCGCGGCGGCGTGCAACTGGGCTTCCCGCCTCCTCGTCCTCTCCCCGTCTTCCTCCACCTCCTCCTCCGCCGCCGACCCGCCGGAGCTCACCGTCGCCCCACCTCCGCCGCCGGTTCGGCCGACGGCGTTTTTGCACCAGCACCCGGCGATGATGACGATGATGATGATGACGGGGAAGAAGACGGCGAAATCGACGACGCCGAAGAAGAGAGACGGCGGCGGCGGAGGAGGAGGAGGGGTGAGCAACGGCGGCGGGGAGGGGAGGAGGTGCCTGCACTGCGCCACCGACAAGACGCCGCAGTGGCGGACGGGCCCAATGGGCCCGAAGACGCTGTGCAACGCGTGCGGGGTCCGGTACAAGTCCGGGAGGCTGGTGCCGGAGTACAGGCCGGCGGCGAGCCCGACGTTCGTGCTGACGAAGCACTCCAACTCGCACCGGAAGGTGATGGAGCTGCGGCGGCAGAAGGAGATGATGATGACGCGTGGGCCCCACCACCACCACCCGGTCAATACGACGTCGTCTTCCCATCATCATCAGCAGCAGCAGCAACCGTTCTTCCACGGCCATTCTCATCATAATCACCACCGTCAAAGCGTGGTGTACGACGTCGCATCCAACGGTGGCGGTGACGATTACTTGATTCATCAACACGTGGGCCCCGATTACCGGCAGCTCATTTAGCGGGGGCTTTTTTTTTTTTTTGTCTTAAAAGGGTAAATTTAGGATAGGCGCGAGAGAAACAAGTCACGGAGTTTAGTGAGTTTCGCTTAATCTTTTTTTTTTCTTTCGCGTTCTAATTTTCTTTCTATTTTTGGTTTAATTTTCTTGCTTTTTTTTTTATTTTTGGGTTTTGCCTAGCATTTTCCAAAAAAAAAAAAATTCTCAGACTATACACGAGTTTTGTCCTTGGTGATTTTACGTAATGAGGTTAGCTATTTGCAATTTGCATGCAATTAGTTTTTGTTTGGTTGTTTATTATAGTGCATGGCAAATTGCGAGTTGTCAAATGAAAAAGCATGCTACGGATTGCGATGTGGACTAGTGAGGTATAGATAGATGATAGCATTAATGTGTGCGTATCGCACCAAATCTCGAGCAAAATAGTCTTGCTGGAATCCAACTTTACGAATGAGTGACGGTCTAACAAACGATATATCATCTCAACACAGCAAATTACTTCTGTTCCGTCGCCAATTGGATTCCAAATTCCAAGGCAAGATCGGCTCCGACCATCTCCGCACCCCGGCCAGTTCCCATTGGGCTCACTTCTCTCTCTCTCTCTCCTTAAAGAAAACGACCGACAGCATGCATCACAATATCTCGCACTTAATAAGCAATCAATCGACAACATAGAGTGTCGTCGCGCGAGAATTCAAACACGAACCCTCTGATGCTTTTGTTGCTGATCTGTTGATAATATTTTGTTGGTTCCAATAACTCGAGAATCACTAGAAGCAAGTGAGCAACTGGTCTGAACAAGACAAGTGATACAAAATTCCTATTCAAATCTCTCCTAACAACTCAACTTATTGATATCAACTAGTTGTTGTTCGTCCCACACTCTAAGCATTTGGATGGGTTAATTGTCAATGTGGTATTTGTAGAGTCAAATAACTCATTTATTATTCATGTGGTATTTCATTGTTATTTCAATGGTAATTGAAATAAAGTATCTCGTTTGGTTGAACCATGCAAATGTGGTATTCGACATGTGGTATTTGGTAAAAGCAGAGTGATAAAACGGATTATTTCGAAATAACACATGAATATAAGTTATTTCAATTATAACTCGTTTTGGGTTATTTGTAAATAACTCACTGTTCAAATGATGGAAAACTTGCATAAATATGCATATTATATCAAACATAAATTTCAGTGCAAGAGACTTGATCATGAGCGGTTGGTAACGAGAGGTGGGCGGTGGGCTGATTGGATTGGGATCGTTTCATATCCCAGAGAATGTTAGAAAACCAAAGAGGTTTTTGCAGCTTATTATTGTTTCCTTCCTTTTTACTTAAGTCTGTTGCATGAATTTCCCCAAACTCCATTTACAAGTTCGAGGGAGAAAGATAACATATATACAAATTTCCCAAATATTAATCTCATTTTCACTTCCTCACAGTGTAAAAATAACAGATAATTAATTAAACCCTAACCCTAAACTTTTAATTGGTGATAAAAATTAATTAAGATAATACATGGGGTTAGCAGTTGCACATTGATGCACGATCCTATGCAGACTCTACAGTACTATTTTTACACTGATCCAAAGACCTTGCAGTGCACACAGGCAAGTAGATTACTAGATTATAATTTTGTATAAATGATTAGTATTCAATTATTTTTATCACCTACTTATTATTAATTTAATTAACCCTCAATGTGAAGGGGGAAGCAAAATTTGCAGTGCTCACGTGCCCCTTCGGTTCCTCTCCAGCTTGATTAATTAAATAATTAATTAGTAAATAAAGGGGGGGATTAAGCTTTAATGTGGTTTCTCCATGCAGAGGATCACGTGCTTCCTCTCCACAGCGATATTCATGGGTCATGTTTAAAAGGTAAACCCAAAAAGTAAGTAAATAAATAAACAGAAGTAAATGTTTTTGATTAATAATATACTTAATTAAGCAAAGATTAAGGGTGGAGTCGGTGATTGGGCTAATTATTAATGGTTAAATTGAAAAGTGGGGAGAAAAGAAATTAAAGTAGAGAGAGAAAGAGGGTTGTTAGGTTAGCACAGTTAGCTTGTATTTTAGTCAAAGGGTTTTTGGTTCTCTGAGCAGCTTTCATGTGAGGCCACTGATCTGCAGCAAAGCTAGCTAAGTGGGCAGAGCAGTGCAGTGGGCAGCAGAGAGGATTGATTCTTATTCCATCCATTGAGGAAGGAAGGTGGTTGCACAAGCACCCAAAATTCCCCAAACTTTGATCCCAAGTTAAAAAGTTACTCAACCCAAAAAGAGGTTGATGATTTGATGATGGGTGTGGGGTTGTTTTTGGATTCGAACACATGATTCAGAGTTGTTGCGGAATGTTTAATTATCGAGCTAGCTAGTAAGTCTTCGAGGGGATTAGCTAGCTATTGGACATATTTGAACATGTTAGCGAGAGAGACGCCTCTGTTTATAACGAGATTGATTTTTCTGAGGTGAGTTCGCGATAAATTATTCATCAATCTTACGGTCGTGTCGTAAACCAGTTGGTCCCGATAACTCGAGTTGTTGGGAGAAGGTTATGCTAGATCTTATACAGGCCCCCATTTATGGTACTTAACCACTTCCTTACACGCTCCCCCCCCCCCCCCCCCCCAAACGAAAGTCGAGTCATGGGCTTGAAGTTTGCACAGGCCCGCCATACCATGTGCTTGAAAGACAGCGGTTAATATTGGGGGGGGGGGGGGGGGCGTGAGGACTTGAACACAAGACCTCAATGACAAATCAACTCTGATACCATGTCATGTCAGGTCATATCGGCTTGATTCACCAGACCAGACCCGCTCCTCCTCTGTCTCCTCCATCCTCGCCTCATTGCCGAGCTCTGCCGCCGCGTCGATCCGCACCGCCAGACTAGACTTTGGATTGAGCTGTTGTGGTGGAAGTTCATGATCTCGCGTCCTTGCTAGAGTTTGTTGATGTACGTCCGTACCAAACATGTTCGAGATATTGGTGGCTCAGCTCGACTCATATATGTACGATACAATACAACTACATTTGAGCATCTCTCCACCAACTTACGAAACACATTGGGATGAACTGGTTAATCATTCGATAGATATGATATCAAAATCTTTGATCGAGAGGGTTATGTTAATAAGTAATCACAGATTATAGGAGCAGCCTTCATGTGTTGATGCCCACTTGAGGGGTTTGTAATTTGTAAAAGGATTTATTTCTAGAATTAGAAGGGGGAAAAAGGACAGGAAATTGTTTTTTTTTTTTTATAACTAACTGAGGTAGCTTGAAAAGGAGCTGTCATGAGAAAAGGATAGATGAGAAAAGCAATTCCACTCTCGGCCCGACTTCTCCAGACAAACAAAAGCAATTTCACGTCAAGATTTTGCCACCTTTTCCCAATCCGAGAAAAAGGGCAAAACATCTAAAAGCACATATATCAGTAAACTATAAACATAATTGCATTGCATGCATGAGAGCTTCCCAAAGCACAGATGCATGGGGGAGGAATGCACTTCCATGTGTCAACCAAAAGTGCTTGTCCCCTCCTTTCCTTTCTCCTCAGGACCATCACTCGACTTACCTGCAATTACCAGTACTTTCAAACACAAGAATTGCCTAGACATGGCCACCATTGAAGGACAAAGTAGCAAGTTAAGGAATTACATGGGTGTTTTGGGTAGCTGATGTAAACTGCAGGGTTGATCATGGAAACTTGCAGTAGACTGGAGAAGATACCAGAAAAAAGCTCAGGGAAACAGAGTTGATATTATGGTTGTAGTAGGATATTTTCCACTTATCTCACCTTTAGTATATCACCCAACAGCTTCCCTGCCCCCATTCCTTATCTGTTCCTTGTTCAATGACAGAAACACAAAGCAATGTTGACAATATGGCCATGCACTGTTGCCTCCTGATAGATAATGAGAAGAAATGAAACCAACCACCCAGTCGTTTTTGGCTAGTGTCAGGCCAAGAACTGCCCATAAACAATCAATGGCAGATACAGATGAAAGAGAGCAGCAGACAGCTTCATTTCTCTACCAGTGATGTAGTAATAATGGTATGATGCTATTCCTATCCAAAAAATTTGAATTCAAAACAAGGGTTGTGACAACAATCCACGAAAGTACAGCAGCAGAGTCATGTCCAAGATTTTGATTGTTATTCTTGTGAGACGAAGACAAAACTCTTGCGCGGCAGAATGTGAGTTCAGAAATAGACGCGTTCTTCGTCTGACTTGGTTCGTTATCGAGGCACGCTCAATCCCAGTTCTGCAAAACAATTAGGAAACAAAATCCATCTTAGAGTGGCATAACTGGCATCTCTTAGTCACTTAAAAAGATGCTCTAATAGAGGCAATTAAGGAGTATATGATGATTAGAAACAATTGTCAAAAGAATGCTCTAGCAATCAGGTTGAATGCCTAAGTTTAATAACCAGAATGAGATACAAATTGATAGTGAATAAGATCAGATAGAGTCATAGTGATCTGTTTGGTCCATTCACTAGGCAACTCTAATACTCAATGCCCCAAAGGTGTGGGCTGGTTTAGAAAAGAGAGACCTTACTGAGATGAGAATCATAAACCGAGCCATTTTATCGCCAAACTGTAAGATGAACCTCAAGACACTAGTTCCAATAGATTGATTGATGTTCTTTGAAAGTTCATAGTCGAGATAACTCTGTATAGTGTTGGGATTAAAGAAAAATCCGAGAATTCCATCATCATCAACTTCGAAAATGAAGAGAATTCAAAGCTAGACTGTTAGGCCAACAACATTACAATGGCCTCATATCCAGCTAAAGATCAAATTACTGAACCTGAAAAGTGTATACAATTCGAGAACCGATAAATCATACGGCATACAGGTAATGAAGTACCTAGTTATGTCTAGCCAAAAAGAACACAGTATGTTCGTTGAAGGAACTATTACAGAATAAGCAAGACATTGTCAACCTGAGTTTGCAAATGCCTAACATATCCACCTCGATTTCTATATAAAGATAAGTTGTATGGCTGTCTCTATGCACTCTCATATGCACAATTGGAGGGGGGAAACTGTCCGGTAGTCGATGACCCCTATCTGTTTTGTGGTTCAAGGAGATAGTGAAGCACATTCATCTTTCTGCTCTAAATTAAGATAATTTAAACCCTGAATAAGGAGGCATCCAAGTCAGTATTATCTATCGGTTCCAGTTGGCTCTCTACTAAACTAAAGCAACTCGTACTCTCATGAGGTACGTATCGAGTTCTCGACCAATACTACACTCATTGCAATGCCTCTCCTGGAAAATCACATGCAATTCACTAGTCAATTGTTCTGGTTCGTGGCATTTCCTATCCAGAACTAAGTTAGTAGGAGAGGAAAAATTGGAAGCACAGAGATTCAATTGAACTGATTTCCAAAACTAGAACGAAGTAAAACCATAAATGGAACTGAATTCAAGAGTAAAAAGTTGCTTACAGATAACCAACACACAAAACATTTGGGAGAGATTTATCAAACTCCTGGGTTCGCACTGCAGAGCATACCCTGAGACAGCGACCGCGAGCTGGTGGAATCGATGCCGAGGCACGACGTGAGACGAGCTGAAGACACGGCGGAGTGAAGCGGGAGAAGCGATTGAAGAGCACCCAGCTGAGCAATCGGCCTGAGAATTGGACAACCTCTTAAAGTTTCAGTATTTTGTCAAAACTCCGCACTCAATTGAAATGGGTGGACGCTAGATTTTGACCTTGAGAATGTGGAAGAAGGGCGAGGTGGGAAAAGAGAAGCGGCCGAGGTGGGCGTGGGTTTGACGCCGGCGGGATTGTTGACCGCGTGTTTGAAGAGTGACGCCGTTGATTTTGAAAGAGCTCCGTAACGAGTCGCCATTGATGCCCGAAGGTGAACTGAAGACCCGGGAAAAGGAGTAAAGTTGGCGACTTTAGGGTTTATGCAGGAACAGAATCAATCAACGGAAGTTCCAGATTTGGGGAAGAAATGGATTTTTGCGGGCTTTTCCAATTTTCCCGTCACCATGAAGCCGGCTTGCCTCAGTCCTCAGAATGTTAAAACGGCAGCGTTTCCTCAAGGGACCAACCAATCACCCATTTCCCGCCAAGTTCTCAACCTACTACTAAACTTTGATCAAATCCGGAACTCCAAACTCTCACAATCACCGTTGTCGATCGTAACAAAAAAACTACACATTTCTCAACCATCCACATAGTCCAACAATTTATCCATTGAAAACAAATCCAGGCGTCGTCGACCAGATAACAAGATCCCTGAAGCTGTCGATGAAACAACGAGTCAAAAATAAAGTCGAAACAGAACTCTCATCGAGAAGATGACCAACAAACGCTTGTAAGAAACCGGAAGAATAGCATGCATCAATCTCTAATAAAATGAGGCGTTCCCATCTTCAAATAAGAAGATTACCGCATCTCCGAATCGTTACTGTAATATTAGATGAAACAAGGAGGTAGTCAAGAACCAGTTGATCCCAATAACTCGAGTTGTTGGGAGAGGTTCAATCGTGGATCATATACCACAACACTAACACGCCCCCTCAAACGAAAGCCACTTACAAGGGCTTGAAGTTTGCACAGGTCTGAAGACAAGAATACCATGTGCTTAACAAATGGGGGTCACTGGGAATCGAATACAAGACCTCTCGGTCACAGAAGGTTCTGATATCATGTCAAGAACCAGTTGATCCCAATAACTCGAGTTCATGTCAAGAACGTATTTTGGGTAGCTGAACGTTGTACAAAACGGTAACAAAAGTTTGAACTCGCATGAAACGACCACTCTGTTCAATTTGTGACCGTTTTGCTCTAAGTACAAATATTTATCACCGTATTGTTATAAATAAAATGTTTGTAACCGTTTTGTACTAAATCCAAAAGTTCGTGACCGTTCATGCTAACTACCCAACTATCATCCTCTACCACCATGATAGAAATTAGAATGTGATATAATTAGCCTCATTAGCTTCATTAGCTGTAGATTACGACGAACAAATGTTAGAGAGTGGTAAAAGATCGTAACTTGTAACGGGTAGCTCGGATTTTTTTTTTACTTGGAATATTATCCGAAATAATTATTTTTTTTTGGGATCATGGATAATGATTCCCCGTTATCAGAAAAGAATTTAAGAGAAGGCCGTTTCCTTTTTAACAGTCAACAGACGGCGCCGGTTAGCTTCAATTTTCCCTCTTCCGACTTCACTCAGACAGTCTAGGTCGCCGACTTTTTCCTCGCCAAAACCCCGCCATCCCTAAACCCTAATTTCGCAATCTCCGTCTACAATGCCGGGACTCGCACCGGCCGATTCCGCCGACGGGGGGCCCGACTCAGTTAACGGAGCACTCGTGCCTTACTTGCCAGATTCTCATGTCTCAGCTATATACCCGCTCCGACACGGTCTGAACCCACCGATCTCCCGCGTCTCCGTCTCATGGGGCCGCGGAAATTCCCTCCGCGTCTCAGTTTTCCGGCAGCCGGATTCCGACGGAGGAGAAGTCGGAGGTAAAGTGGTGGAGCTGACTCTCGGTAAAAGCAGGGACGGCGAGATCAGTGACGCTCAGTGGCGGAAAATCGCGTACGGCTCCGTTTCCCCCTTTGCACTTCTCCAGAGCCGGAAAAACTCAGCTGCCAGCTTGTACAGGATGCAATTGTCTCCCTCTCCTTATCACCTTGAGTGGTGAGCTCCGTTAGAAAAGAATGCAAATTGTGTTTTCCCCCTTTGTTTGTTATTTGCTTCTCTGATAGCTGGAAACACAAAATGCCGAGTTTCAGGTGGGAGTATGTAATGGAGTACAGCAAGGACATAAGCGCGCTTCTGGGGGATCCCAAATCGGTTGGAGCTCCATTGATTGAAGATCCGAATGAGGTTTTTATAAAGGTAAGCTCTTTGATTCAGTGTCATTTCTAGATTAAGAATTGGTTCGCTAAGAATAATGAGTTATAGAGAATTTGAATGGTGATGGTTTGTAGAAAAGTGAGGAGCCAAGCAGTTTGAAGGCAGCATGGGAGCTGATGGAAATGTTCTATGTGGATAAGTTATCTCAACCATGGTTGCCTGAACGGCTTGTTGATTGGTTAGCTGTAATAAGTCTCTTTTGAACTCTTTCTCTTTACTATCTCCAAGTTTGACATGAATATTTGATTGTGTGATTCTCATGACTGGTTTTTATGTTCCAGGATTATGATAGCCTTATATCTGTCGATCTGCCAACTGTTCACTCGAAGCTTGTGGAGTTTCATAGTGAAATCGTCACCTTACAGGTTTACTTCTTCTTTTTTCGCAATTCTGTTGAATTTCTGTGATTTCAAAATGAAGCTTGGAAGCTACCGTTAGCCAGCTTTGTGAAAGAAGTCTATAAATTTAGGGTCTTTTTTTGTGGTACACATCTATGTGACTTTATTCTGTAGATTAATGATTTAATGTTTGTTATGTAGGTAATTGAGGATGATCCCAGGTATTGGGACTTGATTTCATCAGCGCTCGCTGTTGGATGGTTGGAGATTGTGGTAAGTATTGTTATCTTTTTGCAATTTATAATGCATCCATTTTCGTAATATTTGGGGGGAAAGATAATGAATGGCCCTGCTAGACCAAGTTTGAAAAAGTTTTTACTCAAGCATTCAACTTACAGGTGAAATTATTGCGTTTGCATGGATCTTATCGACTGGATCAACTTGGGAGAAGAGAGGTTAGAGTTATTTGTCCATGTTTAGCTATGAAATGAACATTGTCTGCTCTTTGCCAGTTCATTTCAATTATAAATTAATGTGGGAGAAGTGAGCTGATGAGTTGCTACATTTGTTTTGCATGTCACTGAATATAGACAGAAAATGGTCTAGTAGAGGCTGTTGCTGTTCTAATTTCTAAGATGCCATGAATGCGTCCTGCTATCGATGCGGGAAAACTTGGTGAATGCTTTAAAGCGAAGCCTGACTTTGTGAAGGTAAAATTTTGAGTGTTGGGTACATGGAGGCAGAGTAAATTTTGAAGTATCTGATATTTTTTCCAGTCTCGTTACCCATACTTCCATTGCCTTTTGAATTTTCTTAGGCATGGGAAAGATGGCGCGCACAGATAACTAAATTGGATTCTAGTTCATTCTGGGTTCAATGTGATAATCGTCAGACCCGGGAAGGATTGAAAAATGTGCTCCAGATCATGCTTGGAAATGTCGACATTCTCTGTGTTGCTACTTGTCATTGGATAGAGTTATATATATCACACTTTCTGTACATAAGACCTTTCACTGCGGTAGGTTTCCTGTTACTTGGCTATTCGATGAGTTTTGAAGTTCGACATTTTCATTTTCCTTTTATGGTACATTAGTATGGTTCTTTTCACTCAGTTCCTATTTTATGGGTCAGGGACTTGAAAGCATGTACAGCTTGGCTCAGAACTGTATTTGGTTAAAACATACATCGAATCCCCATAAGTTGATGCGACTCATGATTGGAATTCTGGGGGAGAATAATGAGGTGAGATGTTGGCCGACCCTGTAAATGTAACATAATTTGGCTTATATGAAACCTGAAATTTCTTACATTTTCCCAACTGCTGTAGGTTGTGTTATCAGAATGCTCAAGAGGGTTTGGTACTTGGTGAGCTCTCTTTCTATTCCCTCTAATTGAGGCAGGCTTCTGAAGCATTTAAAATTTATCTTTTATAAAGAAGACATAGTAGCATTCGCATAACTTAATTCCCCAAATGAAGGAATGTGTTTTGGGTTTCTTCTACCCAATATTTTGCTCATGTTGTTGGAGAAAAGCACATGTTACTGCCATTTAAGTTCAGCGGCTCAGTTGTTCACCTATTCAAGTTTTCATCTCCTTTCACATTTATTAATAGAAGACAAACAAATGCTGTACAGCTTCAAGTTACATACTCACCTCCCTCCACCTAAGGTGCAGCCAACTTTATCAGGAGAACTCTTTTGACAAATGTGCTAATGTTTCCACCATGTTCCAGGATGGTGGCCCATTCCATAGAGCTCTTGACTGCTGGGAGCAACGAAGCTGATATTCTTGTACACGAGGAGCACGAAAACTTGGGTGGGATCAGTTTGGAGGAACTCCATCGGCTTGTTTATGCTCAACTTCTATCTTCTCATCTGTTAACTTGGCAAGTAAGGAAAAACTACTGCACTGGATAATGTTCAAAACCGCATACTGAATTAGAGTTTCAGTAGATAATTGTATCTTCATTCATGCAATTCAGTTATTGCAGATGCTTAGAACGTAAAGTATTTAAGTGGCACATTTGCAAACCGTCCTTGAGAGTTGGGAGTTTGATGCTCAAGTCTGTCTTGATAGTTATTCCATTCCTTAAGTTATTGGATTCTTGTCGATCTTCTCATTCTAATGCTTGTTGCTGTCTTCTGTCTGTAGATCGCCCCAATTTATTTAACATCATGCATGAGGCAGGGAATGGGTATGCTTGAGATTTTATTGCTCAAGCAGCCGGTTCAGGAAAATCAAGTGCTGCTGAAGGTAACTTCTTAGCCTTTTTGGTTTTACCCTTAAATTGTTGAATAGCCTGTGCCTTTCCAGGCTTTTTCGGAGTCCTATACATGTGTCTGGTTGCAAATCAGTTATTCTTATTTGTGCAGAATCTGGAGATTTGTAGGCTCTATGAACTTGATGGTGTCAGGTCACATCTTATGGAGGTACGGTGAAAAAATGGAAGTAGTCATTAATTCTTTCATGAACGAAACATCCTCACCGTTAATCTTCAACTGTTAGAAGAATAATTCTCATGGATTTAGGAATGTTCTCTTCTCAACTCTCCTATTACTCATTGGCAAAGTTTTGAATCCAGATTTCTGGAATGTACCACTGGAAGCACGGTAGGAAAGGATGCGCTGTTTTCTGGCTACAGCAGGCACAAGATGAGGTTCGTCTCAGCAAGATTGCTAGCCAATTGTTTGAATCTGTTGGAAAGTCAATATCTGGAGAAAGCTTCAAGGTAATGTATATCATTGAGCTGATTTCCATACTCAAACTTGCCTAGTCTCCACTTCTGATTTTGTTCCTTTTGTCCTTGCCAGCAATGGGAAGGGCTGATTGAATTGTTGGGTTCAGAAGGGCAGCCAGCTGGTGGTCTCGATTTCCTCCACAAGTATGAAACTTTCCTTGTAAACAATAAGTGGGCAATTGCTTCAGCTTCAAACTTTCTTTTCCCCATCCGCCCATGATTCTGACCTGTTTCCGGGTCACAGGTACAGGGATTTCAAGAAATGCCTTCAACATCCTGACAGCAAAAAAGATGCAGATGCTGCTCGTCAAGCAGTAGAATCACTTATGTCGGTATGTTGCTGCGATTTAGATCCTGCCCTTGTTTTCTTTTCCCCTCCCTTTGCCTCCTCTGTGGTAGTATTCATTAACCTGGTGTATCTACACGATGTGTGCAGCTAATGAGGAATGCTTCGACGCCTCAGCATTTCTGGTTGCCCATTCTCTACGATGCCGTGAGCTTCCTATTCTTGTCATTTGTACTGTCATACAACTCGTTCACTTCGAATACTCGATAATCCTGTATTTCCCGTCTCTAGGTGAAGCTGCTAAGCTGGGATAAGAGGCCTCTTATAAATGTTAGCCAGACGAATCTATTGCTGAATAAACTACAGGAGCTGTCTTTGGCAAGACTTCGTCCGGACTTTGTAGAGCCCGAGTTGCCAACCCACGCTCTGAACCATGTGCGATATTCGCTGGCTACGAACCTTGGGCGCGCTATCCTTGAAGAATCATGATCGATAGAAATGCTCTTTATGGAATGGGGAGGGGGGGAAGAAATGTGTTTGTTTCGTGTTCAAGTTCCGACGATTCCCTCGGCTGAGTCAGGCATGTCTGAACATATAATGGCAGATTGTATCAGTTAAATCGATGTAATCAATGAACTGTTCCGTTAATCTCATTGTGTTGATCTTTGCGGTAAAGTTTGCAAGATTGTCACGAATTGTAGAATATAGTCCCCACTTACAATAATACAAAGCTAATTAAAGAATGATATATATATTTAGTATATATAATTACAATACAAACTATAATGCTATGCCGCCGGCAGCAGGCCGCCGGCAGCAGGCCGCCGGAACCCAGAAAAAAATCAGCTCACTCAAAGGCAGTAAGACGGGGAAAATGGAAAGCAGAATTTGCAGGCAGTAAACAACAGAAGATCAACTCACTCCTTTCTTCCTCGAATCGACCGACTCTGTTCTGTACAAGACCTTCAGTGAGCATATTTCCAAGAACCCCACCTGAAGCTGAAGATCATTTGGAGGTTTCTCGATTTACCTTCCGACGATGGTTAACTAAAGCTTCTTCGGCAAGTTATAGGTCTTTTTAAGAAACTTCGACGCAGCATCATCGTTCCGATAACACAACACGCGAAGAATCGTGTTTGGTTCGGTCGGATCCCACTGCCCCGACGTCGGAGGAAGAGGAAGCCTCGATCTCGCAGCAGATCCATACGCCTCCAGAGTCTCCCGTCTAAACCTCTCAATCAAGCTCTCCGTATCAGTCCTGAACAATGGCAGAACGCCTCTCACTGTGGCTGCAAACTTGTCTACCAACTCGGCAGGTAGGCCATCTCCATTGGCCCAAAACAGATCCTTCAGGGACTTGAAGTCCTCTTCGATGATTGAGGAGTCCTGACGAGTGAAACCGCGAGAGGGCCCACCGGCGAGCAACACGAGCAAGAACCCATCACACGAGGCCCTCATTACGTCGGCGATGACTCGTGTACGAACCCTCTCGTTGACAATATCCGAGATGATCGTGAGGTTTCGCTCTAGCTCCTCAAGGCAAGGCTCGATTCTTGAGGTCGATGGCTCTCCTACGTATAACCCGTCGAATAAGATGTGACTCAGGTCGTGGAACACGATTTTGTAGCCGAGTGACTCGCTGAGCTGCTGGACTCCTTCAACACAGGCGGAGGGCGCGAGCTCAAACTTCTTGGCCAGCCCGTTTGAGAAGTCGTGTGCTTCGGCTGACTCCGAGTTCCGGAGGTGGGTTATGATTCGCTTCTCGACGGTGTCCAGCTCTGATCGAATTCGGTGGAGTGTGTTGATACGTACGCATAGCTGAGCTGTCCCAGAGGTGGTGGGGACACCATTTGTTGTCGTTGCGACCTGGGAGTTTGACCTCTTTTGACCGTTTGTAGTTGTTGATGACGTCTTGTCTTTCTTCTTCCACTGGAACTTGGATCCAGTTTCGCATCTGGTTAGCGCCGGCATGGTTGGGAGGTAAGAGTTCCGGGTTCCTGCGCATGCAGCAGAGAGAAGTGATTAGTTTGCATGGTGGATTCACAATCATTTCTGTGGGGGGATATATACTTGAGTTAGATGTTAAGTAATTACCACAGCCAGATTTGGCCTTGGTTGCGTAGTACTGAAGGCATCTATCGAGCCCTGTCATCAAGTCGGGAAGCAAAGCTGGATGCATTGGTATCGGGAGCTGGAAATATGCGTCTAGTGTTTCGTCGATCACACGTAACACTTCTACACCTGATGGAGCAAATCCTTCTTGGCTTGCCTGTGGGCTCCAGACCTGTGGATCACGAATCAAGCTATGAATCCTAATGGTCACAAATATTCACAAGGCTAGCTATTCAATAATTCAACCATAGATGAGAATTTACCTCTTGTTGTAAGCTTCTGTCGATCCATTCCTTCAATCTGTCGAGTCTCGACTTGATCCATCCTTTCACCAAGTTGGCAATCGCAGCATCAGCCTCGTACGGAGGCATCTCACGAATGATGGCTTTCCCACCATCATCACTGTCCACAGAATCTTCGACAGCAATCTGCACCAGATCCTGCTCCAACTTATCTGCCGCCCTCAGTACTTGTACGGCATCTGGTGTCAGTTCCGTTATCCCAGAAATGAATTGTTTCAACTCATTTCCATAGCAAGCATGCAGTGTCGCTACAGCCAACCCTGCTGAAAATGGGTGCCATCTCTTGAGTATTGGACTGAACACTCGCTTTTCCTTAACCGCTAGCTCACCAACATCTTTGGCAAGGATAGCGAGGACGGGAAGTGGATTCGGTTGGTTCTTGGTTGCTCGCCTGCTTGAGTCGGACTTCTCCATTCTCTGTTGCATCAGCAGTCAAACACATTTAGTCAACTCACCAACTCACAACAGTTATAACAAACATATTCAGATTATTCCTATCATAACAAAGTCGTTAGCGAATTTAGTTTCCCTAAGAAACACACACCTACAACACCTACAATTCTTGCCCCTAAAGCTATCAACTTTCTACCTTTAAGGTTGCATCACCTTAAGCTAGTCACGGCAAATGATATAACAGAAAGTGACAGCAAATATAATACCCCCATCTGCTAAACATGTTTCTATATCTATCCCGAGCCTCTTCTCCCACGTATCAAATCTAATGCAGCTATAAAAAGGTAAAGACTTGCCTGAGCAAACGCAGTACGGAGGGACGACCTGATGTAAGTATCGATCCTACTACGACCAACATCAACCTCGTTCTTCCTCCTTCGCCGGTACTCATTCGATATATCCTCGACCAAAATCTTCGCAGCAGCAACTCCCAGAGAAACAATGCTCTGCATGGTCTCCGAATTCCGGCTGTCGAAAGTGTCGTGATAAGCAAGCAGCCTCTTCTCAGCCCAACCCATGATCGCAGTCAAAGTGGAGCTCAAGACTTTGGAATACTCCACATCCTTTGTCGTCTTGGCATCTTTGGCAACTTCCAGCAGCTGCCCATCAGCAGCATCTAACAAATCCGCTTCCACTTGGCCAGTAGCGACAAACCGATGAAACAAAACCCACGTAAAGCACAAGTTGTGGAGCATTTGATTAATCCCAAGCACAGTCCAAGTCTTCTTTATAAACTCCATAAGCTCGTCCACTTCATCAATGATGGAAGTTTCATCCTGCACATCGAAGCAAGCTTCCAACAGCATTTCGTACAGGCGAAGGTTCAACGGAATCCCATCAGCCCAATGTGCAACGTCGGAAACCGATGATCCGTCAAGTCTACTAGCGAGAGAGGTCACCGCGCTGCGAAGAATCTGCATTGACTCGTTGTTCCGCCCGGTTTCCATCTGCTTGTTCAGAGCCGAATTGATGATTTGCCGCAGCCGCTGTGAGGTAGGGTTCGACTTGTCGAGCGGAACTCTAGGGTGTGCTAGCAATCCGAGCTCGAGAACTTTGAGAGTCCTCTTCTGCCATGACTCGAATTCTTGATGATCGGTAAAATCCGACGATTTCAGCTGCTGCAGAAGCTCCAGCGGCAGCACCACCGTCTCGATTCGCCGGCCGACCTGTTCAAAAATCGGCGGATTGGGAATCAGGGAAATCCAAAATTGGAAAACGAGAGAGAGAGAGAGTTCAAGTCAAACATAGATCTAACCTGACCAGCGGAAATCCGCAGCAGAGCTTTCCGAATCCTGGAATCGTCGGCCTCCGACACCCGCATTTGAATCCTCATCAGCTCGCCGACCGTCAATGGCTTCCTCGACTTGCCCTGACCCAACCCAGACCCGGACCCGGGGCTCTTCCTGGAGCCGGAGCCTGGGGATTTCAATCCGAGCGCCTTCTTCATCTTGCTGGCGGCGGCGGAAGTGAGCGAGCGCTGGAGCGAGGGAGACGAGTTGGAGTTTGAATTGGAGCTGGAGCTCGGGGAGTGAGGCAAATGGTGGTGATTAGGTGAGTCGGCGGCGGCGGTGGAGAGGGGTTTGGCGGAGGAAGTGCGGGTTAAGGCGAGGAAGATCTCGTAGGCGGCGGAGCGGAGGTCGGAGTCGGTGAGCTGGGAGGCGAGCTGGCCGAGCGGGCAGTCGAGATCGGCGGCGACTGGCCTGGCGGACATTACCGGTGGCGGGGGCTGGATTCGGAGCTTCTGCGGTGGCGGAGAAGGAGTGGACTCCCTCCATGATTGGCCTAAGGAGAGGTCTCTGAAGAGGGAAGCCATGGCTGATGGCTTCCTCGGCGACAGAGACGGAAAGAGAGAGAGAGAGTGAAAGGGAAAGAGGAGGAAGAAGATATAGAATGTAGAACACGCTAAGTAGTCGGCAAATAAAAAAAAGCAACTGAGGAGCATGATTGATTTTTTTTTTTCTTTCTTTCTTCCAACTAATCTGACTAGGATTAAGGCTGTGTTTGTTTTTGTGACAACAATCAATCTCTATTATGGTTGTTGGGATGTTGTGATACTTTGGAGTGGTTTGGAAGTTGCGATTGTTAAATAGATGTATTGTTGAGAATGCATGTATAATATTATACATGTATTGTCGAATTTGATGCATTGTAGAATACAACGTTTGGTATGTGTGATTGTGTATGTCGCATAAGCTAAAAGCTGGGACAAAACAATCTCAACTCAACTATCTCAACAATCACAACTAAAAGTTGAGATATAACAATCACTCAAAATGAGTGATAGTTTCTGTCACATCATAGAAACAATCCATGTATTGTTTCTGCTAAAAAAACAAAAAACAAAAAACGATGCATTGTAAACAATACATGCATAATGACAATCTCAACAAAACAATCGCAACTTCCAAACTACCTCTACGATTGTTGCTTTCTAACCTTACCAAACACTTCTTTCCATGACCTAGAACTTAAAAGACGAGTTACTACACGTTAAAAAGGAAAACAAAGCAAAGTCCACCCAACTTGCACCAAACAAAATGTACCTTTAAGTTTTGTTTATATGGTATGATCAATCAACTTCAATGGTTTAACCCAAACTTTGGTGGTGGGTTTCAATCATGATTACCACTTGGCCAGTTGGCCTCGATTTAAGAAGATGGGGAAAGTTGGGAGTAGATCTCTAGTTCTTTGGGATCGGGTTCGATTCACCTTTTGGATATTTTGAGTTGGATTTGGATTTGAAAGAGCGCTTGAGTTGTTCGGAGAAGATTAATTATGAATCTTGTATCATTATTTATATGCACTTTTCAAACGAAACCAACTCACAAATTTGTTGTTTGCACCGACTCATCATATATCGGACGATGACATTATGCAAGCACCTGTTTGAGTGGTAGAAATGCACAATCTACATTGTTTTTCCAAAGTTGTTGCTCCGTCGTGCATGATTCATGACACGCTCTACGACCTAAAACAACCTTCTCAATCAAATCAATCTTCATATCTAGCTCTGATTCAATTTTCAAACCAAAAACCGTTGTATTGAAAGGTTGGTCGAACGATGAAGTAATTGGTTTTGCACCTATCTATATTCTACCCTTTTTACTCACCTAAAGACAATAACTTTTTTTTTTATATAGAACAATGTATGTGACTAGTGAGGTGGTTATGTTTTGTTTTTATTTATTTGTTTGTTCTTGTTTATTTTCCATTATTATAACCAACTATCAATTTTCCATAACTAGACAAACTTCCACCGTATGAATATTATAATTTGATGTTCATTTTTATAAGATTGCCGAAGTTGTAGAGGAAAAAACAAAACAGCCCAATACAAATGGATTCATCAGACCATGATCGCCTTCAATAGCTTTCATGTCATGTGAAGCTCCATTCATTCCCATGTCCCATGTGATGCCAACAAGAAACCATGAATTAACTTGGGAAATTGAAGCTTTTAGGGCAGATTAGGTGGCTAAATTTTGGGAACATTATACCTATAATTCAAAAATAATGTATAACATTATTATCGCAATGCACTCACTCTCGAGTAGCACCGGGGAATAATACTCGTCTGTCACCTATTAAAGGAAGAGTTTTACTCCACTAGGTTTCAGAAAGTTCTTGCGAGATTTAGAGAGATCTTTTCAGAAATTCGAGTGGTTTTAAAAGTTCAGCTCGTTGAACCATGATTGAAAATCTCGAGTTAAGTCGAGAGAAGCCTCATGCCTATACGAACACTCTCTAGCAATGCGATTAACTCTTCCTCCAAAGCGAAGCTAGCATGGAAAAATGGAAGACCCAGGAGCGCGAGAAAGTGGTTTGGTAAAGGGGATGGCAATTTTGATGCTCGATAGTCGATTTGAAAGAGGATCACATGAGCCATGCTTTCGTGCAATCCACCAAATCCAAACGATGAAGGTCATATTAGATCTAGTGAGAGTATTATTCATAAAGAGCTAAATCATGTCGCTGATTTGTCAGACTGCCCGAAAAATTTTATTACGATTGTAAAATTCTTTTAGTGATATTTGAGCATCTAAATTTTGAATGATCAGCAAAAAAAAAATTAACGTTATTGTTTATTGATCAACTCAAAATCTGGACTAAATTTGTCCACTGTTCACTAAAATCGGGCCATATTTTTGTCTATTGGACGTTGGGCTATAGTTATCTTATATGTTTGTACAAAATCGAGAGCTATTCTCGAGTACTCTGAGCTCGCGATTAGGAAAGAACATAAACAGAAACTTGGGCTTTCGGAAATAGATCGGGGCATGCAGTAGCCCATACTGTATAAACCCGTGTTTCAAAGAGAAAAGAGTGTTGGCCCAGCCCAACCAAAAACCCGCGAGCAAAACGAGTTGTGTTTTTTAACGGTGGACAGATTTTGTATAAGTTTTTAATTCTTACAGATTATTAAATATACGAATATATATCATTAAACACCTATAATTAATAGAGGATGTCATTTTTCCAACATTTAGCGGTAGTCATGTTATCTCATTCCATAATAGAGAGTTGTTTTGTAGAGTGTTAGAGAGAGGGTGGTTTGTTAACGAGCAAGGTTGCAAACCGGTTTATACCGTTGTGCCGGTTTGGCAAATGGAATGATACGACCGGTGGTATAATCAGTTCATGCCGGTTTAAAAAAATGTGAAAACAATTAATATCTCATGTATTTAATCATATATAAAACATATTTGTGGACAATTTAGTTATAATCCAACAAATATCATCAACTTTTAACTATTACATTCATAAAATGAATAATAAATTAATTTTTTTATTCATTAAACTCATAAAATGATGTCATTTTACTTAGAATGCGTAAATCGATTATACCAGTCATACCGGTGGTGTCATGCCGATTTCATGACCGACACAGGTTGAACCAGGTTCAACCGAGTGGCATGCCACCGGCGTGACAACCATGTTAACGAGAGATTAATTGGATTGGAGATTGGCTCCATATACAGTTGAGCCTAATTAGTGATCAATATTGGGCCAACAAAACTCAAACCCAACTCGGAGATTAAATCTGTCAGAAGCGAGCTCAACTTAATCCATCGTATTGGGCTAGAGATGCGGGCTGGGCCTTTGTCACCCAATGAACCAAATAAGCTTCCTCAACTGCTTCGTCCGAGAACGGGCTGGGTCGAGACATGCTAGCTTTCGCCCAAGCTTTGGGCCACCTAATTTCCGTTTTAGTTGGGCTTTCGAGCTTTTATGTACATACTACATTTACACATAATATACGGGTTGAATCCGGTCCTTAAGCCTCACTGTTTAAAGAGGTTCTTAAACCATTTTTATTGGCCGATACTAGATTAGGTAGTTAATGAGAGGTTAGTAGTAAATAAATAAGATATTATGAAAATATAATTAATATTATTCATTAATGATTCTCTTTCTCTCTCTCCCTTGATCTTCTCCATAACCATCTCTCTCCACTAGAATTAAAAGGAAATTCGAAATTAATTTAATTAAATATTATTATTTAATATTTAATAAATCCGAACTTAATATTTTTTATTTTTTAAAATGAAAATTGAAATTAAAAATATATGCTCTTTCACTTCGTGGAAACTTGCAATACAGTATTAACATTTTGCAATGACATTATCAACATTTATGAAATGAATCGTTATTATTATACCTCATCATTATTAACAACTTCAATATACTTATCAATTCCTTACAATTACATTATTAACAATTTTGGATCAATTGTTACTATTTTATAGTTTCATCATCAACGCCTATGAATGAATCATTAAAGTTATGTAACATAGTCATTAATAGTTTGAATAACAATATCATTGATTTACAACATCTTTAGTACTAATGATTCACATTTTCACATCATGTTTATAACTATATAGTCATGGCGGACATCGGTTGGGCGCCTCCTGCGGAAGGTTGGGTTATGGTGAACGCGGATGGGGCTTCTAATGGAAACCCGGGGCCAGCCGGTGCTGGTGGGGTGGTGCGAGGCCCACTGGGAAACTGGTTGGGAGGTTTTGTGGCAGGAATTGGCACGACAACTGCCGTTCTAGCGGAGCTATGGGCCATTTACTATGGTTTGGAGCTCACTTGGAATCTCGGTCACCGGGTGGTGAAGTTAGCTTCGGATTCTCAGCTTGCGATTCGGCTGATTCAGGAACGTCATGATCCCATTCATCCTTATGCGACCCTTTTGAACCTTATTCGCAGGAAAATCGGGCAAGATTGGTTGGTTAGCTTGACTCATACTTATCGCGAAGGGAATAGAGTCGCGGACTGGCTCTCGAAGCACAGTCTCGTCTATCCCTACGGTATGCATGAGTTAGATGACCCACCTATAGGGGTTATCCCGCTGCTGCAAGATGATGTGATGGGTGTTACCTTTGAGCGCCGGGTTGTGGCGACCTCCTCCTCTACTATCTAGTCTACCTCTGTAATCCCTCTCTTTCTTGGCTTCGGCCTCCCTTGGTATCCCCAAAAAAAAAAACTATCTAGTCATGGCATCTTCCAATGATTTCTAATGACATTATTAATGTTTTATGATCAATTAATATTGCTTTACATTATCATTCTCAATGATCATAAAGCACAATACTAATTTTCAACATCTTGGGTACTTGTGTCATAGTGCACCTGTGTGATTCAGTCAAACAAACATTGTCCAGAAAAATATTAGCTCAAGCAAACCAACATTCACACATCAACACCAAACTTTTAATAACAATACAATAAATCATTGATAAAGAAAAGTATTTCGTTGAATATAAACACAAAACATCAATGTAAAAATGTCTGACTTCAACATTATAAATCACATCATACTTTTAATAAAGATATTAAAAACCATTAATATCGAATGATCAAGTCACTGATAAGGAAATAGATTTTTGTAATATAAAAATATTTTCTAATATTCAGATGCAATGTTTAATGTCAAATAGCACTAAAAATGCATTAATAAGTAGCATGTGTTTAATGGATAATGCATCCAAAAACTTTGATAATTATAGCAACTAATGATTGTTAAGTACCTTATTAGATATTATTAATATCTTATTTTCAAACATTGATAATGCTTATACACGCCTATTAATAATGACACCAAACTACGTTACTAACTTAGACTGAAAGATTAATAACCATAGTTATATCATTAAACGTAAATTCACTTTTGATAATGTCATAAACAAACGAATATCTAACAAGTATGCTTCTTGATGATGACATTTGACAAAGTTACAAACATAAACGAAAAAATATTAATAATTCAAATCACTAAACATAAGCAATCTTACAAATGAATTAAATTTTTGCTAATAGTTGTATTGTGCTTGGAAAAAAATATTGATAATAGCACTTCAAATGATTTTAAATCATTGCGAACCAAATTGATAATACGATGTAATAGTAAATAAACTTCAAGTACCAACAAATTGAAAACACAAATTCACTTTTACTAATGTTACAAACAAAACATAACATAAAAAGTTAATAATGTTATATAAAATTATTAAAAAACATGTCGAACAACATTAATAATAACACAAACGAATACCTAACAACAAAAAATCTCAAACTCATGCAATGAAAAGCCCTAATGATGACTCAATTTATAAATATTGATAATGTCATTACAAAATGTTAATGCTTAATACTAATCGGAAGTTGCCAAGATGTGAGAGAGACATATATTTTAAATTTCAAATTTCCATTTTAGAAAAAGAAAATTATTAAATTCGGATTTTATTAAATATTAAATAAAATTAATTTCATATTTCTTTTTAATTATAATGTAGAGAGAGGGTTATGGAGAAAATCATGGGAGGAGAGAGAAAGAGAATCATTAATTAATTATATTCATTTTAATTATATTTGCATAACCTTATTTACCCTAACTACCTATTAACTACTAACCCCCATTAACTACCTAATCCACTATCAGCCAATAGGAAGGCTTTAAGATTTTCCTTAAGAAATGAGGCTTAAGGACTTGAACTCAAGCCCATAATATAATATGCCGAAGGAATAAACGGGAGCCCCATTTCAAATTTCCTGCAACGAGAGTGAATGTAGGAAGGACATTTTGGTCTTCACAATTACTTTTTTTATTCATTAAAAGACACGAACTGGGATTCAAACCATGACCATTTTAAAGAAAAGCAAGGATCATAACCAATCACACTAAGTACATTCATTGTATCTTTTTAAATTAAAAACATATAATAGCAGGGAGAAAAAAACTCTTCCCTCATTTCAAATTCCCTGCTCCAGGAGCGTTTGTAGGAATGGTAGAATAGAGTGTCAATTTTTTTCTCTTTCCTCTGTGGAACAATCCAACTTACCATACACATGCAGATTTAAACGGCTCCAGGATTGTCAATTTTTTTTTCTTTAAGACCTTTTATTTCTCCGTGGTGATAAATATATATGAAAAGGCAAAAAAATATATTTCTTTTTATTGCTAAAAATAAAAAATTTAACAATAAACTAATGCATCGTATTTAATGGGCTAACCGCTAACCATAAAATAAAAGAGTTGAATAGGCCTGACCTACACGGGATTGGCCCATCAAGTAAAACAAATGACCATCATTGGTTTGACATTCTAAAACAAGCTATTTTCTCTCGCATAATATATATTATGCTATTATTTTATATCTTAGTGGTTAAAATATAATGTATTTTAAAGTTATTCAATGGTTCCACCTCTACCAACCCAATTAGTCCAATTTTAATCATTTCAAATATATATTATATAATTATAATATATATCATAATGGTCAAATTATAGTGTATTTTATAGGGAATCGTTTAGTATTTGTTAGTAAAAAACTAAACATAAAGATCTATTTGGTTATTTTAAACATTAAAATGATCCTAAACATTTTCAGTTCCTTTTGAATTTCTATGGTTTAATTCCCAAATAAGTGATGTGCAAATGGCGAATTGCAGTAATCTCTTTTCTTTCATTATTTTTTATTTTCAAACAGAAAGTTTAAAAGTAAAGAATAAATAGAATTTGGCATGAGTCGGTCAAACCGGCTGAATTTCAAGTTTTGGCCCGTTTTGATCAAGTCTAATTTATAATTACATGGTTCCCTGATACCAGATAAAAATCTCAATCCAAACCAGTTTGGCAAGTGAGTCCGTGTTTACCACCATTTTCTAGTGATACGACAACATCGGTTCTTATCCCAAATAGTGTTTTAATGGACTTAGTTATCGTTGAAGAATAGTCTCAGGCCGAATCTGTGATCCGTAGCCTTCAAAATCCAAAGAAAATGGCATTTCGACGCCCACAAAATTACGAAAATGCCATTCGAAAATAAATTGGCCCAAATCGGTGTTTAATGGACTTATCATCCGTGGAGAATAGAATCAATAGACTTCATTATCGGTGGAGAATAGCCTCGGCCTGATTTCGTGATCTGTAGCCTCTGGAATCGAAAGAAAATGGCATTTCGGAAAAATCGCCCAAAATCTGTGATGGTACCCTTTGCAATCTGCCAAAAATTGACCCGAAATAAATCCGCCCAAATCGATGCTTAATGGACTTAGTCATCGTTGAAGAATAGTCTCAGGCCGAGTCCATGATCTGTAGCCTTCAAAATCCAAAGAAAATTGCATTTCGACGCCCACAAAATTACGAAAATGTCATCCGAAAATAAATTGGCCCAAATCGATGTTTAATGGACTTATCATCCGTGGAGAATAGGATCAATAGACTTCATTATCGGTGGCGAATAGCCTCGGCCTAATTTCGTGATCTGTAGTCTCCAGAATCGAAAGAAAATGACATTTCGGAAAAATCGCCCAAAATCTGTGATGGTACCCCTTTGCAATCTGCCAAAAATTGACACGGAATAAATCCGCCCAAATCGGTGCATAATGGACTTAGTCATCGTTGAAGAATAGTCTCAGGCCGAATCTGTGATCTGTAGCCTTCAAAATCCAAAGAAAATGGCAATTCGACGCCCACAAAATTATGAAAATGCCATCCGAAAATAAATTGGCCCAAATCGGTGTTTAATGGACTTATCATCCGTGGAGAATATGATCAATAGACTTCATTATCAGTGGAGAATAGCCTCGGTCTGATTTCGTGATATGTAGCCTCTAGAATCGAAAGAAAATGGCATTTCGAAAAAATCGCCCAAAATCTGTGATGGTACCCCTTTGCAATCTGCCAAAAATTGACCCGGAATAAATCCGCTCAAATCGGTGCTCTTAATGGACTTTGTCATCGTTGAAGAATATTCTCAGGCCGAATCCGTGATCTGTAACCTTCAAAATCCAAAGAAAATGGCATTTCGACGCTCACAAAATTACGAAAATGTAATCCGAAAATAAATTGGTCGAAATCGGTGTTTGATGGACTTATCATCCGTGGAGAATAGGATCAATAGACTTCATTATCGGTGGAGAATAGCCTAGGCCTGATTATGTGATATTTAGCCTCTAGAATCGAAAGAAAATGACATTTTGGAAAAATCGCCCAAAATCTCTGATGGTACCCCTTTGCAATCTGCAAAAAATTGACCCATAATAAATCCGCCCAAATCGGTGCTTAATGGACTTAGTCATCGTTGAATAACACTCTCAGGCCGAATCCGTGATCTGTATCCTTCAAAATCCAAAGAAAATGGCATTTCGACGCCAAAAAAATTACGAAAATGCCATCCGAAAATAAATTGGCCCAAATCGGTGTTTAATGGATTTATCATCCGTTGAGAATAGGATCAATAGACTTCATTATCGGTGGAGAATACCTCGACCAGATTTTGTGATCTGTATCCTCCAGAATCGAAAGAAAATGGCATTTCGAAAAAATCACCCAGAATCAGTGATGGTACCCCTTTGCAATCTGCCAAAAATTGACTCGGAATAAATCCGCCCAAATCGGTGCTTAATGGTCTTAGTCATCGTTGAAGAATAGTCTCAGGCCGAATCCGTGATTTGTAGCCTTCAAAATCCAAAGAAAATGACATTTTTCGACGCCCACAAAATTACGAAAATGCCATCCTAAAATAAATTGTCACAAATCGGTGTTTAATGGACTTATCATCCGTGGAGAATAGGATCAATAGACTTCATTATCGGTGGAGAATAGCCTTGGTCTGATTTCGTGATCTGTAGCCTCCAGAATCGAAAGAAAATGGCATTTCGGAAAAATCGCCCAAAATCTGTTATGGTACCCCTTCGCAATCTGCCAAAAATTGACCAGGAATAAATCCTCTCAAATCGGTGCTTAATGGACTTAGTCATCGTTGAAGAATATTCTCAGGCCGAATCCGTGATCTGTAGCCTTCAAAATCAAAAGAAATGGCATTTCGACGCTCACAAAATTACGAAAATGTCATACGAAAAAAATTTGGCCAAAATCGGTGTTTGATGGACTTATCATCCATGGAGAATTGGATCAATAGACTTCATTGTCGGTGGAGAATAGCCTCGGCCTGATTTCGTTATCTGTAGCCTCCAGAATCGAAAGAAAATGGTATTTCGACGTCTACAAAATTACAAAAATGCCATCCGAAAATAAATTGCCCAAATCGGTGTTTAATGGACTTATCATCCGTGGAGAATAGGATTAATAGACTTCATTATCGGTGGAGAATAGCCTCGGCCTGATTTCGTGATCTGTAGCCTCCGGAATCGAAAGAAAATGACATTTCGGAAAAATAGCCCAAAATCTGTGATGGTACCCCTTTGCAATCTGCCAAAAATTGACCCGGAATAAATCCGCCCAAATCGGTGCTTAATGGACATAGTCATCGTTGAAGAATAGTCTCAGGCGAATCTGTGATCCGTAGCCTTCAAAATCCAAAGAAAATGGCATTTCGACGCACACAAAATTACGAAAATGCCATCCGAAAATAAATTGGCCCAAATCGGTGTTTAATGGACTTATCATCCATGGAGAATAGGATCAATAGACTTCATTATCAGTGGAGAATAGCCTCGCCCTGATTTCGTGATCTGTAGCCTCCGGAATTGAAAGAAAATGGCATTTCAGAAAAATCGCCCAAAATTTGTGATGTACCCCTTTGCAATTTGCCAAAAATTGACCCGGAATAAATCAGCCCAAATCGATGCTTAATGGATTTAGTCATCGTTGAAGAATAGTCTCAGGCCGAGTCCATGATCTGTAGCCTTCAAAATCCAAAGAAAATGGCATTTCGACGCCCACAAAATTACGAAAATATCATCCGAAAATAAATTGGCCCAAATCGGTGTTTAATGGACTTATCATCCATGGAGAATAGGATCAATAGACTTCATTATCGGTGGAGAATAGACTCGGCCTGATTTCGTGATCTGTAGTCTCCAGAATCGAAAGAAACTAGCATTTCGGAAAAATCGCCCAAGATCTGTGATGGTACCACTTTGCAATCTGCCAAAAATTGACCCAAAATAAATCCGCCCAAATCGGTGCTAAATAGACTTAGTCATCGTTGAAGAATAGTCTCAGGCCGAATCCCTGATCTGTAGCCTTCAAAATCCAAAGAAAATGGCAATTCGACGCCCACAAAATTATGAAAATGTCATCCGAAAATAAATTGGCCCAAATCGGTGTTTAATGGACTTATCATCTGTAGAGAATAGGATCAATAGACTTCATTATCGGTGGAGAATAGTCTCGGCTTGATTTCGTGATCTGTAGCCTCCAGAATCGAAAGAAAATGGCATTTTACAAAAATCGCTCAAAATCTGGGATGGTAGTGGTACCCCTTTGCAATCTGCCAAAAATTGACCCGGAATAAATTCGCCCAAATCGGTGCTTAATGGACTTAGTCATCGTTGAAGAATAGTCTCAGGCCGAATCCGTGATGTATAGCCTTCAAAATGCAAAGAAAATGTCATTTCGACGCCCACAAAATTACAAAAATACCATCCGAAAATAAATTGGCCCAAATCAGTGTTTAATGGACTTATCATCCGTGGAGAATAGGATCAATAGACTTCATTATCGGTGGAGAATAGCCTCGGCCTGATTTCGTGACCTGTAGCCTCTAGAATCGAAAGAAAATGACATTTCGGAAAAATCGCCCAAAATCTGTGATGGTACCCCTTTGCAATCCGCTAAAAGTTGACCCGTAATAAATCCGCCCAAATCGGTGATTAATGGACTTAGTCATCGTTGAATAACAGTCTCAAGCCGAATCCGTGATCTGTAGCCTTCAAAATATAGCAAATGGCATTTCGACGCCAAAAAAATTAAGAAAATGCCATTCCAAAATAAATTTGCCCAAATCGGTGTTTAATGGATTTATAATCCGTTGAGAATAGGATAAATAGACTTTATTATCGGTGGAGAATAGCCTCGGCCTGATTTTGTGATTTGTATCCTCCAGAATCGAAAGAAAATGGCATTTCGAAAAAATCGCCCAAAATCAGTGATGGTTCCACTTAGCAATCTGCCAAAAATTGACCCTGAATAAATCTGCCCAAATCGGTTCTTAATGGACTTAGTCATCGTTGAAGAATAGTGTCAGGCCGAATCTGTGATCTGTAGCCTTCAAAATCCAAAGAAAATGACATTTCGACGCCCACAAAATTACGAAAATGCCATCCGAAAATAAATTAGCCCAAATCGGTGTTTAATGGACTTATCATCCGTGGAGAATAGGATCAATAGACTTTATTATCGGTGGAGAATAGCCTCGGCCTGATTTCGTGATCTGTAGCCTCCAGAATCGAAAGAAAATGGCATTTCGGAAAAATCGCACAAAATCTTCGATGGTACCCTTTGCAATCTGCCAAAAATTGACCCGGAATAAATCCGCCCAAATCGCTGCTTAATGGACTTAGTCATCGTTGTAGAATAGTCTCAGGACGAATCCGTGATCTGTAGCCTTTAAAATCCAAAGAAAATGGCATTTCGACGCCCACAAATTTACGAAAATGCCATCCTAAAATAAATTGGCCCAAATCGGTGTTTGATGGACTTATCATCCGTGGAGAATAGAATCAATACACTTCATTATCGGTGGAGAATAGCCTCGGCCTGATTTCGTGATTTGTAGCCCCCAGAATCGAAAGAAAATGGCATTTCCGAAAAATCGCCCAAAATATGTGATGGTACCCCTTTGCTATCTGCCAAAAATTGACCCGGAATAAATATGCCCAAATCTGTGCTTAATGGACTTAGTCATCGATGAAGAATAGTTTCACGGCGAATCCGTGATCTGTAGCCTTCAAAATCTAAATAAAATGGCATTTCGACACCCAAAAAATTACGAAAATGCCATCCGAAAATAAATTGGCCCAAATCGGTGATTAATGGACTTATCATCTGTGGAGAATAGGATCAATAGACTTCATTATCGGTGGAGAATAGCCTCGGCCTGATTTCGTGAACTTTAGCCTCTAGAATAGAAAGAAAATGACATTTTGGAAAAATCGCCCAAAATCTGTGATGGTACCCCTTTGCAATCTGCCAAAAATTGACCGGTAATAAATCCGCTCAAATCAGTGCTTAATGGACTTAGTCATCGTTGAATAACAGTCTCAGGCCGAATCCGTGATCTGTAGCCTTCAAAATCCAAAAAAAATGGCATTTCGACGCCCAAAAAATTACGAAAATGCCATTCGAAATTAAATTGGCCCAAATCGGTGATTAATGGACTTATCATCTGTGGAGAATAGGATCAATAGACTTCATTATCGGTGGAGAATAGCCTCAGCCTGATTTTGTGATCTGTATCCTCCAGAATCGAAAGAAAATAGCATTTCGAAAAAATCGCCCAAAATCAGTGATGGTACCCCTTTGCAATCTGCCAAAAATTGACCCGGAATAAATCCGCCCAAATCGGAGTTTAATGGACTTAGTCATCGTTGAAGAATAGTCTCAGGCTGAATCCGTTATCTGTAGCCTTCAAAATCCAAAGAAAATGACATTTCGACGCCCACAAAATTAAGAAAATGTCATCCGAAAATAAATTGGCCAAAATCGGTGTTTAATGGACTTATAATCCGTGGAGAATAGGATCAATAGACTTCATTATCGGTGGAGAATAGCCTCGGCCAGATTTCGTGATCTGTAGCCTCCAGAATCGAAAGAAAACTGCATTTCGGAAAAATCGCCCAATATCTGTGATGGTACCCCTTTGCAATCTGCCAAAAATTGACCCGGAATAAATCCGCCCAAATCGGTGCTTAATGGACTTAGTCATCGTTGAAGAATAGTCTCAGGCCGAATCCGTGATATGTAGCCATCAAAATCCAAAGACAATGTCATTTCGACGCCAACAAAATTACGAAAATGCCATCCTAAAATAAATTGGCCCAAATCGGTGTTTGATGGACTTATCATCCGTGGAGAATAGGATCAATATACTTCATTATCGGTGGAGAATAGCCTCGGCCTGATTTCGTGATCTGTAGCCTCCAGAATCGAAAGAAAATGGCATTTTGGAAAAATCGCCCAAAATCTGTGATGGTACCCCTTTGCAATCTGCCAAAAATTGACCCGGAATAAATCCGCCCAAATCGGTGCTTAATGGACTTAGTCATCGTTGAAGAATAGTCTGAGGCCGAATCCGTGATCTGTAGCCTTCAAAATCCAAAGAAAATGGCATTTCGACGGCCACAAAATTTCGAAAATGGCATCCATAAATAAATTGGCCCAAATCGGTGTTTAATGGACTTATCATCCGTGGAGAATAGGATCAATAGACTTCATTATCGGTGGAAAATAGCCTCGGCCTGATTTCATGATCTGTAGCCTCCAGAATCGAAGAAAATGGCATTTCGAAAAAATCGCCCAAAATATGTGTTGGTACCCCTTCGTAATCTGCAAACATATGACCCGGAATAAATCCGCCCAAATCGGTGCTTAATGGACTTAGTCATCATTGAAAAATAGTCTTAGGCCGAATCCGTGAATCATTAGCCTTCAAAATCCAAAGAAAATGACATTTCGATGCCCACAAAATTACGAAAATGCCATCCGAAAATAAATTGGCCCAAATCGGTGTTTAATGGACTTATCATCCGTGGAGAATAGGATCAATAGACTTCATTATCGGTGGAGAATAGCCTCGGCCTGATTTCGTGATCTGTAGCCTCCAGAATCGAAAGAAAATGGCATTTCGGAAAAATCGCTCAAAATCTGTGATGGTACCCCTTCGTAATCTGCCAAAAATTGACCCGGAATAAATCCGCCCAAATCGGTGCTTAATGGACTTAGTCATCATGGAAAAATAGTCTCAGGCCGAATCCATGAATCATTAGCCTTCAAAATCAAAAGAAAATGGCTTTTCGACGCTCACAAAATTACGAAAATGTCATCCAAAAATAAATTGGCCGAAATCAGCGTTTGATGGACTTATCATCCGTGGAGAATAGGATTAATAGACTTCATTATCGGTGGAGCATAGCCTCGGCCTCATTTCGTTATCTGTAGCCTCCGGAATCAAAAGAAAACTGCAATTCTGAAAAATTGCCCAAAATCTGTGATGGTACCCCTTTGCAATCTGCCAAAAATTGACCCGAAATAAATCCACCCAAATTGGTGCTTAATGGACTTACTCATCGTTGAGGAATAGTCTCAGGCCGAATCCATGATCTGTAGCCATCAAAATCAAAAGAAAATGGCATTTCGATGCCCACAAAATTACGAAAATGCCATCTGAAAAAAATTGGCCCAAATCGGTGTTTAATTGACTTATCATCCGTGCAGAATAGGATCAATACACTTCATTATAGGTGGAGAATAGCCTCTACCTGATTTCGTGATCTGTAGCCTCCAGAATCGAAAGAAAATGTCATTTCGGAAAAATCGCCCAAAATCTGTGATGGTACCCCTTTGCAATCTGCCACAAATTGACCCAGAATAAATCCGCCCAAATCGGTGCTTAATGGACTTAGTCATCGTTGAAGAATAGTCTCAGGGCGAATCCGTGATCTGTAGCCTTCAAAATCCAAAGAAAATAGCATTACGACGCCCACAAAATTACGAAAATGGCATCCAAAAATAAATTGGCCCAAATCGGTGTGTAATGGACTTATCATCCGTGGAGAATAGGATCAATAGACTTCATTATCGGTGGATAATAGCCTCGGCCTGATTTCATGATCTGTAGGCTTCAGAATCGAAGAAAATGGCATTTCGGAAAAATCGCCCAAAATCTGTGTTGGTACCCCTTCGTAATCTGCCAACAATTGACTCGGAATAAATCCGCCCAAATCGGTGCTTAATGGACTTAGTCATCATCGAAAAATAGTCTCAGGCCGAATCCGTGAATCATTAGCTTTCAAAATCCAAAGAAAATGGCATTTCGATGCCCACAAAATTGCGAAAATGACATCCGAAAATAAATTGGCCCAAATCGGTGTTTGATGGACTTATCATCCGTCGAGAATAGGATCAATACACTTCATTATCGGTGGAGAATAGCCTCGACCTGATTTCGTGATCTGTAGCCTCCAGAATCGAAAGAAAATGGCATTTCGGAAAAATCGCCCAAAATCTGTGATGGTACCCCTTTGCAATCTGCCACAAATTGACCCGGAATAAATCCGCCCAATTCGGTGCTTAATGGACTTAGTCATCGTTGAAGAATAGTCTCAGGACGAATCCGTGATCTGTAGCCTTCAAAATGAAAAGAAAATGGCATTTCGACGCCCACAAAATTACGAAAATGCCATCCGAAAATAAATTGGCCCAAATCGGTGTTTGATGGACTTATCATCCATGGAGAATAGGATCAATACACTTCATTATCGGTGGAGAATAGCCTCGGCCTGATTTCGTGATCTGTAGCCTCCAGAATCGAAAGAAAACTGCATTTCGGAAAAATCGCCCAAAATCTGTGATGGTACCCCTTTGCAATCTGCCAAAAATTGACACGGAATAAATTCGCCCAAATCGGTGCTTAATGGACTTAGTCATCGTTGAAGAATAGTCTCAGGCCGAATCCGTGATCTATAGCCATCAAATCCAAAGAAAATGACATTTCGACGCCCAAAAAATTACGAAAATGCCATCCGAAAATAAATTGGCCCAAATCGGTGTTTAATGGACTTATCATCCTTGGAGAATAGGATCAATAGACTTCATTATCGGTGGAGAATAGCCTCGGCCTGATTTCGTGATCTGTATCCTCCAGAATCGAAAGAAAATGGCATTTCGGAAAAATCGCCCAAAATCTGTGATGGTACCCCTTTGCAATCTGCCAAAAATTGATACGGAATAAATCTGCCCAAATCGGTTCATAATGGACTTAGTCATCGTTGAGGAATAGTCTCAGGCCGAATCCGTGATCTGTAGCCATCAAAATCCAAATAAAATGGCATTTCGACGCCCACAAAATTCCGAAAATGCCATCCTAAAATAAATTGGCCCAAATCGGTGTTTGATGGAATTATCATCCGTGGAGAATAGGATCAATACACTTCATTATCGGTGGAGAATAGCCTTGACCTGATTTCGTGATCTGTAGCCTCCAGAATCGAAAGAAAATTGCATTTCGGAAAAATCGCCCAAAATCTGTGATGGTACCCCTATGCAATCTGCCACAAATTGACCCGGAATAAATCCGCCCAATTCGGTGCTTAATGGACTTAGTCATCGCTGAAGAATAGTCTCAGGGCGAATCCGTGATCTGTAGCCTTCAAAATCCAAAGAAAATGGCATTTCGACGCCCACAAAATTACGAAAATGCCATCCGAAAATAAATTGGCCAAATCGGGATGGACTTATCATCCGTGGAGAATAGGATCAATACACTTCATTATCGGTGGAGAATAGCCTCGGCCTGATTTCGTGATCTGTAGCCTCCAGATTAGAAAGAAAACTGCATTTCGGAAAAATCGCCCAAAATCTGTGATGGTACCCCTTTGCAATCTGCCAAAATTTGACCCGGAATAAATTCGCCCTAATCGGTGCTTAATGGACTTAGTCATCGTTGAAGAATAGTCTCAGGCCGAATCTGTTATCTATAACCTTCAAATCCAAAGAAAATGGCATTTCGACGCCCAAAAAATTACGAAAATGCCATCCGAAAATAAATTGGCCCAAATCGGTGTTTAATGGACTTATCATATGTGGAGAATAGGATCAATAGACTTCATTATCGGTGGAGAATAGCCTCGGCCTGATTTCGTGAACTTTAGCCTCTAGAATCGAAAGAAAATGACATTTCGGAAAAATCGCCCAAAATCGGGAATCTGCCAAAAATTGACCCGGAATAAATCCCCCCAAATCGGTGCTTAATGGACTTAGTCATCGTTGAAGAATAGTCTCAAGCCTAATCCGTGAATCAGTAGCCTTCAAAATCCCAAGAAAATGGCATTTCGACGCCCACAAATTTAAGATAATGCCATCCGAAAATAAATTGCCCAAATCGGGGTTTAATGGACTTATCATCCGTGGTGTATAGGATCAATAGACTTCATTATCGGTGGAGAATAGCCTCGGCCTGATTTCGTAATCTGTAGCCTCCAGAATCGAATGAAAATGGCATTTCGGAAAAATCGCCCAAAATCTGTGATGGTACGTCTTTGCAATCTGCCAAAAATAGACCCGGAATAAATCCGCCAAAATCGGTGCTTAATGGAC